TTCGAGCTGTCCTTTCTCCCGCAAGTTTTATTAGAGTCAATCGTCGATTTCGACCTCGGTCTGGCCGCATGAACTCGCCTTGGAACCGGGTCCGGGTCGCGAAGTTCTGTCTTGTTCACCTCCGCGCCTGTCTCGGGTTCCTGCGACGATAACCACATGGCATCGTGGTCCCCCGAGGGGAGAGGCGTGTCTAACGGCCGCCTACCGTCGTCCCCTTGCCCTTGTTCTGTCTCGACGGCGCCCTGCTTAACTAACGATGACCAACTACCCTGCTGGCTAACTGCTTACTCCTAGGTAAGACAGAAAGACGCCGCATCGCGTGACTGCTGGAAGTCTAGATTTCTTTGATTATGCGGCCGTTACTAAAGCCCAGGACGTTGAAACTCTTGTGTTACGAACTGTGATGAGAGAGCCGTTGGTTTGCAATATCTTTCGACGGCTGAGGTTTATTGCTTATGGCCATTTCGTCTAGATTGATAACGATGGTTCGATGTTGATAGGTCTTTATTGCTATATTTGGGTATCTGAGGTCGTGTTTTCGAGAACATGACACAGGAACGTGTCTATGGTCTTGAGTTACGACTTCGCATGTTGCCAAGGGAGACCTGGCTGGGAACTCTGGGTTTGCCTTACTGGTCTTTCAAGTAGTAGGTACTTGCGAGGATACGTTCGTGGTCGGTTTGATGGCGGTTTGTACCGGTACTTTGTTATATCTCGAAGTCCCCTTTCCCATGGATACCTAGGCGGCGAGGTAAGTTAGGTGGTCTATCTGGCTAGTATTGTTGGGCTTACCTCTTTGGGTAGATTGTAGATTCATGTTCTAGAAGGTAGTTATTCTTAGTGAATTCGCACTTTGAAACTTATGTATCCCGGTCTTCGTGCTTGTATTCGAGGTTATAGACATCCTACCTACCTGGATAGACATATTCACATATCTATATGTATACACTGCTTAAACGCATTTTAAACAAATTTCATCGTATAGCTATAATCATCTCATGGTCTTGTGTAGCTCTTTGTCTACTTGTACGGTGGTGATGTTGAAGCGTAAATAGGGGCTAGTCTTACCATATCTATTACCAAACGAAAGCTTATTCTCGGCATCGTTATCTGGGCCTACTTTCTCCATATGCTATGAATTTACGAGACACACCATCGCCCGTATGCTGTGAAGTATAGGCAGAACTGGGTATAATCTAGCTTCCCTTGAAGAACCGTAGTATAGATAGTTAGTATGTAGGTAAGTGTGGGAAAATCTTAGACAGCGTGAGGGAGGCAGGCTCTTAAAGATGGACTCGAGACATCCTTTACCTACTTGCTGTCTTGGTATATAATTGCAATAGAACTTTCTTGCTCACTATCTACATGTTCTTGACGAACACCCTCCTTAAGATTGGACCTGATACAGTTGCGATGATCGCTGTCCGTTAATATAATGGTGGAAGAGCATCTATCTGATAGACAAGCCGAGGTTACCTAGTTGTTCTAACACTATATGAGCCTGACTTTACTCTGATTAGTGAGAACGCACAATTGTGATAGAAAGAATAGGCAGGCAGCTGTCCGTTAAGGGGGTGCTCTGGTTTATCTATGGTCTAGCATAGAGGACCGCGAGTTGGCGAGACTCATACTAACATGGCTTCCTGGTATTCCGGGTGCGATTTGATGATACTCCCCGGTCATAGAAAGAGTTGCGCATGGTTAGATTATGCATCTATTCACATAGGCACTGCGTCTCCTAAAGATGTAGTGTAGGGGTGAAGTCTAACAAAGCCTATCAAGTCAAGCTCTGGGTAGATAGGTAGTTGATGTCTCTTCATGAATACTGTTATAGTCCAAAAAAGCCTGTCATATATATCGCATTACTACTCCAACACTCACCGCTTCTCGATCACCGAGCCTCGACCCCTTTCCACATACCCACCTTAACGCCGCCGCGGAAGAGTAGCATACATACACATCAATGCACGTCACCAACGCAGAGAACGGTCCACCGCTACAAGTCAACGAGGATCGAGAGAGCGAACGTCGGACAGGATCCCGCCAACCTAATCGCAAACGTAAACGGCGCAAACGACACATCGAAGCCCCTCGACAGTCCTCCGACATAGGAGCTCGAATAACATATTCCCCTTACTCGATCGTAAAGGGATCCACGTAAGAACGATACGAAAATAGTTCACCTCCAGACATACCTATATACATACTCCATACCTACCTATCCATCCCCCTCGTGATCGCAAGCCTGCCTCCCGGCTCCGCAAAGCCCGGTAAACGGGACCCTCCCAGCTGACTAACGCGCGTAGCGAAATACCTCAAACCCAGTCCGCACCACTAGCCCCGTCTCGCATGCCCCATATTCCCCATCACCATCCTCCTTCCTCCTAGCTTACTAGCTACCTACCTACCTGCATGCATACCTACACGCCACTTACCTCTGTCCCCTCTCCCCATATCATCTAGTACACCTAGTAGGTACACGAACAGCATGCACGCGTACATAGTGAAAAGAAGAAGCACCAGCCCTAGACCGCCACATCACCCAGCATCCTCCCCCACAAGTTCGCCACACCAGGTACCAAGACGACGCCAAGTGTGCGGTACCTACATGTAAATTGCGCCAAGGGTTCCACCGCGGCAAAGAAGCTTTTCTTTTTTTCTAGGCGCGCTGCGGCTCTGGGACCGGCGCGGGGCCCGACGACGTTTGAAGGTTTCTCGGAGCGGATGGGGCTCCGGTTGTGTGGTGGTTATGAGGCGCGTTGAGTGGTTACGCGCGGTTGTTGGTGTGGTTGTGGATATGACAGTGTTTTTGTTCTTGTTCTTGTTCTTGTTCGTGGAGTGAGTAGTAGGTATCTAGGTAAAGTAATCCGAATCTATGAATTGTTAATCTTTCACAGAAGGCAGAGGCATAACTACGTTGGTAGAGGTCTAAAGAATGTATAGATTGAAGATGCAGTGGTGGTGAAGAAATTTTCTTTAATATCTCTAGCATGGGTGTGAACGGCCCTCTGCTCACGAAAGTATATAAGCAAGTAGGTACCTAGGTATGTATGAGCGATCAGGAACAGAAAGACTGCCTAAGCCTGACAGTTTCTCTAGTGATAATTCGAAGACACAACACGATCATGAAGAAATGAACCTGGCGAAAAAAAATTGCGAAAAAAATGCGACTGAAGTTCTGGGCGAGCTCGTTGTCCCAGATTTCGTGATTTCGTCCAAACGCGTCGCTTATCGATTCCTTCGGATAGATTTTTTCCATTCACCCTGGTTTCAAATCTACGCTCTTACCGATAAGCTAGGAACCTATAGCCGATAATGATATTCTTGGCGGAAATGATTAACTTCCGCCTCTGCGCTTTGAAGGAGCCTGATAAACAAGATCAAAAGAGCTTATTCGTATCCTCTCCAAGTAATTTTCTGGTTTCCGACAGAATTCGTTAGAAGATTACCCCCTAAATTAGGGACATGTCGATCCGATTCACCGAAGCTTCCGATTCACTGGGGCCTACATATTACCGCCTTCGGACTATTTGGCCTCGACCATCCACAACTATTCATGTCTCGTTCCAGAGCTGGGTAGTAGAAGGTCGCCTGCAACTTTTCAATATCGCAACTGTTATGATACCGGTGATGCCGCGATAACGGTTATTGGCTTTGATAGGTTGCCTCGTTGGTGCCGGGTTCGACAGGATGCTCGCTGATTTATGTCGCCTAGGTAGATACTAGATAGGTACTAGGTAGTTAATGATATAGAGTAGATCAACAGAGCTCCAATGACCGGTTATGTAGCGATAATTGAAACCTACCTCTTCGGTTGAATATGTTTAGACAGGTGACTTATACCCAAATTCTTGGCAATTTAGCCTGACTTGTAACATTCCTAACTGGGCCTTCCGCGTCATCGGTCTAGATTGTCTAGATTATTTGTATGGGGAGCCGGCCTCGAGCCGAAAATAAGTCGGAGCGGGTCCGGCTATGTGTGGAACAAGTGGGTCTCCGGCGCTATAACTTGAACCGAATCCACTAATTAGTCCAGACTCGTGATGGAATTGGCAAATTGCGGGTGACTGGAGTCTTACCTAAGATTGATTTTTTCTGTTTTTCCTTCCCTTCTCAAGTTTTCTTTCTACTATCTTTTCCCAACTCCAAGAACGCCCTAACCCGCATTACTTTCGGTAGGATGCCCCCACTTGCACATGTTCGCAAACTAGCCTGTCTCGAAACCTCGATACCCGTGCTCCAGTTTGAAGAAATTGCAATAAATTGCCAATTGGCCGTGAAGGGGGCGAAACAAGCTTTCTTAAACCGGGGAAAATTCTCGGTCGTGGCGTGACTTATCCGATCTGTCAGACCACTTTGGCAGCCTAAAGACCCCTAAAAATGGCATCTTGTTTGTTTCTTCTTTGCCCATTGGTGCCAGAGCTTCCCAATCCAGCCACGAGGTCCTTCGTCAGGGACAGTGTCGTAATAATTAATCAGTCACACTCTGACAATCGGACCTTATCAGCCGAAGTCGGGTCCTCCACACAGGCCTCCCTTCGTAGATAGAATTTGACCGAGGTGAAAGAAATTTTCGGGAAAAACCTCCACGAAGAATGATGAAATCCTGACAGGGGTGGCGGCTCGCGACAGCGGTCCGTTTGACTTAAACTGCCACGAATTTTCTTCGTGTTGGTTTTACTTCTCGGTCTTCGGTGGATCGTAAACTTTTTTTTTCCTTTTCGTTATCTGCCGTTTCTTTTGTCGCTAGACATTCCTTTCTCTGCATCTTCCAGACAATTATCCGTTCCTAAACATTAGACAACAATCTTCATCAAACAGATATATACCAAGCGCCCCTCGGCGCACTACGCTCTTTGCTGCGACCTGCTCGCCTCCAGACTCTATCGTATGTCGTGTGCTTACTTCTTCTCTTACTTATTATTCTAACCCTCCTGCGCAGACATAGCCTGCCGGAAGAAAGAAAATAGAAAGAGCTCGCGCTCTCCCCCGACACCAAAATGATTATCACACGTCTCATTTCCCTGACGAACTTCGCCGTCGCCTCTTCCGCACTTGGCTTCCAAGTCTTCGTCCTCTACCCATGGCACAACCAGCTGGACCAATCGTTCGAGGAACTTAAGAAGGAGCATCTCAGGGTTCTGGAGGCGGTCAGGGAGGTCGCGAAGGAGGTGGATCCGAACTCGAGGCAAGGCATGGCCGACTCAATACTCGGACGTCTGGGGATCAGCGCGTTCAGCGTAAGAAGGTGATTTCAACTTTAGCACGCATGCAGTAACCATTGATTTATCTTACCAAATGAGTTCGGCGCTTATGCAAACAATACCACAGTCTGTTCTCCCATAAACCAGCGCCCCAAGCCATTTCCAGTGTGTTCGACAGCAGTAATCCTGTAAAATATGTCACAAGCAACCTCGCCAATCTCTCTCCCGTGGCGGCCAGACCGGATATGAACATGACGGAAATTGCGCGATACGCCGTCTCAGGAGCCATCTGCTGTTCCTTTACTCATGCCCTATTAACCCCAGTTGACGTGTAAGCCAAGCCATCATGATTTTGTAGCCTTACTCGACAGTGACTACCGGGAGAAGCATCTCCTGTCCACGGGGCGCTGATGGAGCTAATGCGTACTCAGCGTCAAAACCCGTGTCCAACTCGAGCCGGCCGTATATAACCGAGGTCTAGCAGGTGGTATGCGCCAGATCATCGCAAATGATAGCGCCAAAGCGCTCCTGACCGGATTCGGACCAACCGTGACGGGATACTTCCTGCAAGGAGCCTTCAAATTCGGCGGCTACGAATTCTTCAAAAGACGAACGAACGATTGGTTAGGACCGGAAAAGGCGGCTGATCATCGTAATGCCGTATACCTTGCTTCGTCTGCCGCGGCCGAATTCCTAGGAGATATCCTGCTTTGCCCATTCGAAGCTGCCCGTATCAGGCTTGTATCACAGCCGTCGTTTGCTCCCAACATGCTCTCTGCACTGGGCAGAATGGCCAGTTATGAGGGGATGGCCGGGCTTTACTCCGGCTTTACGCCGATTGTACTGAAACAGTAAGCACCCAGTTTCGGACTCCAAAAACTTCGTCCCGCTCGTGGATTACTAACAACGATCTAGAGTTCCGTACACGATGGCAACCTTCGTAGTGTACGAGAAAGCCATCGAAACGGCATACTCGTGGATTAACAAGGAGAAAGCATCAAACATGGTGCTTTCGGGAGTAAACCTCGGTTGTGGACTAATCGCTGGTATGGCAGCTGCAATTGTTTCTCAACCCGCAGATACAGTGTTGAGCAAAATCAACAAGGAGAAGGGACTCCCGGGTGAGGGAACAGGTCGACGAATCTTCAACATAATCGGCCAGCTTGGTCTGCGGGGAAGCTACGCCGGCATTGGTCCACGATTGGTCATGGTTGGAGGCATGACCGCAGTCCAGTTTGGAATTTATGGACACATCCAAAGAGTATGAATTCTCCGATTTCCCCATATTGTTCTTGATTTAATCCAGTGGGCGACTGACAATTATCATAGGCTCTTGGCGCAACCAGTAGTGCCGTCGAGGTGAAGAAAGAAGTTGTCAAGGTTGTAGAGGTCGGGAACCTCCTACAAACCGCCGAAATGTGATAATCTAATTCATAATAAGCTCAAGGGCTAACTCTTCATATCCATTATACCCACCTTTATATGTTTCATTTGTACGAGAAAGAGAAGTTAGAGAAGATGCTATTATCCGCTCACTATTGTACCGGTGCAATAGCGAGCGGATATCTGATTCGGTGTCCCGAGCAGACATAGAATGTGGGAGATGTGGGACGATCGACTATGATTCTGGTAGAAACGATATTCTTTTGTATATATAGCATTATAGAAGCATAGAGAAGGATTAGACAAAGGGCATACAGTTGAGCATAGAATTTAAAATAAAAATATTAAGATTGAATATTCTCCTGTTCGTCATGTAACATGAAGGAGGAGTAAAGTCGAAATCCAAGGCAAGAGACGGAGTTAAGAATCGAAGAAAGAGGAGAACTTTGAGGAGAAACTTGAAGCTGTTCCAAGGTTTGATAGAAAGTAACCCTGAAGCTAATAGGCAAGTAGGTACATGGATGCACCTGAAGCTGGAACGATTAGCTAAAGGCACTAGGGATTAGCTGCTAGTTGATAGGTAGCACCTACCTATACCGTACCTGCTAGCTGCCTAATACCTAAAAGCAAAGTTTACATTGGATCGCTTACACTTGCCACCCCGCCCCCACCATCGGTCAATGAGTAACCGGCAATTCTAGCTCCTAGGCTATCGCTTTGGTATTCACGCGTTATAAACTTTTAGGCCATCTACATCTTTTTTAAAGAATTCCTAACATTTGGATTTCATCCAATCCAACCTCTGTCCCTATTATTCGATTCTTAGTGTGTTTTAATAGTGAGAAAAAACCAAAATGTCGAGCAGACAACTGAGAAAATTGCAAAAGCAGAGGGAGCTGCAGGGACTCGAGGCGCAAAACGCCACCCAGGACGATGAATCAAGTGAGGATGACCAACCTGCGCAAAAGCCGAGAGTGAGCCTATTCTCCGGATTTTCAGCTCTAGAGGATCACGATGACGAGGATGACGACGTAGATGTTGAAGAAGAGCACGAAGAGCCGGCGAAAACACCAGCAATCGCCGCCGCCGAACCCGACAAGACTAATACCAATACTCCTAAGAGCGCATCGAAGAAGAACAAGAAGAAAAAGAAGAAGGCTAAGAAACAGGATACCGTTACCTCCAAACCCGAAACTACCTCACAGACTGGACCAGACGAGATTGATCAGGCATTAAAGGAACTTGACCTTTCTAAGAAGCCTGGACAAGAGACGCAAGACGACGCCTTCGCGAAACCTTACGAGCGAATATGCGAGCTTCTCAGCATCAACACGTACCATCTCAGAGTGTTTAATGAGATGCGCAATCTTTTCGGCCGAGAAGCTATCGCTGCTGCGCAGAATGAAGAGCAAGATCAGGCGCGCTCTAGAAGACAGCGTCATGCGTTGCCACAACAAGTGGATCTGGAGACTTTTCTCAAAGGGATGCCGGGCAAGACTCTGCCAGAAGTCACATTACGACGAAATCCCTTCTTGTCTGGGAAAGAGACTTGGCCCCGCGCCTCTACAGAGGGCCTGACGATGGAACAGCTCAAGGAGGAGGAAGGAAATTTAGTTTGCATGCCAGGCACCGTCGAGTTTCGCTTTGTGCATGATGAGAGATACAATAAACTGGAAGACAAATTCTTCGAGCTCGTTCAGATGTATGATCCTATGCAAATAGTGCATTTTATACGTCTTCACCCCTATCATATTTCCGGCCTTATTCAGGTCAGCAGAATCGCGAAGCAAGATCAGAACTCCGCGCTATCCGCCGATTTATGCGAACGAGCCCTCTTCACCTTTGGTCGAGTTTCGATATCGGCTTTTCGACAGAGGTTAGAACAAGGTAAGGCGCGACTTTCGTTCAGACGACCGGAAAACCGTCAATTCTGGTTAGCTGGATATCACTACCTCAAGAACTTGATCATGAAGGGGACTTATCGGACCGCCCTTGAATGGGCCAAGCTACTTCTTAGTATAGAGCATGGCGATCCTTATGGAGTCATCCATTATATTCACCCGCTCGCTATTCGGGCGCATGAATCGAAATGGTTCATTGACTTCTGTGATTCGGAACTATTGGAGGTGAATGCGACGGTACAAGATACCCCGGATTACATCAGACAAACCCTCATCTTGGCTAAGCTCCAGCAGAATGATACGGCTGGCGCTAAAGCATTATTACTCGAGGGCATAAAACGACTACCCTGGCTCTATGGGAATCTTTTTAAGTCGCTTGGTCTATCTATTCCCACAGCTGTATGGGGCATACAGCCGCGAAACCGGGATGAGGAGCTACACACAAATGTCTACATCCACCAGACGAAAGACTTATGGGATAGTCATCAAACGAAGACTTTTCTACAGGAGGTGGCAAAGGAGGCGAAGAAGGCGGACCCTAAAAAGTGTCCATTCCCACCTACAGTTAAGGACAACTTCGCACGCTTTGTATACTTGTTGGAGATCCCTTCGTTGATAGGCCTCATACCACGCGATCTGCTGAACACTTCAACTAACTGGGAATTCGACCCGCTACCGCCTCCTCTCGATCAGAACGTATTCTCGCACGAGTCGCAGAAGCAACCTTGGACTCCGTCGTCACACCGAGCCGGGGCCAGACTAAATCCAGATCACCATGACCTTGGCGAATTATTAGTCCAGGCAAGATTAGCTGGGGCGCCAAGGGATATTCAACAGGAACTCGAGAACGCTCTTGAAGAGGCGCTCTTAGAAGTGGACGATGGCGAAGACGACGAAGACCTGGGTGACGATGAGGATGTGCCACGTCCCAACCGTGGCATAGGAAGTATGCTCCAAGCCTTCATGGAGTTATTCGACCCTCGTGGTCTCGCTGGTGATGGAGAAGTTGGTGACTCAGATCTTGAGGGTATGCCCGGAGGATGGCGTGACGACTCAGACGAATCTGATGATGACGAGTTGCCGCCTTTAATAGATGTGGACGATGATGATGACGATGAACATGATCATGAACATGGTCAAGGTGGCAATCACGATGGTAATGGCTCGGACGATGAATTACCACAGGTATGAATTCGGCACTGCTTACAGAATGGGTGAACCCCTAAGGATCGCTTTGTCCATTGGTAAATCAGATAGGAGATAGGTTCCTGAACAGAAATGACGACATCATGGCAAGTGATATTAAGATCTGATATCTGAGTTTTGTGCATAAGCGCCTAAGCTGAACGACAAGGTAAAGCTAAGGAACCATCCAATACAGCGGTTCCTGCAGGAAAGCCATGCGAAGACTAGGAAGACGTAGATCATGAGGCAATAATTGCACGGAGCGAGTTTCTAACTTGGGGCTGGAGTCGCAGCCCCTACCTACTTGTCACTGCAAGATCGAGATCAGGCTAGTGAGCTGGATACATACTCCTTAAACTACTAGGTAGGTACAATACTACCATGATTGAGCAGATATTGTACAGGAGATATGTAGGTAGACGGTGAGGCATAATAAACCCGTAGCTATCTGCCTAAGATTCGGTGTTCTAATTTTATGATGAGCAAGTTTTCGCAATCCAGACGTGCGGCAGTCAAGGCGAGTTTCATATCCGGAAAAGGGAAAAAGGGGCGGTGTTAGTAGGAAACTTGATCCAGTTTCATATTACGGAGGCTTTGAAGCAGTCGTTCTTTGTTAGAGGGTAGCACGCGAGGTTTATTGTCATATTCGTCAGTTGTACCTTCACCGTCTTTATACTGTTGGTTATTCATTCCTTATGAGGGAATGACTATGGTATCATACAGTGCGAGTCAAGATGACACAATGCGCCACACTGTGTTATACTTCATTAAGGTTCTATGAGCTCTTTGTGCGTGGTCTAGGTAGAATTCACCGCTACGGGCACCCGGAAGGCGGGGTGGTATGGAAGCGATAAGTCGTTATTAATCCCTCTTCTAGCTTCTGTGACGCCACCTAGGCATTTTAATAGGCACCTGGGCACTTCCAAGGTTGTCAGGCTCTGTACAATAGGTACATAGCCGTACACATGGGACCTGTAATCCCTTAATCACGACTTCGTCAACCAATTATTAATACAAACTTCGAGCAACTCCGTGCGACCATACCGATAAAATATTCCTCTATATAATAGATAGCTGTCCTCTTCCGAAACCTGGCACACCTTTTTGCATTGACAAATATAAAGATAAACTTCTTAAACCAACATTAAACCACGTTTGAACGTTCCGCATACAGTGCATCCATACCTATCTAAACTTCTGCTGTTACCCCGCCAAATTCCAAATCCGCGATCCGCGATTCGTACCTTATAAATCGCTAGCACCCCTCACTTTACCTTAACCCCCCTTCCGCAAACTAAAACCAAATTCACACCGAAATCCTCTCTCTTCTTTCGCGATGGCCGACCAGGAGCACACTTACAAGTTCAACGTCAGCATGAGCTGCAGCGGCTGCTCCGGCGCCGTCAACCGTGTGCTCGGCAAGCTCGAGGGTTAGATTTTTCTCTTCTCTTTTCCTTGCAGTAGTTTAGCGTGCGTGCGTGTTTGTACTAATTTTTATGTCGCGAACAATAGGTATCCAGAACTACGAAGTCTCCCTCGAGAAGCAGGAGGCTGTTATCGTCGCTAAGCCGGGCCTCGACTACGAGACGGTCCTGAAGACGATCAAGAAGACCGGCAAGAAGGTCAACTCGGGCTCCGTCGACGGCGAGGACCGAAGCATCGAGATCGCTGCCGAATAGATGGGATTACGTTACTAAGTAGTTGGGAGTTGGGCCGTTTTTGACATAAGGGCTGAGGATATCGATGGAAGAGTTTCTGGCTTGTGCGCTGGTTTCCTTCCGTCTACGTGTAACGCCTTTTTTTTTTCTCTTTTGCGTCCCGGTTTATGATGAGTGAGCGATCGTAAATCGCCCGGACTTTGTGGATACGATGTCTGGTCTTGGGACTGATATGTAGCCTTGCATGGAATGATTTTACATATCTGCTTGCGCCGATAATGAGAACGGCTTTGATGCATTATTTTATACGTTTTCTTCCATGTTCGGCTTCTACGAGCTTTACACCTAAACCATAAGAGCTACGTATTGTGCGATAGTTTCACTCATAGGTGTTGTCTTTGGGTTAGTTTTCCCTACCTACGTAAACTTCCCCATCTGGATGCTTGCGCAATACCGACTTCCGCTGTATGGATGATGAGCCTCCGTTCACCGGACCGGGCAAAACGCAAACTTAGCACTTCTTGGCCACGCTTCCCGAAAGTTATAGCGCCTGTACGCCCTGAACTAGCGCTAATTGTCAGTGGGAGGCCAGCTATATGCATCCTACGGCTTAGTGTCGGTAGAGGTAACCAGCGCTTTCCCGTTTCGTCACACATCGGCCCTTTGCTATATGTACTAGTTTTCCTAGCAAACTTTCACAAGTCACCAACTAGCGACATCAGCGTTCTAAGGGCGCTTCTATCTCGATTGGTCTAGTGGTCAGGATACCTGCTTGTCATTGAACAAGTACGCAGGTGGCCGGGGTTCGATTCCCCGATCGAGAGCTCAAAGAGTCTACTTTTTGGTGTTATGCTGGATTTACCTTTTAAAATCACATCATGATTAAGAAGCAAACAACGTTGTTGTTTTCTTCCTCTTTTTGTTGGCTTGGTGGAAGGTTTGCGTTATTATTCTCTTGTCATATTTCACTCATGAAATTAGATATCTGCAGTGAGATCATCTGCTAGTCTTTATTGATCAAATATCCCGCTCGATTTCTACATTATCATTAACCTGTTCATGAAATTACCTACGAGAGTGTGTAACACGAATAATTTGGAGTGATCCTACATCATGAATATTAACTTCCTAAGAGGAAGCTAGTAAGCTTATCCTGCCCATTACCCCACGAGCATCAGCAGAAGCAGGAATGAAAGAATTATATCATATGGTTCCAAAATCCGAGAGTGGACAACCTCCGTGTCAGTCGAATATAGCCGCCGGCTTGACGGAAGGCCTAATCTACACCGAGTCAGTCCGAAGACTGCTCGGACTGTGAACGGAGTTAAGGCTGATTACTACTCCCGTTGGAGCGTTGTAGGATGAAAGCGTCTCTTGCGTGAAGACGCTATGCCGACAGTGGATTTGAGACTATAATTGGCTCGTGGGATTTGATATTGGGTCATGATGCTGATCTCAGAGCCGGCAATGGGTTCCTATTGCGAACATTGCTTCATCAAACGAATTCTCAAAGAACTTCACCAAGCAATGCCGTGGTGCCGAGCGGCTCTTTAAGTTCGGATTTCAAAACCTGGATGCTGGGTTATGTCCGATCATCTTGAAACGATAGAGTGAAGATCTCTCTGCATACGACGACGATCCTTTGCGATAATGACGATCATGACATTGCGTGGTAGATATGACGTTGTAAGATAGAGGGTCTTCGCATTCTTAGTCGGTTCTCACTTCTCACGACTGGCATTTGAGCAACTAGAACGACCGAAGAGTATGCCATTGTCTTTGCGCCGTCGTGGCCATGAGACATATGTCAAACCGATCCTTGAATCACGTAGAAACGAGCTCATCGCTCCTGATTAGTAAGATTCTTACCGCATACCATCGGCACCACGCCAGCTGGCCAGTGAATGCAGTCGCTCCCATGAAGAGAGGCGACATAATTAAAGCGTAACGGATGCCAAGGTCTCTCTTGTACAAGAGAGACCTTCCGGATCACCTTGCACAAAGCGCGTTGCATTTTTGCAAGTTTCCTGATAAAAAACCAACTGCTCTTCATAAAGCTGATGACAAGAAGTTCCTCAAGACCGGCGAGGCTTGTTGGGCTGATCAGGTCAGCAACCACGGGCGAATATCGCGCTTACTAATAACAAGAATAATTAGCTAATCCATAATCCCGAAGACATCGCAGCAGGCAGCTATCTACATGCTTAAGCACAAGCTGATCGCGCTCCACTATACAGCTGATGCCAACAGAACATAAGGCTAATTATCATCTGTTCAGTCACAACCTCGCCGTTGATAGATGGAAAAGAAGACACCGCCAATCCTGCCGGCAGTCCGGCTAACCATCGAATTCGACGACCTAGGCGTCCTGATCGACATATCCGCGCCCCCCTGACATAAGCAAAAAGACCTGACTAATAGTGCCGTTTTGCTTTTTGATAGTGAGGCTGACATCATCTGTCATACAGCCCTACATACCTACATACTTGTTTCCGCGGAGCTTCTTGCACTAGGGACCTGCCGAGACCTGTCATAGCCATATTAGCCATAGCCACCGGCGCGATTGAAGCTGTTGCTTATGCGAGGGCTAATGAATGCACTTGCGACGCCAAAATGCTGCTTCTTTGTACTACGCGCTACGCCATAATACGCCTGCGCCGGCTACCCTGGCCTGCAGCCCGAGGGCGTCGCCTACTGCACTCTTCAGCGCCTCTAGTCTGCCCCGGCGGCGTGGTGGTGGTGTCGGCTAAGCTAGGCCGTAGGGGGCTAGATAGGTAGGTACTATGTAGGTAGGGAAATGTAGTTTCTGAAAAAGGATATGTCTCGACGAATCAAAGTAGGGCGGAAGCTAAAGTTGATAATCATTCGCCCTACATAACTAGAGTCTGTATTAACGGACGAATGAGTTTTCTGTTCGATGGACGTAATCTTTTTTCTCATACATTCCCGCCATGGAACTAGGCGGCTAGGGAAGTGGTAGTTATTAGTTAGAAATGTCGGTTGATAGCGGTCGGATATTACGGATGGGGAATGGTGAAGATGTCTAATTCTCCTTGTTTGGGTCGACACTAGACTATTCGTGGTCCTAATGTTTCCAAGTACGAATTTATACTACCTAAATTCGATGAGGTGATGGCCTTAGGGACATTAGGTGGCTTAATTGCCGGATTCGTAAACAGGATGGGAATTATTGAAAGCTAGGATTCAAGATTGAGCTTGCGAAGGCGCGCATCAACCAAGCTTTTTCTTCTTCTCTTTTTTTTTTCCTTTTCTCTTTCGTGATGAATTCACTCGTGGAACTCGTCTCTCCGTCGCAATTCGCGCCTGTTTCGTTTCAAGTACCCCAATCTGGTATTCCGCTTCGTCTGTATGAACGCAGGTTCGTGGGTATCCAGTTTCGATGTCAGGCTAGTGTTACTCCATACTACCACCGATACGATCCTTTTGCCTATCGTAGGACTATCATCGCTTCGTTCTGTTTATTCCTGCGTCTTCTCTTCTTCTTCATCCTGGCAATACACGTGTGATCGACTGGGTCAACCGGACGTTTAGAATCGGGCAATATACTCGTTGCGGTTACGCAACCATCTGTGCACCACGGACGAAAGAGGATACTATGCGTACTATGCGTACTACTCGTACATAATACTGCATCGCTGCAACGTCGTTAAATTTCTACTACTTATTTGTTTGTGCCAAAGAATGATGAAACGAGAACGAGTTCGGGGTCGTCATGGGCGATCAAAACACAACCAGATGACCCATCCTCCCGGAAATGATGATGAGCCTTGGCGCCTCCAGACTTATCCATTGCGTTGCCCGTTCGAGCTACGCCCGAACCGGCCGAGACTAGCGACGCTCTGCCGGCCAGAGGCGGACCAGGGGTAGCAACTCTTTGGCCCCTCACCTCTTCTTCTTTCCTGCTCGTGAAGAATTCTTGGCGCCTCCAAACCCGTTCAAGGATTGGGAAGAAGGACTAGGATGAGATCACGTGGCACGCTGATATGCTCGGTCGAAGTTCTAGACTTGTCCTAGGTAGGCATGTAGAAATTATGTACTATTATTTCTGGGTGTGTTTTGACAGCGAGTGGGCAATTTTGTTGAAGAAAAAAAGAGAGAGGGAGAGAGAAGAATCCCTGACAGCCCTGACAGCCCTGACGAATTCGATCTAGGTGTATGTAAGTATGACTCCATAGGCGGCCGCCGTCTCATTTTTTGGTGCCTAGTAACTATTAGTTTTTATTTTTATTTTATTTTACTACTTACTTCGTACCTATTTCCAAGTTCCCAAGTTCTATTTACCCCCAACACCGACACTTGAATGGCTTGGGAATTAAGTACATTTTTTAGTCTGATGATTGATGAGACTTGGCTTGGCTAGCTTGGATCCTTCTAAGACCTTTGAACGGGCTTTTTTCGCTTTATTATTATTATTATTATTATTATTATTATTATTTTTTATTTCCCTCACATAATTCGTAACAGATATCTCCGCTCTTAATCCGCGATTTGCATAGTGGTTACTAGTAGCGTGTTGTTTGTCTCGTCCGAGAGGAGCCTTCTTCCGTTTTTTTAGTCATCAGATGGTTCCGCTCTATAGCAGCAGCATCCAGACACGGACACGCTGACCTTTACCGTCATGCGGTCTGGTTGTCTGGTCCGGCCTACTCACTCACCTCCATGAAACCCGTTAATCCCGTTAATTAAGTCTAAAATCGGAATCGGGTCCTTTGCTTGATTGCTTAGCTCACCGCTCAGAGCCCGCGCCTCCCATTTCCATCTTCTGAAACTTCGGCCGAGACGCCGCTTTGGGGCTTATTTTTCGATATACGGATTTCCCGTACGAAATTCCCCCTTCCCATACATTCATAGGCTGTCCCCATCATTCCCATTATAGCGTACAGTGTTTACCTAAGCCAATGGATAACGGGAAGTCGCCGGCGTCTAGCACGACCACGACCAAGAGCCCCGTGTATAGCTTCGTGGCGCCGTCGCGTAGCGTTAAGCGCCCGCGACCCGTGAAGAGCTGCTTGGAGTGCCGGAAGCGAAAGCTACGGTGCGACCGCGGGTCTCCGTGCTCGCAATGCCAGAAAGCCCAGCGCGCATGTCGCTACGCCGCTGAGGGGGAAGTCGTCAGCCTTAGCGACGACGGGTCTGACGTCGAGACCCCCGAGAGGACTGTCAAGCGCAACCGTAGTGCTGTCACTGTCCTGCCGAATAGTCAGGAGCTGGTGCCCGGTCAGAAGAGTGGCGAGCTCGGATACGCTGCCGTGCTCGAGGAGCACGCTGTTAGGCTCGAACGTCTCGAACATCAGATGTTGTCGAGGACGTCGTCGGTTGCGGAGTCGAGCAGTGCACCGGCGCAGAGACCTGCTGCGGCGTCGCTTACTATCCGTGGGTTAACGGTGAAGGGAGGGTTGCGGTCGAGGTTCTTTGGTCAGATGAGTACACGTGTTCTAGTCAACCTCGTGAGTTGTGTGCTTCGTTTTACCTGATGATCCCCGTCAAAATGTCCTTGCTAATTCGGTCGTAGTTTGATGAGGCAAAGGACTTTATGTTTAGTAGAAATAAGTCCGCCGATATCAGGGAGATGTTCTTGAATATCCAGAAGATCCACAAGGCTCTCCAGGATGAGCATCGCAAATCTATCGCCCCGATTACGGTATTTGTGGACTCGATGACGCCGATTCAGAAACGCATGGCCGATGTCTTACCAAGTAGGGCTGTTTGTGATACATTACTTAACATTTATCTGAGTGGATCAGAGACCATATATCGTGTTCTGCATGTAACCTCATTCATGAGACAGTATAATCAGTATTGGGAGGGTAAACCTCAACCCGACACATTTCTGCCTCAACTCCTCTCCATATTATGTGTTGGATATCGATATCTAGGAGCTGGCAAAGGCCAGTATCCCGACCGCGAAGGAATTCACATCCCAACAGCCAGCTCTCTTGTCAGAACTTGGCTCGACAGTCTCCGGGGAAAACAATTAGTCGAATTTAGCACTCTTCAAACCGAGATCCTCCAGCTCATGGCTCAGAGGATGATCAACCCACAAAACCAGGAGTCTTGGACGCATCTCGGCCTCATCGTACGGATGGCGATGACCATGGGATTTCATCGAGACCCGTCCGAGTTCGGACAGAAGATACCACCGTTCTGGGCTGAACAGAGGAGGAAGTTGTGGTACACGATACTCGAACTTGACGTTCATATGTCCATGCAGTGTAACCTCCCTTGCTGCATCCGAGAGGGCGATTTTACGTGTCAACCGCCCAGGAACCTTGACGATGCCGATATCCATCCTAATATAGATCAACTACCTCCTGCAAAACCTATCGACCAAGATACCGATTCCCGCGTGCAGGTGTTCGCCGCTAGCACCTTATCCATGCGATTTAGGGTCGTCGATGTAATCAACAGAACGGACAGCCTTCAAGACTATCAGCAAGTCCTAGAGCTTGGCAATGAACTGGAACGAGTATTCGAAGATGTAAGGTACATCGTCCCGCCAACACACTCAAATGATATGCAAGAAGTTCGCCGGCGGTGGATGACGAGGGTCGTATTAGACATGCATTGTCGTCGACCTTTATTAGCTTTGTATCGACCTTTCGCCTTGAGCGATTCAGATGTTCCCCAACAAATCATGACTGGGTATCTAAGGTCATCGATGGTCCTACTATCCTATTTAGACGAATTAGATCCTTCGTCTCCCGACTATCATCATATCTGGCACATGCACCAGTTAGTCCTCAAACAAGAAATCCTCCAAGCCGCCTTTAGTATCTGCTATTATATGAAGCAGTCTATCCACGGTTCCGCGTCACCGGCATCGTCGACTTTAGATTCAGTCGTGAAATCAGAGTCTGCCGAAGAATCATGCACTATCGCATCTGAGAGTTCAATATTGTTGTCTCTGCCACGACTGAAGAATATCGTGCAAAAGGTGTTAGATACAATGAACAAAAGAATACGGGAAATAGGGACAGATTTGAGAGATGTGGTCTCACTTACGGTCGTATTCAACACCTCCCTAGGCGGGACGCCCGAGCAGAAACGGGAATCTATTAAGTTAGGGCTGCAGGCGATTTTGGACGCGGGCATGCAAGCGATACACGCGAACCAAGAGAATATCGCTTCGATGCCGGTGAGAATGCCTCCTATACATATGTTTCAAGACGGGTCGTTAACTTCTGATGAACAGATTATGCCATCGCCTGTGTCGGTCCAGATGAATCCACTCCAGCCGACCTCCGGTTTCGTGACGCATGTACAACCCTTCCTGACGACGCCGGAGACCCCTAATTCTGTATGTTTCTACCCGCAAACCGTTGCCGAGGAAGCCAGTCTAATTAGCCAGGTACCGGACGACTTGGCTGCCCTTTGGGATATGGAATTCTGGAATCCGCTCCTCCAGTCTGGACCGTCTTGACGCCCAAAGCCTTACCTCCTCTCACCCTTCTGTACGGTTGGTCCTCTGGAAGCCGAGAGACTCATCTGGCACCAAGAGTGAGTGTGTGTCGAGGTTTACCAGAGTTGTATACTAGTAAACACCTATACTATTCTTAGGTGCTCACCGATACATTTTTAGTATCATCTGGAAGTCCCTGTCACCAGGCTACCACCCACATGTTGCGCAAAACACATCTTCCCGGTAGAATTAAGTTCAACACTAAATCCGACCTCACTATCCGAATATATCTAAACAATCAACCGTGTCGTTAACAAGAAATGTACTGACAGAGGAAGTCAATCGATATAACTCCTCAATATCGAATGCCACAGAACCTGAACTTTACCTGCTTCAAAATTATTTCCCATTCCGATTATCCTCGTAACCTCAATCTCGTATATTTATACCCTTCAAAAGATTACGACGATAATGACTGAGGCAATATCGCTATATACCACCACCATTTAGAGAAGAGTTTTGAAAATGAGAGTTTCAATGGCGAGGAGTCAACCAAACTTATAGTGTGTACGATCTAAGTTTTTAACACTAAGGCAGTTGGAAATAAAATATTTCGGTTGGCTTGGCATATATATAACTGAGGTAGCACAATGGCGTACCCTCCGAGTGTACGGCGTTAAGCTACGGCTTACCTAAGAGGGGAAAGGGAGTGAATATGAACCGAATTCATCACCTGTTGGCTTTGAACTCTAACTGATTTACTCGGCACGTATCTCCTATTGGTGATATTAATATGCATGTTCGATTAGTTGTACGAGTATGTGTCTAGGTAATAACGAATGATTGGACACCGATATTATATGTTGTGTGTTCTGTTGTATGTCATGTTTCCATTACATGGCCGTTTCACTACCTTGCGTCTCACATGTTTATATGTTGGTAAACTTAAACTAATGAAAATCAACGTCTTCGCAGCATTCGATATGTGTAGCCATGGTTGACATGAAGTTATTCACAATGATTTATACAATGCATAACTCTCTGGAATAATGTTATATAAGCTACACTGACTTACATAAACAGACTTGGCATATGGTACAACCAATTAGATCACAGAGATCATTACCTATTCGGGTATTGCCTCGGCAAGTCTATTGTGTTGGCCCCGCATGGAGAAAAGCTCCTTATTCTCCACATCTCTCCGAGACCTTGCATCGGCCAGGACTGATCCTTCAGGAGTTCGGATCATACGGTATAGCGTAGTACAACCTCTCGAATCTTTATTTAAATTGTCGATTTGCCGTATTTACAAACTTTCAATCTGCATTTGACACATCTAACGTGCGGTCGGATACGATTCTAACATAACTCTGTCTCATTGATCAATTGTCTTCTAGGACAAGTTTTAGTTGTTGAGATTAGAATTTCAACAATTCGAGTTATAGGCAGAATCAAATATTTTGAGCTTCAAAGGTGGAGCCTGATATCAAAATGCCGGCCAAACAGAAGCAACCGGTGTACGTCCTCGGCGTGGGCATGACTAAGTTCATCAAGCCCCGAGGCAAGGTCGACTACACAGAACTCGGTTTCGAAGCCGGCGTGAAGGCTATGCTTGATGCGCAAATCAATTACGATGATGTCGAGCAAGGCATCGCCTGTTATTGCTACGGCGACTCTACTTGCGGCCAGCGGGTCTTCTACCAATTCGGCATGACCCAGATTCCCATCATCAACGTCAACAATAACTGCTCTACGGGATCAACCGGCTTGTCTATGGCCCGGAACACAATCTCCTACGGCGGCGCTGACTGCATACTCGTCGTCGGCTTCGAGAAGATGATGCGCGGCAGTTTACAGGCGTTCTTCAACGACAGGGAGAACCCTATCGGCCTCTCCGGGAAGATTATGGGGGAGACCCGGGGTTACACAAAGGCCCCCGGCGCTGCTCAGATGTTTGGCAACGCTGGGAGGGAGTATATGGAGAAGTGGGCATACCTATTCCGTTCTTAAAGAAAAAGCCTGTACGTTGAATAGATAAGCTAACCTACCACAGATACGGAGCCAAGCTAGAGGACTTTGCGGAGATCGCCAGGGTCAACCACGAGCACTCCGTCAACAACCCGTACTCCCAATTCCAGGACGTCTACACCCTGGACCAAGTCATGCAAGCGCCCATGATCCACGAGCCGCTCACCAAACTGCAATGCTGCCCCACCTCCGACGGCGGTGCCGCAGCCGTCTTAGTCTCGCAAGACTTCCTAGACGCGCGCCCGCACCTCAAAGACCAAGCCATCCTAATCGCAGGCCAATGCATGGCAACCGACTCCCCCACGCTCTTCTCCCGCGGCGCAATCGACCTCATCGGGTACGACATGAGCAAACGCGCCGCGGAAACCGCGCTCGCCGAAGCGGGCATCACCCCCGCCGACGTCCAAGTCGTGGAATTACACGACTGCTTCTCAGCAAACGAGCTCGTGACCCTCGACGCCATGGGCCTGTGTCCCCCGGGAAAAGCCCACGAAATGGTCAGAAACCGCGATATCACGTACGGCGGGAAATACGTCGTCAACCCGTCCGGCGGCCTGATATCGAAGGGCCACCCCCTGGGCGCCACCGGAATCGCCCAGTGCGCAGAACTCGTCTGGCATCTCCGCGGCTGGGCGAATAATCGCGCGGTCCCGCATACCCGCTTCGCGCTGCAGCATAACCTGGGTCTAGGCGGGGCCGCGGTTGTGACGGTGTACGCGCGCCCGGATAAGGGGGAGGTGAAGGTTGTGGAGTCGAAGGATGTGGGGGCGAGGAATGGGCTCGGGTATAATCCGGCGGTTGAGGCGAAGGGGTTTACGGTTGAGCAGGCGAGGAGGGTTTGTAGTCGTGAGAGGTCGAGTGAGTGGGCGCTGCAGGATACGGGGAGGAAGGTTTTGGCGAGGTTTTGAGGAGTGGTGGATTAGGGGAGGAGGAAAATAATGACTTGTTTTGAGTAGGTAATTTGGTAGGTAGGTATGCTTTGGATAGGTATCTGGATTTCAGTTAGCGGGTTGGGATCTTTAGGTAGGTATGTAGGTATGTAATATCGATATTGGGGATTTATATACGTTGATTGACTACCTACCTACCTGCCTACTATAGGTACTTAGGTAGGTACCTAGTACCTAACCCTAGCCCGGGAATTTTTTCGGTCAAACGATCTAAGCGTACATTTCCCAATTTAAAGTTGTAGCTGAAGATTATGGAATGAGCTGGATTTCTTGAAGCGATATCAAGTTCAAATCTCTAAAATGAAGGAGGATTAAGTTGGGTGTGGGTAATATCAAGAAAGACGAATTGGTAAGGTTGGGGGTAAATTTCGAAGGAAGACTCGTGTAAGCCCCGCAACGCCACAATAATACAAGTCACTATATGTCATACTACATTGGACAAGCTGTTCTCGAAGTTTCTAAATTTCATTGTCTTGATACCTAGTATTTTTCTAAATATCTTTGCCTCGGTATCGTGGAATCCATACGAGCTAAACTCCTTATCTGAACTGTCCTTGAACCATATCTTCTCCAAGCTCCGATCCGACGGTCTTTACAACGACGAGGCCTCCAATGGACCAGACCTTTGACATCATCTCCTTGGAATCCGAACTACCTCTCAACCCTCGACTCCGTCACGTTCGACATCAGCCACAATCTGGAGTTGGCGTTCGGGAATTGTTGCACGGAGAGTGTCGCTTATGAAATGTAATATTTCGTATACGATAGTCCTACAAAAGTTCAAGCTGCTTCGAATAGTTTTGATAGACTGTCGTTGGTCTTGGGGTGAATATTTACTGAATGCAATTATTAATGTAGTGCAGTAAATGCCGGTATTCCCTAGTATAGGTATGCATAGGAGTATTTCGGTATTGGGGATTGAGAATAGCCATCGAGAAAATAGTGTTGATGCAACGACACCGGTAACATAAGAAGCGATTCCACTAATTTGTTAATCATGAGTAACGCTGATCGACCAGGATCTTTGATGAAAACGTATAGGAATGCATTATGTATAAGAAATGGATATATTGAACTTACACTCGGCTGACTGGGTCGTTTGATTTGAATGTGTTCAGAGCAGCCAGACCAAGAAGCAGTATAGACCAAATAGAGAGCCTACTAAAATTAGTTGAATTCCTCTTTAACCAAATCAAAAGAGAAGCACACAATGCTAATTCCATAACTTGCCGTGTTTTCCCTTCGAACGCTGCTAAGCTTATGATGATGCAAATCATACTTATAAGCACCATTAAGAAGTAAATACAAAGATTTACTTGAAACATTTTTGGAAAGATCGGTGGGTTTTAATCATATTAAGAATGAATAGAGAAATTTTAAGGATGGCAGTTACTTACAGAGTAGATTTATGGATACTAGGTGTTTAAGTACTTTTATATAAACGTTCCGGGGAAAAAAAGAAGCTGTATTGATGTAATTTTTGTACGACGAACAACGGATGTCGACGTAGAGCAGCGGCTACTCGAATGCATTTTCCGAATTATATGTACCTAGGTATTGAAGCTTCGGTACTTACAAGAGCTGAAACACTTGTACCAGCATGCTCAAATACCCGCTAAATATGCGGTTGGAATAATTCCTAGGTACTCTTTGGGAGCCCAAAGCTGGTACCATAGGTCATGAGATGGGTAGGAGTGAATGTTTGAAATAGGAGGAAAAGCAGACCCCGAAGTCCAAGGATTTAGCACAAACCAATGATACCCTCATACAGTCCCTGAGAAGTTCGACTGCCCCAATTTAAACCTTGACAGGGTTTTGATTTGGGCTGTGCACGATAGACTTCTCACCTACTATGTAGGCTGTGCACGACAGACTTGGTCTATGCACGATTGCCTAGCCTATCTGAACCAGACTCCCGGCAGAGAGGGGGATAGCTTATTAACCCATAAAGACCTTCCAGGTTTGTTTAGACGCTTCATACATATTTGAACTCTTAACATGCCAAGCCTTTCTGGCAGCTACAATCTAAAGATTAAATCTTGCAATATATAAATGCGTTTAATTAATGTAATTTTTTCAGATTATTAATTTTTTAGTATAATTTATAAAGAAAATTTTTTAAAATAAAAACCAGTTAATGATAAGAAATAATTAAGTTAAAATAAAGAGCATTTAAATTTTACAGCTAGTTAATAAGTGTTAAGCTTAATATATATTAACATTTTAGAGGTGGGGCGTCCGCACTAACCTGGAAAGGCACTGTTAACTTATAAATTATACCGCTTTTTTTCGACAATTCGACCTCTCGGCGGAACCAGGGTTCATTTGACAACACAAGTGCTCAATTTCCACTTTTTTACCGTGAAATTTTTTCTATCCGATAACCGCTTAATGCAATTTTTTTTATTATTCTAAAATTTCCTATCGCACTATTTTTAATATTAGAACTAATAGAGCTTTACTTTTAAGCTAATATAATTAGTAAATCGCACATTAAAGTGGGCTTACCGAGAGGTCGAATTGTCGAAAGAAGGCGGTATGTTACTGTGAAAAAGTGGTCCAAGCGCCGACCAGCTAAGCCAGGGTCACCTGACCACTGATTTATTTAATAATATAAGTACCTATTCATATCATGTCCCAGTAAGGATCAGGTAACCTGACCTGACGAAGCAAGACAATCTCTCAGCTTAAATCAATTGAACAACACTCATAAAAAGGATTATAAAATAGGAAAAATGTAATTCGAAAGCCCTGAAAAAGACGAATTTAATAAATCAGGTTGCATTGTTTCAGGACGTTTTGTTGTTGATATATCAGTCGATGGATTACGAACAGTTAATACGGTTGCTTAAACATTTTTAGGGGAAATCCCTGGACCAGTTCGATTCAACGATCGGTTGAAAGATCAGTTTAACAGTCAATTGAATAATCGGTTCAACAGTCAGTCCCTAAATCAGTTCAACAGCTAGCTCGGCAGTCAGTTGAATAGTCAGTTCAAAAGTAGTTCAAACAGCAGTTCAATTCGAGGTTGAATCAGAAGATTAGTAATCAAGCCTGAAAGAGATGCACCAATCAGGTATTGATTGCTTACCTAGGTAGTCATCCTGACCTGATCTCCTTTCCCAGGTTTCTGTCTTATACTTAAATCTTTTATTTTTACTCCTTAGCTTTAGATACCAATTAGAAGCTGAGAGCTGAGTCTTCTTTCTAGGTATTCATTCGATCGGGTCCTGACACTTGCACATGTTCTTCTTAATTAGGTTAAAGCCCAGGCAGTACTTGAAAATTCTGAGACCCTTGTATCGGCGTGGGAACACACATTAAGATAATTGGTGAAAAAATTCTCTGTACTTTCTGTAAGTTCAAAGCTGGTACCGCGCTAAATGACTCGTTGGTCGATATGGCCAGAATGAAACGAATCCCTAAGAACATGAGATATCGTAGCTGCAAAGATGATGGCGAGTAATTGGGGCCAGGATTATATACTTATATCTTAGTACGCACCTAACAGTTAGAACACCACTTGCCGCTTTCCCAGATCGTACTTGTCCCCATTTCTAAGGAAGTAGAAAATAGACGAGCTATCCGGAAGATGCTTCAGCTCACTCCCCTCCCTCGACCAAAACCCGCCATCGTAAATAATCACATACGTGCCGCGGTACACCTCCGCATCGTTCTTCGACACAATGAGAGCAGTGTTCTCATCGATAGCAATACCCAATAGCTCCGGCTGTACCTTAAGAATATCGAACATATCGAACTGGCGACCACGCACAAGCACATGCTGATCAATAGCCGCGTTCTTCAGAAACCCAAACCCAACCGTATGATCCCCCACTAAGATCTGATTCGTAGCTGTGTCTCCTCGCGCCAAGAAACTCCCCTGGATCGAAGCCCCGGCAGAACTTCCGCTCACAACTCCCCCGCGACTAAGCACATCGTGGAATAACTGCTCGGTAAGGGTCCCCGCATACGCGTCAACGAGACGCCACTGCCTCCCTCCCCCGAAAAACACACCCTTCGCCGTGCGCAGCGGCGCTGCGAACTCCTCCGTGTCGGCGACCTTCGGGTCGTATGTGTGCAGTACCGTGACGTTCTATTACTGGATTAGCCTCATTCCCCCTTTTCTTCTATCACTAGACAGATAGACAGGTAAGTGGTTTGAAATACCGTAGCGCCGAGCCGGCGGAAGGTGCTCGCGGACGCGGCGTTGTCGTCGTAGGTCGGCGCCCCGTCCGCGGTCGGGATCGTTATTATGGGCGCATCTGGACCTCCCGCTAGGTCGATGATCCGCTGGTATATGGCGTCGTCCTGGGCATTGCCCCCGATTATCACGAGCGTTCCGTTTTCCGGCCCCACGTACGGCGAGTCCTGGCGCGGGAGGGTGGGGCGGGCCGCTAGGACGAGGGAGGCTTGGGCGAGGAGGGCCAGGGTGCTGGTTTGGAGGAGGCTTTTCATTGTTTCTAGCTATTTTGGGATGAGGGTGGATAAGTACCTAGGTTAGGATGTGAGATACTGGTTGTTAAAGCTGGTGTTTTATATTCGTTTATCTTGAACGTTATACAATCGGGTGTAAAAGAAAGATCCGATTGCTTCCCCGCTCCCAAGAATTGGCTTCGCGGAACCTTCCTATTCCATCGTGTTTTTGACCCCGGCAGCCAACCGGATTGCTTCGTTTGATGTCGTGCAATTGCGAGTGTATATCGCCATCTATGGCGTATATATCGAAATATATGACTATTTGGTAAGTTTTAGAGATATCGTAAAGAAATATTAATAAAGGTAGATGCTCGATGTGGAAAGGGGAAGAGACAATTCTTTGTGTAGATCTAGTTTCAGGGGTAATTAATTGTATGCTATTCTAAGATCATCAATTTTTAATTGAACTAAGCGCAAAAGCCTCTTATCGCTTAGCTTTAATCTTCAGTCGATATGATACTAGGTGGAGAGGAAACAGATGCCAATCAAATGAGAGTGCACTTACCTGCTTGGGTGAGAAGAAAGTGCGAATGACTGTGAAGGTCCATTATAACGAACGTTCCTGCCGTTTATTCCTCGATAGGTACTCTTATCTAACATCCCAACTCTAAGGACAAATTAAAATCCCTCTCAATTCTTATAACCTACCTTTGTTATCATCCGCTTCGATCATAGGTTGTGTGTGTTACGCCAACCTTCGCGCTCATTAAGTTGACCTTAAGTCCGCGCCACCTAGGTGCTTTATTACTTATGTTATTTGTTAGTTCGTTAGACACTTCAAGCTTTCCCAACGGCGACCATGGCGATCCCGATCTTTTCTTGGATCAAGTATGCTGTGGAGAAGATATCGAGATATTTCTACACAGAACCAAAACAGGAGACAGAGCCGGGGGTAACCCGAGAATCGGAGGTGGATCTCGAACCCGAGACTTCACCACGACTTATAGATGATCCTCCGTTGTTCCCTCTTTTCTCAGCATTACCTGTAGAACTCCAACTGATGATTTGGGAGGCTGCGTCGGAACTCCATGAAGCAGGAATATGCATTCCTACAGTCAATCCAGAGTATCGTGGCCTTTCTCTGGGCGTATGGCTTGGGTTGGGTTTTGACATACGCAGAGCTTCTGAACACCAAGAGTGGCTGAACGATATAGTAGGCCCTCTCGTGGTAAACTGCAAGCTACCTCCTATTTTCCACGTATGCAAACAATCTCGAGATATCGCCCGCAGAAACATTGATCATCATGAAGACGATATCGGGGCATGTTACGGCGCATTTCGAATATACGATCCGGAGAAGGACATTTTTTTCGTAACTTATGACTTTTTTGAGGCCTTTCGCGTCTTCTTCTTCTGGGACGTGAGCAGAGAGATCAAACATATCGGAATCGAACCCCCAACGAGTCGTTCGACCTGGCTCTATTATTTTTTGTCATGCTGGAACCATTCCGTCGCTCGATGCAAAACCCCGAAGGTCACAATCATATATATGGATCGTTTCGACTTCGGCGACGAGGTTTTAAGACCGGTATTTCGAGTCCGAAAATTGTTTACCACCGGAAAGGAGATCATGGCATGCTTGCTTCGAGGTTGGTACTTGGATTACGCAGGCAGCAATGATCAAGCGTCGGTCCTATCACAAGATATGGTAGTAATCAAAGATCCGTTTGAGGTCACATTTGGGATGTTGATGCAAACTGGAAGCGAGCCCCTACCGATTAAGATGGATTAAGATGGTTATAATTTGATTTCATGATAGCGTTGACATGGTTGCGAATAGGAATATTTTTGAGGGGACCTAGCGAATATTGAGCCGCTGATTAGCTTGGGATTCAAAAGCGTTGGAAAGCGTTAGGATAGGCTTTGTTAGGTATGGTTATTGTAACCCCACGACAGTTAACGTTACGGCTTACCTTACCCAAAGTCAGATGGAATGGTGATACGTCGTAGGATGTAAGGGTTGGCCATCTTCCAAGGTTACGACTTACAACCCTGTCGCACACTGCAGATAACTCGTGGCTATCTTCCGTATCTTCTCCCTCGGACCCCTGATTTCCCCTCCTTTAACTTAGACGCTACCGACCTATGAGGCGACGCATTCTCCCGGATCAGCCTGCAATTCCAGGTTCTTGGCCCCCGTCCCGGATAACAAAGACTCGCCCCATTTCAATTCGAGCAGCTCGATCGCAATCGGCAATCTGGGGGTGGTGCGGGCAGGGGTGCATTGTGTGTGTGTATGCGGTGAATTGATAAGAAAGAGGGAGGGCGACAGATTAAATAAATAAATATGGCCACGCGATCCCACCACTACGGTACTTTCGCTAATGCCACCGCCGAGGACGACGCCAGCCCTACCTGTGTAACGGACGACGACGGAATTGGAACTGGAATTGGAAGCGCGGCAATGGCTAGGCAAAGCGAAGAGCCGTCGAAAACTGGCGATGAGAGTGTCGCGCTCGCGGCGGCCATTCAGCATGAGCACGAGCTGTCGTTTTGGCAGGCCGCGCAATTGTACCCGAAGGCTGTCGGATGGTCAGCATACGTCTCGATTGGGGTTATCATGTTGGCTTTCGATCCACAGATTATTGGGAACATGTTCGCGATGCCGCAGTTTCAAAAGGATTTTGGGTATGAACTTGATGGCGAGGTGTGTCTTATCTTTAGGCCCCTGGGTCACGGCCCTGGGGGAAATTAAATTGGTGAGGGGAAACTAACGCCACGATCTTATCTTTTTACAGTATGTTATCACGGCGGCGTGGCAGACCGGCTTATCGCTGGGGAACCCAATCGGACAGGTCGTCGGCGCTTTGTTCTCTGCGTACCCGCTCGAGCTGTTCGGTCGCAAGTGGACTTTTTTCGGGTGCATCTTGTTGACTGCGTGTCTCGTCTTCATCCAATTCTTCGCGCGCTCGCTCCAGGTTCTACTTGTGGGCGAGCTGATCGGGGGTTTGGTCCTTGGATGTTTCGTTGTTATCGGTCCTACGTATGCATCTGAGGTGTGCCCTATGGCGCTGCGTGGGTATTTGACAAGTTACACCAACCTGTGCTTCGTCACCGGGCAGCTTCTTGGCAATGGTGTTACTGCCGGGACCTCGCAGCTTGAGAATCATTGGGCGTACAGTATCCCGTTCGCGCTGCAGTGGTTCTGGGTCGTCATTATAATTCCAGGTGTATTCTTCATCCCGGAATCGCCTTGGTGGTTAGTGCGTAAAGGGAGAATGGAGGATGCGAAAGACGCTTTGCGCCGACTGTCGTCTTCCGATGTTGATGTTGATGCGATGTTGGCTGTTATAGCGGAGACGGATAGGCTTGAGTTGGAGATGGAGGCAGGGAGCACTTATCTAGATACAATTAGGGGCGTCAATCTGCGACGGACTGAGATCTCGACCGGCGTGTATACCACTCAGGTTTTAAGTGGTATATATCTCATCAACTACGGAACTTACTTTTTCGAACAGGCGGGATTGCCGACGAAGAGCGCATTTAACATGGGCATTGGATTTTTGGGTGAGTTGTGACTACAGCGTTGCCCCGAATAGTGGGATATTATCTGGTGATACAGATCAACTAACCCTGTGTAATTCTTAGCTGTGGGCTGGGTCTGCACTGTTCTGTCGTGGTTCCTAATTGCCCGTTTTGGCCGCAGACGCATATTCAACGTTGGCCTATCAGTTCTTATCCTCATGATGTTCATAATCGGCATTCTAGACAGCATCCCCGGCCGGCCTTCAGGTGTCGCCTGGGCCGAGAGCTCGCTGATGCTGGTATGGAACGGCGCATACGATCTTTCCGTCGGCCCTATAACTTTCGTGATTCTAGGAGAATGCTCCGCGACGCGCGTCCGTTCTAAAACGATCGCCGTAGCGACAGCAGTGCAAGCTGTTTTTGGAATCGGAATGACGGTCGCCATTCCGTACATGATTAATCCGGCCGAGGCAAATATGCAGGGCAAGTTGGGATACTTCTATGGCGGGCTGGGTGTCATATGCCTTATTTGGGCGTATTTTAGAATCCCGGAGACCATGGGTAGGACGTATGAAGAGCTGGATTTACTGTTCGATAGGAAGGTCCCCGCGAGGCAGTTTAAGGGGTACCAGGTGGACATTGCTGCTGTTTCGGCTGAGTCCTAAGTTAACTTCTACGTAGAGGTGCTAGCCATGGAAAATTAGTGATGTAGGGGTCTCACTGGAGTAATATTTCTGCCCACTACACCACGCTGTACGTGCTAAACCAACTCTGCAGGTACCTAATGCAAGCCAACCTGGAAGCCTCAGTATTCCTAGGTAGGTACCTGCAGTGTATTTAGGTATATTTTCCGCGCGACGTGACTCCTATGTGGGAGACAAGCTCAAGGCAAGTTCCATAGAATCTAGCAGTACCTTTGAAATTGGAAATGCGAAGAACTAATTACGCGACATATCTGACAGTATCAAAATACAGTACTTTTTCGACTGGCGAATGGAAGGTTCTATCCGAGAAGTTGGTAATTTTGTGGTGTTCTTAGATCCATATCGCGAGACTTCGCGTTTTCCAGTTTCGTAGGAAATCCGACCGCTTCCTAAATAGAATTGCGAGAACTCGCAATTCTCGACGCTATGGTTGAGCCAACTCATCTTCTTCAAATAAATATCTGGGATTCCACTTCCAGCTTCCATCTTTCATCTTTCATATTTACTTTCACATATAAGACAAGAATGCAATTAGATTTGTCCTACTTATCCTTTCTTCTTTTAATATTGATTGCTTGATATAATACATAGTTATTCCTCATCGACGCCATCCCTCCATACTACCCTAGCACATTGCCACAGCTGACAACTGGCCACTAAAATCCCTTACAATGGACCCAAGTTCAGATCAAGCCGCTGCGTATGAGTCTGGACCAGAGTGCTCGAACCACGATTACTCTACCGAATCAAATCCATCTCTCTATCATCTCGATAGATCCCTCGAATACGGTGAAAGCTCAGTTTCAGAGCGGTTAGCCACAGGTTTATATGGTGCCCATAGTGGCCATAGGGAACAAGTCGCGTTGAAACTTCAAGAATGGAACCAAAATTGGAACCAACTCCAAGAACAAAGCTCGTCTACTACTGATAAGCCTGACCAACAACACAGAATCCAGATTGGTGTTGACCCTGCAGTTAATTCTAGGGGTACAACTCGAGTCCGATATACAGAGGCCGAATTTGCCAGTTGTATTAGCAAATGGACTATTGATTGGCTTAAGCGATGGGCGGCGTCCGCGCCATTAGTAGACGGATCTTCAGGGGATGCCAGAACTTCCGGGTCAGCCAATGCGCCAGATGCAGGAGTCCCGACTGGGAAACCACAGAAATCCAATGCAGCGGGTAAGCGCCACAGGAAGCCGGGAGACGATGACGAGGATGGCAGCAATAAACAACCTAAAAAAGTCAACACGGGCTCATCTCCAACGAGTAAACCCAAGATTTTAGCATGTCCATTCCTCAAGCATAATCCGCAAAATTATGCACATAAAAAAAGGTGCAAGGGGTGCTGGTCGGAAACGAGAAGACTCAAATCGTAAGAAACATCTTAACCCAGAGCCCTGCGCCTATCAAAGACGGTTCTAATTCCTCTAGGGACCATATCTACAAACACCATGAAGTGCCCGGGATCCAATGCCAGCGTTGCGGTGATGTAATCGACCATTCTAACAACTCCGACCATATTTCTTGTGAGAAACAGGAATTTATACCTAGAGAGGGTGCCGATTCTTCCATGATGCAAGCACTACGTTCTAAGTCGACTGCGCGTGAAGGGTCTGAAGAAGACAAGTGGCACGCGATATATGAAATCCTGTTTGGTGTTCCGCGTGAGCTCCAGCCTAGTCCATGTAAGTAGTGCCTAAGCATTCCAGCTTACCCCCAAATCTAATTAGGAGTCAGATACGGACGAATACCTGCATACTCAAGCGCAAGCGCAAGCGCTGGTAAACTTCCTTGAACACCGTATCGGCCCTACTGTAAGAAGATTGTTAAGGGAACGAAACGTTGCCCAAGACTGGGAAGAAGATTTCTCTAGGGATATGACGAATGAAATAATCGGATTGATCAACAGTCATTCACAGTCACTTGGCCCCTCAACCGTCCCAAACCACGACCACGACTCTTCACCAAACAGCAGTAGCGAAACAAGAGGTGAAATGTCAAGCTCTCGTACAAACCACACAGCCCAGTCTCACACAGAAGACGGTAATTCTACCGAGTTTGGTGGTAACGCGACTTCAGGGGGGCTCTTTGGTGATGAATATGGTGTCTGGGGTGTTGGCGGGCAGGATGGTTTTGAAAATGACCTGATGTCTGGTATGAATGCTTATCTTGCTTCTCTAGGCGACTAGAGTGTATACGACACCACCTGGAACTGATGGCTTTCGCTTACTGGACTCAGGGCGGCTTCCGTACATGGCTTTAAGAAATGGATTGATCGGGATTTCATTGCATATGTGTCGAGATAACGAGAGTATGCGTTTGGGTGTGATTATGAGTTATGAAGAATATGAGATGAAACCCTATGTTCTTATTATATATAATTAAGTATATATATCATAGGTAGCCGATCACTAATACCTAGTTGTTGAATTAGAGAGAGCCAAGTACCTCAATTGTGCACGAAATAGAGGGCTAGAGTACCCTTTTAGCGAGCCGATTCTTCAAATTTTGGCGAGACCACAATATATGAAATAGTAACCCGAGCCCTTCTCCACACCGCGGATTACCGGTGGCTATAAATAAATTATGCGGAAGATCGAGATTTATTTCTACGTAGTACGATCCGTGAACCAAATTTTGAAATGGAGTGAATCAATGTGGATAAGACAAGCCTTGTAGGAGCTGTCAAGGCACTAAAGCAATGCTGAAAAAAATGAATATAGGGACCCCTAGGGCTGACAATTAACTCGTCAGGGCCAGATCCCCTGAATGTTGTGATACACCAACTGCCGGGTGCATTCCACGGCTCATTCCTAGGTAGTGACACTTGTGCTGTTTCCTTTCCTTGGAGGTTTATGGGACCAAATAAATTCCATACGGATTACCCAATTTGTATAGCTGCAGCCAATTTACAAAGCTTCCCGATGTAATGGTATGACTTGTAGTCGAAGATGTCAATTAACTTCTGCTGTTTCTCCAGTGGTGGGGTACCAGGCACAAATCCCCGACGCCGTCCCATAGTGACCGAATTGTGGTTGTTCTAGAAGTTTAGGTGCCTAATAAGCCATGTGCTGTCTTCTATCAACGACTTAAATATTTGTATATGCGTATATGTGTGTGCCTTCCTACATATATGTGTCTGCACGTAGCTTCCAGGTCATTTGTCGCTTCCAATATCCATATTATTGGTAGTGGATTGCACCTGCATGAATTGCCCTAGACTTGGGGTTTACGTTGCAATAGGCTTTAAGTCTTTAGCGGGGCTTAGCGGTCGTAGGATGTTCCGTAATTTAGCCCGTGATCATCTGAAGGGGCTTTTGGAGAACCCCGTGCCCAAGGAATCAGGGGTAAGAGTACGCTAATCTTCCCCGTACATTGGCAAACTAAAATCACCAATTGGGGCGGATATTATTTCTTACTCCTCCATCCTACAATTCTCAACTCTATCCTCAAGAGCTTCACATCTTACTTGAATTCACAGCAGTATTCACTAGGCAGTAGACTTACGCCTTGTCAATTCTGCCACTAGAATGCATAATGATGTTAATATTTTACATATTTCCAAGAATTTTCTTCATCGGGATCACGATAAAAAGAAGAAAAAAACTGGACCGACACTCCACATCGTGACAGCTCACACAGCCCCCCTAATTCTTGGCGATGAATCCCCTAAAATGACGTCCTAGCAAGCTTCTTACCGGTAGCCAATGGTTATATAATTCGACCATGGTAAACGAACCCTCATTAGATCGGTGAATAAATTTATCTTGCTTTCACTCACTTTTTTTTCTACTTACCTTGGCATTTTTGAGAATTCAATTGACATGAATTACACACTGTACACGTGTGATTGTGGAGAACGATGATGAATATGGATTATAACCTCGACGAGCTAGATGTCGCCCTTAGCGAGGCCCGGCACCAGGCAGCAGCTGTCTCCGGTCCTCCCACCCGGAACGAGAGCCGCCGCACGGGAGCTAGCAGCACCCGTCGCGGTAGTCTAATCCCCGGAAAGGGTGCAATCTCGTCGGCTTCAATAAACCAAGGGACAAAGCAACAGCCACAGCATCGGCTCGACGAGTTGAACCTCTTCAATTTCGATCTACGCGAACTCGTGAGTTACATGTTTCTGCCTATAGACGGCCAGAGCCGAGTCTCTTACCACGAGTACGCCGTCTTCGCGCCAAGCGAATCCAATGGCGAGACCCACTCCCCGAGTATCATGTCCGATGGAGAGGAAGGTTTACAAATGTTTCGGAGTGCGATTAAGGACGGACATGGCTTGGATAATGAGGTGAGACATACGAAAGTTCTCGAATAGAAATCGGGACTCGGATTGACTTGGATTTACCCGTAGGGAAATTTCACCCCTATGCCAAAAGGGAAGCACTTGCTTCGGGGACGGATGCGGCAAGTGTGAGTCCTTCACATTTCTTCATTTATCTTACTTTTAATATCTATAATGCTGCCTAAACCCTGATATTACCCCAAGAACAGATACTAAAACGAGGATATAACAGAATTGCCCATCGACGTATTCGTCAAGAATCAGAATGCCCCAGCATGCATTGCGCTGATGGGTTGCACCTAACAGTAGATGATTACGAGTCTCTGGGTCTACACTCGGGAACTCTGCCCACTTTACAGCGAGTAACTCTTGAGTCTTCATTCTGGGATTCAAGAAAAGAGACAGTATGTGAGTAATTCAAAGCATCAAATTGGTGACTAAGCAAGGTAGCATATCTTGCTAAGTTCCTCTCTTGTTTCCTGTAATTTGTTTTACTAGCCTTACTAACAACTCTCGAGACCTGATTCTAAGCTTTTCTTCTAGTCCACAGCCGCCATATGACTTCCTATCAATGGCTTATAAGCTTAAAACAAGGACGGGAACCGCTCTGATACGGCGGTCATTTGATACACGCTGGCACGCCGATGATGCGCTAGACGAATATGAACGTCGCCTAGACTCTTGCAGGGCCCGATGGTCTCACCCTCTTGTGCTACCAGTTGTACTACTTCAGGTACAGCTATTTCGTACTGAAGAAGCAGTACAGGCCAATAATGCAGAGGTGTTGGAGCTTGAGGCTCACGTTGATGCAGTTACTGGTACTACGGGACGGGCTAATGCGGAAGCCTGGTGGAGGAACCATCAGCCACATAGTACTAAGCACCACCCCTTTAAGCCTATTAAGCGCTGGAGTTCGGGCCTGAAAGATATGGTGGAGGAGAAGGTCAGGGGTGGGCGGCGTAGCCACGATGTCTCGAGCCCTGCAGCACCCTCGCCTCATCCAGAAGTTGATGCCTATTTCGACCCCGAATATGTACCGCCACAGACAATTCATCTTATGAAGGAAGCTCACGACGTTCTCAAAGGGGCTATTCAATTGCTTGACACATTGCGATGGATGGAGCGTGCATTGAAGCTCATAATTCAAGCTGGCGATGAGCTAGACGTTCGTGTAAACGAGTTAAAAGCTCAAGCGGTAGCAAGAGGGCAAATGAAAGAAGACGAGGATGACGAGCTTACGGTCCACTGGCATGAGATTAGACAGTACCTAGATTGCACGTGGCGACTCTGTACCTCTCTCGAAACCGATCGGCGTATGTCGGAGCTGAGGTGTCGGGCACAGATCGATATCATCTACTCAAAGATGGCACAAGAGGATAACAATCTCAACGCGCGCATGGCTGTAGCATCAACGCGTGATAGTTCTTCGATGAAAGCGCTAGCTGTTATTACCGCCATATTTCTACCAGGCGAATATATCGGAACGCTTTTTGGCGTCTCCATGTTCGACTGGGAGAAGGGGACCGCAGGCGATCCAGCAATTTCAAACGACGCTCCTGAAGGTTGGCCACGTCCCGTAGTCATGCCATCATTCTGGATCTACTGGGCATTTACCATCCCGTTGACTTTGTTAATAGTGTTCGGTTGGCGCGCTTGGTGGGTTAACCAAGACCGTTTTTTCCGTCGCCACCTAAGCGTCGACCTCAGCAACGAACGCTACTGGACTACTGACGGCCGCCCCCGGGATCTCGAAACTACTTTTATGCAAGACTTCTTTAGCGGTCTTCTTAGCCGCAGCGGCGCTGGAACTACTAGCAACAGCACGATCCTTGGAAAGACACCACGGCCTAGGTCTAGGAATGGGCCAAGCCCTAGTGTGGATATCTCCAGATCGCAGATCCGAACACCTATTTCCCGGCCTGGATCTAGCATTGGATTGCCCAGGCAAGGGTCCGGGTTGGGACCGATATATGCCAATGGGGGCAAGGATAGGGATCTCACGACCGATTCGGAACGCGAGGGTGATGGCACGGATAGGATGCGGTTCAGGCAGATCTCGTTTGCTAGGGGACCGCTAATACGGAGGGAAGGGATATATGCTGTCTAAGCATTGGTGATGGAAGAAATGTGTAACGTGAAGCCGATTTCATTAAACCCCTTACGGTACCCACTCTACAATCACCTTTTTCGACACTAAACAAATAGAAATATAGAAAAGATACAATAATGATCAATGATATCTAAAAATTATTGGTTAATAGGTACTCTTAACTAGAACACAGATCCAGAAACCCCTTTTTGGAGTTTCTCCAAGCGTTCCTGGGTTATCTCAAAACACTCCGGAAGCCCGGTATCCGCCCAGGACCCCCCGAGGATGAGCTTCGCGACTCCGGGCGCACACGTGAATATCCTCGCCATACCTAAGCAAACCCGCGTTAGCAATTTCAGCACAACCAAAATTCCTCTCTTTCAAAAGAAATACGGGAAACTCTTACCATGCCCATTAAACCCAGCACACACCCACTGTCCCTCCGCCCCCTCCACCCTTCCCACAAACGGCACCGAGTCCGTCGTCATCCCCACGATCCCAGTCCACGTATGCAGCAGTCCCTCCCCGTGTCTCAACCTGCCCTTCTCCGCCTCCTCAAACGTCGTCTCAAAATTCTCCACACAATCCTTCCGCACCTCCTCATTGTACACCCCGTCGTTCGTCGTCAGCCGCGCTAACGCGGCGTCAGGGCTTAGTTTCGGATTCGCGATCGGCGCGCCCAGGATTATGATCCCGTCCGGTCGTCGCTGGGCCACGGAGTAGAAGTGCTTGAGAGTGTGTCGGAGGGACATTGTGCTGGGCAGGATGTTGGCGGCGCTGAGGGAGGGGGGAGGCACGAAGGCGTGGGCTTGCGCGCGGTTGGGGGTTATGAAGGTTGTGAGTTGCGGGAGGAGATACGGGGCGAAGGCGTTGGTGCAGTGGATTACCGTTGTGGCTTTTGTTGTGCCGCGGGGCGTGGAGATCTCCCAGACTACGCTGTCGGCGGGTGAGGTCCCGGATTTGGTTACGGAGAGCGCGGGACAGTGCGTGTATAGCTTGACGCCTTGGGCTATGCACTGCGTGAGCAGCCATTGTGCTAGCTTCGCCGGGTGGCTTGATCCGGCGGGCCATTCGTACGCCGCGACGGCTTGGGAGACCCGGGTTACTCGCCGCGCTTCCTCGCCGGAGTAGAATTTGATGTGCGATACGTCGCCGCCCGCGTCTTGGTACTGTTTGAAGCTTCGCGCGTTGAAGTCGGCGAACTCCGATGTCATGCATACGTCGAAGGTCGTTGTTGGGTTGAAGTCGCACTGCACGTTGTGCTTCTCCGTGAACTCCTTTACCCGCTCGAAGACGAGCTTTTCGTTGGCGATTATCTTTAGTGCTTGTTCTTTTCCGTGCAGTTGTTTGTATACTTGGAAGCCGCGGAAGGCGTCTATGTTTGGTTTAGTTATGAGTCGTTGGCTAGATGCTTGAGTTTAGGGGGCAGTAAAAGCTGACCCGGTCTCACGTGTCCCGCATTCCTTGAGCTCGCTCCGCTGGCTGCTTCTCTTGCCTCAAGGATGATTATATCCGAAGCCGAGACACCTCCCTGGATCAACTCGTAAGTGGTTAAGCCGCCGGAGATACCGGAGCCGATGATGACATATTTTGACTCTGTCGGGACCGGCTCGTCTTTGTTAACGTTCAGATATGGGAAAGATCGTGTGGTTTGCTGCCAAAATGATACGCAAGGGTTCGGTACCGGCAGACCGGGATCCTGCCGGGGTTCTAGATTGTCCGCCATGGGTGATAATTACGAAGTCTTGCAGCAAAGGTATGATCAATTACTAGAAAAGTCTAGCTACCTACAAAGCGATATTGAAAACACTCCTAAATAGTTAAATAGAGGAAGTATATACTTCCTTGAGACTACTCTTTCACGGTTTTATGCGATATTCCTGCGGGGTCGCCTAACGACTATATCTATAGGCGGGCCAAGCCGACAATTAGCGGTTCATAGTTGATAGGTTCGCGCAGTAGCATTATGGGGTCATCCTATTGCGATTTTAGTTTGCCTGCTATCTGTAGGAGATATCCGCCAAGACTAGAATTCGAATGGTTGATATTATGATATATCTTTGAAACATATGATATTTGGTTACTGATGTCACATTAGGTAAGGCTCGAAATATTTTACCCTTTCATTGCTAACCCGCTCCTAGAGTCCGTATATGCTCGACTCCTATAGGCTACCCAGCAAACATCCTTCGAAACTGCATTTTCTAAGCATCCACCATGACATAAGTATCACTTTTAAGCTCATAACATCATGTATTTGGGTAAGAATATTTCCTGGGCACGTCTGATTCTTACCTACCGGTTATAATCCTGTAAGACCTAGTACTAGGTACGTATTCCCGACCACTCACATATTCGAATTTACGCCAAGTCATCCTAAATAGGATTCATCTTGAATTCCTAACCAACTTGGCGATATTATTTTTGGTGAAGCGAAGCGACAAGAGGTCATAATGCCGATAAAATGTCATAACTCGCTTGGAAATCCCTTCCCAGTCGATATAGGCAATTCCTTGCGAACTGGACTTTGACTTCGGATAACCGTTGGGGTTGTGTACCAGCTACTTATAAAGCCTTCGGACACAATAAATACTAGGTACATCAATATATATCTAGTTGAAGACGTCCCCCTGAAAGTGTCTCAGCTTACTCACCATTCCACGACCAAAAGAGAGTACGTGTTATAGAACACAGCGCACCACAAGTGATGTTTCATCCAATGTAACCGGAGCTGGTGGAATATTCATGTCTCAAGATTGGAGTCGTTCTATCCTAACTCGTCTACAATCTACCCAAACGCCCGCTCACTGGTATATCCCTACCCATAATCCAACTATCATGATTACCTAACTTCTGACATCTTATGACTCATTTAGATCATCTACCATATGTCCTCGCCTTTTTACTTACGTATGTCAAAGGCCTACTGAGCCACAAATCCGATGGGATTGGGACTCGACCCGTTGGGAGAGGTAGACCTGGCAGCTCGTCCTAATCCGGATATATACCGCGATCCCAGCCATCTAGGTCCAGAACTCCCCGCGCAAAAGCATCGTTCCGCATCAGGCGAAGTTGACAACTCACTCAAACACCCCTCATAAAGCCCCTCTTTCTAATGGGCGGCAACGTCCCCTTCTCCTTCGGGACATCCTTCTTCTGCCCCTCGGCCGCGGCGTCAAAGACACTATACGAGTCCGCATTCCTCTCGGCATTCCGCCTCTCGCGCTCCATCCGCCACCGCGTGAGGTAGCAGACGAACGGGAACAGCGTGATGTTCAGCGCCGCCCACGCGAACAGCACGCCGAAGTTCAGCCCGATCTCTGAGTGCAGGTCGAATAGGATCTGCCGACTCGCTTGCACGATGTGGTGAAGCGGCCACGCGTACCCCCATTTGAAGAAGCCTGGCGCGAGGTCGATCGAGTAGAACGCTGTTGAGACGTTGGTTATGACCCACTGTATACGAGTTAGCCGGCGAGTTCTTGGTTCTTGGAGTCTTTAAATTTCACGAGGTGGAAATTGTGGATGAGGTTTCAGGGGTGCACTTACGAAGATGAGCCAGGCTGCGGTCCATGGTTGTCCGATGATCATGGCCATGTTTTCGCAGGCTATTCCTAGCGCGTTCATGCCGACGAAATTCACCATCCAATACACGACAAATGAAGCACGTCCGTACGCCGAGGGGTTAAATGCGACATCGGTAGACGAGGCAGGCGGATGCCAGAACGGAATTTGGAATGCCAAAGATACCAGCGAGTACGCGAGCGAGACGAAAAAGTACGTCGTTATTGTCGCGGCCAGTCGCCACACAATCAGCTGCCAGAAGTGCAGCGGCGGGTGGTTACCCGGGGTAACGAATTTCTATAATTGGCGAAAGCGTCAGCGGATTTCCTATTTCTCACTTCCTATTTCTTAATTTCCGATTTTTCGCGATGGGAGTACCCCAAACCAACCAATCCGACCGGTCCGCTCGAAGAAAAGTCTTGGTGGTACAAAAAAGGGGTAAGGGGTAACTTGGCAAACTCACCATATGAATCGGCAAAAAGAACGCAAACGAGAAAAACGCCACGATAATAAGGTAAATCAACCCAATCGTAACCGACGGCGTCGCCGTCGCCGGTCCGAAAGGCCTCAAATCAATCGTGATCGGCGTGACTCCAGGGTTCACCGCCGCGGGCGCCTGGGCAATAACATCTCTGGATAACGACTCATTAGCCACGACGCTCTGGCTCCAGCTCGGGCCGAAGCTAGCCCTGAACTGGGTCTCGAGGATCTTGAGCTGCGGCTGGATGTAGCTGTTGTAGTTGGTCTCCTGGCGGGCGGACATGATAATGAACTGGACGGCGCCGGTGGGGTCGTACGAGGCGTTGCCGATTTCGACGGCTTGCTGCAGCAGCGCCGTGGCGTTCGGGTTGATGATCACGGCGGCCCAGAAGTCCCAGTCGTACACGGCCTGGCGCACGGCGATCGGGTCGCCGCCGTACGGGTCCGGCGACGCGATCGTCCACCCTACCGTGTGCTGCGTCGCCGCGTTGTCGATCATCTGCTGCACCGTTTTCGTCACCGCCGGCCCCACGATCGGCGTCACGTTGTTGTATGGTGCGACTTGTCCGTCGAAGTCGACGACGTGCACGCTTAGGTTCTTTATGTTTGTGCTGACGTGGAATAGGACTGCCCAGTATAACGATAATACGGCTATGATGAAGGTTGTGAGGGTTATTACTACAGGCATGTTGGTTAGTAAGCCTATCTTGCCGGATACTTGGCATCGTTAGACTAACGCGTCCGAGCCCATACGAATATGACCTCATTCCGGATCTTGGCCATCCTAGGATCCCAGAAGCCGGCGCTCTGGTGAGGCGCTTCATATCGACCATCTTCGCCGACATAGTCGTCATATTCGCGCTGCTCACTATTAATCGTACTATCGGACTGATGCATGATATCTAGCACATCGGCCGGCGGCATATCAGCGGCGGTCGAGGATCCACGACTATCGTCCTGGGCGGCAATGACGAGGTCTGAAGCGTCTGGAAGTTCGTTTCGCGGCATCCTTTTCTCATCTCTTGCCATCGTCCTCTTAAGGTGAAGAGAGAACATGCCCTGGACCGAGACGGTACAACGTTAGATGAAACTACTTAGTATATATTCGAGCCTAATCGGCGAAAGAGACCGGCAGAGCAAAAGACCCTGGCGAAAATCATCTTATATAAAAATATAAGCAGGCAAATGAAACATAAGTAAGCGGTAGCGTAGGGCTGGTATGTATGCGTATGCGATTATATCACATCGGTATCGGTCGGAGAACATTGCGGCTCGGCATACCCAACCGAGCCAAATCAAAATTGAACCCCCTCTGCCCCTCTTATTCTCACCCTGTCTCTCTCTTACTAGCAGGTTAAGAAAAAAATACAAAGATAATTTGTCATGCCGTCATAGAAACCCGAAATTAAGAGCTTACTCGATACGACTTACTGATCGCACGCCGCTTAGCCAGTTAAGTAGGCTAAAGAGCACCTAACTAACCGTACTAACCCTAAGTAACAGCTCGAGCGTAACCCCCCCGTCCGAGCGAACCGTTCTAATAGTGATGTCACCCCCGTGGAACCCCCGGCCGGATACGGCGGTCGACTCCGCGGCTTCCTTAGTTGTTATTAGTAACAGGGGGAAAGATCTAACGAAACATACAGTCGAGGTGCCTTCCTCGATTAGGAGACCGGAGGAGCTATCGGGGTTTAAAAAGGGGCTTATGTCCTTCGTCTTTAAGAACGACAGAATGATAACAGCCAACGTGGAGAGACGATAGAAGAAATCTTAAAAATCATCGAACGACGCCTAGCTGTCCATGGCCCTCTGTTTTTCATCTCTTTCTCTTCGGCGATAAGAAACGCCCAACAACCCAGCCAACAAAAAACCCAACCCTGACCACACGCACGCACGCACGCACGTACATGAGTACAGATCGTTTTTCTGCAAATGTCGGGCAAGCGGCTGTGTGCCCAGTGCCCACTGACGATCCCAGGGATTGGCAAGGGTAAGGTTGGTGGTGGCGGAACGTCCCAAAAACGCGAAGAGCGCGAAGGGCTCGTCGGACAAAAGCCTGGAGATAACCACTTTCCTACAACGTACTAAGACATTGGCATAGGCATCCCACATTGGCAGAATCCCACCTTGTCCCCTCCACCTCTCCCCCCCATCGATGTCTAAAAAATAGGAGCCAGGAAAAAAAATAAGCTGAGCTCAGCTAGTCTCGGCGAAAGGTTTTGTGGAATAAGGTGGAAATAAAGGAATCCGACTACGCGTATGTATCGCTGATGGGCGTCGTGGATTTTCCATTTGGTCTTAATTATTTTATTCCCATATTTTATCCTAATTTTTTTTAAAGAAAAATCTCATACCGAGAGAAAACCGCGCGGGCCAAGGAAGCACGGCATGTTCCTCAACGCCAAAAGGAACATACATATTCCCCGCTGACGTTATGTACCACCAGACGGCCTTTATTCGCGACACGCACGATACATAGGCAGCATATCCACATGTATTGGTGCTTGCAGAATTGCAGAGAGTGTTCGAGGCGTCGTCCCATGTAAGTCCACTCACGACTCCTACCGTCGGATGCGAAAGGCTGGATGGCAGGGTGGACACGAGTCCGTACGCTGTAGCCTAGCCTTTAGTAGAAGGTATGGCGGGCTCTCTTCCTTGATTAACATACCCGGACACACGCTGTAGCAAGGCTCGAGCAGCAGAGATAAGATGGGAAAAAAGCAAAAAGGAAATACATATTACAAGATCTATCTACCCAATGCCACGGCAACCCATGTAGTAAAGAATCCTAATACCAGACATGTCTGCATGTGTAAGTGTATGTACACGATACACAACATCAATCTGAAGCCGTGCCGCCAAAATAAAAATAAAGTATTTAGTAAAAAACGCAGCCTGCAGCAGTTCGAAGGTTCTTCCCGTCCTTTGTCAGCAGCCAGCAGATCCTCAGGCAGCCACGAGGTAGCACACCGTTGAGTCAGCAATCCCACGCGCCAATCAGCCCTCCGAACCGCCTTATACACATCTTATCATGAAGCACTGGCTCTTAATCCGCCGGCGCCTCAACTGGGAAGTGGGTTGTAATATTCGCAAGATAATATGAGAGGCCAAGACTTCGAGTCCAGGGCGAAGACCGAAACTTGCATGTGCATGATGAAATACCAGCCTAGCTCTTGCTGCAATGTCACCATATCAGTGATCGGAAATTATATATATCGACCTAGGCTACTAGATATACATAATACTACCGTGCCAGGCGTGCCGGATCCCAGCAATGTCATACGCAGTCGAGGCTTTAAAAAGGTGGGGAGGCGACCGGGACCGAAATCACGTCAACCACTGAGATTACTATTAAGATGAGGTTCGTTCACGCAGATAGGTTAGGTAGGCTAGTTAAATGGGTTTGGAGGCAAGATGATTTTGACAACGTTCTTCATTCGAAGGACGTCAGCTACCTATCTATATTATAACCGACACATGGCCAATCCGTATAATATCCAAATCCTTGTTTCTCGTAAGTAGCGCTCTTCCGGAGCGCTTCGTTAAACATCCTTCTGGTAAGTCTCGCGACGCTAGAATCCCACAAATGTATAAAAGAAAAATATTGTTTGCATGCAATGAATAAAGGTTTCATTTGAGCCATTCCTTTTTCGCCCCTAATGCAACCTTTCCCAACGCCAGGGTAGTCGAGACTAGTATACCACAAATAATTTAGACAAAAAGAATGCTATTGCTAGCACTATAAGTCGGTGGCGAGAAGACTTAATCTTGCAAAGACAGTCTCTAAGTTAGCTGCGAGACGCTCAACCCGTTTCGCGGCAATGCTGGCTGTGACATCTTCCTCCGATGAACCGACGACTTCAAGTAGAGCGAGCGTCTTCTCAGATTCGACACCACCGAAGATATCGACTGCAATAAGACTGTCGGTATCAAGCTCGGTAGGTTTCGATGGCGCAACTGTCGTGTCATCATCGTAGATGTCTCCATCAAGGTTGGCAACAGCACGCTCAGATACTTCCGGTTCGGCTGCGGCCTCTAAGGGCTCTGGCGCCTTGGTTGATGGCATAATGGGAGCCTCGAAAATAGGGGCATCCGTCTTCTCGGCATCCGATGCGAAACACTCTCCAACGAAGTTCGAAGTCTTGCCCGTGAGAGCCTCAGTGTCGATGACTGGCATCTCGGGTGTCTCTAGAACGGCGAAGACTTGAGGCTGGTAGTTGAAAGCATCAGAATTGATGTTCAACATGGAGAAGTCCATCGTTTGCTCGGGCATCATAACCATACCAATTTGTTGGTGCTGGTGGGTCTGCTGACCGGCAGTGTACGGGTTTACATCCTTAGGTACTTGACGAGGCTCGGGTTGCCTTTGCTCGGGTTGAGCTTGCTGTTGAGGAGCGGAGGGGTTGGAACTCAAATGATCTAGGAAATTGGAAAACGAAGGTGATGATAGTAACATGCGAGTAAGATCGGAAAGACGACGGTTCTCCTCCATCAACGCGCGGTTCTGAGCCCTCAGATCACCGTTCTCAGTAACCTTGTTTGCGATCTCGGACTCAAGTTGGGTGATATATTCTATCAAATAATTAGCAAATCAATATTAGAAATGTCGGGATTATTTACTTACCCTTTCTTCTTGAACGGAATGCGCGAGCAGATACTTTGTTGCGTAATTGACGTCTTTCTTTGCTGCTCAGCTTCTTGCCCTCTTCACTAGCCAGGAGTCTTTCGTCTTCATCCATATCATCCTCCTCCTTCTTAGTACGAGGAAGCTGCATAAGAGGTGAGTTTTCTCCGTCGCTGGGAGAAGCACCGGCCTTTGACCTCATCGAGTTAAGTAGCTGTGTGATCTTCTGTTCTACAATCGGGTCCGAGGGCATAGGCGCCTTTGCTCTATGTTGCTTAGCCTGGTTCTGTCTCTGCTGCTGCTGTTGTTGGATGAGGTGTTGTTGCTGCCTCTGCTGTGCCTGCGCCTTCGCTAGAGCAGCCTGTTGATGCATACCAGGATACATCCTTCCAACATTGCTCGTCTGGCTAGGGACAGTTGGCGATGTCATTTGAGACTCTCCTCCAATAGCGTTAGGGTTAACGGTCTGTTCCGGGAAGTAAAACGACGCATCGTTCTGAGACTCAAAATCCATATCCATCTCCGCGCTATTCATGTTCTGTGAAGGTGCCGAGTTGAAGTCAAACATCTCATCATTCGCATTCATCTCCGACGACATATAGTCCAGAGTATACCCAGGTACTTGGTTAGCATTCTGAATGGCAAGCGTGCTAGCGAGGGCACCCGGAACGAAGGGCGTCTGCTGTTTATACTGGTCGTATTGGTGACTAGGGCCAGATAAAGGCTGCGGTTGAGGCATCGTGGTTGGTGTGTTTACCATCGCTGACGCCCTCGCGAATTGTTGTTTGTTGGCGGTAGGGGAAGCTGAAGGAGATCGATATTGCATCGCTGCGTCATATTCAGAGAAATCGAGAAGATCTAAAGGATCGACACCACCTGGGCTCGTCGAAGACTGGCTTGAAGCCGACATGATGGTGCTAGAATAGGATCAGTCCGGGTAGGTAGTAAATGAACGGCCGCCTCCTGGAGCGAGTGTGGTTGAGGTTGTTGATGTTGTGGTTGTAGTTGTATCTGACTGTAAAGTATTGATAGTTGACAAATCGTATTCGATATAAACGATGGTTTCGATTCGTCGACGACTATCGATGTATTGATGATTGATGATTGTTGGTACAAAAATGGTTGTTTCGTTTGTTAAGGTAGAAAAGGCGAGAAATGGCAAGATTGGTAGGAAGCGCGGATCAGATGGGAATTTTGGATGTTAAAGGTGTTATGGTGGTTATGGGGGTTATGGGTACCTAGCAAGGTTAGGAGAAAAAAAGGACCAAATGGACTAAAATGATTAAAGCAACTGAGAGTGGGCAGTTCTGGCAGTTCTGGGAGTTCTGGGGGTAACTTCCTTGCGAGTCCCTGGGTGGCTTGGTTTGAACTTGGCCTTGTCGGGCAAGTTGACAGGGGTCGGACTGTCGATTAAAGAGGGGAGGGACGCGTAAGCCAGTGCGAAGGTCGTACCTTTCTCGGCCAATGGACCCCAGCTTCCTAAGACCGAAAGAGATCTCCCCCGATCCAATCAGACTCTAACATCCATCGCCTGTGGCACGGAGCCTATTCAAGTTCGAGTAGCAACGACCGGTAAGTGTAGTAGGATACATCGCACACATCGTACATCCCACATTGCACACACCAATACATCAGTACATACCTAGTACCTACTCACACTTTCCTTACACACGAAGACCACATAATAATACAATACAGACAGAACACAGTCAACCAATCTAGTAGCTATAGCATTTATTCTTATCCCATCCCGTAGCAGCTCCATGGTTATTATTTGTTACCAGTAACAATCTTGTCCTGCAGGAGAAACTCACCTGCGCTTCGAGGATGACGACGCCATTTCCCACTCGAGGGCTTATGTCCAATAGCCTCTTCTTATACTCAACAGCATGATAGGCATCTCTTTTCTGAAAGTGAATGATGACGATATCGAACACGACGAGTAGACTGGATAGTTGAGACGAGATGAATCCTTCGATGAAAACGGCAGCGTGATGCATGAAATATCATCGTCTCCAATCATGTACTCGTCCCGCAACAGTCAGGAGTAGCATACATGCATCAGGTTCAGAGTCCAGACGATTTGTTTAGGAGAGAAGCAGCCGGAGAGCATAACTAATGTTCCTAGTTTGGCATGCTAGGTAATACTAGGTAATTACATACCTAGATATGTCGCTAGTACTCCTGGTTTCGGGTTATTGACTCGACAGCTCCATACTCGGAACACGGATGGGGAAGTACAAGATACATGACTCATTTACAATAAGTGAACACACTACGGCCATGACGGCTACAGTTGTTCGACCGACGGAGAACATAGAACTCGCCGGAAGAATAGGGAACAGTTTGCTGAATCGGTCCCGTCGGCTCTGCGGCACCACGGCAATCCTATTCCTCCTTTAGGTGTCTTCCTTTGGGAACACAATCGCTTTTTTGTCCTCCAGCACTCGCGTGTTCGATGATTGGTAACGACCTCGATGTGATGACCCAGTCAGCCAATATGAGACGTTCGGATTGGTGTGCCAGAAGCAAGTCCCTAAACAAGCGACTCGCCCGACGTCCTAAAATGAATAAATCTGGCTTGATTAGGGACAAATTACAATACTAGCAAGCACAGCCACCACCATCATCTTGTTGTGAGGCACAGATCCACACATAATATTATGGCTGTCCATCCGTCCATTTGGCAATCTGGCAGAACAGCGTCAGAATAAATGGTGACAGTGTGGCCATGTATTAATATTACTGTAGCGCACTGTGACCTGATTTATCCCTCTGATTATTCGCCACAACACCAATATTTGAAGCTATTATCGTGAGGCCGGGCCAGATCATAAGTAATAATATCAATTAGATCTGTTGATTAGAAACTATCTAATAGGATCTTTAATATTATGAGACTTTTTCTGTTCATATCGAGCAGGTTTTCGATTTTCTACAATTAGTCTAAAGTGACGATGGGATCTAGTGTTGTGGCAACTTTGCTAATTGCCTAATCAGGAAGTATGAGGGATAAAAAGGGGGACAGTGTGTTACAGTAATATTAATACATGGCCACACTGTCACCATTTATTCTGACGCTGTTCTGTCTGGCAATCTGTCTAGTACCGTCGTTAATCTTCCCAAATCAATGCATCGCCAAGATGACGGATTCCTGAATAAAGTTAATAAACTCTCGTCTCGGAGTTAGTATTGGTCAGTGATCACAACCTCAACGCTCAGTCTCAGAGGAATGAAAAAATAAGCATATGTCGGTTGAACACAATAATAATACGGGGTTTATCGCACATGTAGTGTCCGAGATCCCATGTGCTCTGAGCTCTCCGGATTTTACCGTAGCAAAGAGCAAGATTCGCCCACGTTGAACAAGTACTGGTCTCAACCACGGGAAGTCGGTCGCACTAGAGCACCGACTCCATCAAAGCCTTTCATTTGTCGTTTATGCCATGTCGGTAGTTTCTCTCGCTCGAGGGTCCGTGGTAGTACCAACAAGTATCGACATACTAAGTCCATTTCTGGTTTAGTGAGCGAGGCTTAGATTTATTGAGCTGTGTTTTCTCAGCTTGACAGGGAATGTCGAAATGATTAAGTAATGCATAGACTGCATTACAAGACGAATTCACCCTGGCGCAGCAGACCTCGGAACCCCACACCACTTTCGAATCAATGTTATTCCAGAGACTATGCCTTCCCCAGCGTTTCAATGCCGCAAGAGTACCTATTGAAGATATTTGATGCCCACAAATTTCCCAAGACGGTACCGTTGGAGATTAACTTCGTTTTGACTTTCGGTATCTCCCGACGTGTGATGGGAAGACTGGAGCTCGGTGATAATGCCTGTGTCTCCGTATCGAAGTAACATTTATGCGTGGTGCCGGCAAACCAAGATCTCAATGTGGGCAGAGTGGGTAAGTGTTTCTTCTTGGGGATAGATCGCATTGATACTTCTGGCCGTTTCCTAAGGACGAAAAAAACATCGAAACATTCGACCTTGTAAAAACCTATCACTCGTAACTCTCCATCATAGGACACTAACTATTGATACGAGCCCCCGACCCGTCCATAGTGGCCAACGGCTATACTATGTAAAAATAGCTTTTCCAGCTACCGTGACGAGGCTGTTTCACCCTAATCTGACGCAGATCTCCCCACTAAGGGTTTGTTAAACTTGACAAGCTTCACTTCGATTTTTCTAGCCATCGCTAGCCCCAAAGGGGTCCGCAACTTGAATGGGGCGGCAGCGGCAGTATACCTAGGTAGGTATGGACTCCGAAGAGAAAAAGGTTCGATCGTACTGGACGTAGCTCTGGTGAAACCTTTTTGCATTCACAATAGGGTCTAGCCTACCTAGTATTGCCGGCGGCGTGATCGATTACAGCGAGTTTTCCGATGATATATAGCGTAATCGAATATGCTGAGCATTTGTCGACTGGCTGAGCATTTCGATAAATCGGCAGATGGTGACGAGGCGTGTCGACCGCGGCTATCCCCTCTGCATAAACGCGAGAAGCAAGCCACTTTTGACGATAACATCATGCAACCCAGTTGACCACCAGATCTTTACCTTACTTAGCAGCCTCGGCACTGTAGTACGGTGACCTCAATTCAAAAAATAAAGCCGGACAATTTTAAAATGCAGTCGCAGTGATGAAAGCAAGTTAAAATGCCAAGATTTCCAAGTTAAAAGTCCGAAAGTTCCAAGGTTCCAAGTTAGGTAATGTGGCTGCATATGTGGCTTGGCTACGATCGATCGTCTGTGGCGTTTCTGTGGCGGCACAAGGGCTCGGTAAAAGTGTGGCGACTATCTCAAATACTTGTCTTTCTTTCTTTCAACAACAACAATAATAATCTATTTAGGATTCCCCCCCAGAAATTGAATATTAATTATTGATAGCAGAAGAATCAATGGAATTTCATAGTTTAAGCACTCCAGTCGAGTTTTATAATCAATTTTTTAATCGAAGATGCTGTCTTTCATCCCCGTCTCCTTCCAAGACTCCAACAATATAGGTACCTACTCATGCAACCACGGTACAACGGTGAATCGAGCCCCAAGAACCCCAATTCCCCAATTCAATGAACGCCAAGGTCAATATGAATTAATTGTTATAAAGAGCCGGCGAAATCAGTCCTCGGATCTAACGTTGCCATTGCCCCAGATCAGTTACTGAGAAGATCTTCCTATCGTGTCGACAACGGAGAAATCAACGAAGATGTATGGGAAGTAGAAAAGCAATTACGCTTTTCTGTCAGCTTCAATAAGCTTTGAATTCACTCCAGTCTTCTAAATCTATAGGATTAAGTTTGGAGGAGTGCCCGTTATGGATATCTGGCTAAAAGATGATCATGCTACCGTTCGATTCCCATGAACTTGGATTTGCATTTTCCCTTACTATCAATCACGGGGTAAATTTCTGCAGGTAGTCAAAATTCCGGAGTCCTAGGTCTAATGTAGAAGAGAAATGAAGAGCGTCTGGGCGATTACAAACGGGCCAGCTCCGTCCAAGAGAGACTGTTCGTTAGATACCTCTCACAACCTTAAGGCTTATCTGAGAAGATTGGTTTTTAGTCGAAGATATATTGCGCCCGGGAACGATAGCAGGCCTGTTGTGCGACCTCTACTATAAATCACTTGCCAGAAGGCTGCCAATAAGAGGCGGCTACCTAATCTTCAGCTTCTCACTGACAGAAAAAGCTGGGCGGGGTCGCCGAAATAGGTAGTAATTCTGAGTATCTACAGGATCGTATGAGGCTCAAGGCGCCAGTGCTCATCCTCTTTTCTACCTTCCAGCTTCAACTTTATTTTCATACGATTTACCATCTCGGTTCTTCGCTCCTAGTCGACTATCAAACAAGATGGATCCCATTTCGGCAGCAACGGGGATCATCGGGCTATTCTCAACTTGTCGAGACTGCTATCTGTTCTTTGGACAATTGAAGAATGCGGATAAAGACATGCGTCTGATGATAGACGATTTAGACATCGAAGCGTCCTTCCTTGACTCCTGGGGTTACTATTGGGGCATCCATCCTCCCGGTTCATCTGGCTCGTCGAAACTAAAGGATTACCTAAAGCAAAATGAATATAAAGAACATGGCGTAGCGAAGACCCTATTAGCAATCGCAGAGTTGATGACGGATGATGGGCAACTGCTAAAGGAGTATGGCGTGAAGCTGTCGCTCACATTCGGCCAAGATAAGGTTGGCAATTGGATATAGAAAGGCCTGCAGAAACCAAGCAATCTAATCGTAATTGCCAGGGCAAGAACCCGAAAATCAGCGAGCACCGCATACCATTCAGGGATAGCGGCCAAATTTTAAAAAATATCGAAGCGAACAAGGCTGTGATGAGGAGTCGAATGGGCTTACTTAGGAGGTGTAAGTGGACAATTCTAGGAGGCAAGGATAGATTCTCCAAGCTTTTGGGAACTCTCCGCCGATACAATCAAAATCTCCATCAATTCTGTCCAGAAGGAGCCGAATATGATCTGAGTCAACTCATGTCCATGTGTTTCTTAAATAATCACCATGAATCCATTCCTCTCCGTCTGGCGTCAATACGGATAGGTACCCAAGTCCAGAAAGAGGAAGACCCATCAACCAAAAGACACCTGGAGCTCCTACGAGACATGGTGAATATCAAGGGCAAGGCAGGTTTTTATAACACCAAACGGGTGACCGACGCTGAGAGACATGCCATGTTCAAGTACAAGGCAGAGATGCTATCATTTCGTCGAGAAGCAAATTCTTCTACGCTTGCAGTGCTTCAAGAATCTTCTGGGAGAGTCATGGTGTACGTCGAGTTCAAATCATACAGAGACGATTCAGGACACGAAAACCAGTATCAACTGGATGGCGCTCTCAAACTCGCTCGACTAATTCTTGACCGTGAAGCATCTTATCGGCTCAAAACGATGCAATGCCTTGGGCTTTACAGCGATTCCAACAGGGGAAGAATTGGGTTCGTATTCAAATTACCCAGTCCCCCGATATATCCCTGGATAAATCCCATATTCTACTGGAATGCTTATGAGCCGCATCGACTCATAACCGTCATATACAGCAACATAACTCCTTTTGAGCTAGGTTGGCGCTTCGAACTCGCAAAGAGACTTGTGGGTAACGTTATCCGGCTCCATTCCGTCGGCTGGCTGCACAAGAATATTCGATCCAGTTCCGTACTCCTTTGCCCTCAGAACCTTAACCTCCGGGGGAAATTGAGAGAAAGAGACTATTGCGAACCTCTTCTAATGGGCTATGACTTCATTCGAATTGAGGCGGATCCAACCGCGAATTATAACCAGGTAGTTCCCACCTTTACGACTCCAAATACGATGAATCAGACGGCAATTACCAATGGTGCAGACAAACGCCCCGACATATATCACCACCCGGATAAGCGCAATTCACCAGGTCGAGCTTACCAGTACGCATACGATATTTACTCTCTTGGGCTCCTTCTCATCGAAATTGGACTCTGGAAACCGCTGTATTCAATAGTAAAAGGAGGACAGAATGTCGATCCTAACCTTTTCCAGAAGCACGTATTAGAGAAGGTGGATAGCGAAGTTGCTGGAGCCTGCGGGCGCACATACGCCAATGTCGTAAGAACGTTCATCACAATGCAGTCGAAGGGAAGCCCGGATTCGATGAAGATCCAAAGAGATACCTGTGCTAAGATGGCCAGCGAGCTTTCTCGATGCGTTGCTTGAGCATTATGTTGTTTTCGAAGTGTGCTGACGATAACAGTCTCCCGATTTAGGGCGAGATTAGAGGAATATCCGCGTATCCCTAGAACCTGTCAGGACTGATCCATAGCGTTGGGCGCTCCTAAGGAGTATTCGTTTCTCGCGATATGATGATATTTCTAGACATGAGTCCACGAGTCATATTATGCCGTCTCTTTTCTGTTTTACTTTATGTTCATTTTACTAGCACTGGCTTATGACACCTCCTCGTGCCTGGCGTCACAAGCCAGGGCTTGTAATATAATATGATGATGCCCCTTTAGTTTGTAACGGGATATGACAGTTTGCCTGGACGGTACGGTTTCCATTAGCTGCCTTTGATGTACTCAGAGACCTCCCCAGGGGTGAGAACAGAGCTATATATAGTATGAATGTAGTGTAATCCACTATTGCTAGATATGAAATATGTTATTGCATTCCCCTAAATCATCTACAATGATGAATCCTTCTCACGCATATTGTACATACTAAGAGTTGTCCCTTCGTAAATAAAATACCACCATACCTTTTACCACTATGAATATATACGTATATATGCGGTATATATACATATTCAGATTCGACTTACAAATAATCGTTTTTTTTTTTAAAAAAAAAAAGTCTTTTAAGACATTAAATCCTACCGTGATATCCACTCTAGCTTCACACGATAATACAGAACCAGTGTCATCTAGCCGCCACCTGGCAACGATAACTTTGTTTTGGATCTAAGCCAATGAGAAGTTGTCTTTTTCGTGACTCCCCAATAGATAGGTGTATTCTACCTGACGATAAATGTTAGTAAAGCAGTATGATTGTTATTATAGTGGTAGCCTACGACGCTTTGATTAAGTGATAATAGTATGTAAACTCGTACGCGACCCTCGTACCAAAACATTATTGACAACACCTACACCAAGAACACTTGTACACTTTTTCTTGCCGTTCTTCGTGAAATCCTAAACTTCCAGAAACATCACCTTTATTTATTTTCTTTATCCATGGTCATTCCTACACCACGACCGGCGGATTCTTCATGAACATCAAGACACGATGGACAGATACTCACTTTGTCCTAATGAGACAACCTTCCCAGACCATGACGGCCGTGGTTTAGACGAGTTCATCTACTATATAACGACTTCAATTGACGGTGTTCTTCACCCACTTGCAGCGGTTATTCATACCGCATTCGCAATGCCGTTGGCTCACTCTGGCCAACAAATCCTTCATTCGTGTGCGGGGATTATAACTCTCCTTACCGACCCAGCAAACCGCTTTGCCATCGAATCCGAACGATCAATGGCTGTCGATTATTACCGAGGTGGCTGTAGTGAATCCGATTGGGATGTCCCCGATAATTTCTTGACGGGTAACGAATTCGCCTATCACGAGTTTCCCATTATTCAAACTTGTGCTCTATTAGGAGCCAGCTTAGTCTCACTGGGACCTAAAGGAAAAGGTGATGGTTATAAGTTTGGGACAGCAAACCTAGCTGATGTCCATAAATACCTCCATCCGCAATATTATGGGATGGTTATCATCGATATTACAGACCTGGATGACCTACGCTATGGCATCATGCAATTCAGACATGATTACAACAGACTCATGACTATCTCCATGAGCGAAGGCACGACAAGGGCTATTTCTGCCGCCCAGTATCGGGCTTTGTTTCTTCAGCACCAACAGGTATCCGAGAAGGATGATATGGACACTGTCAAAAAGCTGGGTAGATTCAAATTAATTGGGGAGGAAACTATCGTGTGTAAGTTCAACGATGATGTTATAAAAGTTATGCGGCAACTAACATATTGAACCCAAGTTTCTCGGCCACAGCACGCTGGCGTTGACCCCCACGATAGTTACTCACCCACCCACCCTCTCGTTGATCAATGTATCGACGTCTTGATCAATAGCACATCAGAGATAGAATCATTCGACATGACTATCTTTGAATTGCCACTTCTTACCAACAGCTTCAAGGCTACGCTTCAAAGACTGCTCCTACAAAAATTCGAACATCTTCCCCAGACTTGCTCCGTAGGGCAGCTACTGGCTCTTGCATACGAAGGAAATACGCAACTCAACCTAGTGCATTTCAGAGGACTCTCCGCAAAGGTGCTGGCATCCGCCCTAGAGACGGACCTGCTTAATGACGTGGCCGAACTATGCTTCCGCATAGATGACATACATGGCACACCGGACGAGGTGATAGATGCCATATCTGATAGACCTTCCTTGCGTCATGTATGCTTCCTTTTGGGGCCTTTGCGATGGCGCGGCGCTTGGAGCGTGGAATTATGGAGAGCAATACACAGGAGACCGCAGTTGCTCAAGAATGCAAAAGTTACCTTCGCTGGCGCTTATTGTAAAGCTCTCAGCCGCCATCTGTGGCTGGAACGTTTGTGGGACGGCATAGACCACCCTTCTTGCGACACTTTCCCTGCTCTGAACATGCTTGTTTCCAATGTCAACACAGTTGCTGGCATTACGGATACAACAAGGCATTCCTTCTATCTCGGTCATGGATTACTCAGTGCCGAAGCCTTCGCCTCCAGATTCCTACGATGGCTACCAAATGTATCGTGCCACGACGGTTACCCCTTTTCTGTTGGCCCGCAAACCCTGGGAAGCACTTCAAATTCGGAGGTACTCCCTATCATAGCCTGGACCGAACCTATGGCTCTCCCGGAAGGAAGCTGGGTTGTTCTTGTCAAAAAGATTGCGGTACTGGAGGCTTACGGTCAGTTGGAGGTAATCAAGTATGCCTTCATGAAGCTAGGTTCACGCATAGACCCCATTGAGTTCCTCCAAGAGCCTGGCATTCACAGCATCAATCTCGAAGACCTCTCCGAAGTTTTCGGGCTCAAGGAATTCCTCCAGGATACGGCACCGGACGTGGATCAGACCTTAGTGAATCGCCTACTACTAGATGCCGAGAAGCAAATCTTCGAGAAGAGCACCGAGGTTGAATATGCTCCAGGCCCAGAGTTCAAGTGTCTGAGTGTGCTGGGAATCCAGGAGGCAGGCGCAATGCTTAACTGGTTCCTAAAGCAAGGCTCAGAAAAGATTCCCAATCATCGCCTTTGGGTTGGAAAAGGGGAGATCGAGTACTTGTGAAGTCTCGACGATAGGATGGACAAGGGTCAATTGACATGGATTATGGGTTTGTTTTTGCGTGCTTGGTTTAAGGGAACGGAATAAGGGTGATACCCCAAAAAGTACTGTACTATAGGGAAAACTCATCACTCAATTTCTTTCCCCAAAAATTCTCTATGATGATTAGTCTTACCTCCGTGTGTATAATGACCCCTGAATGCTCTAGACGAATCAACTCTCGTGCCTGTGTCGGGCAGCGGAGATAATAATTATGGCCTATGCGGTTTCGGTGATAATATTTGCAGTGAATACCAACAGTAAAACGGTTACTGATCAGGTTAACACATTATTAAGTTGCGATGATCATATTGTGTTCTGTGAAATTCGATGTGTAGGTAAATCATTAGTTTAAATTTCCTAGTGACTCTTCAAGACTTGGAAATGGAAATCCAATTTCATCCATACCTCCCACATAGAATCACAACATATAAACACCCATCATCATGTATCTCCTCCATAGCCAGATTAAGAAGATATGGAGCCTCCTCTTCACATTCCTCCCACTCAGCACAGCACTATCCCAACTAAGAGCCGACCTCTACAACGCCGCCCCCATCCCCACCAACGCAACACTCCCAGACGGCACAGTAGGATTCTGGCAACCAACCGTAGTAACCCTAATATCAGGCGCCTCCGAAGCCGTGCTAATCGACACCCTGTTCACCTCCGCCCAAGCCATCGCCCTAGCCGACTGGATCGAGGAAACAATCCCCAACAAGCGCCTAACCACAATCTACATAACCCACGGGCACGGGGACCACTGGTTCAATAGCGCATACCTGCAAACGCGCTTCCCAGGGGTCCAAATCGTATCAACACAAGCCTCAATAACGCACATGTCCACGCAACTAACCAGCGAATTCCGCACCTTCTGGAGCACCCTCTTCCCCTCGCAAATCCCACCCTCCTCATACCAAATCCTCGCACAACCCCTTCAAGACAATAAATTCACCCTCGAAGGCCACGTCCTCGAAGCCGTGGACGTAGGACACTCCGACACCGACGAAACGACATTCCTGCACATCCCGTCGCTGGGAATGGTCGTCGCGGGGGATATCGTGTATAACGACGTACACATGTGGATGACGGAATCGCCGACGCAAGCACAGCGGGACGCGTGGGTGAGGTCTTTGGATAAAGTTTCCTCCGTCAACCCAGCGATTGTGATCGGATCGCACCATAGACCTGGGGGTGTGGACGGCGCGTTTAATATCGCGGCGTCGCAGACGTATATCCGGACGTTTGGGAAATTGCGGGAAGTGGCGACCAGTGCGGAGGATTTGTATGCGAAGGTTTTGGAGGCGTATCCAAATCGGATTGGGAAGTTGGTGTTGTGGTTGGGGTGTCAGGCGCAGTTTCCGTCGGAGGATCGTTCGGGACGGGATGAGTTGTGAAAACTCGTGATCCGAGAGAATTTTGAGGGGTTGGTCGGTGATTTCTGGGATCAGTTCTACAATCGTAGGATTTGGGGCTGGGGCAATATAAACTCCAAGATATTAATATAAGGAAAAAGAGTTCGCTTTTTTCATAAGTTAGATGGAGAGGGTAGTTAGCGGGATTCTCGGCGTCAATAAGTTAGGGGCATCAATCAATTGAATACCAATCACTAATATTCCAATCCGAGCACGTACGTAGAACTGCAAAACTGTCTTGACGATAGATAGCAAGATATCTGAATCTAGCTACCGTATCTAGCTCCACGACCTAAGGAGCCATTGCATTGCATTGAACCAACTCCGACAAAACGTCACTTAAACTTAAACCCTGGTATGACCACCCGGAACGCCGACCCCTATGATTTGAAGCAATCGCGATCACTTTTCCTGACGAGTATGGTACAGAGGAAGAAGGGTATTATCGAGAACGATCCCGTTTACGCGGACTTCTCCTTCTTCGACTTTTTCTTGTTCTTCTTCTCTCCTTCGTCCGCGTGCTTTCGCTTCTTACTGGGCTTCTCGGCTTCAACTTCGACCTCGGCCTCGGCGGCCTTGGCTTCCGCTTTCTTCTGCTTCTTTAACTCCTTCTTGCTGACGACCTGCGGTGTTCCATCGGAGGCCATCTTGACGTCACCACGCTCGTACTTTCGCTTGAACTTGGTGACCGAGATGCCAGCCTCCTCAGCTAGCCGGGAGTAGTCGGCATCTGATAGTTTAGCGGGTGTCTTGGGAGTAGATTCGCCATTTGTGGCCTTCTTGCTCTTCTTTGATTCCTTTTTCTTTGGTGTCTTTTCCTTTGGCTTGGCTACGAGTTTATTAGCTAATGTCGAATTTCGTTGGCATCGCTTCTTAGACAGTGCAGTGACAGGTTTTAAGAACTTACCATCTTCAGCCTCGTCCATCTCGACATCTGAATCCTCTTCCTCCGATTCGCTGTCCGCGCCCCCCATCGGAGTGTCTTCAACCTCTTGTATTAAAGGCTTGCTAGGCGTCTTCTTAGCAGAGGCAGAGACGGCATCCGCGTCGGCATTGTAGTTTCGTGTCGGCTTGACTTCGAACTTGGAAGGAGTGGCACCATTCGGTCCAATCTTGGTGCCCTTGGATAACAATGGTTTTCCTTCCATTCTTCGTAGCTTATCCTCAAGTACTGCACGTAGTCGAATACCCATGTCGGCTCTCTCCTCGTCATCCATCGGAATATCTTCACCATCGGCACCCTCAGTGCTGAGCTCAGAGAGCGCATCGACACGTAGACATAGGGCGGCCTTGGCAGATAGCGTACGGGCGATCTTTCCCTTGTTCTTGCCGGTGGCTTGCCCCACTAGAGATGAGTGGTAGATAAGACCATACTTGGGTGTGTCGTGTTTGGTCTTGAGAGCGCGGAAAAGAGCCTTCTCCGCACCTAAAATCTGGATGGTGCTACCAGGACTCTTGGCTAACTTCATCAGGGAACCGGCGTGCGCGATGAGACGAGCACCAACCAACTCCCCAAGAAGTTCTGTTAGGTTAGGGGCAATCGCCTTCATGCGCGATGTAAGGTACTGGGAGAGCTGCTGTCTGTACTCGGTGAAGCTGATCACCTGCTCGGCGAGGAGCTTGATGTTCTCAAGATCAAATTCGAGAATTTCAGTACCCATACTAACTTCAGCAGCAGCCTTCACTCGAGCCTCAATATCTTCGGGTAGAATCTCGGAGAAGTCCGTGCTGGAAGCATTTTCTCGGGTTCCCATGCACATAATGATGCGGGCATAAGCGAGATTGTCCTGAACGATGCGATCCAACTCAGGGAAATGCCATCCATACCACTCCTTGACACGCATAGCATAGTTGTTCAATTCCTTGTCCAAATCATCAAGAAGTTTGATAGCCTGAACAATCATAACATCCACCTTATCGGGTGAGAACTTGAGCTTGTGGCGAGAGATGGAATGGGATAGGGCGAGGGCCATATTTCCAAGATAATCGTTGTCCAACTCGGGGAAAAGTTCGGGAAGATAAGTCTTGACTGCTCGGAAGAGGTCATTGGTAGTTGAATCGGATACTGGTGTAATGCTCAACTCGGGTAGGACATTAATAGCGGCACCCAGTTTCGGGTCAGCGACGGCAAGAGACGCTTTTCGTTCCTCCTTGATGTCGTTAAGTAGGTTTTGTAACATCGGGGTGACTTTTCCCTCTGTTAAGGCAGTGTATTCGCCTAGAGCCTGTGCCGAATCTTCGAACTTGACCATCTTCTTGAGTGATAGCCTATATGAAGCCGATGAGCATGCATTCCTGACCAATTGATATTAACCTCAATTTGGTGAACTCACATGGAATTAATTGCCTCAGCGCTTGAAAGCTGCTTGCTAACATCGTCTCGTGACAACAACTTCTTGTCCTTAGCCTTGAACAGGCCGTAGCTATCATCGCGTCAGTACTTATGCGCACAAGAATTTAAATTGAGGATATGAAAAACTCACCCCGCAGGCGTCTCAGCAAGAACGAAGAGAGGCATGGTTGCAGGCTGAATATATTTGATTGATTGTTGTTCCTGCAAGAGCTCTCTTCGCGATAGGATTTGAAGATTGGAAAAAAAAAATACTAGAGCTACTACTTTGGAGTAAAATTTTATTCGACTTGGAAGAAGGAAAAAAAATTGGGAAGCTACCGCATAAAAGTGGAGCTGGGCAAAATGTGGGCGCCACTGAAAGCTTCGTTCTCCGATTAAAACCCCCTTTAGAAAGATAAAACTCCATTACTCGTATAAAACGGGTCTTATCGATTTCTTATCTAAGATATCGTTTTATGCCATACGAAGTAACCTCAAAGCTTCCAGGTTGCAACGCAATTCATTGGATGCAACTGTTTTGAGATTCACTCTTGAAAGCCATTCATCCCCTTCCATCAACTACAACAGCATACACATAAAAATGGAAGGCCTATTCTTCAACGTTAATAATGGGTAAGGATATCATTAAATATATGTGTTAATTACCTGTATCTAACTTTCTCGGAATAGCTACATCGAGGGCATTGTACGAGGATATAGAAACAGCCTTCTAACTGGTGCCAACTATTCCAACTTAACACAATGCGAGACCATTGATGGTATAGCTCCTATATCTATCTTATCTTCCCATCATGATAAATGGTATCTAACAAACTTAACTAGATCTCAAGCTGCAGCTTGGTCCTGCTTACGGCGACTTCCTCGGCTCCCTCCCCCCGAACCCGTCTACCTCCAGTCTCGCCGCCAAAACCACCGACAAGCTCGTTTCCGAGTTCCGTTACGTCCGCGCGAACGCAGTAGGGTCTCTAGCACAATTCCTTGATTACTTAACATATGGCTACATGATCGACAACGTTGCCCTCCTAATCACCGGCACCCTCCACGAACGAGACACCCGGGAGCTGCTAGACCGATGTCACCCCCTAGGCTGGTTCGAGACGATGCCAGTCCTTTGCGTCGCGACGAACATCGAGGAACTGTACAACAGCGTGCTAATAGAGACGCCACTAGCCCCCTATTTCAAGGGCAGCCTGAGCCACCAGGATCTGGACGAGCTGAACATCGAGATCGTCCGGAACACGTTGTACAAGAACTACCTCGAGGACTTCTACAACTTCGTCAACACCCACCCGGACATGTCCGGCACCCCCACGTCTGAGGTTATGAGCGAGATCCTGGAGTTCGAAGCCGACAGGCGCGCCATCAACATCACCCTCAACTCCTTCGGCACGGAGCTTAGCAAGGCCGACCGCAAGAAGCTGTACCCCAGCTTTGGCAAGCTATACCCCGAAGGCACCCTGATGCTGTCGAGGTCGGACGACTTCGAAGGGGTTAGGCTAGCGGTCGATGGTGTGTCCGACTACAAGACATTCTTCGATGCTGCGGGACTGGGCGGCGGGCCGTCGGGACCGGGTAACATGGCTGGCGGGGCCGGCGGCAGCGAGAGGAGTCTAGAGGATATGTTCTACCAGAAGGAGATGGAGATCTCGAAGAGTGCTTTCACGAGACAATTCACATACGCCATCGTGTACGCGTGGGTGAAGCTAAGGGAGCAAGTAAGTCTATCATATCCACATTGAGACATCTATGTTACACAAGCTCTAACCGTCGTCATAGGAAATCCGCAATATCACGTGGATTGCCGAGTGTATAGCACAGAACCAGAAGGAGAGGATTGGCAACTACATCAGCGTATTCTGATTTCCCACGCACCTTTGTACTTGCTTCTGCTCTTCGCTCTCTTCAAAACTCTGTAGAACTAATGGACGGGATACCAAACGGAACTAGCATTTCGAAGCTGTGATTGACACTTGTTTTTTGCCCTTGCTTTTTTTTCTTCCTGTTCTTACGACAAAGGCGCTCAAGGCTGATGGACAGATAGTTAGAGCTTTCTCGCGTTCTCGAAAGGCTGCTGGTGTTTTTTTGTATTTGTACATAAGCACACGCGTGGTATTACAGAGTATGCATCTAGGCCACCTATATGATACACTTCAAAGTAGCATAGCATAGCATCCATATCGACCAACGGCTTTTTCTATAAGGTGATTTGCCCCTTCCAGGTCGCCGGGCTCAGGCCTAGTGTCTCGATCATGTGCTTCCACCTGTCGCTTCCCCTCTCCTTCCGCTCCATATACCGCATGAGCCTTTGTCGTCGATGGAGCAGCAGTCTCAAATCCCGCTTACCCACCTTGTCCTTCCAAGCCTTCCCCTTCTCCAAAGCGTTGGCTAAGCCGCGGATCTTAGCTGTCAGGATGGCAATCTGCACCTCGCTGCTTCCCGTATCGGGTCCACCCCGCACCGGCATCTCTTTCCTCTCCTCTCCTCGGGCGAGAGCCTTCGGTTTTAAAAACTGATCGGTCTCGTGTCTGCCAAAAGTCTCTACGCACCGCCGGATATTGGCGTGCAGTCTGTCCTTCGCAGAACCGCTGCTCAGGTGCGTGATGCGCCTTATAGCCTCCATGGCCTTGTCGTGCAGCTGCTCATGCTTCTTGACGGTGTCGTTATACTCATCGGAGCCCACGGGAACCATCGGCGATCCCATCGGCCGGGTCAGGTTATACGCGTTCTCGATGGCGGAGGTTAACTCCCGCTCGTCGATCTGGTTGTTTAGGATGTGGTGCGAGGTCGGCAGCTCGTGCGGTTCCGCCACCGGGTTTCCGTCTGCGTCTAGAGAGGCCTTTGCGTAGGCTTGCTGTCCGGCGAAGTCGAAGGACTCGATGAAGGGTGTCTGGATGCCCCGCACGGGATCGCCTAGCTGGCTTGCCTTAATGGCGTCGAGCTCCTCCCGCCTCTTGCTGTGGGCAGCCTCCCGCTGCTGTATTTGCGCATATCGGTAGGGGTCCAGCTTGGCTATTCGCTTCTTATCTTTTTGCGACAGAGATGCGGTTTGGGTGACTGGGAGGAATGACGAGGTGGGCTGTTTTACGGCTGGTCGTAGGCATACTGTTGAACCATTGTTAGTTGAAATTGGTCAATTAAAGATATACTGTGAGTTCTATTTACGTGAGAAGGTGCCTAGGCGCTGTACGCCTGGTATTCGAGGCGGCATGGCGGCGTATAATGGAAGGTTGATCTGATAGAATGGAATTGAACTTTTAGCAATTGATCCACTCTATTGGACCTGCAAGACAGAATCAAGCCACGACCCACCCTATTTGCTTATCTAATCTTGTCAGTTCCAAAGTTTAAACTTTAGAGAAAATCGCGGAGTGGATAAACATAGTAGCCGATCAATAAGCTGACGTAAAACATTTGAGCTCGGTAGGTACCGCGGGGTGTGTAGCTTTACCCAATTGGCATTAGCGTCTCCAAACCCTAAGCTCTCGCACCAAATCACAATTCGATCTTGGTCAAATCATCCCGCGAACTTTTTTTCTACCTTTCAGGAAATTCTCAATATCTCGACTAGACAATCGCGACGCAACGCAACGTAAATCCCTAAATTTCCTCACTTTCTTCTTCACCCTCCTTCACTTCTTTCAACGTTGCGCAACCATTATTCAAGATGGCTCCCACTAATCTCCCCACCTCCATGCACGCGACGTCCCAGGACATCGAGATGCTCCTCGCCGCGCAATCTCACCTGGGATCCAAGAACTTGCAGGTTCACATGGAACCTTACCTCTGGAAGACCCGAGCTGATGGAGTCAATGTCATCAACATTGGCAAGACCTGGTATGACTTTTTTTATAAAAATTATTCTGTTGCTACTTATATAATATTGATTTGCGCAATGAGTATCACTCTAACCTGATTTCTTAATCGCAGGGAGAAGATCGTCCTGGCCGCCCGTATCATCGCTGCCGTAGACAACCCCGCCGATATCTGTGTCATCTCCGCCCGTCCCTATGGTCAGCGTGCTGTCCTCAAGTTCGCTGCCCACACTGGTGCCGTTGCCATCGCCGGTCGATTCACCCCCGGTTCCTTCACGAATTACATCACCCGATCTTTCAAGGAGCCCCGCCTAATCGTCGTCACTGACCCCCGCACCGATGCTCAGGCTATCAAGGAGGCTTCCTACGTCAACATTCCCGTTATTGCCCTCTGCGACACTGACTCCCCTACCGAGTACGTCGACGTTGCCATCCCCACCAACAACAAGGGTCGCCATGCCATTGGTTGCGTTTGGTGGATGCTTGCCCGTGAGGTCCTCCGCATCCGTGGCACCATCGCCAGCCGTGACATTCCTTGGGATGTGATGGTCGATCTTTACTTCTGTATGTTAAACCAAATTATAGGTGCTCTACTTTGAAGAAAAGGAGAAAAGCTAATACTTTAACCTAGACCGCGACCCTGAGGCCGAGGCTGAGGAGAAGGTTGAGGAGGAGAAGGCCCCTGCCGCTGAGGAGGTCGGCCCTGCTGCCATCGAGGCTGGCACTTTCGCCCCCGCAGCCGGTGCTGACTGGGAAGCCGCCCCTGCTGGCTTCGCCGCGACCCAGGCTGGTGGCTGGGACGGCCAGACCGACGAGTGGGCAAACGCTACCGGTGCTCCTCCTGCTGGTGAATGGGGTGCTGCCGATGCCAAGGATAGCCAATGGTAGAATACGGGCGCCAACCTCAGTAACATCCCTAGTGGCCAGGGATTTTAAACCAAATCTCCCGCGAGTGAATTTTAGATGGCCTTGATAGCACCATCACACGCCAACGCGATACTTGATTTGCTTTTGCAACGGACGGACGGATAGGAAGGAATATGGGTAAACTTGATGGTACTAATGAGGGAAAGATATCCGAGCTTCAGACTTGTTTTCTTTTATTCTTCAATATTTGAAGTTGGTCCTACTTGAACTTTGTAGGTAGTCGACTGATTCTTGTCGAAGAGTATATGGAAACTATCTGGGGCGAGGGGGAATGCCCTGTACAGTCAAAGGGGTGGACTTAATCGTTATCCCGCCCATTTTCTCCTAGCTTAGTCTTCGTTGCGGAAAATTAAATAAATGATTCCCAGCACACCTGTGAAGAGTTCCCTAAGAAGGGTTTTTTGCTTAGTGTGTCGTGATATGATGATTTTTGTATGCATGATGTAAGAGTAACTAACTTGCTTACTAACACTGAACAGCATCTTCTGGCCTCTCTCCTTCGTGAGAAGGAGATATCACGATAAACACCATAAACGCACACATGTAGAGAGAAGCAAGTATCTTTCAAACATTTCATTCTTGGGAGCTTACATATCTAAGAGCTTACCTAACTCTTATCACATAACCACCTCCCTCTCCCCTCAAGCACTAAATACAACACAACAACATCAACAGTGCACAGCACATCAACATCGAATCAAGTAACAGAACAGACGTCAAACAGATAAATGTATGAGTATGGGTATGGGGTATCTGAACAATAGACTTAAGAAGAAGAGTCTCTCGCGCGCGATTACTCTACTCTCTCTCTCTTCTTCCCTCTCCCCTCTGTATCTTCTCCCCTTTACACTCCACTCCCTCCTTTCCTTACAACTACTCCTACACGTCTTCATCCCCGCCGGTTTCATTTATTTTATACATCCCATCCCCGGCATGCATCCAAAGTATGTACTAATCTCCTCACACACGACCCCTCATCTCATCTCTTCATGGTTCTGCTCCCCCCTAACAACCTCTCTCCTACCACCAGGTGGGTGCCTCCTCAGATTGATATCGTTAACAGACGTTAAAGCCCTGGACTAAACACTACCAAGTAAAAAAAAAATAGTTACGTAGAACCGCTGAACTCCGGTGCTGTCGATGATCGATGATGATTGATGATGATGATAAGGTATAAAAAATGCACACCCCGCGTCCCGCGTCCTATTTGCACCTCGCCCCGCCACCGAAAAACAAGCCAAAAAAAAACCTTGGTGTATATTTAATTCCGCTCCCGCTTGATTCGCCGCTGTAACTCGGGGTATTTGCAATGGGATAAGAGAGAAAAAACACGTCGATAGTATGATACATTGGAGAATCAGAATAAGGTAAGGGAAGTTGAGTTTGTGCCTTGGGTGAGTTGGCTGGGTATTTGTGATCGAAGAGGCTGTGTCTCTTGTGGAAAATCTCGCTAATATGGATGGTGAATCATGGTATCGTGTGAAGTATTATATACTAAGGATGGCCAAAACCTGCGTATTTGTACAATGGCGACGAATTTTAAGCGAATCGAGTATCGTCTATGATGTTGTTGATGGTAAATGAAACAAGGTATGTGAGCGATGGTGATATTGATCATTGACACATGATATACAGATTATGTCGAATGGTTTCGACTGGTAGACTACTGGATGCTGTTTCTTTCTGTGGAGAAGGCGCGTCATCTATTCCAAACTTTCAGAATGCTTTCTGATGTCTTCATCGCTGAGAGCACTCATCCACAGACAACGTTCTGTGATACCTTCAATGGGCTGGAATTGGTAATGAGTGCTGGCCTCAAGTAGACGGAGTAAGGTCTTGACCACCGATGCAGCGATGCGACACCGCTCAAAGTTGATTAGAGGCGCTGTAGTCGGAGAGCTGGCGATTTCGGACGGCCGTTGGGAGTTGAAAAGCAAGTCGTGAGTGTAGATGCCAACAAAAGGAATACATCCGATATCGGCAGCAGTACCACCCCCTTCCATCTCGGCTCGGAGGTTATAGAAGTTCTTCGTAGGAGAAACGAGAGTCTCGAGATCCTTCATAGTCTTCAGGTCGGTAGGTGGAACCATGGCCCAAGTCCTGGCCAGCCTTGCTACTTCGTTTGACGTTAAAGCGATAGTGATCTGGCTCGTAGTAGCAAAGTTGCGGTATCTCCTACAATGGGCAGCGATGTGAAGAAATTTGATGATGCAGCGTGCTCTCTCCTCTATATCTTGCGTGAGGACGACTTCTGAAATTACCCATTTGACGATGATATTGAACCGCGCAATAACCACCTCAACACCATGTGCGTCTGTGTTTCGAAGAAAGTCAACCCACGACCGCGAATCATTGTTGGAATTCTTCCACCGCATCTCGATCAGCTCTCTCCAATCAACCTCGTTCAGGGCGTCCTTTTCAATCAATGTGAATTGCTGAGCAAGGACTTCAGAGTCGAAGGCGAGTATAAAAGGCAGATGGGCTGAGTTCTTTCGTCCTGCTTCACCAGAAAATCGAGGCGCGTTGCGCAATGCCTCTCCTGTGCCGGTGGGATCTCTGGGCGAATCGGAGCCATGGTGGTACATAGCAGTAGTAGGTGTTGTATCAGGTGTAGGAGGCAATGGTTTTTGCGCCCACAACTGGTGCTCGTGGAGCTGCGGGACATGGTCAGCCTCCGAGCCCTCGGAAGCATGTGTATGCGTCAACGTCATTGGAGGCGAAGGGGGTTTATCTCTAGATGAGAAGGTGATTCCTCCTTCAGTATCGGGGGATCCCGTATTTATAGGAGTAAGCTTCCTCGGTGAATGGGGTTCGCCAAAGATATAATCATCGGCTTCAGGCATCTCGCCCGACATTTCGGATGATAAAGCAGAATCATTATCACTGTCCACGTCCAGAAATGTAGGATCCCCAGGCGCAGTTGCTCCAGGCTTGATCTTGTCTATACTTTCGGTTTTCCGTACAAACTCATAAGATGGATGGACTGAAGCAGTAGCAACAACCTCTTCACTCTCTCCTGGTGGCGTGTCCGGACCTATTAGTATCGAGTGATCTGTCCATTCCTGAGTAGCTGTCTTGCTGCGTCCATCATCTGTCAATCCTCGATCAAGCAGAGGCGTTGAGTTATAACTCTCCCTTGAATCTTCTGACAAGAATGAAATAGCCTCAGAAAATCGGGGAGGCGCAACCTTATCATTAAGCGGTGTATCAAAAGTTTCTTCCATTGGGGAAACGATTTCTTCATCGATATGTTGCTGGCGGTGCTTTCGCTTTTCTACCTTGGCTTGTTCTATCTCAGGTGTCGTTGCTGTAGGTCGATTCTTGAGCTCTTCAAGATCAGCTTGTGGTATCTTAGACGGTTCCATCGAGAGTTTGGCAATTCTCCTCTCATATCTACCCTCCAGTTTTAAAAGTGCCGACTCGACACCTCCATCATCGTCTATGTCGTCGGGGATTTGGGCAAGCTTTTGAGCTTCAGCCTCGAAGGATGGTCGCATTATTGGTTTTGACGAATGAGTGCTAAATAGAGATGCAGCTGCACGCTTTGGGGCTTGCTCTGCCATGGCTCCTAAGGAGAAGACCTCCGCTCGTTTTTGTGAATAATCGCTACTGACGACATCGACATACCCACTGGATTCTCTGATGGGACTACGTAGGTAAGAGCTCCTTAAGGAGTCCGTGAAGGTCGTTAATGAGCCTACAGAGCGTGACCTGTGAAGCGGCGGATTGTCTAGATCATGTACATTGGCCACACCTCTCAGATCCCCACCTGGTCGTCTTCGAAGGACCCGAAGTGGTGGAGGCATAACTTCCGATGTTACAGATCCCTCGGAATACGTAGTCGCATCAAAACTCCTAATTGTGGACTGCGCAGCGATGCCACTCTGGAAGGACGCCCATCGACGATGAGCAATAGAGCCTCTCGACCTATAACTACGGCTTGATTGCTGACGTTGATGTCGTTTTGCGTAGCTTAATGGGGGCTTGCTAGGCGACTGTTTAACGAAGCTGACTGAAGGGCGAGCGTTGGGGGTAGTTTCTTCGGAAGAACGTCCTCGGCCCAACGTTTCTAAATCGGGAACAAACGGCGGCAACGAGACGTTAGAAGCTGCTGGTCTGAAAACGTGTTGGCCGAGGAGATAAGAGGATCTTCTTGGAGTATCCCCACGTAAGGCTTGTCCGGGCGGCGTCGTCGGTGGCGTTAGATCAGCACCGCCACCAGCAGCAGCTCGCATCATGCTCTCTGCAAAAGCTTCAACGGATGGATTCCACGCCGTCAAAGCACTCGTCATATGTGGGTAATTGCCGGGCGGCAAGGTTCCATCGACAATAACAATAGACTTGCTTCCGGCTGTGATTGCAGCGTCGCTGGTAGGCCGCAGTTCGAACGAGGAGTCTAAATGAGCCGCAGAATACTCAATGGGGTTATTGGCGACCCCGGAAGTATCATTGTTGTCGTCTTCGGTCGCGGTTTCCATAAGGGCGTCTTCTTGCACAGCTTTTTTGAAATCCTCAGCGATAGTAGCGCCGAGGAGATCGATACGCACAGCAGCACGGGTACCGCTCGGGGGAGGCGGTCGCGCTTGCGGGACGACCGCCGTTCCCGGAAGTCTGTTAGTCGTCACGCCCCGAGGCCCGACTGGTGCGATATCAATGAAGTTCCCTCGCGTGGATGCAATACCCTGGCCCCTCGTACTTATGGCCCTGCGAACGCTACCAATCAACTTTTTCATACCCTGTCCCGACATCGCCGACGCAGAACCCTTCTCTTTCGACCCCTCGGTGGGGTGCGTTTGGAAAACCGTGGTTTGACGGGCCCAGGAGCCCGGGGAGTCTATTTCAACAAAAGCTTGGGCAGGGGGCATAAAATTCCCCCGGACAAGGCTGCCAGCATATGGCAAAGTTAGTAAGAGCTCGGCATTTTTATATAAAACCTTTTCTGTTACCGAGCCATGATCCCGGAGGGAATCCGTGAGACTGTTGTTCCGCCTATGAGACGTATGGGGCCTAACGCGCTTCCCAGTCAAAGCGCGCGGAGTAGACGCAACAGGATCCGCATTGGTGTAGATAGAACTGGGATCAGCAGGATGTGCAGCGAAGGCGGAACTCGTACTGGATTCGCCGAATCGGAATCCCTTCGTTGGAAATGAGCATGATACCACATCGAGACTCGCAATACTAGTTGGCGATGTCTGTCTCCGGTCTAATTCAGTAGTGGGCCGACCCGCCTCCTCCTCCTCTGGCGTATCCGGGCGCACATCGCCAAGTAATATCGAATCAATATGGCCAGCCCTAGACACATCTTGGTAAAACGTATTTTTAGGCTGCAAGTCGGTCTCCGGAAGGTGGATACCATACAATTGTGGTACTGCGTCGTCAGAGGAAGTTTCCCAGAAGCTCGGGTCCAGACCAGGATCTCGATGGCCAGCAATTCCACCGGGAGCAATAGGAATATCGGGACCTAGTGACGAATCGAATTCTGGGCCATCCCAAAACTGCGCGCATACTCGTCTCCAACATTTCTTTAACTCGGCTAGGATCTTCAACTGGACCTTCCTACCTCGCTCATCTTGAGAGAGCTCCTCAACAAAGTCGTTTATGAGGTTGCAAAACATCACACGGAGGTAGTAATCCACCACGAAGTCGTCGACAAAGTAATTAAGGATCCAGTGCCTCATAGCCACAAATGTCCTCACCCTAACTACCATCCCTGTCTCGTCATCGCGGGATACGGCCCATCTAAGTCTAGCAACTAGCATTCGGAGCAAGTCCTGGGTATCGAGAAACGCACGGAAAGTGAGGAAAAAGTCAGAAATTAGTTCGTAATCCAAAAAAGTGGGAGACGTGATTTCAGCAACTAATCGCGGCGGCGTAGCAGCTGTGACGGCATTTGTGGCAGACGAATAGCGTACAATGGCACGATCATCACAAGCTGGCTTAAAAGTAAGCGCATCGAACATGCTAGGCTCGATGGCTAAATGCGTCGAGAGATACGTCGATCGGACTGGAGGAAGTGGAAGAGGAGATCGCGGGGCGGGAATGGTGGCAGGGCTAAGTAAGCTCGGCGACGGTAACTGGATGTGAGGCGTGGAGCTCGCCCTTTGTTTTACAGTATCTATAGAATCTGGGCGAAGAGAGTTGAGGTCACGAATTGGTGGTCGGAAGAACGAGACGTTACTTGAGCGGACATCCTCGGTGGGGGCATACGACGAGCCTCGGATTAAAGGCGTTCCCTTAGAAGTGAACCTTGGCGTGCCTAACTTCCAGGAAGGAATGGAAACTTGCAGAAGTTGGCTTAGATCCCGACCTACGTCTTCGGCGGTTTTCGACCTCGACTCGTTCTTCGGCTTCGATATCACGACCTTAAATACTCCAGCATCTCCCTCCTGCGCTATGCTTGCATCCTGAATGGTTGAATCCGACATCGCGCGACGACTCCGGGTTTTTCTTAACTTCAAGTCGAAGTAGGCTTTCTTCCTTACAACTCCAGGTGACGGAGAGTCGGTTGGGGGAGTAGGGGTCCATTGACCGCTAAGCAGCTCACTATTCTCATCGGACCTCGTCTTGTTCTGAGTCAGAACATCTAAACCTGCGGTGCTCGGTGGCGTTGCTGGAAAGGTAAAACTGGGTTGGGGGTATCTCTGATTTGCCGGCCTTATAGTAGGTCTATTGCCGTGCTCGTGGTTAGTATTGGATGATTAGTGATATATCCGATTTACCCGTACCTCAAGTATATTTGGCCATTGTTACCCACGTTGGCCACGGTGAAATGTCTTCCTTCTCGGCCGGCTGAACCTCCATCCGGTGCTATATTCCACTTGTCACCCTCAGACTCCCATTTTGCTTTATTTCCATCTTGACCGCCAGACCTCCTCTCGCCTGCCGGGACCAACGGCCTCGAACCAGTTAGAAGAGGTATGCGCACTTTGGAACCCCCGATTTTACTAGCCAGGCCACCGAGTGGCGGTGATTTCCTCGAATTCGGGTCTCGTGGTACCGTCGGCGATTTTTTATTATTTGACGAATCTGCTCGTGAGGACTGGAGAAGGCTGGGGTTCGACCGTGTGGGCAACGGTAGGTGTAAGCCTCGAGGTTCTACCTCCATGTCTCTCTACTAGGCGGCAGAACAGTGTCTGCTCGAGCCAATTATGACGGACGAATGCATTGAAGGTCGGAAATACGAGACTAATCGATTAGATCCACGGGCAGAGGAAAAAGAATAATATTTAGGCCCCTTTTTCAAAGCAAAGTAGCGCGACTCGACGATATGTAATGTAGTGTATGCTTCAAAGTCTTGGAAATGTCGCGCGCACACACTCGGGCTACCATATAATAGGCCTTCTTCCTTCGTATTCGTTGGCAAGTCGGATATTTTTCTTCGGGAGGGCCAATGTCTCGACGGATAGGCTCGTTGCCAGTGACGGGATACTAGATGCCAAAATGACGGATTCTCTTCACGACACACGATGCACTCTGCCCCAATACCGTCCCCTTTACGAGTCGTTGAATGCGACGAAAAGTCAATTGGATGTGGTCCGGTTGGACAACGGCGGTGTTGAATGGTAAGAAGGAGAGTTTACAAGGGCCGCGGATGACAGAAGTATCATTTGGGCAGATTTGGTGCTCTCGGGAACCTTCCTACTAAGTTTGGCTAGGTTCCAAGGTTGGTTACTGGGTACAGGTGTGCTTGCCTGCTAAGCTAAGATTTAATGCCTGTAATGCCTGCAATGCCTGCAAAGTTGAAGGCGAGCGCACTGGCCCCGGCTGCCGGCCAGGTCCTAAGCAGGGAAGATATTACAGGGGATATGGTCATCGAGGTGGTCCCATTCGTTCGATTCTCGCGCACAGGTCAACTGCAATTTACTGTGGCTGGCCTGCTAGCCCCGGTCTATCCCCTGCAATAATAAATCTACAGGCAGTTACAGAGATACATGGGTACAAGAATACCGCACGGACATAAAGGTTAAGACAGAGCGCCCAGGCTGTGAGGTATTACCTAGAGTTGGGGAAGAGAAGGAAGACTCGAGACGAAGTCTTGAATCTTATCATGCAGTGTACATATGTACTAGGTAGTATTCAACGTTGAAGGTACTAGGAGTCATACAAACCTAGCAAGTACAAGTTTCTTCTTCTCCTAACAACATTTCAAGATTAATGAAAACAATCAAAAGTCGAGAAATGAGAAGAGATATAAATACAACTCAAACTCACCAATACTCCCTCTCTACTATGTATATATCCTACAATTAAGGAGCATCCAATCGTATGCTTTCGGCACCGAATTGCTTTGCAAACATCGACGGATAAAGTAGAGGAAATCATGCAAGACGGTGGATGACCTAAGTGTGCTTGTCGCCCCTCGCTTACATTGGCCAATCCGTCCGATCTTTTTTACATCACGATGCTGCAGTCCCGGAAGCTGAGTCTGCAAGACTAACAGGACTGCAAGTCTAGTACTATGCGCATTGTATGCAGTACTAAGTAGTTTTGGGTCCGACTACTCTTTCTGGTTTTTATTCCCCTTCCTGCCTTCTTACCATTAAGCTTTCTTTTTACATAGTACTACTCTCATGACGTTACATGGTAGAAGATAGAAAAGGGGTAGAGTTAAAAAAGAACAGTTACACCACTAACATAGTACTGTACTTTTGAGGCTTGCCGAGAAATAAGGAAACAAATAGACAGCTGGAGGCGTATCTCTAACGACATTAGATTTGTGGAGGTTTGACATCATTTCCATCGCTTTGGTACCTAACGCATGTTGCTTAGCGGTTTCATGCAAGTCAGCAACTGAGTCCTCAGCACCTCCAGCACCTTTAGCACTGAACCATAGCACCCCCCTTCATCAATGTAAATGCGACTGTAATTATGCCTTCAACCCAAGAGAGGCAAATTAATAATGTCGTGTCTATTTCTAACACATCGTCAGCTAACATGTAAAAGACAAACACGTAGCATGCTATACCTTCCTATCTAGTAGGTACCTACAGTTATGATATTATTAGATGTGCATCAGCAGTTAGATGTATGTCTAGACTCAACGGTACTCTTCGAATTCTTCATTTATCATCCATGCATCTCATAGGCGAAGTGGGATACAAAACCCTTAGTTCAAGCCCTGACTCCAGAAAAATGAACGCCCAATGATGAGCTAGAACCTGTCTAGATACGATAGGAACAGGCTAGACACTGGGCGTGCAGTGGTTTAATGAACCAACTGAAGAATCTCTATCAAGATCACCAGGGGTGAGAGAACCTAGCACGAACCGGCTACCGAAATAATTATTAGCTGTCAATCGCCATGATAATTCTATTTTACGTCAGAGGCAAATCCAATTTAGACTACACACCTCATTGTATGCAGCCACATCGATTCACATCATTTTTAGCTCTGACTGTACGATAACTAAATAGCAGATACACGATGGAACACATAAAGGAATGCGCAGAGGCGTTGTGGGATCTAGTAAGCCACATACACGAATGATATCGTAGTTGGCCACACGCCTCAGCTACCAACTCCATATCGATCCGGCCCTTTTTAGGACGCACAATGTAGCTCGAAACAGATGCAAGAAGAGAGAAAGGGGGCGAAGTAGAAGAACAGATTGTAGGTAGGTATGTATGTAGGATCAAACTACTTCACCAGTGTACCATCGGCCACGATACCAAGGAGCCTGATAATGTAGTAATTGATACCATTTTCTGCAGGGCTGATCCTCATCAGTCACTTCTCGCGGTACCAGCAAAGTCGCTCGCTACCAATCAGAGCGACCTACTCCAACAATGGCCTACAACTCTCCCCCTCGCTACCGCAAAATTCCTCACAGCAATGTCCTTTAGACATACCTCGCAAGTGTGTAAGGGTTCATTTTCCCGGTTCAGTTCATACCGAGATCAATTCATCAGATGACTCCATCGCGTAGTGTTCTTGTTATTGTTCTCGTCGCATCTAATTTATCATGTCTACCTCTTATTCGATATCATCCGATGTAATAAGAGGACGCTATACGAGACCGACAAGAAAAGAATAGATGGATCCCCTCCTACAACACAAATGATCATACAATCGATCATAGCATGAATGGAATCCTCCTAAGGATGCTCGTAGGCGCAGTAGCGTGCATCTTTAATCATCCCGTGAGTTTATGTGCGTTAGGAGATATAGGTGAGATGCCTCTAGTCCAGGGACAGCAAGGCATGATGGCAAACTGCATAGCATGCCATCGCTCGTGGGGAATTCCTAACCACGTGCTGACCAACTCCCGACCTTACTTTTCGAGTAATGGGCGAAGAAGATCAACCGTTGATCTCGGGACTCACAAGCTCGGGCCTTGACACAAGCGCCCAATCTGCCTAATGGCGACTGTGATGAAATACCAGAAAGGAATGAGGACGCGACTTTGGGATATCCGCGATCGATGCGTCTCGTCGCTTAAATCAACTCGATACGACTACAGCGCACATCCCATCCATCGAGCCCTGAAGCTTAGCGATTCCAATGAATCAAAGCCCCTCTCTTCTGCGGGGATAGGATTCATAAGACGCGAGTGAAGCAACATGGCAGCATGGGCAAAGGAGTTCTTTGCTTGTAAATTCAAGTTCTGAAGATGTGTAGAGTTGAAGAATGGACACACTAGCGAAGTAATTACCATATCCGTCGTCGAAGCCCTTAATCTTGCGCGCTGCGACAGTGACGAACTGGGCTATGAGAACCGTTCCACTCGGAATGCTACAAGACCATTTCTACGTTACCAGGCCGAGTCTTTGAGCCCCTGCCGAGTCACATACTATTGGTAACCCCCACGAACTTGGAACCAACATCTTCTATGAGATTACAAGATGAGATCAAAATCTGCTAAAGAACATTATTTCGAAAGAACCAACTCTGACCTGGGTGTTGTGTAGTCACGAGTATCCGATATCGCAGCTTGAACATTTTCAGTCATGAAGCAAATGACATGTAGATTTTCGCTAGTGTTATCCCCTAAACCCGCGGCATCATCCCGAGACAAGAACGGTGAGTTTAGAGCACAGAGCGAATAAAAAAACGAGGCAAACCCAGCAGGCATCTCCTTGTACGAAAAGACAACCGTTGAGAAAAATGGTACGATTTATGAAAATTCTGAAAATTCATTAATATCCTCATTGCCTCATCAATGAGTGTCAATTATAGTATATTGTACTATTAATGTCTGCCCCAGAATAGGGCTTTGCAAGCGCTAAAGCAAGCCACAAGCTACAGCAGGTTGACAGGTAATATTTGCACTTCTCATCCAAGATCCATCCACCCACCCGGGTCCCAAGACCATGATCCAGCACCCTCCTAGCAGATAACCCACGGCAGATCTCTGGGGAACACAACAGGCAAAATAACCATGCCATGCCATACAGTAGCATTGCTTTGTAGATAGAAAATGACGTCGCGCATGAAATTCACTGGACAATACTCGCACGATGATGGCGCGGGAGTGGGAGGGAAAGTCAGCAGACGGCATTTGCGTCCCAGAGAAGTCCCAGAGATCTAGGTCTCCCCAGAGTTTAAACGATATCCATGAGATAGATCTCCATTCTCAGCCGTTGGTCAATCGGCAGGCAGTACGGCATTGGATTGCCCCACGGGCATTGATCGATTGACTCATCAATTCATCCATGAAACTCGGATCACAAGCGTAAGTCGAGACACTGAGGTCATGATTCTGGGCATCAGGATACAGCGTATTCAAGCTTCAAAGTTCACTCTACGGCAAAGCTTCTTGTTCAATACCACTCGGAATTTATGGACCTATCGCGTTAACTGGCGGCAAGGAGCAATAGGATGCCAAGCTTACGGGACCACGCCCGAACCGTCACTCGGAATCCTTCCTTGCTACCCGTTACAGTGGAGGTGAACCAGACTTTCAACGCAGACAACCTACATACAGCGTACATAAAAACCATCCCAGTTGATCTGATTTCCACATGGTCGGCTACCTCCTATGTGGGTGAATATCAGACTACCAAACGCATTCCCATCCATCATCGTGACCATGTATCCGAACGACGTTTCCAAGACATTTCCTCGGTGTGCATTAAACCTCAAGTTTGATCAGCCCCCACGATCTAGATCTACCAAAGCCCTCAACCTTAACGGAAGTACCGAAGAAACTAGTCTACCCTCCGAAATCCTCCGGAGTATAAAATATTCAATCGGTGAAGTCTTAATAAGTCTAAGTCCAGATTTACTCCCACCCACCTCTCAGATCTCCTAGCGGCTTCCTCCGAGGAGGAGAGGAGAGGGGAGGGGAGGGAATCATTGACCGCAGAAAACTCCCTTTGAGGAAGCTAGGAAAGGAACCTTGCAGCAGCTCGCGCAGGACTCCACACACACGTGTGCGAGATATTCCCCGTCCGACGTAGGGTCGAGCCAATCGCAGAGCGCACTCCCAACGACATCAAGTTGCGGATAGCTTCAAGTGACCATTTGACGTTATACTCCCCCCTCATCGCCAACTTGTCTCAAACAAGTTTCTACTTACCTGTACCTACCTATCTACCTACTAGGTACCCAAGTAGGCAATATGTGCGACTACTTACCTACCTACTCACCTACTTAGACATCGTCAGACCGCTAGTCGACAAAACCTCTGACCCCGCCAAGATGCGACTCAACCGCATAGGTAACAACTTGGAAATGACGATGGGACAAGACAAATTGCAAAGGGCCACTGCAGTTTACCATCTGCCGGCTGCCGCTAACACCACAGATTCGAGATCTGCGGATCTTGCCGCGACCGCCAGGGCAGGGCTGATCAAGTTTATCTTGTACCTACATACATACTTACATATCTTCAAGGGTCGTCACATGGGCGTCAAGACTGCATGCGTTGCGCAAGCGATGAAGAAGCTAGAAGCTTAACGTCTTTGCTAAGTAGTAGCCATCTCGTTAGGTTGGAAGACGATGTTCCGTGATGATTGCTAAGTTGGTGGAGGCATCGGAGTTGCAGTAATTCAGATATTCGGCGAAACTAGCATTGGACCCTTAAGATACATGTGTCTCACCGGCGCAAAGGTAGGTAATTTTCTGATGCGCTCAACCGTTTGTCTTGCGCAACACAGTCCTCCTTACCTCATCGTTGAGCTTACGGGCTAAGGAACGCCATGTCTAACATGTATATTGCTGTAACTTATCTGCCTAGAGATGTGAGACATACCAAGTGAGACAACATCCAAGCTTCTCATTTGTGTATATACGTCGCTTCATCTAAGCTATGCCGCAACATCCCGATTTGTCGGTGATTTGTGATCCACTGCATACATCCCGCGATTGGTGTCAAATGTCTGCTTCCGATAGTTACACACTGCGAAGAGCTTCGCCGTGACGCAGCCTCCCGCCCTGTCTCAGGCAGCAAGCTATTCTCGGAAGGGTGGCCGCAGGTAGGTAAATACCAAAATAATGGACACCAGCTTCATTCTGAGTTCATTTGATTCGTGTTCTTTTTAAGAAGCGTGTATGACATTTGACAACGCATGCTGTTCGTGCCGTTGCAAACCTTTTTCATATATAATTTTTAATCTATGGCTACGGGTAGCTGCTGTGTTTTCCAACCATCGGTGTAATGGAGGTTTCTTTCTCGTCATCGCAAAGTGCGTAATGCGTTGATCCGAGACCACGAGGTCTTGTTATGTTTTTGCTTGCACGGCAAGTTTTGAGGGATAAACATGAGCTAGAACATGAGCTTCTATATGGCTCATCACCGTATGAAAAGATGTAGAAGGTTGTAGATAAATATCATACATAACCCCATCGGCTTCCTTAACTGTTTTCTACATATATGCTATAAAATTATTTCTTTTGTCACTTCACTACTTCAACACAGTCCTTTTCATATTTTCTATTAGTCGTTCCTTTTCTCTAAGTCGTTCTCGTCATTAATGGGCTTAATATTCGCACACCATAAACCTAAGCGAACATCTCTATCGCCCCTAAAACATACTTAGACAAACTCGTTTAAGAATACTTGGATATGGTCACATCGATCGGCTATACTTGGGTTGTTATGAGTGATTATAATAGAGCTAGTTGATAAATCTAGCCCTCGCTCATACATTAGTCGATTCCCCTGTCGACTGTTTGCGTTGTGTTTCTCATCATCTTATCAACCAACCACATCCCCAAAGTTATCTTCCACTACAGACTTCGAGTAAGTAAAACTAAGAATGATACTAATTAAGGGGACTCGTATGCTAACAATGTGTTGAAGCAGACCGTCGACGGAACACCAAGTGTACAACATCAATCTACTGCGTCTAGATAAAGCGATGGCGTATAAAACTATCGAACGCTTAGACGCAACTCCCTAAGGTGACCCTTCATGTCACGCATTGTCATGAGGCACAACTAAAAGATAAGGGGCGATGTTGGCGCGCAAAGAAATCTAAACTGCTCTCTTTAAAGGAGCGCGGTACATATATAAATCACGCATGCCCCTTGTCTACTGTCTCTGGGGGTAATAGCCAACACGCCTTCTCAGGACCACTCATGGGCAGTGACGGACATTATTGGGCCCCATTCCTCCAAACACCAAAATTCTAAACCATCCGAGTCGAATTACTAGGTCGCCTTTAATAGGGACAGGTTTCTTGGATGGGGCATATATATCCGGATACGTTTAACTATATGTCCTAAATTCGACAAACACCTATAGCTTTATTGAAAATTACTTCAATAGAATATTCATCCAACTTCCGCGTGCAACCAACTGTGAAGTAATGCGTGAAACACAGCAAGTTTAGTATAAGGGGTAGGATTCAAACCCGAGGCTGTTAGGTATGGGGTACGTGATATAGTACGTATGTGTGTTTAGCTGTAGTCAAAAGGCATTTTCATTGATTTAATTCGCGAAGAACGCCTGTGAAATTCCAATGAATGCATTGTTAAGGCACCATAAATCATGTACCACCCCTATCAACCACAACCACCGCCTTCCCCCTAATCTTCCCACTCCTCATCAGTCGCAAAACCTCATCGATCTTGTCCAGCCCCTCAAACTCCGTAGCCTCTATCCTGAACCCTTCTCCAATCTCATCTTCCCCTTCACCACTCCTATATCCGTGCTTCCTCCTCCTCTCCGCAATAAAATGAAGCATATCCCAACTCTCCCCCAACCCTCACATCCCTAAAAACCAATTCCCGAAACGGCAGCACCACCTCCTCCGGCTGCGCAATCTGCACCACAGTCCCATGCATCCTCGTCGCCGCAGCCGCCAACGCCGTCGCGCCCGACGCATGCACACCCAACCCACCCGTAACCCTCTGCACATCCTCCACGACCTCATCTTTCGCCCCCCTAGCATCAACACCAACAACCCTACCCCCCAACCCGATCGCAAACTGCACCGCCGAATGTCCCAACCCGCCTCCAGACCCAAGCACAAGCAACCACTCCCCCCTCCACACCCCACCAACCCTAAGCCCCTTCCACGCCGTCCTCCCAGCACACACCAACGGCACAGCCTCGACGAAACTAAGTTCATCCGGTAACTTCGTAGTGAACCTCTCGTCGACCCTCACATACTCAGCAAAGCACCCATTGATATGAATGCCGGCATGGCCTTTCGTATGCGCGCAGTACTGCTCGAATCCCGTTTCCTCCCCTTGACCAACACAATCCTCCCCCCCTAAACTCCCTAACCTCCCCGACTCTAACCACCGTCCCCGCCCCCTCATGCGACGCCGTGACCGACATCTTCGTTCCGAAGACACCCGTGGCGACCATGGAGCCCGTGTGGCAGTAGTTCGCTGCCTTAACTTTGACGAGTAATTCGCGGGGATTAAGGGGATGGGGGATGGGGATTTGAGTTAGGGATTACGGGGTATTGAAGGATGTTGGAGGACGTTATACAACGCCAAAGAATCGAAACAGCATAAATTAAACGGCGTGTGTATTTGAGTCGGAATATTAACAGAATTTTCCAAGGCCATTACAGAAACCGAACTCACCAAGTAGCCTAGCGACAAACTCCCCAAACCCGCATACACCAGCATCACCATAGGCATGGAATTAACAGTTTTATTTTGATCGTACAAGTACCTATATAAACCACAAACCGCAAGCGCCAAGCACGGTATAAATCCAGCAGACAAAAAACGTTTCAATGATATATCCATCACGATCCTCCGGGCTGTCGAGCCGTTATACGATCAACCTTTTAAAAACCCTCGCTGAGCATTCCTCGCTTGCTCGGTGCTATACGCGTCCAGCTTAACGGCCACGAGCACACATTCGATCGCGCTCTTCCCGTTCCTCGAGCCTTGTATCCGGAGCCTCCACTGCCCTGTCTTGACTATCCACTCGTCTGCTGTATGACCTGATAGATCTATTCGTCTCCTCTTCCTCGACGGTGCGTAGAACCCGCCTATGCTAGAGATGGGAGAGTCCTGTTCTCCGCCATGTCCCATCGATGACGATGCCGACATTGCTACCGCCACGTCTTCGATTTCTGTATAGTTGGTGTATGTTTTTCCGTCGAGGATAATATGTGTCTCGGGCTCGATTATTACTCGAACAAGATCTTCGCTCAACGGGGTATTCCCCGGTGTCGCTGGCTGGCTGCTAGCTCCGCCCGACGCCATCAAAAGTCCTAAAGGTTGAGTCGTCGGTGGAAGATTAAGCTTCGTGGCTATCACCTCGAACAATCTCGCAACGCGGACCTTGACCTGACCGAAGAATTCTGCTCGCATGACGTTTAGATGCATCTTCGTATTCTCACCTCCGATTTCTAAGATAAGCTCATGGTGTTTGTCGTCCTCATATGGCCGCATGTAGTTAATCCACCCAGAGACAGGTTCTGCGCCATTACCTGGGGTCGTAACATCGGTGGCAATTGAAATACCAGATTTAAGGATATCTTCTAATCTTAGAGTAATTTCATATCGTCGCCGAGATAGATTATAATTTATATGATGCGGAATCAACTTCTGTTCTACTCCCTTAAAATTGAAATACCGGCAGTCGCGGAGAAGGGAAGCGCGGTGTTCCTCGTCGCGGATATGCACCGGGTATCCTCGCAGAAGGTGTAATAGCTCATAAAAGGTATCAGCAGACCGATTTGGGACAGACGGTGGCATAATAGAAGGCGGCCTAATTAAGTTTTCCCGATCGAGTCCGGGGAAAATCTCATCGCGAGAAGAGAAGAAAACGCCGAAACCCAAAGAAAAGAAATTAGGTGAATTTCCGGGTCCGGTGAATATGTCGCGTGGGATTTGAAACTCGCGATGGCCAATAGAAATGAAGATAGACTCTTCATAGAGCTGCGACATCAGCTTGGGCAAAGTATAGAACTGGGCATCGGCGAAAAGGCGCACAAAGTGCGTCCCATCGCGTGGGGAGACATGATAGCCTTGTAAATGAAGGGAAATATCCCTAAAGGTAATTGGATCCCGATCTATGTAAAGGGTCCGTATAGCTGTTGATATATCTTCACCACTTTCTTCGGCCTTTTTAATTTGGCACTGAAAGTATTGTGAAAAATATGATGGGGCTGAAAAACAATGTCAGCAAAACGGCTCTTGGCTCTCAAAAGATGACGTGTCCCCATTCAGATATATATGAATGAGAATTAAGTGTGTATTTTTGAGATGGAGAGGAGAGGTGTTTAGGCTTCGTTGGGCTGACATCATCTGTCTGGAATAGGGGGTTAAGGTTGAGAGAGAGTAAGATAAAATAGGCGCTCATTCATAGCCTCGTACTCACCGTCGGATGAGAGAGAAGCGCCGGAAAGTTTAAAGAGTTCGGTCCCAATTTGAATGGGAAAGACGCGTTCATGCGGCAATATCCTTGGGATTTTAGAAATTAATTCGGGATCCGATGGTGGAAGATGGAAGGCGTCGCGACCCTTGCTGGTCTCACTCGAGTTTCTAGACGTGTTGTTCATTGTTGATGATGATGATGCGATCTATGGCCGAGCACACGAGACTTAACATGGTCGCCTGTTAATGCGCCCCTGCTACTGGATTCATCCTAGTGGGAATAGCCGAGCGCGCACTGTCAAAGTCATGATAGAGTAACTGATATCTCGGGGATGGTATATCGTATATTATGAACGAGTTAACGAGTCGATGCTGATTAAACACGAAGTGAGTTGTAACTTGTAAGCGGCTGAGGGTATTTAAACTTTTAAGCTTTGAAGATTGAAGAAAGTACGGAGATTTGCAATCGTTTGGAAATCAATGCCTTTCCAATGGGCTCTCGTTCTTTCCTACCCAAGGTTACATAAGGTGCCCCAGCCAGCTAGGGTGCTTAGGATGCCAAGGGTGCCATCCATGTTCGCACGTGAGGCGGTGCATCTACAAACCTTTTATTGGTTTCTTAGTGGCTAAAATGCACTAAGATGTGGCTGAACATCCACTACGGCTATATCGAGTAAGGCCGACACATGGACGCTAGTCTCTCTTCAGAAGGTTGCATGGTTTATTTTTTATTTTTATATCTTGATTCTCGTGCTATCATCGAATTCCTTGGTTGCTCTAAGCCTTACCTAACTTCAACCTTCACATTACGATATAATTATATGTATATTATGTATATGCATCCCATCAGAGTAACGTACATCCAACAATCCCGAGGTTTAAGGTTTAGAATCTCAGAGTTAAAGAGATATCTGGTTGATCTCGATCCATCGGGATCTACTTCTGCCGAATTTCGAAAGCCATGTCCGTCTTGCCTGACGCCATCTTATTAGTTTAAACGATATCCGTTATAATTAGTTCTTCAAAGTAGCGAGTCCGAGACCCTGAGCTCGGAGGGCGAAGTTTCTCGTGTTGCGAACACGGTTACAGAAGTGCCGCTAGATTTCTCTTCTAAACTGACGCGTATCTTCGTCACACGCACGACTGTACCATTGCACACGTGAATGAGGCTACTCGACCATTTCAGGTGGGAGTCTTTGCTTGAATAGGTAACTACCCCGTCTCTCGCTCGCGGAATCCTCGGAGATAGAGCGAATTCTCTACTTATACGCTGAATATTTTCAGCCCAATATCTCGGTAACAATAAAACATGCCTAAGTGAATTCCCGGCTTCATAGAGGGGTATATTTGCGCGACACGCGTTATCACTTGCCCAATCTTATTACCTAGGTAATAACTCTCTACTTACTAGATTTCGGATCTCTGACAGTCAACTCTGACAGTCAACGGACCGGCAATCTACATGAGGTAATAGTCCGCGAAGCACTAGCTGGAATGGTCTTGAGCCGCAAGCCACCAATATTTATTGATCCCAAAAACTAAATATAGCGCTTGTTCTTCTCCCCCTATTCCACCTACCCAGGTACTTGGTAGATGTCTTTCTTAATATGGTTGCAATATTGGGGGCGGATACTATAATATATGTATGACTGCATTAGAACCCAAGTCAACCAACTTTGAAGGTCTAAGACGGTTCGTTGCAACAATCCTTAATTCACTAATACGCAACGTCCGAAGTTTCTATTAGAAACATCTCGATTTAGGTTCGGAAGACTTGATTCTCACGGACACAACCACCGCGTATCTACCGATGCAGTATAAAGCGGGTATAATTTACGTACAGAAGGCATGCATGTGTTGCATGCGAAACGATCACCGAGGCCGTCCACCAAAATGCTGTGCATACTTGCTCACCAAGCCTATAAAAAGAAAAATGCGCTTCAAGGGGGCAAAGGGTGTTGCGTCTAGGATGGTAACATCACTCGTTCCAACGTAACGTGATAAAAGACGAAGGAAGACTTCCATGAGAAAGTGCATGAGAGAAAGGGGAATTCTAGCCCCCACCGTGTGTGTCCAAACCGACTTCAAGGAATACTTAGTTTCGCGTGCAGTAAAGTTCAAAATGGGAGAATAAGCCAATTCTAGACAATCACGAGTCCCCCTCTGGTTAGTTGTGATATACTTAGAGTTCCTATTTCCGAGGTGTAGCTATTGTTTGCATCAGCACCTGATATAATGCTATTCACAGGATTTGTTGACAGATACATCATGTCAAAGGGAAAAAGCTACTCACCATTCACCATTTGTCTCTGCTTGTTCAACCAACTCTTTGGGACATCATGCCGCCGCTGTAGCACAACATGGTTGCTCTGTAGGCGGCTTGTGAGGTCATACCAAGCAGTGGCGATCATCGCATTCTCCCGCTGCAAGTTTTTAATAATCTGGTCGGTTTGTGCCTGCCAAATATGGTTAGGTAGATGCTCAAACATTACTCTCCAGTAATAAGAAAATTAATTTAGTCACAAGATCCTGGTCAATATACATGATCATAGAATGAGATACAAGAGTATGATATGAAAACATGAAACAAAATTTATATTTCTGAGCCGTAATGAAAACAGATATATGAAAAGACACCGGTAATACCATCTTTTCCAGACTAGCGATATGAAATTTATAAGCAGGGAAAGCTTGACGTACCTTCTGAGCACCGGCTTCTGATCCGGCACGGACAGCTTTGAGTGTCCGATCTAGCTCGCGGTTCTTAAGTTCTGACTGCTCGTATTGCTGTAAGTGAGAGGTACATTGTTAGTATATGTATGTTCTAAATGATTCTCGTCGTAAGTTTGCAGGTCTGACACAACCCCTTAGCCGCTTGACCCCCTCATCTTATTCGCTGATACGATGAAGGTCTAGGAAAGGAGACAACGTAGAACGTGCACTCGTTCTGCTAACAGGTCTGCTCCCAGAAGTGAATTTCGAGATGTCTGAAGAATTGCTTAGGTTTCTAGAAGAGAAGCCACTGCTGCCAAGTCCAGGGGGAGACTGGGGAGATATAGGAGATATGGAAGATAGGATAGAACTAGGAGAAGAGACTGGACGATCAGAGGGTCCAAATGAGCCATTACGCTTTACTACGTAAGGGTAAAAACCGCTCTCTGGTCGCTCTTGTTTCTTTCCGAAAAAGGGGCTAGTGAGAGCACTCCAAATACTCTGGCGCTTGACCTTAGTGTTGATGACGTGCCTATCATCATCTTCGCGGCTGGAAACAGACCCGGCAAGGGATTCGCTAGAAGAACGTTGACTCACCTGCTGTAGTTGCTTGTATCGTGTCCGGAGCTTCTCCATCTTCTCGGATTGCTTTGCGCTATCCGTGCTGACGGGCAGCCCGTCTGCGGCTCTTTGCATCTCGCGGTTAGCCGTCTCAGCCTCGCGTCTGAGTTGGTCCTTCTCGATAAACGCTGTCAAGAGTTGCGATCGCTGGTTTTCGAATTCATCTCTTAATGCCTTGTGTTTCTTCCTTTCCGCCTCAAGCTCGGCACGAAGAGAAACGGCAAGCATGCCATCTGTTCTCTTCAGCTCCGCAAGGGCTTCTAGACTCGACTTCTCAACGGCATTAACTTTATCCTCAATGTCAGCATAGTTTCCAGTGAAAGCATATTCCCTGAAGATGATCTTACAATCACCTCGTGCTTCGAGTAGAGCACGATCTTTGTCGGCGATCTGCTCCTTTGCGGCAGCAAGTTCCCTTTCCAGTTGCTTGGTGTTGTTCTGTTCGGCGAGGACTTGCGTTCGCATGTTGGAATATGTTTCGTCTCTGAAATAATTCGACATTAGCCACTTCGTATCCGGAGCGAGGTCATAACAAGCTTGCATAGCCTTGACTAACCCATCTTTGCCCATGTTCTGGATAAGCGCATCGAGCTGATGTTGGCTAACCGTGTACTTCTCGAGCAAATCATTCACCTTCTCCTGCAGGGTTTCACGTGAAACGCGAAGGTCCTCCATCTCCTGGATAAGCTGACCTTTCTCCGTCTCCGTACCAATGCTGCTCTTGAGAACGGCATTCTCCGCCTGCAGGCGCTGCAATTCGAGATTCCTCATTGACATGGCATTACTAGATTCATTCAGCTCATCTTCTAGCGTGGCCTGATGGGAACCCAGAGGGGTAGTCGGGGTAGTAGCTGAGGGGTCAAACATCATAACCTTCTCTTGAAGGTCTCGGACGACAGCCTCATCTATTTGGCTCCTGGAATGCAGATCTTCAAGGCGCAATCTTAATTCAGCGTTCTCTGCCGTGTACATCGTCTTCTGATTATTAAAGTTGGCAATGTCGATTTCATACCCTTGCATCTTCGTGGCATAAGCTTCAGCTTCCCGCTTCAAGGTCTCTACCCTCATTGTGGCGTTTTCAAGCTGTTCCATAAGTCTGGCCGCATCAACCCTCTCATTTTGGAGGGTCTTGAAGTCAGCTTCTATCGCCTTCATCGACTCTAGCTTCTTTCTTAGATTGTCGGCCATGTTGGCCTTCTTAGAAAGGTCTTCATTTCTAGAACGAAGCTCCTGGTTCTCGTCAGTTAACGTCTCAGCTTTTTGGGCCGCTATTTCAAGGCGGGCTTTCTCTTTCAAGAGCCGGTCCCTTTCTTCAACCAAGTAATTCCTTTCGTTCTCCAAGTTTGCGATGAGCGTCTCATTCTCCTTCAGCTGGCGTTGAAGACGATGTTTGTCGAAGTTACCGACTTCCGACTCAATCTGCTTGTGTAACTGCTCATTCTCTTCTTGGAGCTCCTCGTGCTTCCTAATAAGATCCTCGTAGTTATCCTGAAGACGATCCAGCCGCATTTTTAAGCCGCCCGCCTGCCTTTTCGCTTCTTCCGCCTCATATTGCAATTGCGCCAGCGCTGCTTCCTGCGCAAGTTCGTCATCGGGGTCTGCGGGAAGTTGGCCGGGTTCAAGGTCACTGTCAGTTATCTGTGCCAGTTTGGTCTCAACTTCTTTGAGGATCTGGAAAATGCCCTGCTGAAGTTTCGTTTCCAAACCTGTAACCAAACTAACAAATTTCGAGTTATCGTCTTCACGGAGACATGCAGCGCACAGGAAGAGGACTAGTATCTAAAGATGAATGTTAGCGGGATCTGAAAATACAGGGAATTGCGCCGAACTGGAGGGAAAGGTAGGGGTACTTACATCGAAAGCGCCAGCCCTGGTAGGCTCTTTAGCCAATGCCTGGAAATCCAGTTCATTGATCAGGGGTTCTATTCTAGGACAGTTTCGCCTCCCTAGGTCCTTCAATCCCATATGGATGATGTGCAGGTTCCTTCTTCTACCTTGTGATGCATCGGTATCGGTTGGAAAAGCTTCAAGGCTTTGCTGGAATCTAGAAGGGTTGTACTCGGTATCTAGAATCTCAAGCAGGGCAGAGAAAACAGCACCGTCGAAGAGGTTCTCGGGCTTCTTCGCTCTCAACTCTGGACCTCGATCAGGTATGAATCGGACGAGCATCGACTCGGTCTATTAAACCAGATTAAGTTAGCAGCTGGTTCATTATTTGAGACAAAAATTCAAGATAAGGAACGAGGTCAAAAGAAAAAGACGTACCCATTCGAGCAAGGCTCCTTGCGTAGCCGGTGATTGTATAGAGGGAACCATGGTTACGGTTAGATATTATCTCGGTATGTAATGTGTGATGCCGTCTCTGTCGTTTATTAGGATTAGAGGAGGCTGTGAACCGTAACTCGATTCCAGCCGAAGGGCAGCTAGCTGCGCAACTCAAGAGTTCATTAACTACTGGGTATAGAAAATAAATATAAATAGGGTAGGAATCGCAGTTGCGCTCTAGCAATAGTGAAATGAAAGTAGTGGTTCAAGTCGTTGACGATGATGTGTCGAGGACAAGCGGGTTGAAGTAGGAATTCGTGCACCAGCAGCGCTATAAGAGGCCAAAATATATCATTGTTCTGAAAGAATGGATATTGTTCGGATTGTTCAGATTGTTCAGAGTGTAATCAAACCCATTGTTTCTGAACGTCTTTCCTTCTTTCTCTTCCTTTGTCAACCAAAGGATTGTTGGATGGTGTCAAAAGAACGTTGAAGTTGAAGTCGTAAAGTCGTAGTTGAAATGTGCTTCCCGAGCGGTTTGAACCTAATAAGACGCCTATTATTAACACTAACGTGGTTGCTGGGTTGCTGCTGGGTTAAGGCGGCACGGTCACTGGGTGTCTGTGGAACTCGATATCGATTAAGAATCAACTCGATAGGGGGGAGAACGCTTTGTGGCTCCTGTAACTACAGGGATCTTGCATGTGCTAATACGCCTAAAGCTGCATCTTCCTTGTCCAAGCTAGAACCATTTCGTCAACATGCAAGGTACGAGAGGCTTAAGTTTTGGAAAGCGCAAAGCGTTCAGAGCGTTTTCATAGCAGACCTCGGGCACTTCGGGTACACTTTGCATGAAGAAAAGGTGAGAGATACTTACCGCATCCTGCGCACCTTTTCGTCATAGGTCAGCCATTGCCCTTTAATCTTATTAGGGTGATATTCAGATAAGCCATGGTTCTAGCATCTAAGGCTGACGCTTAGTTGAAACTTGTCTAACAGAAACACTTTAGCATGTCATGGCTACAAACTACAAACAATCTTCCATTTAACCACCAGTAAGGGATGTTATAACTTTTGTTGGAAATGTTTTAACTGTGTACCGGACTGGAGTCTAGACAGATGGAAGAGCTCGGGAAGGTCACGACCACCATTATCAATTCCAGAAGACCCGAGTCAAGCGACGTAAGGTCACATCCATTCATTACCGTTTGTTTCAAGTCACAATCTGCCCCCGCAGAGGACGGCGATGTAACGCGATCAGACCTCACATGAGAAGAGAATTGGGACGATTTTCTAGTACTCATAGCGTATTATGGAAGCGCTGTACCTATTAAGTATCAAACGGTCGGAATCTTTCTTAATGCTCACAACTTCTTTCACATTTCTTTTATCAGATACAATGAATATACAAAAACCGTTAATGTCAAACGGCTTTCTATTTAACGGGAACTCACATACTGTAGTGTTCTCATTCACACGTGGGATATATTATGAAAAAGCTCTCTTTTAAACAAGCGTAATAATTAATTATTAGCTTGTAAGACTAACCATCAAGCGCCAAAAGCGGTCGGATTATAGGGTACAAAATCTTGGACATAAAAGTTCAATTCATGATTATGTCATGGTCAGAAACCTACCAAAGAACATTCACTGCGATCCATACACGTAAACTAACCCACTCCTGAGTGGACATAAAGGAATCTCGTCAAATGAAGATATATCAGCGGTGAACTTCACCGAGTAAACGAACTATACACCGCATCAAGTTTAATAATGTCTGCTCATGTAAGAGATCCATACCTCTTACGATAGCCATCTTCTTTCAATTAATAAATCTGTGTAACCCAGACAATACGTAGTATAATATTACCAAATTCGATGAATGTGCTTAATACTTGATACCATTTTTGAATATGTCTACCAAATCTCAAAGAACCAAGATCTAGGAAGACCTAGGCCACGAATTCAATGCAGGAAAAGCTTGTTAGAAACTCCATAGCCCCGATGGCTGGTATAGTTATCGTTGGCGCATGAGGGCTTGCATATATCCCCAAAAGACTTCGATAAACCCCATTGTATCCGGGAGGCACCCATCACCGCCAATCTCACTGTGTATAATATTCAAATAGACATTACATTACCTACTAATCAAAATCCCTACCCACTTCGCAAAACATCGTATCATTAGCGGGAGCATATGTATAAACAAACCCAAGCCACATGTTTCAATAGGTACTCAAGATGAGAACGCGCAAAATCCACAGGTACAAATCGCAAGACAACGCTCCCGAGGAGTGGAACGATCCGAACGCATCTCGGAACAGCGAAAATAATGATATTCCTACGAAACAGCAACCAGCCCAGACCCTCCAAGGAATACTAAAAAAACGCCGGTAACCCGAATGACTCTCTAATTCAACCGAACCCGAATGTCCAAATTATTTTCATGTTGCCTGCTTTTTCAACTCAACTCGACGCCGATCCCGTCTGCGGGGTTCGTGGGGGGGTATCGTGCAGGTAGGATGTTCCAGCATGCCTTTCATCACGCGGCAGCGGTCGCATAGCCGCCCGAGAACGCCGCGCTTAAGACGAATTCGATGTGATCTCGACGACCTGGTCCTCCTCGATGACGGCGTGGAACTCCGAACTCCAGGCCGACACCGTCTCGAGGATCTTTTGAGGTGCTTTGGCTGCGAAACCCCTGTTTTTGAGACGCGCGGTTAGTTCATCTGTTTGTTATCGTAGAATTGAAGAAAAACACTCTGTCTGTTATTTAAATAGAGCGGCGATGGAAGATATGGCCTTGAAGGATGGAGAGGATAGGTAGATCGGGATAGAGTCGTACTTGATGAGTTGGTATTCATGAGTAATCACGCCCCCCGCCTTTCGGATGTCATCCTTGGCGCGGTTGACGATATCGTCTGTGGTCTCGCTCGGGAAGCTGACGATAACAGACTTCTGGACGTCGACGGCGGAGACTCCCTGAGCGACGGCAAGCGCCGCGACGATGGTCGAGAAGAAACGCATATTCGTAGTGTTATGTGGCTTGTTTCGGGTTGGCGGTGACGTTAGGCGGTGGATAGGAGATTGGTAGAGCGAATCGACAGACAAAGAGGATTGGCCAAGGAGCGGTATCTGGAGACAAGAAGTATTTGAGAAAGCTTGAACTTTAATCGGAGGCGAACAATGCGGGTTTAGTTTGGTAGTTCTTGGTTGAAACAAAGTGAATGATGAATTGTTTGTGATGATGAAGAACTTGGCGGTTTGACCTTCGTGTCGATCTTCTTATTAGTTGGTCCTTCCGCCTGGGAGAGTGGAACTGGGGAGGCCGGGGATCCGGTGGCTTAACTGTGGAGTGCCTAGTGATTCCTCCTCCCTATTGCTTCCCATTTTGAATTCTACAGCTTCCCTGATAGGAAGGTAGTGGGGCCGATACGGTACCTATTTTACACCACTAAGAGGGTGGCAAGAGATTGTACCACCTGCAATCCGGCGATTCCCTAGCATCAGTGAATCATTCCATGTGATCTTCCGTCGTATTTTCTACTAATTATGTCTTCTCACCTTTTGAATTCTTTAACCAATCTGATTTGATACGATTCTAATGACATCACATAATACCAGCGAAAATTACAAGGTTAAAATGAGACTCTTGTAGACAATGACATACAAATCATGGTAAAATAGTAAGTGACTTGTTTCATTTACCAATATATCTATGTTACTCCTTTTGCCTTATTTGGGTTGTCTAGTCTCTCATGTAAATTAGTGTCTTAACGTCAAGTGTTGCGAGCATCACCAATGGAACCACCATGTAAGATCTAGTATGGCATTCATGAATTTAAGAAGTTGCTAGTCAGGTTATTTCAACTAGGTATGAAATCTTATTTTTTTCATCTCAACATTATCTTAACACTAGCGACTAATAGTATCTAGTTTGTTTAGCTAACATAGAGTTATTCAAGAGTACATTATGGAAATATATAATGTATCATTCTCTCTCATAAACGCTCTTTATTTCCCATGCCAATAAGATCTTAGTGAGCTTGGTCATGGATGGAAATTCAATCGAATTTTCGTATGCAAACACGATACACCAAAGGATACCGAGGACAACCTAATAGACCTACGCAATTTGCAATACGGGTGGCCTGTTCCTGTTCACTGTCCATACTGGAATTATTCTTCTTTATATGATGGGAATCGATACACAGGCGTATTCTCCTCCCAGGCTTCTCCACGAACAAGAAGAAACACCCATCATATTGATCGCCAGTTATTTTTTTTCTCGCTCGGAAGCGTACAATATCGAAGCTGGCTTGAATCTGAGACACACCTTTTTGGTTGTATTTCGTAGACAATTGGGATATCGGAAAAATCTTGGAAAGGCCGTAAATCTTCTTGAGCCTTGGAAATTCATGAGGGCAGTGAACTTTCGCATCGAAGTAGATCATCCCACATTGGCACATAACAAACTCTCGAATATATTTGCAGAGCTCCTGTAGACAAGGCATCTTATACAATATCCGTTTTATAGTCTTGAAGGTGATGTTGATATGGTGGAGATCGATAAAGAAAGGAGTACACCTCGCTATCTCTTCCCGTGCTTCTCTGTTGACGTGGAAGCATCCGGGTACCGGAAGACGGACAACAGGGGGCCCAGTTGGTAGAGCCAGAGGCAGCATATCTGGTGCTGCAAATTGCCAGATCATGTTCCTTAGCTCCCGGGGGAGCTCTGGGAATCGTGGGAAGTCGCTAGGGGTCTTTTGCGACATGATATTATGTGGAGAGATTTTGGTATCCTTCCTTGTTGGTGTTTGCCTTTATAAAGAGTTGAAGTAGTAGAGAGAGTATTGGAAGAAAAATCCATAATATCCTTATAATTATCAAGAGTTGAAAAATAAAATCGTAGGTCTTCACTCGTGATAGGAGCCCCGGAGGTGGTTTTATACCTACCTACCTAGGTACCTAGGTAGTTCCTGAGAGCCACAACCTGAAATATGAAATTGAAGAATATTTTATTATAATCTTGAATGATAACTTAAGATCTTATGGCGTTGTAGTCATGAAAATATTTAGGTTTGATAATTACGTGGGTAGGTGTCGGAGTTTCAACTTAATCTCGTAACTAGCCTATGTGTCCTTAACTTAAATCTCATAAGGTTTGATGAAGTGATAGTACTTGATATAAAAGCCCTCTTAAAAGACACTCTCCCCCGTGAATTTTCATGATGGTAAGTTGAATAGGAAAAAAAAAAACATCTACAAGGCTTTTATATTAGATCTGCCACAGTGGCATGTATTGCCCACTACATTCTGTGCGTGGCTAAAGACTTCGAGCATCTTCTTAAGATATCTATTTTATGGTATTTAAAGTTCACAATTATTCAAATAAGAGTATTTGCTGACTTAGATGTGACTTCTTCCCGAACATGATGGGCGTTATACAAGAGACACGTTTGAGCCACAACAAAGGGTTTACGTTTCTTACGAGCCTCAACGCCTCGATATCTCACGGATCTATGTATGCACCAGGCGCTTGTCTTGGAAACTATCATGTATTGATACACCTACATCATGGCCCGTTGTGTACAGGATATCATGTATTTGTGTATTTATGGTTGGCGAATGGATGCTGTCCTATGAAGGTAAATAATTATTCTAGAAAGTTAGCGTATGAGAATAAGGGTAATGTAAGTACATGAATTTGGCAAAGTGGACCTATTATTGAATTTACACATATCGTGATGATTTTCTCGATATGTATTTAATTTTGCTAAAGATCAAATTATTCGAGTTCTATGGATTTGCGCCCTATCGAGAGATGATGGTAGTGAACTGCCGAGAACAATATACAAGAATTCCATGCTCGGGTCTTGATTGGCTGTTCGAGATTAGCCGTCGAAGAGCTTCACCATAAGTTATTTAGAAATTCTATCTGTGTAGCAGTCTGAGAACAATTAATTTTCCGATCAAAAAAGCTCCGTATCGATCTGTGAGTGCATATATGAGTGGTGGTATTTGTTGTAATTTAGACCCATGAGTCTTCTCTTACCTGTCAGTCAACTCTAGTCGCAATCACGTAACGGGCAATCTCGAGATACCATCAACATGCTCCAAAATCTCCTTAGGGCCATAGAGGTTCTATTCCTATCGGCTCTAGTGTCAGCTGTGTCAAATGTGACTGTTGTTCCTCTTACGAGCGGCTGTTCTTCGTACCCTAACTATGACAACACGACGGGCATCGCAGGGCCTCTACGTTTAGTCGCAGACTCAACCGGAACGGATGTTGACGGGTTTAAATTTAAACCCCTATTCGCCATTGCTGTTGGTGGTGGAAGTTGGGGCTTCGTACGCACTGCTTCCCCTGTTCCTAAACCCCCTATTCATCGAACCCCGTACATAGTGCATGTACATCAGGACTGATAGTTGAACTCGAGGTAGATGGTACTACCAACGATCGAGAACAAGACCGCAGAGGAAATCCCATTCCAATGTAGCAACGACACGTTGCAAGCTCACCTAAATATGGGTTTCGCTGGGACTGTGTGGCAGGATCTGATCGCAGCTGGGACACCCGGCGAGTCCGTCTTCGGGTTTCGCTTGCCAGATTTACCGGACCCCAACTATCACCTTGAGACATGGTATGTGTGCACTTAGATCTGCTTAAGAGATCTGGAGGTGTCTAGCGCTTTGATTACCATGAGTGAATGCTGACTTGTGTTTAGTGCGTGATCACCGTCCTCTTCGTGCTAACAATTCCTTATTCCCTACCCTAACCCTTGGGAAGTTCTTATTAGACACGAGACGTTGAGACGATAGCATGCGATAGCTAACATGGAATAGATTTGCACCTCGTAGACGGAGTGGAGCAACCGGGGGTGTATCTCGGATCCGTCAACGTCACAAACTGGGGCTTCAACTACCAGAACTTTACCGAGACGGGCGAGTACTACTACGCAAGGCTGCTGGGGCCGAATAGCAATAACCCAGCGACGGGAAAGCAACTGAACTCAGGGGAATTTGCCGGGTATATTAAGATCACTGCCGCTTGATATGTATTTGCTCCCGAATATACTTGAGTTATGCGACGTGTAAACTCAACGCTCATTTGCCGAGTGCGCAACGGCCGATGATGTTTCCGTCTTTCATGTTGAATCCGTGTGATTAAATGGTACTGAGGCTGTTGAAAAGCCTCCTTCGAGCAACTAGCTTGCTTTCATTCTCCAATCCTATAACTTCATGAACAACTTGCTCTATTCTTTTCCGATCGTGGTCCTCATTAACGTAGGTGGATATAAATATTTCCGTCTAGGCCGCTCATTGCCTTTCCCATCGCCGATACATATGCGATCAACCTAAAAGTATCCGCTTAGCCAACACAATTAGTTCATACAGTCCCTTGTGGGCAGTCTACTATGTTCCTTCTAGCTTTCAACTTAAATCATTAATCCCACAGCCAACTAACCAAGCGCACCCAACCCGTTGACTTGCCCTCTGGCTCATCGGGATAGAGGTCCACCTGTTTGAACGCCTCGTCAAGCGGTATGCTATCGAGTTGTGCGATATAAGTCTTCTTGACAAACTTCCATATGAAGTAAGCCCCAACTACGAGGGGTATGTCCCTGGTCAAAAGTTAGCAAAAGGTCACAAATACCATAGAAGGGGGGTGGTGGGAGGGGTGAGACGTACAAATATGATGAGACGAAACCACTCGGGTCCCAATTCCCCTGCGTAAAGACCTTGAATCCACCAGTAAGTAGGATCAAAATGCACATGAAAAGTGCGGCGCATGAGCTGTAATCTACACAGAGTTAGCACCTCCATCTGTATCCCCCAAATCATATCTAGCAAAACTTACAAGTCCACCAATTATGCCACGGTAATCTCTCATCCGGAATCCCCTGCTTCTTCATCGCCAACTTCAGGCGTATGTGATTCAGCAAGATCACCGACCAAGAAACCAACACGCCCGCCGCCGTCAAATCAACCAACCACCAGAAGACCGTCAGCGCGCCGTTACTCAAGCTCATGAAGCTCAAGAACATGCACACGGTATAGAACAACACACACACGTACGGTGTGCCCCAAGACGTAGTGCGAAGGAATATCCTCGGAGCCTGGCCCTTGAGCGCTAGACCGAATAAGACACGCGTGCCGGCGAGCAGGGACTGATTCGACGCCGACCATGCGGATGTAATGACGACGGCATTGACGACGCTAGGTATGGCGCTGATACCGGCAGCCGCGGCCGCGATAACGAATGGGCTCTGGGCAGCCGTGCCGGAGGAGTCATCGAGGCGGGAGTCGTCGCTAGAAACCAGGAGGCCGACGACTAGAATGGCCAGGAGGTAGAAAAGCAGAACACGGTAGAAGATACGCTTACACGCGCGAGGGATCGCACGTCTCGGATTCCGTGTCTCAGCCGCGGCCATGGCGAGCGACTCGATGCCCGCGAACGAGAAGACGGCGCTGGTCAGCACGCCCCAAAAGCCGAGAAATTTGCCCCATGCTCCTGTCGCTATGTATTCAACGAACGGACCGGGCTCATACCAATACCTGAACCCGATCGCAGGGGTGCCCGGTATACCTCCCGACGCGATAATAATGCCCAGAACAATCAAGAAGACGACAAGCAGGACTTTCAGAATCGCAAACGCGAACTCGACCTCGCCAAACACGCGAACGAAGGCAATGCCCACGATGAACGTCAGCACGATAAACGCCATGATGTAAGCGGTGGGGTTGACGTCCTCGGACCAGAAGGTGAATAGCACGCAGATAGCAGTGATTTCGCTAGGGATAGACAGCGCAATGCCGTAGACCAAATTCCAACCAACGGCAAACCCAAGCGCAGGGTCGACGAGAAACTCGGCGTGTCGAACGAAGGATCCGGTAACGGGGAGTAGAGCCGACACCTCTCCCAACGCGAACGTAACCGCGCACACGACCAGCCCGACGACCGCGTACCCAAGCAGCGCACCCAGCGGTCCGCCCGTCTGAATAGCCCCTCCGAGACCGAGGAACAAGCCCGTGCCAATCGCGCCCGCAAGACCGATCATAGAAAGATGTCTCTGCGCCAATCCCCGCGACAGCGACCTTGCCTCCGTACTCGTGACCAAATCGCCATCATGCTGCAGCCCATCCCGGTGTCCCTCCTCATCATCACGGTACCGATACGCGGCATCAGTCTCGCGGACGTAGTCCTCAGCGCCGTTTTCGAAGCCCATGTTTCCGGATACAGTCAGACGGCCAGACGAGACATACCTCCCGAGAAGCGGCTCAGTCTCAGCACCGCTCATAATAAAGGGCCAAAGAAAACCAGGGCTAGAGCGAGAAAGAAAAAAAAAATCTCACCGCGACCGCATTAACGAACGGGGACCAAAAAAAAAACTAATTATTAATAATAGCAACAGGGCTCCAGAGGAATTAATTAGGTAGGAACGCGCGGCGCGGAAAACTAATAGTACTACCCAGGGGCGAGGGATTAGCGGCGAGGCCGTCTGACTTCAATGGCACCTTTAGGGGAAGGACAGAGAAAAAAATGCTACTGCTACTACAATTACGCCATTTTTAGCTGGTATTCGCTATGCTGTTGGTTTGGAAAACTGCGGGTTGGTTTCATGAGAAAGGTGCTGGGGGAAATGGCGTGAACGGCTGAATTGGGGCTAGGGATATCTAAGGTTGTATCTTATCGCTGCTGATAAGCGGGGGGCGGTCCCGCCCCGGTGTATATGTTAGATGACGGGAACCCCGATTCATGCTTCCTCTTTTGTAGGAAAAGATCTTTGACGTGATGTTCCTTATTATGATACATTTACCAAACAGGTATGCCAAGAAGATGCATAGAGGACCTAGAATTCTTCGTAGTTGATGGGGGATAAGGCGTTCTCATACTTCGTATGTATAACGTTCAAGGTTTTCAATGTTGCTTAGGGCTTATTTCGTGCCGATCCGTATGAGCCCAGTGTGCAACATCGCACCGAAGAATGACTCTACGCCCATGCTTTCAATTGAAATATCTCGACAAGTGCAAGCTACCTAGGTAAACAAGAAACAAAAAGCAGAAATAAAAGACACTCACATACACGCCGTATATGTTTTATATTACACAAGTGGCTTGGGCTTGATTCAAGATTTCTTTCCATCCAAGGCATTACCTCAGCAATGGTGTGGGACTTGGTACAATGCACTAGCTACAAAATGCGATTTAATCCCTGCCGCCAAGTATGAATCATAATGGTTCATGTACTACCGCATATGAATCAAAGCCTCATAGCACAAAGCCTCGAAGTCCGCAATGCAGAATAGGGGTCGCAGGCGAGATCTGCCAGAAATTCTCCAAACTCCAAAAATCCGAGTGTGTTGTGCTCGCTGTCCAACATATGAATCATTTTCACTCACTTGCTATTCATCATGATACTCGAGATATGAAGTCGTAAGAAAGACTTGAATATAGTGGGATATATAGAAGCTCAATATCAATATCCGTTGTAGATAGAGATGAATACATAGACAATGAATCACACTCGAATTGACTTAAAATAATGCATCTTTGTATACCGAGTAGGGATCGTAGGGCTTGTGGTATGTATGTCAAAAACCTAAGCCTTCATCCATATGCCAATCCAAGATGACAACTACGTTCCCTCTTCCGACAATCAAATTCTGCTGTCCCGCAGGGGACAAAACACGCATGAGGAGAAGAATGAGCCGACATCGTCTGAGACATGAGAAAAAAAGCAATCTCGTTTTTTGTTGGACTAATAGAAACCTCGAAAATACACTGCCTGACCTTGCTAACCTTTCGCACCTCTCCCAGAGTTCAATTGCAACATGCTCCTTAACGCGGCCGCCTCCGCCTCCTGACGGGCTAGACGAAGTCGTAAATCGTCGCGTTCATCCTTCACGCCCTGAAGTTCCATCTCCAGCTCGGTGATCCGATCAATTCGCTTCTGCCGATACTTGCGAGCCGCAACGTTGTTGCGTTGGCGTTTGAGAGCAGTAATTGGGTCCACCGGAGGCGAGCGACGACTCTTAGGAGTCTGGCCTTGACTGGATGAAGCCCCAGGAGATTTGGGCATAGGTGGTGAATAGGAAGGATCGGAAGGTCCTGTATCTGACCCCGATCCTGGAGCGCTGTGAATGTTGAGGGGTTGGTTAAATTGAAAATCCAGATTAGGTTCAAAGCCAGGTAGTATCCCTGAAGCTGCGGTGGTTTGTTAGTGAGAATACTGGATGTGATGGAATAGGGGGTAAAAGTACCATCTAACTGTCCGTTGCGCATGTTATTCTCGAAAACAAGTGGATCACCTGCTCCGTCTAATCCGGAGAGGGACCAGTCTACTTCATTAATGTTGCCGCCAGTATCCAAACCCAGGGACCAGTCTTGAACTGGGGGGATCATTGAACCCCCGAATGAACGGAAGAGATCTGCTGGCCCTAAGGCAGAACTCGTCCAATCATCGTAATTATGTTGGTTTGAATAGTCGAGCTCCCTGGCGTGCTGCTGGGTGGTACTCGACGGTCTGGCTTGGGCCGAACCAGTGTGACGTGCTGATGACTGACATGATGAAATGTTAAGATTCCTTTGTATATGTTGGTTGTTTATTGTATAAACGCCGTTCCTCTAATGAACGGCGGCGCTTGACGTCCCAAAATAAGGTTGGGAAAGAAGATGAAGTTGAAGAGGGGAAAGTTTCCGCGACTTTCTGGACTCCGGCCTTCAGCTGCTTTATGTCGTGCCAGATGTGCGGATCTAATCTGACAAAGTAATCCGTGATTGGTCCGTGCATCTTATCCTTCCCGTCTTTATCCTTTAAATTTCCCAATCAGTTGCAAGGGTTTAGTAAGATACAACTCCAAACCCACGTTACACCACAGCCACACAGCCCCAATCAGTTGTGGTGGCAGTAAACTTACCCGCATCTATGCGAATATCGAGGCGGTCAAAAAGTTGTGACTTACTTCTACTGCATTTGCTCAGCCCCACTATCGCCATTTCATACATGCATACTTCGTACAACTAGCATACCAATGACTTGGAATCCCCGTCCACGATGATCAACGCAGTTCTGGTCTTCAACGGCCAGGGCCAGCCTAGGCTGACCAAGTTCTATACTCAGCTGGTATGACTACCATCTACAATCTCACCTCACACCGGAACACTTGCGACCTGAATTCAACCTTGGTCACTTGAGCGATTCAGCCTATCTTAAACACACGAACATGCATTGACTGTAATCGTACCACAGGAAACAAGCATCCAGCAGAGACTGATCTCGGAGATCTTCACTCTCGTCTCGAACCGAGCAGATGGTGCCTGCAACTTCCTCCCTTTACCCCCACTCCTCGCCGCATCAGGGACCTCCCAATCCGCCTCAGAGCCTCACAACGACGTGCCCTCGCTCGTGACGTACCGGCACTACGCAACGCTATACTTCATCGTGATATCGACCTCGACAGAATCGCCTCTGGCCCTACTCGACCTAATCCAAGTGTACGTGGAGTCGCTAGACAAGCTGTTCGAGAACGTGTGCGAGCTGGACCTGATCTTCAACTTCGAGACCCTGCATGCGGCACTCAGCGAGATGATAGTTGGTGGCGTCGTCATCGAAACGAATCTCGACCGCATTGTCTCTGGTGTGCGCGCCCAGGGCACCGTTGCGAAGAGACCCGTCAACGAGGCTAGGGGTTCCGGGTTGGCCGGCGGTCTGGGCATGGGTGGTAACTTCGTCTGGCCTAGTCGGTGATATCTCGTGAACGTGTGTGTGTGTACTTACTTAGATACATACATATTATGTTACCCAGCAGTAGATGCTCAGGTAATTAACCGAAAAGGTGTCTGGAGTTTTGTGGTTACGGGTACGGATAAGCATCGAGGAGGGATAGCATCGTCTTTTAATGGAGATTCGTCTATACAGGTGCGAATGAAATATCAATTGGGTATTTTCCCACCTCTATAACTCCACATGCGATCATGAGACGTGAGACTCGTATTGTACATATTATATTTGCTTGCGGTTCGTGATCGCTTCTATATCGGGAGTTCGCCTTTGGTGTCTCTGCTCGGGCGTGAGGGCACCGAAGAAATCCCAGAACCTGTCCCTGATCTAGATGCATATGTTAGATCGTATGGTAACCAAATGGTAGTAGTCATGGTGCGGGGTTTTGACATACCCCTTGGAATGGATTATTCTCTTGTTCCCAGTCCATGAATAAAACGGTATAAATCAGGACGGCTGTAGTAGATGCCATGTTAATTTGCGCCCTCTGCCATATCAAGCGATTCGGTAATCTTGACACTTACAAATCATACTAAACAACTGTGCCAGTTTTATGAATTTATCCCATCGCGGCCGCACAGTTGCAAGCTTCAGTCTCCGTTTATATCGCCGTTCGAATCGGAATTGGTCTTTTTCGGAAAGCTTGGTGAAGTCTGGAGGCCAGACCTTCTTCAGCTTATACGGTCCGGTGCTAGCCGATTTCAAAGCTGTTGAAGCCGTGTTCCTCAGCAAGGAAGATGTGGCCTTCTCGGCCGTCCTGCGTACTAGTGTCGGAAACATGATGGGCTGTTGTCGTCGCTTTCCGGTCGACTAAGTTAAGTCGCATCGCAACGAAATTCCATCTTTGACCGGGACACATTTTCTAGGGTGTTGTGGCTTGACTGGCCTACACAGCCTCGCGAAATTTACCAGCCACACCGTTAGTCTCTTTACTCCTTATGTAATGCTCCCTCCCTTTCTCCCATGCTGCTGAAGATGTTCAACTCTACCTAGACAACTATCATACATACTTGTACTCGATGCATTACGAACATCCTATATGTTGGTTCCGATTCTTTGGGCATTTCTTCACTGAGTTCTCTATCACATAATTCTATTTTAGGAATACCTATGAATTGACGCTGGGGATACGATGAGAAAAGGGGAAAGTGTAGCTACAGTACTGACGCTACTGTCCTAGACAACTAGGCGGTCCCTATTTCGTTATAGGGGGTGCCTACTAATCGTATAATATTTGGCTTCCTTACTATTCATATGAATTTGGAACATTCCGCATCTACCGTTGGGTGTGGGCTTTGCTCCAGCTATTGGGCTGATATACGAGAGGCTGTACGATGCGAACTTGATCTATGGGTACTTCAGGATCCTTCGGTTCCGCAACAACACCGCTCATCCATTATTCTACCAAGGTTCGAAGTTATTCAATATTTCAGCATCTCGTTAGAGGCAAAGAGAGAGGCCATGGATGTGGACGTAGCATGACTTCTGACGAGCCCTGAGCTGGAAAGGCCAGCGGTCTGTCAGGAACCAGACCAATCATATCCTATAGGAGTCCCGAATACCAATGGACGGAATATGTTCCACCGGGACCCCGTACCACAATGGAGGAGAAGATGCGGCTCCTTTTCCCCGGGACAATTAATAATCTCAGTCTCGGAAAGCCCCTATCATTTCCTGACATGTTGACCAAGTATTAGGTAATTCATTCGATCGCTGCAATGGCCTCTATACGTAAGCACGTTTCTAATTAATGGAGCCCAGAAAAAATAGAGCTGGTTTATAACGTCGAATGTTTTTATGGCTTATTGAAACTCGAATTTCGTGGAGTCGACTTGGCCAAGCTGGGCCGGAAACTGGGAAGTCATCGACGTCATATTCCCACCTAAGAAACCTGTAAGCGCTGCGTGATATTTACCTTGAAGACCATATGCGCGTTCCATATAGGTGGATTAACCGAGAATAAATCTCATAGTGAATTTGAAGAGACCACAGCAGGCATATATCACACCTTCTACCAGTCTCCTGCCATGAATTTTAATTAATCCGATTATTCTGGTATAATATTGGTCACTTGTTCCTGATCACGGGTTGACTGAGTTACATAATCCTACACCTGTGTCTTAGGGTTAGCTTTGGAGAATTGTGCTATCAGAGAGTCATCCAAATTAGGGCTTCATGGCTTCATGTCTTACATCTGTACGTAAGACGACTGCTTAATAAAGAATAAAACTGGTAGCGCCCCATGAGTATATTCTCGAGTGCCGGTGAAGCTCACGTAAGTATCACATAAGATCCGCCAATCAGGATTCAAGTATAGCTTGGTATTTCAGTTCTGATTGGTGAACTTGCTTTTGCTTGCCGAGTTGCGTTCATGGCGATAGCTTCTCCTGATGACGAAAGTATAGCTCCGTAGTGTCGCGACTATATTCAAAGTTGAAAGGTTTAATAGTCTCAATTAGTAAGGTTGTTGGCATTCATAAGTGGCAAACTCTTGTATAATAGTTCGTAACAAAGGTTTTCGTAATTGTTCTTGGCATTAGCTGACCTATTCTCATCATTCGTGTATGTGGTTTCTTCGCTGTTTCACTCGACGTCGCATACTCTTATAAGGAAAGTTTTCAGAATATCTATACTCGTATTTTCTTGACAGGTTACATGGCGCATGCAAGAGGATGCAATAGAGAGAAAGAATGGTGTTGAGCTTCGTAATGGTGTGTCAAACTGACGGGTGGTGCGCCAATCAGCGATTTGGCGTTCGATAGCTTTATTCTTCCTTGCCGGAATCTTTTCTATTTTTGCATTCCTGCAAGTCGAAAGCATCGATGTGTTCGATGTAACCAATGCAGGTTGCAGTTGCAGTTACCAGTTGCAGCCCCTCCCCCCTGCTGCAATACTTGCTGCAATAGCTGCAGTAGCATGACGTATGCTTTCTTTCATAGAAGCACAAACAAGGAAAAGCTACCCGTACCAACCTGGATCCGACCTGTCTTATCACTTCCGTCCTCATGTCATCCACGTTTTCTTCGTGACCTTTGTTTTGCGCTGTGTCTCTTCTCTACTTCTCTACCACTCGGCTAGACTTCTCAATTGAGACTTAAATGCTTAATTGAGATTTCTAGGTTGCAGCCGTTGTTAGAGTTGCCAGGTCCTCTTCGTGGAAGTGAGCTAACTGGATATTAACTCCTGACTAAAGTTGTCCGCTTGGGACGACCTAGAGTGGACCATAAGGCCGATTCCGCCAACCCGCCAATTCAATTAATGTATTGAAATGTATACAGTACAATACAGTGTAATAGCGTACAGTTTTATACATATTCCACACAGTGCCCTGAATCTTACAGTAGATCATAGCGCTATAGGACGCTGAAAGCCCTGTAACTTATAGGCTTTATAGCGCATTAGCTCCTTATAACTTATAGGTGGTTTTTTAGGTATGTAAAAAGCCCTAAAGCTAGCGCTATAGCCTTCTAAGATTTTTGTTAATATTTTAACTTATTCGAAACGAATTAAATTAATTGATTGATCTGATTCAATCGATTGATTTGATGCAATTGAATGCGTATTAATAGGTAGGTAGGTAAATAAAGACATACGTTTAATAGTTCAAAACGAGGGGTGTCACGTGACACGCGCTGAGCCTTATTAAGCTATACGCTATAACCCCTATAAATTACAGGGGCTTTCAGCGCCTTGTAGCGCTATGACCCACTGTAAGATTCAGGATACAGTGTGGAATACGTATCAGACTGTACGTTTGTATACTGTATTATACTGTATACATTTCAATACATTAATCGAATTGGCGGGTTGGCGGATTTGTTCTTATGGTCCGCCGTCCGACCATGCAAGGCTAGATGAGATTTGGCCGAGACGGGATCGCCACCTGGGCACACTAAGCTGATCCGCCGCAACACATGGGTTTTTTTTCTCCTCTTCGAAATTCGAAAATTTCTAGATCGGATAGGGTTTCAATAGATTACCCAGTACCTCCTCATCTTATGATAAGATATAGTTATCCCTAGGTATGTAAAGTACCTACTAGCTGCTAGTATGGTAATCTCGTCAGCCAAGTCTAGTGTTTCTGATGTTTCTGAAAACGGAAGATTCCGTTCTGCAGCGCTGGGGCGATGTTTGTTTGGATTGAGCATGAGAGCAGTGTCTCGTTTCAGAAGATTCCCTGTGTGTCGCAAAAGCGATTACCAACCTCTTTCGTCACGGCGTCACATCCACTGTAAGTAGTAAAGGGTAGGTAATAATAGGTAAAGTACCATAGTAGGACTTTGTAGGAGGTTATGTATGGATGACCGATAGGATTGCATGCGGCGACATGACCTGCGTGGGATAAGGGAAATCTTGTTTCTTCTCCCCCGTCCCAGTCGTCCCAGTCGTCCCAGTCGCCCTACTCTACCTATGTAGTAGCCCCTGTACATAGTCCCAGATAACGCAACCCACCGAACTTGGGGCCGCGTCGTCGCATCGCGATCCACATATCCTTGCTTCTCTAGAGTATCTACCCTTCACAAAGTACTTTCACTTCCCTGGCTTGATCCACACACCATCTTGATTCTTTGAACACGCCATGGTCGTGTCCTGGCTTTTTATTCTAAACTTTGCCTTATCTAGACTCCTTGCCCGTCATCCTATTGTTCACCCACGCCATGTTACCATCTATTGGTGCCTTGTTTAAACTGCTAAACCTTCGTATTAGTAGCTCCCCCTACCTGATTTGCTCTGCATATTAGCTACCATTCATACTTTGAGCAACAAGTCAGACCTCTCCAGCTATTACTATTATTCCTCTTTCCCATGAGCTGCTAGCAGCTAGATAGCTTTGCATTGCATTGCTTCAGCTGTCTTATTATCTTATCCTCATAAATTCGACGTGGAAAATAAAAAGCTGCGCATCGAACTCGAATGATACTATCGCCATTACAAACGAACCATTCGCATAACTAGCTACGATGCGATTAGCCGGCGTAATTATCGCCGCAGCTCTACCAGTCGCCCTTGCTGCTCAACAAAGAGTTTTGGCCCACAAGACAAGCATGAAGATTGAGGATGCGCCTGGATCGATGGGTAAGTTGGACTGCCTTTATTCGATATGAGGAAAATTGTAGCTGATCGTGTTTGACAGCTTCTACGCCCGTTATGGTCAACTCTACAGACTCACTTGCGCGGCCACCGAAACCGTTAACGACTGTCGCTGCAGAGAAGCCGGCATTAGAAGCTTCTGTAATGGGTCTGATCGTCTTTTCGGCTGCCGGACTGTATCTATTATGAGTTGGGAAGGACTATCGACTATTGTTGCATTTTCACCGGCGTTGGCGGTCTGGCGGACGAAATCATGAATGTCGTGGGGGGCATGATCGGGCATGATTTAGCATTGTTTCAGAGGCTTGACGGCGTTCTGGCTGAGGTCTTGGCATTTTGCATTTGGATATACCCATCGGATGGCTGCATTTGCTTTCAATGCTTTCAATACCACCGCCATCAATCCTTTCGGATCTAATCAAATCCGACTAATATACCTGGATTGTGATCCTACTGATTCCTCCCGTCTTATTCTAACAGTGCATTCAATGTCTTAAATTCGGGTTGCGTCTGGCCGCATCTTGAGTTCTACGCGAGATCGGCGCTGCCGGAGCTCCGTATCTTTTCCCACCACCTGCATCCGTCTCTTGGCCCGGAAATCTTCAGTTCTAATACATATCCACTTGCGATGGATAGCACTAATCGTCACTACATAACAGCAGTTTGATGCGAGAATATGTATCGCTACCTTATCTTTACCGTCGCATCCCTAGTGAGCTAGAAGCGATGCAACTTCACGAGGTGACGCGTACCTGGTCGAGGCCCTTGCGCCATTATCGATTTGCCGATGGCTCGGCACTTAGTGTCTTTACGCTCGCTCTAAACCGCGTCGCATGGTCTTATATCTTTGTTCCTCTTTAAATTGCGAATGTTCAAGCGACGACAGTGACCTGATTCTCAGCAGGTCCAGGCGCTGAAGGGTCGGAATCGGGCTTCGGCAGATTGTCCTGTATGACATTATTAATATGAATATGCACTAGGAGAATGGAATCTTGATGAGACGAACAAGATCATATATTACCCGAATCATCAGACTGCAACTTGGACAAACTGCAATATCTGTTTCCTCATCTTGAAGATCCATGAGCGCAATTTCGAAGCGATCGCCACAGGGGCAGGGATAGTGATAGATTTGTAGTGTCTCATCGTAGGTCATGTCTTCGATCTCGACCTCGTCGTAGACTGCGATTTCTTCGTCGTCTGCCATAATGAATGTTTCTAAGCCGGAAATGTGCTAGGATAGACGAAATATCGCAACGAGTGACTGAATGGTAGAATGGTTGAATCTTGAATGTTGTGCATAAGCCGCCACCTTAAAGAAAATTATCTTTCATAAATCAAGACCCCGCGCTCAACTCCAAATCGGATAGGAGCGGTCTTTGATTTATGCAAGGCCTAACTATGAACCCCACGGTACCCACACCCTTTTAAGCCACATTGATTCTGAGTTTTATGTAAGCTACCAAGCCACCAAATCGGATGGAGACAGCCACTTCAGATGCTGACCATCGGCACCGCCTAGACAGGAATCACATGCAACAAAGACGTCACCAATAAGACAATGTATTTGTACGGTAAGCTTCGGTATTGGTCGCAACCGCCGAGGGACGTTATGTAACATGGGATTCTTCCATCCTCCAACTCCAAATCCAACTCCAGAAAGACAGCCTCAATTCATCGCAACCATGTAATTACGATAATTGCCAATTGTATAATATAGTTTCAATCTATTGATCCATTATTTTCCTACCTCATGGGCCGAGTTTTCGTTCTGTTAGCTTTGGGGTAAACAAGCGTTGGAATCCAAGCTATTCATATCCGATCCCTTCGCAATTGTCGACTCGTTTCCGCCGAAACTGCGATCGGAACCATGGCGGTGCAGTCTAAGCTCGTTTTCCCCGATCGGTCCCTTAAGAGCATCGTCGCTCAATTGACACATCTATACGTCGAGAACCGAACCCGAATCTCCCGCGTAGTATACCTTACTCTCCTCGTTGCCCTCGTGAACCGCGTTCGACATGCCATCTCCGAGCAGAAAGCCGCGTCTGCGCGCGAAGCTGCTAAGCGAAAATCAGGGACGACTTCGAGCGATGGCACTGAGGTGACGAAAAAGAAGAAGGTGGAGCTAAATCGCGAGTTCTTCAAGGCCTTGTTAAGGCTGCTGAAGATAGTTGTCCCTGGCGTGCGAAGCAAGGAGACTCGGTTGCTCATTAGTCACAGCTTCTTCCTAGTCGTACGGACGCTTATAAGCTTGAAAGTTGCCGAGATGGACGGCGCGATTGTGAAAGCCCTCGTAAAAGGAAGTGGGAAGGAATTTCTTACTAGAATCGTCTGGTGGATGTTGATTGCGGTCCCCGCGACCTTTACAAATTCCATGGTAAGATATTGGATTCGATGTCTGCTAACTGCTGAATGAGATGATATTAATTATACGACTATAGTTATCATATCACCAAGCCGAATTGTCGCTTAGATACCGAACACGGTTAACCCAGTTTATCCATGACAAATACCTATCCCAACTCACATTCTACGGCATCTCTGCGCTAGACGACCGGATAAAGAACCCGGATCAGCTCATCGCAGTTGACGTCGCGAAGTTTTCAAATAGCTTAGCTGAGCTATATAGTAATTTAGCTAAGCCTATATTAGACATGGTAAGAGATATGCGCATTGTTGTATGTGTTTTATAATGCTAACAATAGCTGCATAGACTATTTATACATGGTCGCTGTCGAAGAGTGTTGGTGGCGAAGGCGTCATGTTCATGTCTTTACTCGTTCAGCTCTCAGCTCACCTTATGCGTGCTTTAACACCTCCCTTTGGGAAATACGTTGCAGACGAAGCAAGACTCGAGGGGGAATTCCGATTTCAACATTCGAGACTCATCGACCATAGTGAGGAAGTGGCTCTTTACCATGGTCACGAAGCGGAAAAGGATACGCTCGACAAGGGCTACTTCACGCTAATCAAGCATGTGAATTACATCTTGCGTCGGAGATTTTACCATGGAGTCATGGAGGATTTCGTCATCAAATATTTCTGGGGCGCTCTTGGCCTTCTGCTTTGCAGCGTGCCCGTCTTTTTCAAGCTGCCCAACCAATTAGGCGGTGCGACCGCCAACATGGGTGATCGAACGGAAATGTTCGTTACGAATAGGCGAATGTTGCTCAGCGCATCCGACGCATTTGGCCGTGTCATGTTTTCTTATCGGGAGATCATGGAGTTAGCTGGTTATACGTCACGTGTCGCGTCGTTGCTGGAAGTTATGGACGATATTCAGGCTGGGCGTTTTGAGAAGAAACTCGTCTCCAGTTCGGGCATTGAGGACAATGAAGCCGTGCTGAAAGGTAGAGGGAAGGTGGTGGAGAGTAAGGACATCGAATTCATCGACGTACCAATCATCTCTCCCAACGGAGACGTCCTAGTCAAGAAGCTCTCGTTTTCACTCAAGCACGGCGAGCACCTTCTCGTCGTTGGCCCGAACGGCTGTGGAAAATCAAGTCTTTTCCGAATTTTGGGTGGTCTATGGCCTGTGTACGGTGGTACTGTATATAAGCCACCATTCACGGACATCTTCTATATCCCCCAACGACCATACCTATCGCGCGGCAGTCTTCGTCAACAGATTACTTACCCGGATAGCCTTCGAACCGTTCGCGCGCGCGGCGTAACTGATTCCCAACTGCTCGACATTCTGAAGATTCTCTCTTTAGAACATCTTGTTGATCTTTATCCAGAAGGCTGGGATGCAGAGGCCGAATGGCGTGACGTTCTCTCGGGTGGCCTACAACAGCGCGTGGCCATGGCTCGTCTATTCTACCATAAGCCGAGGTATGCGATTCTGGACGAATGCACGAGTAGCGTGACGCTTGAGACCGAGAAGGTCATGTACGATAATGCGAAGGCCTTGGGAATCACGTTGATGACTGTGAGTCACAGGCGAAGTCTCTGGAAGTACCATAGTAGGATTCTACAATTCGATGGACAGGGGCACTTCGTATTTACGAAGCTTGACGCCGAGAGGAGGTTGAAGCTTGAAGACGAGAAGGAGGACTTGGAGGTTTTACTCCGGCAGGTGCCGGATATCGAAAGAAGAATTGGCGAGTTGACCGCCGGATGAGGGCCGGAGAAACGTATTCGAATAGATTAGGATGCATAAGGACAATTGACGAATCAGGGACATGCTCAATGTTGTATAGTATGTAGAAGATGTATATAACCTAACTAGCCGCAATGCTAAAAGCCGTTAACACGCGATAGTATACACACTAGCCTCCGGACACCGGCACTGGGGCGTCGCGGAAAACGTGGAATTAGTCAATGCCGGTCTTAAAAAGCTTAGCCTGCGCGGCATTTTAAAAATGGCCTATGAGCTCTCGTGCAATTGGGAAGACAATCCGACAATCCGTCCACTTCTGCAATCAACCCTGCCTGTCTAATCCACTTTGCTTGGCCTTTTTGAGCCTCATTAACCTCATTAGGGGTAGCTTAAGTGTCCGGTGGTAGGGGCTCGTCGGGTCGATCGCGAGATCCTCACGCGACAAACCTGTTTATTGGGATTTTTGGGGTTTTTGACATCTGCGGATCTTGGGGATTATCTTGTTATCTCGTGTTACGGAAGACATCATTGGTGATACGGAAGGGTGAACTCGGGTTACCGAGATGGGAATTCTAAATATTCCGATGGTTTTTCATTCGAAGGAGGATTTTCCCTATCTTAACTAACTCGATGGAAGGTATGGATGGTACTGTATGTATGTATGCTTTACAAAGATGTACGTAATGTTTCATAAACCGGTTGTATCTGCCGAGATCAACCTTCGACCCAGGACGTAGTATCCACTGGGACCCAGAGAAGGGCCGGATGCTAACTCTGTAGATCTTGTGGTCGTCGTCGCCTCGTCCCTTCCGATAACAATAACCCCTGGATTGGATAACGTCTACTTTCCCCCCCACACCCTCGGCTGCGATGGCCGCCACGATGCGAAATTTCTGCGGTCCGCCTGCTCGCCCTATATCCCGCCATGTCACGCTGTTCCCAGACGCTTCTAACCTTTTCCGAAGACCGAAATCGCCTGTCCTGGACCATCCGGTCCCCAGTATTATTTATGTTCTCCAGAACCCTCTTCCTTGTTATCCCGTGGGGACTCCGCAACTTCGTATGCCCATGCTCTCCCAAAACCGGGGGTAGGTAGGGGATGACTAAATGACGAACCTTTACATGGGCTCAACGGGTACCGTGCCTGGCTAATAAAGGGCGACCTTTTTAACATCTAACCCTAATAATACATAACTCTTCACCTACTTTCGCCTACCTAACCTATTAACTTATCTTACCTAGTTTTCTGGCTGTTCTTTTTATCCCGTACCTATGATCTTACCTTAATATCATCATAGAATAAAGAACATATAATAATGGGCTCTAAGAAATACTTTGGCCTCCAAGGCCACGCCCTAAGTAGGCTGCAGACCGCTCTCATCGTCGCCCCGTCCTTCATCCTTTTCGGGTACAACCAAGCCGGCATCGGTGGTTTAATAACGGAGGAGGATTGGGTTAAGACGTTCCCCGAGATCGACACGGTGAACGCGACGAAAGCCGTTAAGAGCCAGAGGACGACACTCCAGGGTTTCGTTGTTGCGGTATTTGTTATTGGTGCCCTCTTCGGTTCGCTGTCTTGCTCGTACTCTGGAGATCGGTTCGGTCGTCGTAATGTCATCTTCTTCGCCGCTATATGCACGCTAATCGGCGAGATCCTCGAGGCCTCCGCATTTGGGCTGCCGCAGTTCATCGTCGGTCGTGTCATCACCGGATTGGGGGTTGGTCAACTGAGCTCTCTTGTCCCTGTCTGGCAGTCTGAGACGAGCGGTGCCAAGAATCGGGGCAGACATGTGGTGTTGGATGGACTGTTCATTTGTCTAGGCTATGTCCTCGAATCGTGGATCGACCTAGGCTTCTTCGAACTGCACCACGGACCGGCGACTTGGCGTGTACCGATTGCCATCGCGGCCATCTTCTCGATCATCCTGTCGTCGTCGATTTACATGTTCCCTGAATCTCCCCGATGGCTGTTGATGGTGAACCGGGGTGATCAGGCCCGTGACAGTCTCGCTGTGCTACGAGGGCTGCCCCAGGACTCCGAGGAGGTGCAAGCTGAGATTGCGGGTATCGAACACAGCCTCGAGATAACGGCGGCTGGGGGCGCGAAACTGAGCCATCTCCTTAAGATGGGTGAGGACAAACTAGCATACCGGTTTGGGCTTTGTATCTTACTGCAGTTTTACCAGCAGATGTCGTAAGTAGCGGACCCCTCTATCCCTCTACCCCTCCACCTTGTTTGGAGATATACCTAGGTTCTGCGGATTGGAAGGCGAACAAGACTAACATGCTGCACAGTGGAAGCAACCTAATCAGCGTATATGCCCCAATCCTCTTCCAAGAGAACCTCGGTCTAAGTAGTGAGATGTCGCGAGTACTGTCGGCCGGTGCCCTGACGTGGAAATTCCTCTCGTCGTTCCTAGCCTTCGTGGCCATCGACAGATTCGGCCGTCGCGCAGTCTTCATCGTCAGCGGTGTCGGCATGTCGTGCTGCATGGTGGCGCTCGCCGTCGCGACTTCGTTCCCAACATCGAACCGTTCTTCCCAGATCGCAGCTGGCTGTTTCATTTATCTGTACAATATGTTCGTGCCGATCGGGTTCCTCGGCGCCAATTTCTTGTACTGTACTGAAGTCGCGCCGCTGCGTCTAAGAATGGCTATGAGTTCGATTTCGACTGCCAATCATTGGGCTTGGTATGTTCTTCACTTGATCCTTTATTTGTTTTATCATCCTTCCCCTCGAGTCGTGAGTATGCTAATATAAGAAATTTGCAGGAATTTCCTCGTCGCAATGGTGACGCCGATAGCTATCTACAGCATCGGGTGGCAGTACTACATCGTATTCGCGACAATCGCGGCGTGCGTACCGGTTTCCGTCTACTTCCTGTTCCCGGAGACGATGGGCCGTAGCCTTGAGGAGATCGATCTCGTATTCAAGCGGTCGCCGTCCGCCTGGGCCACCGTTCAATTCGAGAAGAGTCACCGCGGCATCAATCTCATTGCCGAACCCGAGGGCAAAGGCGATATGGAGGCTAAGCACGAGCACGTGGACTTGTGAATGTGATTGCAAGTCGCGTGGGAGTGGTTCTTCCTTGCCTAAGGTTTATAAATGGAAGTTCCGAAAGGGGACTACGTACCTTAGGTATTGGCGAAGCGTTGGTGTTGTAGCATCAATACGAACAAAATAAATAAAGTAAAAATAAACAAACTAAAGCATCATGGGTATATGAGATACGGATACACTTGGAAACAAACGCTTTTTACATAGCCCTGCATAGACATGGGAAATAGAGATACCCAGCCAATTCTTGGTTAGAGGCTTGCTCAAACTGACGTCCGGATAGAGTATCATGTGCCGCGTGTCGTCTGCCGTCAGCTTATGCTAGAATCGTAACTTGAAGATGTTCGTCACCGTTGTCGTGCGTGTTATTGGCATTCGACGAATAGGCAATTATTTTGTTACCTGGTATTCCAACCCACGAGGGTCTGTCAAGCTATCGTCAATGTAGGCCACCAGTCTGTCACCACATGTTTGCCGGGGCTCTTTTGTGGGACCAACGAAATGCATAGCCTATATTTTGAATTGAGTGCAATCAAAGAGTTGAGAATTTACCTGCCAGCCCACCAAGGGCCTAGGCACCTAAATATATTTTCATCTAGAGACTTCCATGACGCGAGTGATGCATGTTTTAGTTGAGAGTGGCCATACAGATTTCCCATGCAAGCGAAGATATGGTATTGCGAGCGAACTAGTGATGTAATTTAAGATGAGAGGCGTATCTGAACTACGGTCGGCGAGCCCGAGGCGCCCGAGCTGCCGGAGGCAACCTCATTCTAGACCTATTAACGACTTCGGATAGGCTGATCTCCGGTTACAATTCATGTCAATGAGCTTGATAGATCGGAAAAGAAATGATTTTTAGGCCCGCATGCCCGTGTGCCCGTGTGCCTGTGTGGCGAAATAGTGAGGACAGATATGTTTGATTTAATTAGACGAGAGTTGTCAGATGTTGCGATGAGTGAGTAATGAGACATTGTGTTGGAGATGTGGAACGTGCTTTATGTGGTTATCAAGATGACTAATTGATGAATAACCCTGCTTATATAATTATACTACTTTCTTATGCGCATAAATATGCATATACACACTTCATTATTCAGTTAGATAAGTGTTTGCATTTCTTAGCGATTAGCGCCCCGAAGCAAGCCGCTAATTAGTGCTTGTTTAGTGGAGAAAGCGTTTTAACGGTGTCTGATTTGAGCAACAGCATCTCGAAATGTCAAATTCAACACCTAGACCTCATGCCCTCAGCCAGCTCAGCCCCGAAGATGACGCATACTTGTTTTATGCTTGCCTTGACCGCGCGATAGGCGGTAGCATAACTCATTTCATTTGAGAAATCAGATTATATGAAGACCCGTGGTAACTTATTTCAGCCCTATATTTGTCGTTAGCTTGCTTCGAGTTCGGCTTGAAGGGATATCAAACGGATTATCCCTGCCCGACTCAACATTTATATTTAGATTCAACCCAACTCTATCGTCAAACCTTGAATCGTCACCATACCTACCAGGTATTCTTCCTCTACACGAAGTGGCGCGATCGAATAAACTTTACTGGATTCTCGGTATCTGGCGTATTCCTACGACTTCAGGGGCAGCGTCGGCATTTAATTCTTCATCCCTGTCAATCGCATCCATCGTGACAGGGTAATCCGTACTTTCAGACGAGACTTTTTATGAACTGATATATTCACATTTTAGACGTTTATATAGCTAAATAAGACGAAATTTAGAAACAAATATGGAGGAACATGTTGAGGCTCGTTCGTTAGCCTCTCTCAACTATCTAGCAGCCAATCCGCCCCAGTATCCGAAAAAGCCAAATGAGGAAAAACAAGACCCGATCATTCTGTACATCTCAAGAGTACCCGGCACAAGGGGTAAGATTTTCATAACATATCATCGAAACACTTAGAAATCTTGAAATCTTAATCTAACGTCTATTTTAGATATTATCCTTTCAACTTTGAAGCCCCAGGTCAAAAGTGTGACGGCTGAGGATGTAGCTAGCTCGCTGTATTATGTTCATTTAAACGTACCTGAGGATGATGTCCTTATACCTCCTGGCCAGACTAAGCCTCCGTCTCCTAGAACGAGCGGAGAGAGTTCAAGGTCAGGGAATCAGATTCATAGGAAACCAGTACCGGGAACCTCAAGTCTTGCCTCCTCGAGGATAGATGAAAATGCGCCACCGCCATCCATCAACGAGAACCCGGGTAACACCGGCCAAGCCCCGCTCCCACTGCGGAAGCCCGTTCCTCAACCTGCACCAGCTCCTTTATCTGAACGACCGCCAGCCTCTCAATTCGTATCTCCGCCAAATCTTCCTCCAAGGAAACTTGTAGGACCTAGGTCAATTGGTTCGGAATCACCCGAGAGAAATCTACCACTGCCACCAATTTATGATCAGCCACCCGAATACCCCATGAGACCAAGCATGGATGTACCTTCATTACCACCACGACCTAGCGAGCTTGAAGATCCGTTTACCGGCTACGGCCGATCGCCCTCACCTAAATCACCTACCAAACGCCCTTTCACACCCTTCTCACTGACTCTCATAAGACGAGATCCAAGCTCGGGCCAGCAATGGAACGTCGGAAAAGTAGCATCATTCCAACTCGAGAACCCCGAACTCATCAACGATGAAAAACACCGTCAACCCTCTCCTTCAATCATGATACACCTAGAAACCTCCGGCTACGCCAAGTTTCGGGGCATGCCTACTCACCAGACACCAGCGGACTTGCGGGAAATAAGAGCGAGTCTAGATCTGCGCCGTCCCGGTAGCGCATCCTCCTCCGCGAAGTTCCCCCAAATACCCGATCTCAACCCCCCGGTCCCGGTTACTGCCTCCAACGCTTTTGAGCGACAGGTCGTAATGGCGTATTCTAAGTCCTTCGGCGCAGCCATCCGCGAGAAATTCCACCATAGAAGCACGTCGGAAGAAGAGCGCTCGCCCCCACCCATTTTCACAACCAGACCGAGCCGCCATGGCAGCGTGGGCTCGATAGGGTCGTATGGCGGGGACTTCGACGGCGGCGAAGCTCCCGTGATCACGCAGCCCGCGCCGGGCCTGAAGCCGCGCGGATACATGTTCAAGAGCCCGTGGGGCGGGCGATGCGAGTTCGTCACTGGAAACGCCGGGCGTAGTCTTAAGTGCAGACACGTGCTACCGAATTACACCGGCGCGGTGTTCAACCCGCTTGTAGATGGACAAGAGGCCGGGCATCACGGACATAAGCCGAAGGGGCAGCCGATTAGCGAGTTGAGGTTCAATCTTCCTAGCAGCGAATTATTTACTGAGAAGAGGTCTACGGAGGGGGGAGCTAGGACAAGGGATCAACTGCAGACACAATTCAACAAGGTGTTGCAGAAGGCGCACGGACACGACTACTACGACGATGACGACGACGACTGGCACCTCGATCTCAGTCTAGGCCGCGAGAAGGCGGGGGGCGGGAATAGGGGCAAGAGGGCGAAGATGGGGAAGCTGATCGTGTTTGACGATGGCCTGAAGATGCTGGACCTGGTTGTCGCGGCGAATGTGGGGGTCTGGTGGACCGCGTGGGAACGCACGTATGATGTCGACCGCGATTTGGTCAGTGAGATCAGGTAAACACACTTATTTACATTATACCGTTGTGTTACGTCGTTTATTCGAGAGAGAGCTTGTGAAGCGTTGCTAAAATGCTGGGCGTGGGGGGTAGACGGCGTTGTTGTAGATTCGTTCACGCACATGTCCATCGACGCGCTGGTGGGAAGGGGAGGGGGATGGGGGAGAGTGTGGCGGTGGAAAGCGGTCGGTGAGGATTGAGATAGGCGAGAGAGGAGGTGTTACATACCTACGCATACGCATACGCATGGATCGGCTTGCATGAGATACCAAAAGCGTGCCTAAGATCGGCGATTTCAAGGTGCTTAAAAGGGGTGAGCGTCGTGTTTAAGAATCAGATATCACATCGAAATTTATTTTATGTTTATAAAATTGTTGGGGAGAAATCTGCCTTCAGTTTGGCGCCACTTCCGAGAGACGTCTCAACAACCTCGTTCCCTCTTTCCGATTCGCCGTTTGTCGCCCTACACCCCTTTTTCTTCGTACATCTACTTGGAAGCCAGATCCTATGTCCGCGCTTTATTATTGACTCGATAAGTTTCTAACTTGGAGCTGAATATAACTACTTAGGTACTGCTCAATATGTGGCTAAGGCTGAGAGGTGCCCCACTTACTGTTGGATTGACAGATGACTGTCATAGGTAGCATAGGCAATAACTATTGAGTACCAGGTGGGTAGAGTCCTTCTGCCGTCCTCTCAGCTAATGTTGGGCGCCGAACCTGGACATATATGCCCAACGGACCTAATACAATAAGGACAACCTTCTCCCCTTATCAAGGCTTCCAGCAGTCCGACAATTCGTGGTTTCCGTGACGCCAGATAGAGGACTAGCTATCTCCCTAAACGGCCGTAATATTATTACTTCTAGAAGGAATGCTGTTTTGATTCAAGAGAAGGTTAGCTCACACATCCGGTAAACGACCAGCTTCCCCTCAAGCATTCTTCGGCTAACATTAAGCATAGTTCAAGATGGGTATAAGCCACAGCGTCTACATGGCAAATGGCAGCGGCCAAGATATCTATGTCATGGCTTCGCTCAACCCAGAGTGGGCCATCGTCGACTTCATCGTGGACATAGGCCTGTTATACGTTGGCGTCGAAGAAATAAAGGGCGTTGTCATGGCCGCTGAACTACCCGAAACGCTAGCTACTTTCCGGGATCTCTACGAATTTCTAAACATCGCCCGGAAACTTATTATGGGGATGATAGCCGCAGGGACTCGACCCGGCGAGGCTGCTATGGCCCTGCTAGATGCATTTAAAAAGACGTCTATCCGCATTCCCTACGATGAGTACAAGGATGTGGAGAGGGATAGCATCTTGAGCATTTATCTTAGTGCCGATGGGGTTGCTAGTTTGGTAGGGGCTGAGAATGTATCGGTGATGGTGATGAGTGGTGATGGGAAACAACTTGCGATGTGGGATACCAATGCGGATCACTCGTGGATTGCGACTAAAGATGGGAAAATCGTGAGGTCTAAGTACGGGACAATTTGGCAGCAGGATCCTGCGGAAGGCTCTGTCGAGTGGTCAGTTATTAAGAAGTAGAGCTTTCTGGGTATAGGTATCACTATAGTCAATAATTAATATCTACTTCATAGGTACTTTCCAATCTTTGACTTTATCTTTTCACCATGATGGTCATTTTGGTACCGTCTAGAGTCTTGTAGTCACCGTTTCTTCCTTGTAGATGAGGAGATATGTACTATCTCCAAGGTTAACGGGGAAGTTGGCAAATTCGATCAATAGCGTGAGGAACTATTAGTGCCTTGCATACGCGCTTGATGGCCTCAGTCTATCCTCTGGAGACAGTAACTTCTTGAGCGGTATCACGCCGAAGAACATCGCTATTCCCGGTGCTTTAGACACCCACCTAAGCTCTATATTTGCAGATCGCGCCCTCATTGTTACTCGGATATAGGTAGTATCTAGGGGGTACGATCCATGCGGCCTCGATGTCGAAGGAGCCTGAAAGGAGGGGTGCTTGATGATCTTCGATGATCTTGAGGGTCGGAGAGATGGAGCTAAGAAGATGGGATGTGGTCCGCTCCTATTTTGCGTGTTGGAGTGGTTTCTTCATCTTGTCGGGACGTGGGGGTAGGTTGTGCCGCTTGAGGGCCTTGTTATTGGTTTGCAGGGGACCGAAAATTAGCGGCTGGGGTTATGGAATGCGAATTTTTATAGGCGGTTTCTTGGTTATATTGATGTAAGATCGACAGGCCGGGAACCTTCTATCTTGTCCGAGCTTGATTCGCGACCCGGGTGATTGAGGTGGTTAGGGTAGTGGAGCGTCTGCATCGTGTTCTCCATGCGAGATAATAGGTGCTGAAGGTGGCTGAATCAAAGAGGGGATCTGAGAAAAAGAACTGTTTTGGGATTTTCAGCTACCTACCTACATCCCTATAATTTGTATTGTGGTGGCGAGGTAGCGCCACCACGTATCCAAGCCCAATTATTTTGGAGCTGATCAGTTCACATGCATAGGAGACACAAACTGGAGGCTACTTTTCACAAAGAGCTTTGAGAGAAATTTGGGAATCAGCAGTTACCGAGGTTTAATGATAAATAAATGGAGAATAAAATTCACTTAAGGAACTTTGCAGTCTTATAATCATCTTTTACATACCCCTATACTCCCCTAAACTCGGAAATCATAAAGTGGTGGGTTACGCCTATTGATCCACCTTGTCAACGCCATTCCAAAGACCCGATAGCTTTAAGCTAGCCCCTTCCAAGCTGTCTGGACCAGAGTAGAAAAAGGGTCTTCAGAGATCACATCAAAAGACTCGAGATTTGGCGCCATTTCCTTTACCACCCGGGCAGCACGGACAGCTTGGTCATTCGTGCCGTCAGGTGTAGGCGGCACTAACTTTCCAAGAACGAGCTCCTGTAGTGCCGGAAGGGACACGCCGGTTCCTTCAAGATTGTGCAAAGCATAAGATCCCCATAGTTCGCAGTTCGTCATTACTCCGCCGCACGTTTGGCTAAGTTCGACGAGTGCCGCTTCCGACAACGAGCACTGGAATGCCAGCCGCAAGACTTTGAGGTTAGGCAGGGCTTGGGTGATCTTGGCAAAGTGGTCGGTTCCCAGTCCAGTAACTCGGATATGATCACCCGATATTTCCATGTGCTGCAGATGGGTGAGCGCCTGTGCGAGATGGACAAGGTTGGCAGGATCGATAGACGCGTGCACCGTCTCTGAATATTGCAATTTGAGGGCACTCAAGTTTGAAGCATAGGTGGATATGTCCCGAAGGAAGGTATCCAATGATGAAGAATGGACATCCTTACTAAGGATAGTGGCATCGAGATCGGAAAGTTGTCGTAGATGGGGTAGAAGACCGCAGAGTCCCTCAAGATGGACGGTGCAAACGAGCTCATTGAGACAAGGAAAGAGTTGTGCTTCACCACACTTCTTGAGCTGCTGAGATTTGGCGAAGGATACAAGCTCGGGAGTTACTGTGTATGTGAATCTAAGGGACTGTAAATTTGGAAGTGTAGAGAGAGCGACAAAGACGTCGTCAGTAATGGCCCGATCCATGCCGTACATGATTGACAGTCGCTTTAGGGCATTCGCACCGCTGAGGAAGCGAATGAATCCATCTGGAGAGATCAAGTTGCGTGGGTTATCAATCAGAAGCTCTTCGAGCCCTGGAGAAGACTCCTGGTTCCAACGCGATTAGCAGACGAAGTAATTTTTGACATACAACAAACAAATACTTACCTGAAGTGTCTTCAGAAATGCATCAGAAATAGGACCACCGAAGAAAGAGAATTCTTTCAGAGCCGGTTGGAGATATGGTTTGAGTGAGTCCTCATCATTCTGGTCCGATGCATCAAGTACAAGACGTTCTAGGGCTGGAAACTTGCTGCCTCTGAAAGCGACATGATGCACGGAATCATCGCCTGCAAACTCTAAGCTGCGGGTTCCTTCAACACGAAGTTGAAATTGTTGTGGATCTCGTTCCGCCAACAGGGCGAGATCAGAAATAGAAGTGTTGTCTTCTGCCATGATAACTCGTGGTGTCTTAGAATTTGATGTAAGTTGCAAAGAATCCATACAGGAAATATATGTAAGGTGGGAACTGTTCCTTAACGGTTCCAAGATTTGGAAACGTGACAGCAAAAGGAATCATTCCTTGATCATTACAAATTTTGGAACCGTGCCAAGATTAAAAACTGTTACAAGAAAATGTAATTCCTTATCTCTTTATTTTATTAAATTATACGTATTTATTTATTTATATAATATTATTTATTTGTTTTAATTTATTATTTTTATTTATTTATTTATTAAAGTTATTAAATTTAATCAATAATTTTTACTAATTTCGAACCTTATAAATTTAATTTTTTATTTATTGTGGAAGCTAAGGATATACCATTACACTATTTACGCGTTACATCCATAATCTATAGTATTAACCTTAGCGCTAAATTCTTAAATATGGTCAACACTAAAAGTTCAAGTAATTTAAACTTTGGTACGCTGCAAGATTCTGGTGCGCTTCAAGATTCTGGTACGCTTCAATATTCTGGTACGCCTGGCACGCTTGTTGATTTTGCTACGCTTCTTACGCTTTTTGATATTTAGGAACCATTACGGGACGATGCCAAATCCAGGAACCGTTAAGTAACAGTTCCGACCCCTCATATATTTCCCCTATGGATGGGAGGGTGATTCTGAGTGTGCTAAATTACCTAGTACCTAGGTAGGTAACTACCGCTTTTTTAAGGGTACAGGGTACGGGGTGGGGTAACGACTGCCTGCGTCAGTGGTGGCTCGCCACCCCCTATTCGGAATTCCCTATCATTAGTGACTCGGGTGATACCATCAAGCAAATTCTGGCTGTGGCACAAAGAGTCAAACGTATTTCTATTTAATGTAATAGGAGAACTTGAACTTGCAATCTACCTATTCACAAGTCCAATCCAAATCATGTTGGGCATCAGAGTCGCACTTGGCGTGCTCGCCACTTCGGTCGCCTTCACTACAGCAACAATGTCTCTCCCTTCCGAGTCACTAGGCGATTCCTTACTTCCCAAAGCAAATGTGGGAATAGAATCTGAACCCGCCCGTGCCAGAAAATGCTCTGGAAGACGCGAGATAGGGGATGTATGTCAAGGAAATTTTCTGAGCATACGCCACTCGTTCCACAATTGGTTAGTTCTCAGTGCCCGGAGACTGCGAAAATTGACTGCTCACTCTCGGTTTAGCGAAAGAAAGGTGCACGGGAAATGCTGCGCCTTGTATAGGAATGGCTCGGGTGGTCTCGACGTTAAAAAACGCCCTCAAGGTGAAGATTGCGGGTTTTGCTTCGGTGGCAAGTGTGAGCTAGAGTGAATTACAGGGCCTAAGCCCTGTATTCAGTACACTACTGTACTACCTGAAAACGGATTATTAGCTGTTTTCAGTGAAAACATATCACTGATAGCGATCAGCTATAGCTAGAAATAGCCGATTAAATCCCCTATTAGATCAGTTTAGTTGTTTAAGCAATCTAATATACACTCTTTTGCCCCCTAGTGAACGCTATAATTCAGTGACTTTTATATAACTTAGCTACTGTTACAGGGACCCCTCTTAGCACCCAGATTCCCTGTATTGCAGCTCATTATAGCGCTGTAAATAGCGTATATGATACCTAGTTACAGTGGTTAGCTTCAATAATCAGTAACCGTGAGCATTAGTTGGCAATTGGTAGAACCGAATAGGCTTCCTGGAGCCAGTATGTAACTGGGATTTAAAAATTCTCATAGATCAAGGCCTTCTATGCTTGTATAGGCACAGTGAAAGAAATCGAAACCGTTATACCTAGAGGGGAGGAAGGGTTACGAAGACGTCTTTTATTATCGGGCCCTCCCTGTGTTAGGGACAGTAGGAAGAGAGATGAAAATATTCCAATTATATCACGCCAGATCGACAAGAGCCAGGCAGCTCCAAAACTCCAGTAAAGATATAGGAGCCAATGCTGACGGAAGGAGACAGAAAAATCGGAGCCCAGATCGATTTATGGGGGTAGAAAGGTAATGATTGTAATAGCGACTGTCCCTTCTAACACTTGAGGGCTATGCTAGGACTAAACCGAAGACTACTCCCCTTTTGATTCTGACATTACGGCAGCACGACTGCTATAGAAAACCCGATAGAGATTGTACGTGATACCATTCCTTCTAACCGGGGCCTCTCCTTTAAAAACATTCTATGGAGAGCCGGCGGAGCTATTTTAAGTCCAAGTAAACGAGCCACCGTTAAGGCTCACATCAAGCTCAACACCAGAGCCCAAGTAGGTCGCAACAAGTGTGCCGTCGATAAAAAAACTGGCGCCGACGCCCGCCTCGACGCTGCCGACGACAAAAGCGTTAGGCCCGGACATTAACTGGTCCCAAGATGAGTATCCAAGCACGCCTCCAGTCACCTCTAAACCAGCCCCAAAGCCAAAAGCCCACCCGGTGCCTGTGTGGCCATCCGCGGTGTTTATATTTACGAACGCCACGATGATTGCACTCCCTGAATTCAGGTTTGCTCCAGTAAAATTTGGGAAGTCGTGAGGATCCCGGAAAGGCGGTCTCTTCGGCCCGGAGTCAATAGACTTCCGAAGACTAGCAGACCCACCAAGTCCTTCGACGATCTTGAGGAATCTGATCCAATCGCCTTTGGTGAAGTCTTCCTTTTTTCTGACACCTATATAAGTCGGGTGTGGGAAGAATGGTAGGATGGATTATACTTACTTATGAACCTAGACGAAAGGCAAGGTTAGCAACATGACCAAAGCTTTTCTTCTTCAATCGGTATGGAAGATACTTACGAGGTCTGCCATGATGTCTTTGTAGGTAGATGAGGATAGATTTTCTTAATCCTCTAGAGATGGTCTGATAGGAGATACTTATAGCAATCGACAAACCCGAGTAGAATGTGCTGTCAGGCATCGGTCTTCCTCCAGGTCAGTAGCTAGAGGTCTATGGGGTCGGGATTCGGCCCGTTGAGTCCCCGTGAGGGCCCTGTTGGCCGCTAGTCCTAGGAGCAGGACAGACAAAGAGCTTCACTTGTATGTATGCCGTGTTCTCCATAGCGAGAGTAGTTAGGAGCTCTTCGCGTAACAACGTCGTTGTTTCCTAGTCTTCTGGTTCCGCCTCGTGACATGTGCCGTTTAACTGACCAGAGTGTCAGACGTCTGGTCTTCCTCTAGGTTAGCAGCTAGAGGTCTACGGGATCGAGATTCGGCCCGTAAAGTCCCCGTTGAGTCTGTAAGGGTCCTGTTGACCGCTAGTCCCAGGAGAAGGACAGATAAAGAGCTTTACCTGTGTGTATACCGTATTCTCCATAGCTAAAGTACCTAGTAGTTAGGAGCTCCTCGCGTAACAACGTCATTGTTTCCTATCTAGTCTTTTGGTTCCGTCTCGTGACACAGAGAAACTAGTGCTACCTAGGTAGGTTTTGACTTGCACGCCAGAGCTTACGAGGAATGCTACCTATGTATGACACTTCTACGATGCTTTTGAGCTTGTATTTGTCTCGAGATGACGAAATAGATGCCCGATATGGCCTCATGAAATCCCGTCCAAAGTACCGTACCGTCATCTGCTGACAATGATTAATTTCTTCGAAAAGCCTTACCCTCTATCATAACCGCACCTTCATCTAGGATTGATTTGAAGACTTCCAAGGCTAACAATCATTAAGAGGCTCTATTTAGCCTAGGTAGGTCCTTCCTACTCTCCTTCCCTCGCCACCGTCCCTCATACTACTACTACTACTACTTATTATACGTCATCGGAGTTATTATTCTATGATCTTACAGATTTATGAGTCTATTGATTTATTTATTTGCCGATCTACCGATATACTGAGCTACTAACCTACGCGTCTAGGTTACAGGTTTACAAATGCCGACCTACCAGGTAGCAATCTATGAAGCCTAGCGTAACGATAGTAATAATAATAATAATAATAATGATGATGATGATGATGATGATGATAACCTCAAGCAACATATCAGTAAAAACCTTAAAGTATTGGTGGTATTGGTGGTAGTGTGTAAGGGTAGAAAAGAAAGGGAAGAAATCTTAAGTTTTAGAAAAAGTCAGGTAAGGTTACGTCGTAAAGAAAAGAAAAAAGAAAAAACCTAAGTTCTTTCATAAAGTGTTATTGTTGTTGTTATTGCAGCTGTTGCTACGAAATGCAAGCCCTCTTATTATTATAGGTGGTATAATAAGTAAAGAAAGACGGCGATGCTAAAGACTTTAGAAAAAAAACTTGGAAGTTTAAAAAGATGAAAAGTTAAAAAGTGGTGGGCGGGAAACAATAATGTTGTCGATCTTGTTAGCGCCAAGGTTACTTAACTAACGACCCGTTTTCACTTATATCTTCAGTTTACCATCTAAAAAGGTAAGTAATAATTCTTATTTCTTAATAATTATTGCCAGTGTTAATCATTATTCGAATTTATTAACGTTTCTAATGATTAATTTAAGTTTTTAATAATTGTAAAGTATCATTATTTCCTACTCTAAGTATATCACCTAGTTATCTGGTGCCTAATTTCTTGCATGGTGAAAGGTATGAATTATTAAGTAAAAGGGATCTTTGCTCCTAGAAACGACCTCGGGAGCTGGTTTAATATATTCACCCTTAGCTGATATAATCAAGGAGCCTTCAAGGTTCCCGGGGGCAATCAAGTGACCTCAAACAGTATTACCTAATTGCCCTGTCACAAGGTACGGCAAGTAGCATCGATGGTTAAAGCTACGATAATCTATATTCACTATATTTAACACGGGATAGTCTCATACACATTTATTTCATATCAGGTACCTACTAGGTAAGTACCTAAGTAAGTATTATACAGCTTATAAAGTCAAATCTTTCTTGACTTGTCGGTGTGGAAATATTTCCCCTTATTCGTTGAAGATGACGTTAATTTCAATGTGAGTCCTTCGCAGCCTTGTTACAGAGCTAGTAAGTGGACCAGAATATCAAGCATGGAATGATTTAAATGAGGCCCCTTTCGAGCGTGAGGTCAATAAGAGTAACATTCAGGATGACAATATGGGAGAAAGGGGCGTCCTTTAATTGAAAAGATACTTAAATCTGCCTGGACTTTGATCTTTAACTTCAAAATGAATCCATACGATAAGCATTTGATATTCCCTCAGTCGACCACAAAGGGTGAGTAGTTAGGTAGTGTTGACTGTAAATTATCGGTTTAGCCACCAGGTCCTCTATCCTAACAATGACCAAGTATTTCAAATGTGACTCATGGATAGGTACCTATAGGTTGTCATTTTATCGGCAAGGATCAACACTTGTCTCATATTTTCAAGTTTAGATTCATTATAACGGGGAAATTTTGAAAGCTTGTTCGGATTTGAACTGGCTTTTTATTATAGCATTATTCAAGTTGCGCCGGACTACTCCACGAGACGTAGATCTTAAATTTTTCGTACCCCGCCCGCAGCGCTTTAGTAAGCTACCCCCGAATATCTTTACTTCATCTAGTCTATTCTAACCGTTTCTAAGGAAAATCAATATAGGTACCTAGTAGTTTTAGGGAAGATCATTTCCTTTTCACTATCGAATGTTCCACTCACCCCCCTGTATGAACATAGAAGGCTCTAAAAGAGTAAAGGCTGTGTGCATTTACCTATTCATGGGCTACAGCAGTACCCTTTCAAACAAAATAACACTGGGTGAACTCCCTAATTCATAACGGTTATTCACTAAACTTTAACTGTGGGACCATTATTAAATCGAAGTTTATAAGGAGCTTTAACCCACGCACTCAATAAGAATTTGTTCGCTAACGATATGATATATTTTCTATATTTTAAAACTAAATAATAGTATTAAGAGCAGGTGAACGAACTTAAGAATCTCATAAAACTAACCGCATACTCTGAATCTGGAGACATTTACGAGTGAATCTGAGTTCTTCTACCTTTACCAAGGGTAGGTTTTTTTTATAGAAATTACCTAATTACCTAGCTACCTACCTAGGTAGGCTGCTGGGTATCATTGGTTTCACTCACTCGTCTTACAAAGAATTGCGGCTGATAATTCAAAAGGCCCTGAGAAATACCAAACAAAGAATCATTTACGGAGTGTGTCCACAATTGCAATGAAGCATTCGAAACGGGGCTTCCGAAGTTTCCATTAATGGTAAGAAATGATTCGTAAGCTGTAAGTGCCTCTTGCTCCAGACAGAATACACGAAGGCTTATAAGCATTCGCGCGATTCGCGAGTGGTTGTGGTCTGCATCTTTTAGCCACCGTTTGAAGGCGTCTCTGTTGTCTTGTGCATAACTGATTACAAGCCGAGACTCGTCTTTTTGATCCCAAGAAACATCAAACCCGTAGAAGAACATCATTCGGGTAAACGATGCTCTGAAGTTCCTTAGTATTGCATTTTGACTACGAATGTAAATAATTGTCTGCTGGTCGAGCAGGTCTGATCCAAACGCCACTGGGAATAACCAGCACGTATAACCTCTCTCATTACTAAGTCGGTCATTATCCCATGAGAGTATTTCCTCGAGTCTATGGCCACTGGTATTTGGTGCGGAAACATGAGGATCCAAAAATGATATTAACCGCTGACCGCTGACAGACTGGGGTAGGGCAATTTGCGATGGAGTGAACGGTGAGACTATTAGCTGTGGAGTGTTAGCCGTCGCCATCTTGAGTGTACTGAATAGATAATGAGCTTATTTAGTTTTATCCGTGAGGCACTCGTTAGAGATAGCGAGCTGTAGAAAGAATAAGCCGGATTATTGATGATATTTAATAGCGGATGATGCGGAAGAATAAATAAGATTGTTTCTTAACACAGTGAAGACATATAAATTCCCTGTTTCTGAATAGCGAAACTGTAGTGACACATGGTCTCAACGACCTTTTTCGGGTACTCTGCAACACTCTGGGGCTTAATACTGGGTTGATTACGAAGTGCCTAGGCCTTCTTCCTAATCAATCGCCTTATTTTCTTTACTAATTACTTAACATTTTTTCAGGACGGTATATGGTAAAGGAGATAAGCGAAATCCATAATCTAAAACAAAAAGGAATATAGGCACTACAGGTATCCGGTAAGTGTAGCTGAATCATGTCTTAGGTCCTAGTGATTGGGTGTCAATTGTCACGACGTGGGATGTTGTAGGGCTGTAGGGCTGAAAAGTGGGGATATCGGGGGATTGGTGGGCGTGTGTTGTACTGAACAGTGTGCTGAGCAATTATTTTGAGGGTTGAAATCGGTACCTAATAGGTGGTCCTGAGATGGATGGTTCTCTTTCCTACCTACCAGGTAGGTAGTACTTATTGTAATTACTTACCTAGGTGACTAGTTGTAGTTTTCACAAGTGGCCTTGACAATTTACTACCCAACCTTTGTCCATAGGTACGAAAGGTACCAAGTAATCGCCTATCGCAATAAATTGACATTTCTAGATTTGCCGTAGATACTTCTCCTTGGATAAATGCACCATGAAATAAAGTTCGGAAGTAGAAAAGTCGGCCTTTCCCAATTTGGAATTCCGCCCTAACCCAAAATGTATCGAATCACCTAAAATTGCCTAAAGTAGTAATTTATCTGAACCTCGGCACCTTGGGTCGGAACAATCCTCTGAAAGATCCTGTCAATGTTCCCAGATTAGCATTCCAACCATCCTGCAATTTTTGTGCGAGAGGACAACGTGGGGTTCTCTGATATTTGATAGTACCTAGTCGTCGATACGACAATTGCAAAGTCAAATAACTCAATTGACATTCGTCGCAGCGCAGTTCATACAATGGCGGGACCTAAGCCAGGCCAGAAGACAGTGCTAGTTACAGGGTGAGTGCCTTAATTTAGTGATTTGGTCCCGCGGAAATTTCATCGCGCAGTCCACTAACGCGAATTTAGTTGTACACCCGGTGGTATTGGACATGGAATATGCGTAGAGTATCACCGTCAAGGTAAGCAATACTAGTTTTACATAACGTAACATCATGAAGTTGACGCGATTATAGGTCTTCATGTCATCGCCACGGCGCGCAGACCTGAGGTTCTGGTTGACCTCGCTGAAATGGGCATGAGCGCCCTTGCGCTAGACGTCACTGATGCTGAGAGCATCAAACAGTGCCACGAGGAGGTTACGAAGCTCACAGGCGGAAAGTTAGACATTCTCGTCAACAACGCGTGAGTATCCATGATTTGCGTTCACTTGGTTCACTGCACCTTTTTTTTCAATCGTGCTTATCGAGATCGCAGCGGTCGGACACACACCCACCCGGCAACAGACATCTCACTCCCAGACGTCCGTCAAACATTCGAGACGAACGTCTTCTCGATCATGGCCATGGTGCAAGCCTTCATCGATCATCTCATAGCTGCCAAGGGTCTAATCATCAACATCTCATCTCTCTCATCGCTAACTCCTTACGTCTTCGGCTCCGTGTACTGTGCCAGCAAGGCCGCTGTTGCGGGGTACTCGCGGACGTTACGCATGGAGCTCGCACCCTTCGACGTGCGCGTCATGTGTTCGATGACAGGCACCGTGAAGAGCAACACCGCCAGCCAAGGGCACCGCGAGCTCCCCGAGAACAGCTTGTACCAGTCCGTCAAGGACATCTTCGAGTGGCGGCTCGTGTTCAGCCAAAATAACTCTACTGTCCCGACCGAGCAGTTCGCCCGGAGACTGGTCGCGGACTCGCTGCGCCCCGAAAGGCCCGCGTTCCTGAGGCGCTGGTTCGGCCGCCCGGATTGGTTCTGGTATGGTGGATTGGCGGATTTGGCGTGGTTGGGGACGTGTATTGGTGAGTGGGTGATTGATGCGGTTTCTTGGCGGACGTTCCGGATGCCGGAGATTGTGAAGTTGCTGGATCAGCAGCAACAGCAGCAAGTGCAGAAGAAATTACAGTAAGCTTCCAACTCACGGCTTCGGCTATGGAAGGATGGGCATCGTGGGTTACCGTGTACTGTAGGTAGAGTCGGCGTTGGAACGTTCTGGAATTGATTACACTGATTCGGTGTGTTGCCTAACCTGGGTAGTTCTTCGGCTAACTACTCGATGTGATGTTGAAACATTTTGACTAAAATAGGTACTTTGTTATGCGATACAGTAGGTTTCATCGCTTTGAGTGGTAAATTACACTGCAGCTTTGGAATACTCTTTTCGCATTGATGACAAAGGCATCTGTTGCGTACGTTTCCTATCATGTTCCAAGAACCAGTCCTTTCTTTGCAACACAACCCCTTAGAGAAATCAGAAAATATGCAGCCCCTTTTACAACACCATACTTCTATGCTATACTTTTCTATCAGTGGGATTTTGAATATATATAGGGGAGATAATCTGCCATATTTTCAACTAAATCAAGCATCATAGCAAAAGCTCCATTTCAAAACACAATACCTACCTATATTACGAATAACTTACAAAAGTCAATATAAATACCGACACGATGTGCTATATCAACGAAGAGGTATACAGCGCCTGTGGCTGCGCTAAGTCACCCCCCCGAACGGTGCACACCAGTACCACGGTCAAATGTTCGGCCCCTTATCCGACCCGACGAAAGTTGGTGCCTGGAAACTGCCCGATGCACAGAGTAGAGACGTAATGTTCAACTCGAACTACCTTGTAAGTACCTAGAGAATGGCGTTGAACGCCTGATGACACCATCGTAACTAGAAAATTCACCCCTATTCAATATAGAAATCATCCCTGTAGTATCAGTATTAGACCTAACATTCGTGATTCCTTAACGAAAAAATGAAACTGTAAGTTGTATGATATATATGATGAAATGAAATATCCGTAGAAGTCCTGGAGTGGATATTGCGACTGCTGAATTTCTTGCTAGGTACTTATCATTTGCTTTTCTCCTTAAGGTCGACACCCGAAATGCTGTGTAATAGAAGGTGCGCCTTGAACCGTGGTGCCCGTGAGGGGTAAAAAAAAAGGACAAGTCCAGATTTCTTCAGGTTCCAGGAAACTTAACCTTCTACTCACCCCTTCTCATTTGTTTCTTACCCCTGAGTATTGTACCTTAGACTTTACTGTACAACCATACCTGTAATTGTCTCTCTCCTTTCGACGGAGTTGACGTTCATAGGTGCTACTAGGTAGTCCCTAAGTGAATCATTTGCAACTCACCCCCGCCCGCAATCTGCGTATCATAAGATGGCGAGAGTAAACTCCGCAGTGCAAAATGAAACCACGTCACAAAGTACAAGCAAGGAGATCACGATCCTTACCTCTTCACTCTTCAACTCGAAGCAGAAACGTTTCCTCAAAAACATATCCCTCACAATCGACACAAGCACCGGCCTAATCACAAAATTAGCACAAACACCCCCATCTCACCAAGATGACGTAGCATCCCACCCTACCACAATCGACCTCCGCAATCTCACCGTCCTCCCGGGCCTAGTCGACGCCCACACCCACGTGTTCCTACACCCATACTCCGAAGTCTCCCCACTAAACCAAATGCGGGACGAAAGCTTCGTCGAGCGCATCGTGCGGGCCACGAACCACGTCAAGGCCGCGCTGATGGCAGGCTACACCACGTACCGCGACCTCGGCACCGAGGGTCTCCGCGACGCCGACGTCGCGTTCAGAGACACCATCAACCGCGGCATCATCCCGGGCCCCCGGCTGCTCGTCGCAACCGAATGCATCGCCTCAAGCGGCGGCTACGAAAGCCGTCTAGAAAACAGCCTTCCGGGGATCGGCGCCACAGCCCCGCGTCTCTCGGACCCAGCCGACGGCGTAGAGGGCGTTCGCGCCGCGGTGCGCAGACGTCTAGGCGCCGGCGCCGACATCGTTAAGTTCTACGCGGACTACCGCAAGCGCGTGCTGCGGTTCCCGCAACCGGCTTGGCCGGGCGGAAAACAGATCTGCTGCGCGCCGCCGTCAGAGGACATGCTGAACTCGCAGCGGAACCCGAACGTGGTGCTATTCACGCAAGAGGAGATGAACGAGATGGTCGTGGAGGCGAAGCGCGAGGGCGCTCCTATCGCCGCGCACGCGGGGGACCCGGTGGCGGTGGTGATGGCGGCGAAGGCGGGGGTTACGACTGTGGAGCACGGGTACGTGCCTAGTGAAGAGGCGCTGGTCGCGATGAAAGAGAACGACACGATTTTCGTGCCGACGCTGGCTGTTCTGCGGGGGTTTCTGGGCGAGGAGAGGATGTTGGCGGTGCTGGGTCATGCGAGGGCTGCGTTTGAGCGCGGGATTAGGATTGCGGCGGGGGGAGACACGGGGGCGTTTGCGCATGGGGAGAATGTGCTGGAGCTGGAGTTGATGGTGAAGGCTGGGATTCCAGTGCTTGATGTCTTGCAGGCGGCTACGCTGCGTGGGTGGGAGGCATGTGGTGGGGATCTGAGTGGGCGTAGGTTTGGGGTTTTGGACGTGGGATGCTCAGCTGATATTATTGCGCTTGCTGGTGATCCGACTGAGGACCTTAGTGCGCTTCGGAAGGTCAGCTTTGTGATGAAGGATGGGGTGGTTTATAAGCGTGATGGTAACGGGGTTTAAACAGCTCGTTAGATGAATAAAAGGAACAGGTGAGAATCGGTTAATTGTATTATAGGTCACATTGTGTGTGCTTAGGTAAGCTCAGCTGCTGAGTCCGAGCCTGTATTTAATAACCCTGTTTGCAGAGGATTGTTAGCGGAAGGGATAATTTAACTTAACCCGAGTAAGACTCCGAGAATTAGGTAGACTCTCCGAATGAGTCTCATCGTCGCCTTCGGTGTTTTCCCGGTTCTGAGGCTCTGTATACTTGAAGCATATTGCCAATTTGGTACAGTTGACGTAGCATATGCAGGCGGATGGTGTGCCTAATAGGTGGCAATGCTTTGATTTGACGATATTGTTAACCGTGCACATATAAGGGCTGATATTTCCGTTTCTCCAAGAGACGACAAAACCCCAACAATAAATCACAATTCTCATCTTCATTCGAAATAACAATAACTTCAAAATGAAAGTCATCGTCACGGGATCTACGGGATATGTTGGGAGTGAAGTAATCCGGCAGGCGATTGCCGATGAGAGGATCACCCACGTTTTCGCCCTAACCCGCAAGCCGCTCCCCGAAGATCTCGCCAAGAGCCCTAAAATCACCGTCGTCGAACACCAAGACTTCTCCACTTATCCACCTGAGCTTCTAGCAAAGCTCGCGGGGGCCGAAGCTTGTATTTGGTAAGCCATCGGTGCTAACATAGAATTGATTAATCTAAATTTTCGTAACTTACACTTTACACAGGACTCTCGGGGGTCGTGCGTATCAATTTCCAGATGTAGAAACGGCTAGAAAGATTTCGGTGGATTACACTCTCGCCGCGGCGAAAGCCTTCATCGAGCAGTTAGCGCCACAGCTGCCAGACCCTCAAAAGTTCCGCTTCTTGTTCTGTAGTGGGAAATGGGCCGAGTGGGATGAGAAGAAGAATATGAGAGTGTTCGCAGACACAAGGAGAATCAAGGTAAGTTCCGAGCTGCATGCGATCTATTCATAGACGCATTTCCAAATAATTATCACGTGCTTACCTAATCTCGATCTTAATATAGGGACAAGTCGAGAAGGGCTTGTGTGACCTTGCAGACGCCAACCAGAATAAATTTGAGGTCTGGGCCGTGCGGCCTGGTGCCATAACGAAAAGGCATGCCGGCCTGATGAATTTACTCACGGCCAACACGTCTGGTTTCATTGAGCTTGATCATCTGGCTAGAGCCATGCTAACGATCGTGGTCGAGGGTCACAAGAATAGGATTATTGAGGCTGAGGAACTACTCAAGATGTAAACAACATTGAGGATAGGTAGGTATGCTTCGGGGGGTGGGTAATGAGGTCTTGCTTAGGTTAATGGTTACTTTCTGCTTTCGGGTCTGGGTAGCACTGGTTTTAGATTGACGATTTTCTGGGGGGATGGCTGGATACCTGCATAGGAGACTTCCTGGGTCTCTACCTAGGTAGACTTATTCATTTTAATAATAATATGACGTTTTAACTGACTTTGAAACCATAAAAACTTCTATCATCAACTTCCTAACGATACCTTCCACTTCTGTTCTAATCTCCGATGTAACCTCCGTCAATTAAGGTCTTCAAACCTTGTAGCCGGATTGATAAGGAATCCATCCAGTGATAGCATGTTGTAACGACCCCTCTCATCGTCACCGATCGGAGTGGCCGGCGGCATGTTTGCAAGTCGCGCCGTAAAGCCACGAGTCCGGAGTAAGCCCATGATCCTGGCTGTCTTAATAGTCTCCATGGTTTCTGCGGATAAACCTCCAACTTCCTCTTGAAATATGCTCCAAAAGGTGTCCTGCAAAGACTCGTAATCTTCGTATCGCCTCCATCCATTTTTGAGATGAAGTGCCCCCGTGAGACCTTGTATGCATTTAAGATTCTGGCCGAATGGGCATATCTCAGCTTCTGCCCAGTCAACAACACCAACTAGGCGACAAGATGTTCGGTCGATTATGATGTCATCGCTATTGAAAGAATGGTGGACCAGAACCATTGGCAGAGAGACAATTGCCTCCATTGAGTCAAGGCACTTTTGTATGATCTGGTGAAAGCGAGGTGGCAGATGGTGGAGTAACAGATCTAGATCATTGGTGTATCTTTGGCGTAAATTCTCGCGGCACTCCAAATCGACGTGTTGGGGGGCTTTCCAGGAGATGGCGAAAAACCTAATAGATTAGCTCGTTCATTTGGTGTATAAAGAAAAGATAGAGGGAAAAATACCGCGCTACGTCCGACATCAGCGTTTTTCGCCAAACGAAGTTCTCTTCCGAATTTTCGGGGGCGGAGCCATTTTCAAGAATGAAGTCTAGATAGCTCATATCCCGTATACGATTCATAACATAGACGGCAAGGGTTTCTTTGCCACCCTCCCCTAGGTATCCGTGGAAAGAAGTATCCGGGACTAGGGAGCCGTATATTTCTCGCGCCAGAGCAACAGTCTCCATTTTTAGCATCAAAGACTTGAGGCGGAACTGGACAACGAATTCGCTTGTAGGTCCAGCGTAAACCGAGTAGCTGCAGATGCCTTGCACGGGAATAGGGACAACTTCCCCTCCGACAAGCTCTCTGGCCTTAACATCACATTCTTCACGGGTTGCAGACGTCTGTAAGAAGAATTCCGCGATTGAAGCGTCCAAGGAATATTTTGGATAGAGCGTTGAATCGTACATTGTTCTGCTGAGATGGTGATATACTTAGTAGGATAACTAGAAATTGCCCAACTCTTGAAAGTTTAATAGGTAGTGATCAAACGAGGATAGGTGCCAAGAAACTGTTGGTGTTAGTTGGATAGAAGTATTCAGTGTTATTGGAAGGCTATTGATCAGAAGGGCACATCAACGTGCTATGTATGCAGAAAGGACCAACATGAGAATGCTAGATGATTAGAACCTAATGCGACAATAGCGCTCATTGGATTTCCTGGTGCTGAATAGCTCCAGAGGCTCTATGGTCCCTCTTCGATATAAGAGAAGAAGGGCCATGGAGGCACTTATTTACCTATTAATTGAATAGAATATTCATGGATTCGACCAAAACCCTACAAGCCCTTGTCGCGAGCGCATAGTAGTCTCAGGTCTGATTGATCTTTTCCGAGCGATTCAAGATACCGTGATCCAACAGGAAAGAAGGATACCTAAATATTGAAGCCTGTAGATGTTGGTGGTTGGGTTCCCCGCAGAGCGCCAGCGCCTATTGCGGTGACAGGCAAGCGCACAATCATAGGTACGAACTCCGGATTCAACTCCGGGCTGAACTCCGATCAAATCCGGCTTCCGAGCTGTGAGTTGAAATGCCTTCGCACTGTATAGTTTTTTTGTTTCTTCAATGGCTAAGCTCGCTAAACGATCTGGAGTTTAGCGGATATCTGCTAGAATTTAGCAGACAAATCACTGATTACCAGGTCTCGATTTTAGCCTACTAGGCAGATCTAATACAGTGTGAAATAATTGCTTATCTAATCACGCACTAGGTTAGGGACATGGCTCAGTTTAAAATTCTAGTCCTCATCTTCGCATTCCTCTGCTTTAACAATATTTCAACATTCTGAATTTATTGACACAACTCTCAAAAGTATTGTCGCTAATATCCCTTGACACCTTTTTAAATATTTCGTGGGTATTTAGGACCTGGGTATACACGTGCATGTGTAATATTAATGTGTACTCAATGTTTACGTAAGCACTCTCAATTTAGGGGTTGAGCTCAGAGGTAATAAACTTTCATGATGACTAATCCGGAACCCAGTTAATGAAAACGCGAGAATCGCTTTGAGTTAACCCCTTTTTGACAAGCTACCAATCCGAATGGTACGAAAATCAGATATGATGCAATATGACACCTTCCATGAGCGACCACCGCTCCCGATGAAGCATAACAGAAGAAAACATTAGGTCTGATAAGAATCGAACCAGGTACCTATGCTTTCTGAAACATGAACCCCCTCATATATCTCGTCAGCACGCATAGCAGGGGTAGTGTATTCCTGATGTGAATATTCCAGAGAAAGCCCAACTGGATATCGTATCACCAGCATTCCCGTACCACAGCCGCAAACATTGGTGGGTCGAATTCACCGACGGAGGATATACAAATCCTCCGCTTCCGTATGTTTCACTGGCCTAATCTTATTTAAACCAGCCTTCAGGTAACATATTAGGTGGAAGTGCTCATTTACAGACTCTATTCGACAATTCCCAGCTGCTCATCTATCGACATGTCAGAGAAAACCTTCAAAGCATACAAGCACGAGCAGGGTACTGCGTATGCCCAGGCCCGCCTTGGGTATAATGCAAAGTTCTATCAATTCGTCATTGACAACCACACTTCGACCGGCGGCAAACTTGACACCGTTCTCGATGTTGGTTCTGGTCCCGGAGTTGCTACACGTGGGCTCGCGTCGCACTTTGCCCATGTTGTCGGCATTGATGCCTCCGAAGGCATGATCAGCGCGGCTCGTTCCATTGGAGGTGTCTCTTCCACTGCCGAGCCAATCCGTTATGAAGTCTCTGGCGCAGAGCAGCTTGGGTCTAACTTGGACCCGCCTATTCCAGATTCCAGCGTGGACTTGATCACGGCCGCTACGGCCGCCCATTGGTTTGACATGTCTGGATTTTGGCCGCGAGCAGCTCAGGTGCTCAAGCCCGGCGGGTCTGTTGCGCTCTGGACTATCACAGCAACACATATCCATCCATCTACGCCAAATCACGAAGCAATCCAGAAAGCCATGGACAATTTCAGATCTCAACAGCTTGGGCCATACCTAGAGAGAGGTAACATACTCGCCAACAACCTATACGCCGATCTACCCCTCCCGTGGACTCTCGAACAGCCTGTTACGGAGTTCGACCAAAGCACTTTCATCCGCAAGGAGTGGTTGAAGAATAGAACAGATAGCGACCCTGACCCCATCGGTCTAAAAACACAGGTTGTGGACCTAGAGGGATTCGAAAAGCGATTTGAAACTTCGAGTCCGGTGACTCGTTGGCGCGAAGCGCATCCCGATGCTGTTGGGACCGAACGGGATGTGGTGAGAGTGATTAGCCGGGAAATTCAGCGCCTCCTAAACGAAGCAGGCGTTGAAAAGGGAAAGGAGCGGATCACGGGAAATGTGCAGTCGGTACTATTGATGGTTAAGAAGAAGGCATAATCCACCTCGGCGCTTCAGACTATACGCTAAATGTGCTTTCTACCTGATGAGTTGATATAATTAGAGAGCCGATCTTTGAAGCTTATCCAGATACCTAACAATTGCCCCGAAAAAGAATCAAAGGTTAGCATTTGTAAGCAGATATCTCTTTTAACTGACAGTTCATGCGTTGAAGGTAGCGGTTATATCGAGATCACTTGGTCTACTAAATGTTGTTAGAAGTCATAATCTTTTACCCCTCACAGGATTAGGTAGTACACGTCTTGGCTGTCTAATATTAGTTTGTTACACAAACTGTTTTTTTTGATTATCTCGTGCATATTGGTGTACCCGACTGGTTATTGCTAGGTACCTATGTAAGCTATGTACCTTAGCTCTTAGGTAAGGAGGCGCGGTACCTACCTAATTACATGTGAATAAAATTAGGTAGCCAATCATCTACATTTTCACCTCCCCTAACTGCCTTTTAGTGATTACGTGAGATCTTTCTTCCCCAAAGACCCGACCGTGAGGTCTCTTTTCAATTAGGCATCCAATTAGGCGGGTCATTTATGTAATCAAACCTACAGCTGATATTCATCCCGCAACACCATTGGTATTTCAATGCGGAACAGCCGCCAACAGGGTGACGTATCCTAGTAGGTATCTATAATGTTGGTAACACAAAAGACGGCCCTTACTAACGTACGCCGACGTCCGCACTCTCGGTGCTAAGCCCTAGCTGTACCTCCAAGTTTATACCGAGTTCATTCCTTTGTCCTTTGTCCTTCATCTTCAAGCTTCGTTCCCGTATCTCGATTTTAAGTAACTCCCTCTCTAGCTATCCGAGAACTAGATATCATTCCTCCCTACTTTACATTTAATATATGATTCAGAAATGCCCTGTTCATCAAATTAGCGATCGGAAACCCTATCCAAAGCTATAGCTCTTCATGGAGAATTTAGCTAACTTACTGACGTTGCGACACATAGTCGCGGCAGTCATCACATATCTTGCAAGTTTTGTCCTTTATCGCCTGTTCCTACATCCCCTTGCTCGGTTTCCGGGCCCAAAATTAGCAGCGATCACAAGATGGTACGAAGGATACTACGATATTATCCAGAATGGCCATTATACATTCAAAATCGCGGAGTTACACAAAGAATACGGTTTGGGTTCTCTTTCATTGATGTATTTTTTCAACTCATTTTGAAAAGCTTGATGTACTAATTAAGTAGGCCCTATTATCCGGATCAGCCCATACGAACTCCATGTGAATGACCCAGCATTTTTCGAACAGCTCTACCGCCAAGATGGACGTTGGCATAAGTATAGTTGGGCTATGGACGCATTTGGGGCTAAGGGTGCAACTCTGTTTACAGTAGACCACGAGCTCCACAAGAGTCGCCGTCAACCCCTGGGCCCATTTTTCTCCAAGGCGAAGGTTGCCAGTCGGCAGGATCTGATCCATAGACATTTACTCAAGTTTTGCGGTCGGATTTCTAAATTCGCCAATTCAGGAGAGACCTTCAACCTAGGCGCTGCTGCCACGGCAATCACCCGAGACGTTGCTAATGAATTCATATTGAACAAGAGTTACAACAGCCTTGACCGGGAGGACTTTGACATAACAATGCTTACTGCTAGTCAAGGATCCGGTCAAATATGGCGGCCCTCTAAGCATATACCAGTGATTACCAAAATCTTCAAAGCGATACCGATTGACTGGATTATAAAAAATGCAGGCGATGATATGAAGGAGTTTTTTCTTTATTTAAAGGTAAAATTATATATGTCCGACAGTTGGTTGTTGTTATTAATTATTACCGAGTAGGAAACCATGCAAGATACTAAGAATCTAATGGCGGCCGCAACTTCACCTATCTCAGACCAGGACAAGGACCAGGAATACCAGCGTACTATAGTTAACGGTATTCTAGATTCCAAGCTTCCATCCTCTGAGAAGTCCGTCGAAAGGGTATTTGACGATGTATCAACCGTCGCCGGTGCAGGATTCGAGACGACTGCTAGCGTTCTTCGACTCGTCTTCTTTCACGTGTTTGACAATCCCGATATTCTCAAGCAGCTTCGAACTGAGCTCACTTCGATCAATGCGGATCCAAGCGAGGTAGAAATAAAGACTCTGGAGCAACTGCCATATCTAACGTCGACATTGATGGAAGGCCTGCGACTAAGCCCGGCGATTGCCACACGCATGGCACGCATTTCCACCGACAAGGATCTCTTCTACGGTAATTGGCGGATACCGATCGGAACACCTGTTGGGATGACGACGATATTGATGCACACGGATGAGACGCTCTATCCAGACCCCAAGAGATTCAACCCTGATCGGTGGATGGATCCGGAATCTCGAAAGATGGTCGACAAGACATTCGCCCCTTTCTCAAGAGGGACGAGGAATTGCCTCGGAATGCAGTAAGTCTCCATATCTCAACGATGGCCGAGGGAGCTATCTTCTAACACCAAAATCTAGTCTAGCGTGGGCTGAATTATACGTCATCGTCGCCACGATCGCTTATCGCTACAACTTCAAATTCCAGGGCGCAACAGCCGAGGATTTCGAGTGTATTAGCGACCAGTTTGCTATTGGAACCAAGGGCAGGGGCAACTTGAACGCTACTGTCTCCATTCGTGAAATGTAAAACTGTAAGAAAGTTGTGGTTTAGTTGAGGGAATTGCTGTACTTCTACGCAAATTTGACTAAGTACCTAGGTAGACATATTCCTACGATTTAGAACTACAGCCATGTCTTGTTCGGATCTATCTTTCTGTGACATGGTTCCTTAGGTACTCTAGTATCTCTATATGAGTGCCAAATGAGTGGAAGTATTGCTAGCTTCGTCGTGATCACCATATTTGTCAGACGTCTGGTCTAGAGAAAGACCAGTAGTTAGGAGTCTACGGGATCGAGACTCGGCCTGTGAAGGTCCGCTGAGTCCTCATTGAGTCCGTGAGGGACCTGTTAGCCGCTAGTCCTGGGAACAGAACGGACAAAAGGGGCCCATAGCGTGAGTAGTTGGGAGCCCCAGGCATAACAATGTTCTTGTTTCCTAGTTCTTTGGTTCCGCCTTCTGACAATATTTATCACTACAAATGAGTGTGTTAGTCCATACTATCTAGTAGGTACCTACCTACCTACCTATCTCCTTACCTGACCTCACCGAGTAAACTAGGTAGGCGCCCAGGCACCTATCTGGTAAGTACCGGTAGGTATGTATCTAAGATCCATGATCTTCGGCAAGACGCGTGTAGTGTATTGCGCGGTATTGCGGGAGGATTTGCCACATATCGCTCCCCTAAAAATAAGATACGTCGCCCAATCCCTGTCTTATGGGTTTGCCCAACCACTCTACGAAGTACGCCCCCAATATTACTGTGGCCGCCATCCGTGCCAACATTCGCAGAGCATCAATGCATACAGCTCAAATATGAGATTAGGCTTGATCAAATTGATATCTAGACATGTACATATACAAGGTTAGCCCATCTGGTTGCGTATAAGAAGTTGACTGATTTCAAATTTCAAGTTTTACGACTCTTACCTCCAACTCCGCACATTTGAAAGCCTCCAAGTCACAAATACCTCAGATACCCCCCCCTGTTAGCTTTATATTATTCATCATTATGACTTCCTCTCCCACCGTTTTTGTCCTTGGTGCTACTGGCAACCAGGGCGGCGCCGTAGCTCGACAGCTTCGTGCGCTCCACTGGAACGTCCACGCCTTAGTGCGGGATCTCCTGTCTCCCGGCGCAATTGAACTAGCAGCTGCCGGTGGTATCCTCACCGAGGGTACCTGGGACAACACAGACGCCCTCAAGGACGGAATTGCCGGCTGCGACAAGCTCTTCCTCAACCTCGTGCCATGCATCGAAGAACTAGACCGCGAGCGACAACAAGCCGTGAATATCGTGAACATCGCCAAGGCCGCCGGCGTGACTCAGATCGTCTCGACCACAAGCCTAGGGGTCTCTATGTACGGCACGGATGACAGGCTCCAGCCCGGCCTCTTGCACACGCTCCTCGGGGTCAAGAAAGGCGTCGAGCAAGCCGTCGTGGATGGCGGCCTTGAGTCCTACACGTTGCTGCGCCCAGCTTACTTCATGGCTAATTTCCTCCAGCCGAATATTGATAATTACCTCGACATTGTCAACGACGGCGTCTGGAAATCGGCTCTGACGGCTGATACTCAGCTTGGGTTGGTTGACCACGAGGACATCGCTAAGGTCGCCGTCGCGGCTTTCCGTGACCCAGCTCAATTTAATGGCCGTGAGATCGGACTCGCGAGCGAGTTCCTCACTGCTCAGGAGGCGATGGATCGTCTTGGGGACGCGATGGGACGGCCCATTAAGGCGGCGTTTATGACGGATGAGGAAATCGCCGTGCAAGAGCAAGCGTCCGTTCCGGTAAAGCTGGAGAAGTCTATGAGGTACATGATTGAGTATGTAGATATGAAGGGACTAGAGGCGATTACACCATTGACGAGTTTCAAGGAGTTTCTGGAGAGGGAGAAGAAGAATGTTAAGAAGTTGTAGCTTGTTGCACTAGTGATATAAGGATACTAAGGCACCTATTGAGTTTTTATCTAGTATTTTTCTGATGATAGGATAATTCTATGCGCATAGATTCCATATGGTTACCATAATGAAAGGTATCTATTCTCCGTTGGGTAGTAGAGGATACTATCGTCCGGGCTCCACTTTTTCGATGTCTAGTAAATTTGTCCCAGTTCCAATACCATACCTACAATGGCTAAGACTTTCGTTAGGTAATATCATAATGAGTGTATACCTAATTACTACACCTCGCTGTCCATGTTAGTCGGCCCAGATAATACGGTATTGTACCTAGGTAGCGTCGTGAGCATTACACGATGAGAATTGTGGTGGGGACGACGGGTGTCACGTGACATGACAACCCCTTTTCAAAAAAGGGGTAGGGCTGTGAATTTGAGTAAAGTATCACACTCATGACTTCATATAGCTCCAGAGTTAGAATAGAACTTAAAGGGTGAATTTTAGATGTGGACTTAACGCCTGACTGGGTGAAGTGGTGGTATGGTTCATTTGTCTCCCTAACTAATCCCTGGTGGTTAAGGAATACACAACCCCATCATTTGACAAGCCTTTCGATAAAGGATACCAAGGTGCTATGTACGTAGTATGACCAAGTTTGCTGCACTCTGAAGGACGACTTCTTTATACGAAGTATGAATTTAGGTTTCTATTCATTCTTTAAGGCACTCAACCGAAACCTAACCTAATGGTCAGCAGATTACGATGCCATGATTTAGAAGGCGCGACTTTAAACTTTTCACTCCAACGACCGATCATATACCCAAATGATATAATAGTTGTGTGGTTATATCATTTCATTCCTAATAAGTTGATCTCTTCTCATCCCTTACGAAGCTCTGGTGAGATCTGAGATAGGAGTCTAGATGGCAATAGTTTTGACACATTACTAGGTAGGCATCTTTTCCCTTAATAATATTTTACAGTCTTTGGATAATACCTACTTGCTAGAAGATTGTGTTTGGTATAGACTAAGTTATCTTGACTCGCTGTTACGAGGCAACGGCAACGAGCGAAGGGACAGTGGAATTACTGCACGGGAAACTTTAAACTATTTTTGCCTACCGGGAACATGGTGCACGTATGAAACGATGTATCTCTCCATCCTAGTAGTCTTTGAGTTAGAAGCTAATGAGTCTCCTGGAACCTCACACGGTCCCTACGAGCCGTACTACAGTCACGTCGGTCTCTTAACTACGGATCCTTCAACTGACCAGACTTCTAATACTCGAGAACTTGTGTTCATTTAATCTATTAATGCTTAATTAACAATATAGTCGTCCTCTACGTTAAAATCGTTCAAACTCGGGTTCTGATTGCTTCCCAGACGTTTGTTGACTAAGTAATCAGGTAGGTAGATACCTGCGCACACCAAGTTGCCACCGATCTTGTATATGCGCAACGATAAATGCATCATATCTCGCGCGTTTCGCTAGTCATAAGATTCTCGAGTTAGATAAATAATAGAATGAAAACATTGTTTTATTATTCCGAGACGAATGTGAAGGAAACAATACTAACATCGTAACAAGCCAAGTGACGTTGTAAAACCTGTGGTGTCATGTACGTACGCAGTGTCTAAAAGCCGAAAATTGTTTACAATTGATAGGCTTGCCAAACCAACATCAAGAAACGTTTTGAATTACTTAATGGCGCGAAGCATATATCTCTTTACACTAGGTAAGTAGGTAAAAGCGAAACCTCGTACGAGAATAAAATACCCGCAATCCTGCGTCTCATCTCCGCAATAGGGAGTTGGGTAAAAACAGGCCTGACTCCATCTCGGACCCGTAGCGGCGGCTCGCTTAAGTTGTCACGCCAGATTCTAGGTTCCCGCGAACGTGGTAATGAGATACGATGCCAAGCATACAGGGGACGCATTCGAACGGGCCAGGCTAATTCGTTTACAGCTGCTACGTTACACAGCCGCGCAATCCTGTTCTGGAGATTTGAAGGATTTAATTTATGTCTATATCGGGAAATTAGTCACCAACAATTCTCGCGGCGTGATCCTGTGTCTCGGAACGAAATACGCGTGACATCCTACGATGAGAAGGTAGGTATTTAAATCTTGAACTTCCCCGACGGATGCATTCTTTTCTCCTCGATTGTCCTTCTTTTCGTGGGTAGTCGCATTTCGTCGTAAAAGGGAAATCGTTAGGTCAAAATGAAGTTCTTGGGGTCTTTGCTTACCGTGGCCGGTGCCGTAAGCGCCACTAGCGTGCCGTCCATGACAGCGCCAGCGTGCTCAGCCGGGAAGGGGAGCGTTTCGTACGACAAGACGGTGCCGGATAAGGCCAGCTTTCCGAAAACGCAAGTTGACGTCTGCTACGACGACACTTCAATTCATATCACTTTCACGGCGTTCGAGGAGACAAATTACTACTTCAACAGCAGCCAGACGACTAACGACCCGATCTGGCAGTATGAGGTTATGGAGGGCTTTGTGTACCGTGGCACCAACGACCCGCAGACGTACCTGGAATTCGAAGTGAGCCCGAACAACGTTACCTTCCAGGCGTGGATATTCAACAAATCAAAAGTGCGCGCGGCGAGCGCGCCGCTGGACACATCCTATCTGACTCAGCCGCTAGTCGATGGCTTAACAGCGGAGACGACCTTAGACAAGGAGGCGCAGACGTGGGTATCGTCAGCCACGATTCCCCTAGGACTTTTCAACGTCGATGATGGTCAGGCAGCGGGGACGGAATGGAGGATGAACTTCTTCCGCACTGTTGTGTCGCCGGATACGTTCCCGGACCAGCTCCTCGGTGCGTGGAACCCGACGAACGAGTCAAATTTCCATATGACGCCTTTCTTCGGCCGAGTATCGTTCGTGTAACGAAGTGGCTGGCTGATTAGCTGTTGCTCCAACCCTTTAGGGGTTGGCACATGCTAAATATATTAATTTCAACTCGTGTTGAAAACCATTAGCCCTTGAGTTCTACTTGAAACTTCATCTCGCATGAAATGTTCCATGCGTATGAAGTGACTAGCTGGTTTCGCAACGCAAGAAGATGTGTTCTGTGTGACGGCTTGTGATGTAGAGAGAGATGTGACTCCGTAAATTTGTAGAACATGATGGTGTTACTTAGCGGCCCTTTTAGAGTCCTATGGCTAAAAATAATATTGTCCTATCTGTTGAGATACGAGGCGAGGTTTGTGTAGCCAGTATTAGTAATTTGCCAGACATTTATATTGAATTGTTCGTTTCATCGTAGTATGTCTTGGATACTGATCATTTTGGAGTTGCCACGAGAAACATGTCTCAAAGTTGTAGGTTTCCGAAGACTATTAACCAGATGTGAGACACTTGACCTTATCGCCCGTAGCGTTTATCCTGAGTTTAGGGCTGAAATGATGGGTCGCAAAAGGCCAACACCGAAAAGTAAGGTGTTCAGGTGCAACAGCTCTACCATTGAAATTGTAGAGAAAACAGAGTATTCACGTAGCGCGAAAGGTTACATAAGCAAATGGATCTCGCGACATGATGGATACTCCCTACCTACCTACTGCATGTAGTTGTGTCTCCAGGTGATAAACATTCTAACCCACGATTTTATATACTTTCAATGTTGCCAGCCGTGACTAAAGTGTAAAGATGACTATAGAAAATGTGTATTAGTTAAGTGATACACATCTGTAGACTGCAGCTTGAACTCGGGATAACGCACCCTCAGATACATCAGCATTGAAAAATATTCACCCAAGTCGTGTAACGACTCATCATAAATTTCATTGAATAATGTTCATCATAGGAAAAAGTAGGAAGATAAATATAGAAGTAATAACTTACCTTGAATAAGCTTCAACTGTCTTTCTTCATGTTATTGTTATACGTGTTTTAAGCATCGTGATTATTGTAGAAGTTGTGGTGGAAGAAAAAGAATCCATCGTGTATCTATTGAGGGTTATTAGCGTGTTGAATTCTCACGTGACCGAGTGAAAAGATTCGGCAGCTGCCAAGGTCTCATATGGCAGCTGTAAAAGCTGAGTAATGATCCTTATTTACCCCGCTAGCGACAGCAGCAGCGCCCGATACATCGCCTTCGTCGAAATAACTGTGATCTTGACGAGTGGGGTCCTCAACACATTCCCAATTTTCCATAGGTTGTAACGAACTTGACCACGCTCGCGAATGGCACGGTCAACTACACGGCACCAGAGACGCATAGAATACTCTAACGCCGAGCACGGCACCGCGGAGGTGCGCGATGCAACGACACACATATGGCGGCAGAGCGCAGCGCTAGGGGAGTGGGTTAACGGCGACTTGAACGGTACGGTGGTGTTGTGCGGGGTGGGGAGGGTGTGAGCTAATACGACGGACGATGGGTTGGAGAATAGCTTTACGCGCGGGAGTGTGGATATTAAGGTTAGGAATGAGACGGGGGTAAGTAGAGACGATGTAGATGGGAATGGGCGAGGGTCTCTGGGACGAATTCGCTGGTGAGTGAGACGGTGGCGGCATCGACAACGAGCGGAGTGGGGAGTCCTACGGCGACTCTTAATACTGCTTCTATCCGATTCACATTAGGACCGTGGTTAATGGCCGTTCCGGGATACCTGCTATTTTCAAGAACCCTCCAGACTCCGATTAAGATGAAATTATGATATCGTGAGATGTTAACCTGCCCCTTATCTTCCGGGCTGAAAACGATACTTAAAAGATAGTGTTAGTATCAGCACGCAGAAAAGGGAAATACAAACGTCTCTACGTAATGTAACATGTAATATATATAAATTCATTCGGCTCGCCATAACGCTACACGCCTTTGAACCCAAATCTATCATCTTACTCATCATCATCCCCAGCAAAATGTTTCCTGGGCCAATCCCTCGCGATATCGATCCGATCCCTCGGCCAGAACCACTCGCAAAACACGAAGATCAGATAATCGATAATAACACACAGACAAAACAATTTCCCAGCCCAGACACCGCAGCCGTAGTATCTCTTCAGGCGATCGATAAGTGCGAAGTTGCGACCGCGTGTGGCGTGCCAGTGCGGGTCGTGGCCGACGTCGAAGCCGTAGAACTCGGCCTCGCCGATATCACCTGAAATGCCGCGATAGACGCGCTCGGTGCGCTTGGCTACGTTGGTCCAGGAGTACATGGATTTGACCTGCTCGTGGAACTTCTCCGTGCGGACCTTATTCGCGCGGAGCGCCGCGATTGCCCTGCCCGTCGCTGCTACCAGGTCATCCTCCTCCGGCTTCGCGAACACCGTCATGTGCGACGGGAGAACTTCCGGGATACCGCCTACCGCCGTGCATACGACGTATAGCCCGCAGCTGGCTGCTTCGACGATCACGGTTCCGAAGGCTTCTGTTAAGCTGGGATGTAGGTAGATATGTCCTTTTACCATGACATCGCGCACGTTCTCGTGTCGCACCGGCCCAAGCATTTCGATCTTGTCTTGTAACACGTTTTGCTCGATCATCTGTTCTAGTTCAATTGCCTTAGGTCCTGAACCAGCGATGATGAATCGAGTGTTTGGGTGGTTTTCGAGAATTCGGGGAATGGCCGCTGTGAGTAGATCTGTTCCCTTATTGTAGAAAAGACGGCTAATAACCACGATCGTCAAGGTGTCATTTGGTCCGAGGGGATGAGCTGGTAGAGGGTGCTGCACATATGTCATGTTACTCGGATCCGGACGAGGAAGAGGCTTGAAGTTCTCTGAGACAACAGCATTGGGGATTACGGAGACCATGAGGGGATCTAAAGCTGCTCTTAGGACTGTGTTTTCCTTGCTTTAGAGGCATAAGCATGAGATGTCGTATGGATGGGGTAGCATAACATACCATGTATTACTGACGCATATAACATGGTCTACGTCACTGAGCGTGAATTTCAGTAGCTTATTGGTCAAGATGCTTGCCGCATCAGCAAAACCAAATAGCGAGTGATCTGTGAAGACAGTCCTCAATCCCATCGTTCGGGCATGTAGCATAGCCTCCTGGCAGAGACTACTTAAGCTAGCGTGGCCATGAACAATCTCAATCTGTTCGCGAAGTATAATATTTCGAAAGAGGGGGAAGAACGAAAATACGGTCGGAAAGGTGGCAGATCGATAGATGACGGCAAATGGAACATGGAAGACCTTGATGCCATTGGTCAAGTAGCGAATCCCTTTCCGGTCATCATAGGCATGGGTGATTACGATGACCTTATGTCCTCGATCGACTAGCTTCGTAGCAAGTTGGTAGATATGACTCTCGATCCCACCTGGCTGGGGAAAGAAGAAGTCGCTAACCATAGCGATGTTATATGTTCGGTGCGGCGGCATCGTGTCGGATGAGGGGCGCAAGTTTCGGGCAAAATTCGAGTCATATTCAAAAATGGGAAAAAGCGACCACGGTGGATTATAAATAATGGAATTGCGCTCGGTTGTCGTCGTTATGGTTTCGTTGCCGTGATAGCAGACAACGGTCAAGGCGAGAAGATTAAAGTACGGATAAGGGCGTGATGGGCGTTAAGCGTAGGCGTGATCCAGTGGAACGACCAGAGACCTTCGAATTTATCATTAGTGCTCAGCACTTCGTGGCATTGTATTAAATAAAATCATTCGTTGTATTCGTAAACCAATCAAAAGCTATAAATTAATTTTACGAAGCTCTATAAGGAATGAGAGACTTCATCTAATCGGACAATACATCTCAATTCATGTTGTCGCATTGGAAGATGTTAATGTGTTAATAGTCGGATATCTAACAGCGATTTAAGGTTGCATGTGTTACTTGGTTATCGATAATCGCACTGATAAGAGATAATGATAAATAGGGAAGGCGGTCAAATTTTACATATTGGCAGAATTGCGGCAGAATTATCCTAGAAAACGGAAACTTTTGCGCCATCTGAACTTTACATCATCCAGCCTCACAATGTATGCGCGATACGTGCCACCTCCAAAAGGGGCTGCGAAGAGCCCTGAACCGCAACACGCTGTCGAAACAATACCAACACCCCCGACCAATTCTCAACCTACTGCTTATGCCAGATATATCCCACCCATAAAACCAACCAATGGCTCCAACCATCCACCACCATCTCACCATGTCCACTTCGACGAGAATGATAATAATAATGAACCTCCAACTAAGAAGGCCAGGTTAACGGAAGAAGAAGAAGTTTCTCGGGAACCAAAGAAGAAGTCTAAAAAATCTAAAAAATCTAAGAAAGAGGTAGAATCTAATTTGGAGGATTTGGATGGATTAAGTAATGATGTGGTAACCCAAGATGCGCTAGAGAATGGCGATGTTCCCGTGGAACATGACGTTCCAGAGCAGGAAGTTGATCGGGAAGCAGCAGCGAAAAATTCTGACGAATTAATTAGCAAGGTCAAGAAAGAAAAGAAAAGCAAGAAGGCAAGGAGGAAGAGTGAGTCTGGAGCGCAGGATGAGGTTGAGGATGAAACCCCCGTACGATATCGGTCGGTGCTAGAAAAGGCTGCGAAATCGATGCAAGCTCCTGAACCGCGAACCACAGCAGAGGGGGAGGGGGATGCGGAGATGAAAGATGCGTCCAATGGCGATGATGGTACGGACGCGAAACCAGAAGATGCTATGGACCTAGACGAGGAAGCATCAGAAGTTCACGGTCTCCAGCCACTACCTCAACCTAAACCGATCATCCTCGATGCGGCGAAACCAGCTTACGAAACTTTGCCACCCTGGCTAGCGAAGCCCATTCGTGTCTCCCCAAATTCTACTGCGCCGTTCACCCAATTTGGACTTTCTCCAGACTTGGGAATTGCTCCTGAAGTGGCAGAAAAGCTGGCCACTAACGGATACAAGCAAGCGTTTGCCATACAAACTGCAGTCATCCCCCTCCTTCTCCCTCACCATGACAAGACAATGCATGGGGATGTCCTGGTATCAGCCGCAACAGGCTCCGGGAAAACTCTGGCTTACACACTCCCTATAATTAGGGATCTCAGTCAAGGCAATCGTCATCTAACAAGATTACGTGCAGTTATCGTTCTACCAACTCGCGAACTTGTTAGGCAGGTTCAGCAAGTATGCGAGCAGTGCGCTGGGATTTTTTCTTTGGATGGTTCAAAGAGAAGGGTCCGAGTTGGAATTGCAATGGGAAGCCAGTCGCTGGATAAAGAGCAAGCTACTCTCGTTGAACGCGAGGAGAAATATGACCCCGAGGCTTACGCCAAACGCAGGAAGCGCTTAGCTTCTGAGAGTGGATATGGCTCCGCCGAGGATAGCGACGAGGGTTACAACACCGAAGACGAAGAGAGATCGGCTATTCGAAAGAGGGAGGACAAGATCCCAACATTGCCCGACCATGTGATTTCCTACACTTCCAAGGTAGACATCCTTATCTGTACACCCGGAAGACTGGTAGAACACATCAAAGGTACCCCTGGATTTTCGCTGGATTTCGTTCGGTGGCTCGTTGTTGATGAAGCCGATAAACTACTAGGCCAGAACTTCCAGCAATGGTTAGATGTAGTTATGCCCCGGTTGCAGTCCAACAATATGCATACTCGAAACCATAAGCAGTTCAACCTGTCAGGAGTTCGGAAGATTGTCCTCAGCGCTACAATGACAAGAGACCTCGACCGCTTAGAAGGGCTAAAGCTGCGCTGGCCAAAACTAATTATGCTTGAGGGATCCGGAATCGCTAATGAGCCGGAGCCTACGCTAAGCAAGGCTGAGCTTGCGCTTCCCGAACTACTCGAAGAAGCTGCCCTAAAAGTCAGCGACCCTAACCTGAAGCCACTTTTCCTTCTAGATTTGCTACAAAGCGACCATATTCTACGGCAACTCAGTCCTAAAAATAGACCAGATCTATCCAACGACGAGACTTCGTCCTCTGGTTCAGATTCAGAGTCGGATTCAGAGCTGGAAACATTCAGAACATCTAGGGCCACATCTGCAAGAGGAGATTTGCCTAGCGTCTTGATCTTTACGAAGTCAAACGAAACAGCCTTACGTTTATCACGTCTTCTATCACTACTTTCACCAGTCCTAGGTAAACTTACCGGCACACTCACCTCCACGACACAATATGCGACTCGAAGGCGTACCATCCAATCGTTCCTGGCCAAGAAACTGCGAATTCTTGTAGCATCTGACCTCGTTGCTCGAGGAATAGATTTACCGTTCCTAGATCACGTTATCAACTACGATATTCCATCAAGCGTAGCTTCCTATGTTCATCGAGTGGGCCGTACTGCTCGAGCTGGAAAGACGGGCAAGGCTTGGACACTTCTTACAAATCGAGAGGCAAGATGGTTCTGGAACGAAATAGCCAGTGAGACTGCCATTCAGAGGAATGGACAGGTGGAACGAATTCGGATAACCGAAGAAAAGGAGGATGCATTTGAGGAAAAGGTAGCTGCGTACGAATCCGCGCTCGCGAAGTTAGGAGACGAAGCAAGCGAATCGAAGAACCGTGCGCGACAACCTTAATAGACGCCAGTTACCAACATGAAGGATTTGATGAATAAAATTAGTTCAGTATATTCGAGGTTGGCAGTTAACTATGATGCTTAGGTAGATACCCCAATTCCACGCTTCCCCATCCAACACTTTGTCTCTCGACCTATCACAGCTATCATGCTCATCCACAACTTCCGAATTGCTTACAGCGGTGAGGGGTTCTTATGATGTGGCATACAAGCGGATGGCAACAAATTACGCCAGATTTTGTCTTACAATAAGAGTTGCCGAAATACGAACAAGCGTCTTACTGTTTACGTAAAACCTCATCTGCTCCCATACCAGCCCACCGGCGCCCAAAGAGACTAGGCAATTGAATACGATATTCTTTGAGACTATTTGTATGCACAGCTTCAGCTGCCAGTTACTTTTACGATCAACTTCTGCGCGACAATACCATAGTCAGTTTACTAGCCGTGCCTCGTCATGCCACGACTATGAATTGAAGTTGGTAAAGTGCAAAAGAATACGACCAAAAATAATCTGACAGTCTCTCTCTAGGTAGTCCTTTCGCATAATTATGCCTATCGACTGGTGCCAGCGCTGCACATGATCGAAGCTTGATCCTTTAGTAGGATGTTGGTCGGGCTTGGCAGATCCGGGTGGCTTACTACTATGATGGTGTTGAGGCTGAGAAAAGTCAAGACGACGCATGGCTTACATTCTCAGCCTTAAGAGGGTGTATTAAGATATAGGCTATCGCTATCACCAATCTTCGAGTTTTCATTGGTGAAAATATCACGATGTCGTGCTCTGGGGAACAAAACTGCGCCGGTCAGCCGGTATCCGTTAGCTCATCATCAGGCAACTCGAAGCTTCATTAGTGGCAGTGCTGATTGACTTTTCTCCCTTAGTGCCTTGGTGTCGGTTGTCCAGGACTAATGGTCTAGATCAAATTCAGCTGGTAGTATTAGGCGTCCAATGAGACGGACGAAATATGCCCGTTAGTGTCAGCAAGTAAGACCTCCAAGCCGTAAGCCGGAAGCTGGGAAAGCTTGTGGGCAAAAATAGAATCAATCTGGGGATAGGTCCAAATACCTAGGACTGGGCATCATGAGATGAATTGCGGGTGTTGCGCGTTGAGCATTGTGTGTTGTGTGAATGAGTATATAATATGGCTTTCCGTCGCCGAAAAGGGGGAATATCCTCATCACCAAAATCTCAACACCAACAACTCCATCAACACCAGCAAAACCAATACCTCCTTAATCCCTAATACCAAACTTCAACTCATAATACATAATCTCATCAATCTTCCTCATCAACCATCAAAATGCAGTACACCACCGCCGCCCTCTGCCTCATCTCGGCCACCCTCTCCCTCGCCGCACCCACCACCAAGCGGGACACCTTCTCAGGCTTCATCGTGCCCAGCGTCCTCAAGATCCACGACATCAACAGCAACGCCAACGTAGCCAGCCTCCACACCGCCACCGTCCGCGCCGCCAACAACGTCGAGACCAGCACCCTCTACCAAATCCCCATCCCCGCCTCTCTCGCCGGCAAGACCTGCGCGCTCGTCATCCAAGCCACAGCCGGGGACCAGGTCCAGGGCACCCAAGAGCTCGACATCTTCAACAACCTGTTCGCGGACCTGAACAACCTACCTTCCGGCAACCAGCGCAACCAGCAGCTCGCCCGCGTCAAATTCAACTCCGGCACCGGCTTCTACGACTTCGACACCGTCGGCTTCGCCAACCCCAAGATCCAGAGCTTCCCTTGCCCCGCGGGCGCTACGCTTAAGTGGGAGAGCGTGGCGGTGGGGACTTTCGATGTCAATGTTATTTCCCAGGACTTTGCGAACGTGGTTGGTGCTGAGGCGCCGAATGGGTTGAGCGTTGGGTACTTTTAGGTGCTTAACTCACTACCTACCTAACCTAGTTGGTGTAGAGTGTGGAGTTTTGGGTACTTGGTTCTCTCTTTTTATATGGATTGCATCGGCTTTGGCATTTAGCGTTTGGGATGGAAAAGCAGCACGGGTGGGTTGGGGTGGTGCGGTTATTGGACACTCCTTAGTTGTTATTGCATAATGTTTAGGTTGCTTTACCCCTATTGCTTGTCTTGTCCCCTTTGATTCTGTGCTTTATCTTGACTTGTTCAATATGTTCCTTATTATAAACCAACCTAAATGGTGATGGTAGCGTCCGTGGGTTAATTCACGATTTTGTAAGCCATTTAATACGTTGTGTTAATTAAAAGGGAGGTCACGATCGCCCATGTGCCAATTAAACTGTACGCCAAAATATCCCCTGCTTTGCCTTTACAGGTAACTTACACGTACCACGGTCGGTGGTTAAGGCAGACTGTGTAACACAGGGGATAGCCCTGATTATAGATTCAGGGGCAGAGCTCAATACATAACAGTCAAGAAGTTAGAATAGGGTTATCGAAATGGCTCCATAACTGCATAACACCACCGCCCCCTGTTGACTTAGAGTTCCACTTTTTATCCGCGCTTCGATCTGCCATCTGGTTCAATGTAACTATACCCGCCAACCCACTAGGAGGGTAGATCTTATCAATCAATCGTGTAAAATTCTCCGAATTCCCTAACTCCTAGGTACGATAAGGCACTTGGCGACTCAACATTATATCTGGTTAAGCTAGATACTTTTCTTCTACCTCAAGACTAGGCCCATTCGTGATGGATATTCCAGGTAAGTGATCTTGAACTGGTGATCAAATATGAGATAACCCTAATATACGGAGAGAAGATGTTAAGAAACTCGCGACCATAGTTATTATTGCAAGACAGGCCTTCCTGTTAATGGTAGAAGCTTGAAGCTTGAATCTATCTCTCATACATATCTCTATGTATAGAAGACTTCCACACATAGATATCTCTACTAACCGTCTCAAGATAGGGCTCCTATCTAGGCAGCGGACGGTGACACGGACCTCTCCGTGATGCATACATAACGGCGCTTAGAGAACGAGCCCACATAGTTTCGTCTTCTAATGTCTCCTAGAGCCCTCATCCATCCTCTGACAGCTTGCGATCCGTGACAACACGTATCTAGATATTGACTGCAGAGCGAGACCTTCGATATCTTATGCGTTTTCTCCGGCTCGACAAGATCATCTGGAAAAGTCAAATTCATCCCACGCGTGTTTATTGAGTCTTGCCAATCTCAACAGACTAGCCAGTCTTCGGCGCTTCTCCATGTCCATCATGCAGTCTCCGTAAATGAGAAGAACAGCTTCCTTAGAAAGACGACATGACTCCATAAAGTTGTCATGACAATTGCACTGCATTCGCCAATATTGCGTTCGTAAACGCAATAGAACAACCTCGTCACACCGCTTATAGGAGGTGACCGGCAGGGTGGCCGAGGACCGAGGCTTCGATGTAGGCACCCGTCTCTAGATTACCAGATGCGGCGATGATCTGCGAGATCGTGAGAATACTCCATACGGAAATGCTTTACACACACAAATTCCCATAAGGCAGTCGATGAAGCTCTTAAAATACCAAGAGATGCTAATACCACTGTAATAAACCTATAATCCTTTGACCGCTTCTTTGAAACATTGAATTGAAGAGTTTCAAGCCCAGTCAAGTTAGGTTGAGAGCGGATGTAGTAATTGCCTCGGCAGCTAGATTCTTAGGGGTACATATGTATGTAAGCTTACATGTATCTCGATGGAATTTACCGCTATGCACGACAGAGGTCGAACCAATCAGAAAATCGGATGGGAGATGGCGGTACATCCATTCTTACCTAATTAGGTATTTCGTAAGACCGGTCTAACATCGCGGCATTCTTACGCCGCAAGCCATTTCATGCAGTCCAAAACATTACCTATTTCGTCTCGAAACACTGGGTCCGACTATTCATGCGATTCAAAAACATTGCCTATTCTGTCCGTACGCTATACGCCGAGTTAGGCAAGATCATTAGGTCATCGTAGATGACTACCAATCCTCATCGATGTCGTCGACGGTAGCGAGTGCGAATGATGGTACGATCTAGGGGCTAGATGCCGTGCGGTATCGAGCCCGCTTGAATCTGCTCGAGTATTAATATCAGTCATTCTCGGACTCATCATCAGGAAGTTTATCTCAACATCATCATCATCTCATCTCACAACACTCAACCAACTCCAGAACAAACCATCAGAACTCAATCTCCAATTCTAAATCCCCCACAACCTATTTCAAGATGCCTTTCTCCGTCCTCTTCCTCGCCACCCGCAAGGCCGGCACCACCCCCGAGGCCTTCAAGGCGCACTACGAGAACACCCACATCCCTCTCCTGAAGTCCGCCGCCGGCGCCGCTTTCCCCCAGACCCACACCCGCCACTACATCCACCGCGCCGAGGGCCAGGCCCACGTTCTTCTCGGAACCCAGGGTGACTTCGACTACGACGTCGTTGTCGAGCTCGCTTTCGCCGACCAGGCCGCTTTCCAGGCCTACGCCGCCGCCACCCACTCCGGCGACGCCCAGGCCAAGATCTCCGCTGACGAGGAGTCCTTCATCGACCGCTCCAAGTCGCGCGCTGTTATCCTCGGCAGCACCGAAGTCACCAAGGCATAGATGCCTTTAAGGGACTCACTTGATCATTATTCGCTACGCCCTGATGGATCGGTAAACTGACGGAATTGTCGCTGTTCTTGAGTGGAGTGTTGTTTCGTGGGATGACTTCTATTCGAGCGATGGGGTTATGTTGACGACCCCGGATGGGTTGGAGGATTTCGGATGATGCGATGTTTTTTAGCTGGAGTCAATAAAAAAAAGTTGACGCAATTTGACTGCCTTATTTTGGTGAATAATTTAATGTGATTTGCTCGGTTTGATTTCTTGCTTTTGGGTTGTTAGCTGCATGATTTGCATAAGCCACGTTTCTTGCCCGGTGCGGGATCGGATTGGCAATCGCTGAACACTGTATCATGCCTGGACTTTAGAGTTGAAATTTAGGCCCAATAGCGATAGCTTCGCCTATAACTCCACTGTGATATAGCGGATATTTACCAAGTTTTAGGGGCTGAGTTACTGGAGAAGAACATCACACGGTGCGAGAATATTCCGGTTTTGACCCTGGAGCAAATATGCGAAATCTTGGCAAGCCACCGGGGATAAGAAAAGGGGGGAGATTGTTTATCATCTACTCCGGTCTCCGGATCTGTAACGCCATCAATGGGATCAATTAGGAACGCGATTATAAGGACCTCGGAAGACATTTTTTCGATATAGAATCGGCATAGAATTATATATTATTACCTACCATACATGACTTGTACAAGAACTTTTCGCAACACTCTGGTGCCAATTTGCATCAGGATAATTATGCCTGAGCCAATCGATGTAATGGGGTATATTTTATGGTGGTGTTACGGTTAGTGGCGGAGCATACCTATGCTGACGCATGAGAACCAACCGCTTCAATGAATTCAATGAACAGCGGTAGAAAAATGCTACCAAATAACCTCCATCATCCATATCATAGCATTCGGAATCTCGAAAGGGTAATGGCTTTATCCAGCCTCGTTATATGGGTTGGTATATACAAGACTGATATATTTGCTATTGATTACGATTGTTGTGTTTCCACAGATGCTCTACTTATTCTTTACTGACATTGAAACAAAATCCGAGCCACTTTCTAGCATAAGAAGGACTATGGTACTTCCCATGACTTCTCTAGGAGGCGCATTATGCTCTGCCAAATCTGCAAAACCCGATTCGAAAACATTGGGAAACCCACCCAACGTTGCCTAGAAAAAAAGCATACTGTGAGACGCTGGCAAGATGATATCGAAGGTATTCGAAATCCAGTCATTTTCGTACCCACCTATGGGGTTAACTTCACCTTATTCATATATGAATTGGCGTTTAGGTTACCTAATCATTACCTTATTATAGGAACGAATATAAATGATTACATCTGTGTACACGAGCAGCACCCGTTTGGTCACCATCGTGATGAGCTTTCTTTCAAGCGCTCTGCAGAGCAGGGTTGTATTGTATGCAGGGATATTGCCATTAATAGTGACCAAGATGACCAGAAAACCGAATTCCATGGACTTGGATTCTACACCACTTTCAAGTGTTCTCCGTGTGATTTCGACAGTGATAGGCTCAATATAACTATTGAATCAAACTCCGGGTCAACAATGATCGAACTCATTCCAACAATCCCAGCAGAAGGTAAGGACGGCTTTCTTCTTATGCGTATTGTTTTCCGGTTTCCCACTATGCTAAGATATATACAGTTAGCAGTGACTCTCTTCAATACGGCGCACTCAATTTCCATCTTAAAACTTCGACAAATTCGTTGCAGACATGGTCTATGATATCAGATTGGATGACGAATTGTTCTTCGGGTCACGAAAGATGCAAGAGCCAAGTTCAGAGTAATCGATATAAACCGACCCGATTACTCCAGATAAATATCCGACGTGGTCCCTTTTTGCGAAGCCTTGATACCTTTCAGTTAGTTTATGGGAACCAATGTCCCAGGGGTTCATCCTATGTCACTCTTAGTCACCGCTGGGGCAAGAAGCCTTTAGACAATACACTCCGACTCCTAAAGGGAACTTCAAAATCGTTGAAGAAGAGGAACCCAATCGACAAGCTACCAGCGACATTCAGGGATGCGATGTACATCGCCCATCGATTCGGTAGTCATTATGTCTGGATCGACCGGCTATGCATCTATCAAGATTCGCCAGAAGATTGGCGTAACGAAGCCCATACAATGCGAGACGTCTATCGAAATGCCTCCTTTTGCATCTCAGCTCTTAGTGCTGAGAGCGACGAAGGTGGTTGTTTTTTTGACCGCGACCCGGCACTGGTCACTCCTACACCCGTTCGTCTAAACGGAGTAAAGGGCACCTTCAGGGCAGATACCGAAGACACGGCATGGCGAACAACTTTTCAAGATGAGCTTCTTCTCAAGCGGGGGTGGGTTCTTCAGGAAAGGCTCATGTCTCCTCGTACCATCTACTTCGGGAAGAAACAGGTATACTGGGAGTGCGCAGAGCTTGATGCATGCGAGACACACCCGGTTGGTTTCAAGAAATTCCCTTTTGTACCCAATTCTTCCAAGTCCGACCTCGAGTTATGGAAGCAGCTCATCGATGCGCCAATCACTTTAAGTCCCGCCACGGACCGTCGAGTACAAGTATTCGTGAGTTGGAGCGCTGCAATAAGTGCCTATTCGGGTACCGAATTGACTTTTCCGAACGATAAACTTGTAGCTGTGTCTGGGTTAGCACAGGACATAAGACAGAAACTACAAGGCAATCGACTTGTTCGACCTCAGTACTTAGCTGGACTTTGGAAAGACGTCCTTATACAAACATTGTTGTGGTATGTCAGGTTGGGCACCCGTGCCAGAAGACCTAAGCTCTATCGGGCGCCGTCGTGGTCGTGGGCTAGTCTAGACGGACGTATAATCATGGCAGACGCGTTCTTCACAGATATGATCAAGCTCAGCCGTCTTGTGTCTTTCAGCATGGAATACCTTGGCGGCGATGATACCGGAGAAGTAAAGAGTGGATCGTTGACATTATCGGGACGAGTATGCGTCGCGGAAACTGAGAGTTCGCCGAATAACCAGTGCACAGTCAAGGCATTCAGGATACCCGGTGATGAAGTGTTGGTTGGATGTCATGACAGCTTCTATGGTCGGAATCCAACAGTCATTTTCGATACTCTGGAAGAATCGAGTGATGTGCTTCATTGCCTTTGGATGATTACCCAGCCGGCAGCATCAGGAGGGTGGCAGGTATCCGGGCTGGCCTTGAATAATGGAGTAAGGAGTACGTATCACAGGATAGGGATAGTATCCTGCTACTCCGTGGACAAGGATTGTCTGGACGAATTCATTCACGAGTTTCCATTCACGGTGGTAAAGATTGTTTGATACGAATTATTGGCAATACCTACTTATTTAGTGTCCGTTTTCTCTGGTTAGAAACTACCTATACTTAGTACATCCTGTGTGAAGTTTCAGACTTTTATCACCAAAAATTGAAAACCTTGTTGACTTTAAATAAAGAAGATGACACTGTAAATGTCACCAGTGAAGCATTCAATAATTTCAAATTGAATAACTAAGCTTTTAGAGGGTTATTAAAACCTTTCTACAGAGGGATTATGAATACTTTGCTTGTATCTCGAAGCCTAAGGTAAATTATTAGTGCTGGCTGCACTAGTAAAGCCTTAAAGTTTTGAGTTCCCCCCTTTCATTCACCCCTCGTCGACCCCAACCCCCTTATATCTAGATAACTAGGTACCTATTTTGGAGTGCTAATCCCGTAAGCCACTACGTAGGCCTACCAAAAATGGAATTAGATCTACTTTGTCGCGTAGCATTTAAGTCTACGGATATGGACTATGCACTGTGTTACAGCCGGGCAGCCCTAAGGACGTGGTATATACACCCCCACACGACCGCAACCCGGAGCCCCCAACACCCCATTAAGTCCACCACCTAGCACAAAACAAACATATCTTGACAATGCGTGCGCATTCTCTTAGCTTGTCAACAGCGTTTAGAAATAACAGCAGACCCGAACCTGGCCACCCATGATACCTCAAACGAAGCAACAGAACGTAACAAGGGGTCAGGACGGGAACTACCCTAGTATCTTCTAATCATTTCCAGGGGCTGTATGATTTTCAACGTATAATAGATCGTGTTTTCAGCCATATGTAGGTAGGCTCTGTGTCCTACCCAATCCTTCTCGTGGCTTTTTCTAGGCGATTATTAGCTTCGTTTGAAGGAATCAATCTTTACCTAGGTACTTTTAAGGGCTTGTTGCCCCCCAAAATATATGTCCAGATAAGATCTCAGCTCTTCCTTAAATTTGCCCGACCGGGAGACCTTGTTTTCCGCACCGTTGACTGTTTTTCGAAATAAAAAAAAGAAAGTCACAGATCCCAAGCTGGTTCTCCCTGAGAGACCATAACATCTATGTTTTTCAATATATTTCACAGTTCCCTCCCGATCCTTTTTCCAGGTCTTTGGAATGTAGCCCACGGGATGCAAAATTGGCCCATAACTGCACCAGTTGCGGGAGAAGTCGTTCCTGTCGGTAACCCATACACAATAACATGGGATAATTTTACCCAAGGTCCCGTCTCAATCTCGTTGAATTATAACGAGCAACCAGTGATTCTTACATGTGCGCCAATTCGTCGTATCAATTTCATGGGGCCTAACACACAGATAGCATCCACGGATAATAATGGGAGTTTTGTATGGACTCCTGCCAGTGTATACGCGGGAGATTACGATTATTATCTCAGCATTTGCGACATAAATCTAGACTCAAGTGAATGTAGTGTTACTAGCGACGGGAGATTCCACATATCATTGCTGTCCTCATCCTCAATCACGCAAACATCTACTTCATCTTCGACAACACAACTAACTACCACCACATCGTCAATAGCAAGGTACCGTAAAATACTCGTCACACGTTTTATACTTAATGGTTGATATGATGCTAATTGTAAATAATTATAGCTCCTCGTCTACGCCGACACTCTCTACGAACTCCAATAGTACATCCGGGTTGGCAACTGGCGGCGTTGTCGGAGTTACGGTGGGAACTACAGTGGCTGTTCTGGCCCTGGCTGGTCTAGTGTTTTGGGGTTATAAAAAGACAAGGCGTCCGACTACCATAGCAGCTGAGCCCTCCATTACCCAGATTGACCAGTACACACCAGAGAGACATAGTAAACCTGAGCTATCTGCGGAAGCTCCTAGTACGAGCAATTTTATGCGAACATATGACCAGCTTGTTGGTCCAGCAGAATTACAAACGGAAAGAGAACCTCGCGAACTTGGCGGAAGCTCTTGAAGATGAATAATGTGTAGAATAGGCTGAACCTACTTCAATCTTGTTACATGTGACTTGCAAACTTGGAATATTACGTACGTAGATGCCATACTGGTGTTAGTTATCGTTGACTTCCCAAAGTTTGTGCTCATACCTGCCTGGGTAAGTGCTTATATATCTACCTAGGTAGGTACTAAAGGTACCTGGGTAGGTACTCAAATACAAAATTTCCTTGCCGTTTTCGAGAGCAAAATTTACACTGGCAACAGCAAGCATTGTTCAACGCTGAAGCTTCCTAAATTTGTAAAAATAATAATAATACGGGGCTGTTCCCGCCAGAAGACTTCCCCTGAAGTGGGTCTTGTATCCTTTCAGTCACTTAGAAGAACAAGAAGTGTCACAGAGAGCTGGGCTTTATGCAGGAAGACATTGGTCTTTCTGTCATTAGTTTACCAGATCACATTTACAGTATACAGACATGTCTATCCATACCACGATTTCCATCTTGTGAGTGAAGAAATAGCAAACATAGTGCAACATGTAACCCTCTAGTGAAAGATTAAAACATTAAAAATGCGGGCCATCTATACAAGTAACTAAAGCTCTAGGGCTATGCCAAATTCCTAGGTACCTATACAATATAACCCCCGTAATATGGTTATGGGCAGGTGGTATCCATATGCGTAACGGCAACAAGAACTATGATCGCCCTGGGTTCATTGAAAAGGGGGAATTTCACAGAATAGCGACTTCCAAAGCAGTATCATTCATAACACTGTCGTTATACCCAAGCTTTGATGTGCTCTTACCATGCTCCAGAAAGGAAAGGATTTACAGGGAAGGTCTCTCCAAAAGGGACCACCTCCCCATAAAGTATATTCAAGTATGATGTCGCCGTATGATGTCGCCTCAAACCCTAACGTGGCAGTCGCCATAAACGGTTATCATCTGTATTTTCATAAGTACCTCTTCAGCTGATTGTGGCAATGTAGACATATCACCGACTGTCTGTTCTACATGCTTCAATATATCACATTTTTCTTACCCAGGTATGTATCGTAGTACATCTACAGAAAAACCCTTCTCTTTGGCATTCTCTTTGATATTCTACGCATTATCACCGATTTGTGCTTCTGGTGACCCCTTTCCTCGGCGAATACTTTCGCGACTTCTCTTAGGGGACCGTCCTCTTTCCAAAGCTTCAAACTTTCCCGTTCGTTATTCCCTCCAGCGCCGAACTCTTATTTGCTAAGTTTTACCAATTACATAACTGGTAGGTGTATACCACTGTACATCTACCTTGATTGTCTGTATCTGAGATATGTACCATCATACAGAATGTCTACCTATGTACCTAGGTAGGTATACATGGTATACTGTACAGGCTACTTGTAGAGCAGGTATACACATGTCTAAAGCCAACAAATATCGCCGCCATAATGCCCTCTATCACGCAGTCTCTCGGTTAAGACGGAAATGAGCCTGTAAATTTGGATTGAAAACTGACTCAAATGATTTTTATCTCCCACAAGACCCAAGAAATATTTTCTTCTTCCTACAACTTTTTCTACAAAGTCCAAGATGGATTTAAGAAAACACCACAATGATCAGAACCTTTTCATCATATTATATATCATATTCTCTTCCAAATAAAACCATTCATTTCATTTTAATCAATATAGATATCGATAAATGGGTACTATATTTGATTTTAACGATCAATCGCCCTTTGGGCCAACAGGTATGATTCCCTCCTCACTCTCACTCCCTCTCTCTCGCACCACAAGACAGTGCAGAAAATAATATTCTAAAATGCTAACACCAACATCAAGGCAAGATGAAGGTATATATTTCGAAAATCTTCGAATATACCTATGGCGATACTTCGGGGAGTTCGTCATGGCCAAGGGCCAACATTTACCCCAGCTCAGGCTGAACAAGAAATTATCATCCCCTTCACCAAATCACTCTTGCTATAACACCTCCACTCCATTCATCTCTACCCGAGGAAATGGGAAGCAAGCTGGACTTGCACCCAAAGGAGCAAAATGCATGAGGCATGATGTAGACACAACTGGCCACTCGTTCATCGCGGGTGTGCGAGATATCACCGCGGCCAAATCATAACTGTCGAGCATGACATTTTTATAGTAAGTTTATGTCTTATTGTACCCTTCTCTTCAAACTTTTTTGTCACTCCGCTGTATTAATATACACGTAGCTCATGTGTAGGATGGCCCTATTATTGGATCCATCACATTGGACATCTAATATCTCCTTTTATTATCCTCCATATGTGCCATATATACAGTAACTAACATTTGAATTAGTCCTATTGCATAGAAGACACAGGATTGTACATACAACATAACGTATGTTGGACAGTTATCGGAGGAACTCACGACAGAAATGCTCGAGCAGGCTAAAGTACATTACCCTCACTCTACAGCAATGACTTCAGGAGTCATGCAGAGCTCTTCCCTGGTGGCCACCTTCTAGCCACACCGCCAAAGCGCCTCCTAGGAACAAGGATGGCTACTCATGTACAATGGCCTCGAGAACACTATGAGGCGGCACATTCTGGAGCTTTTGAGGACGGGACTGTTACATGAGCGGTCTTTAACACGATGGAGATATAGGCAAACAACAACCTGTTGATTCGGACAATATTCCCACGGGACGGACGGTCGAATAATCAGTACCTAATCGGAAAGCCAAGAAGGGCTATTAGGTTTATATAAACCTCGTCACCTCTACACTAATCATATCGGGGGCCTGTCAACGGCACTGTGTATGGCAATGGCTATTGCCTTGGAACTAATCTTTGCTCCTTCTTCATAGGAGGATGCCACCCCATCCCATCTATCAGGGCCCGGAGCCTTAACAAGGGCACCGTGCCAAGCATCGTCCAATACATCCTTCGACGCATGACCAACTTCAATGAACGGGCTGGTAAATACCACCCGGGAGTTTACAACATATACCCATGTACAATATGGTCCAAGCACCACAAGTCTGCTACACGGAATCCCATATATGTCCGGCAACCGGCATGTTGCCAGAGCACAAGATATGCTCGTCGAGCATAGGCCAAGCCAAAGGCCGACCCCAGATCCCCCAACCAGAGGCCGTCCCTCTAGACGCCTCCTGGGATTCTTCATTCCCAGTCCCATCGACATTACCGATGGGTATGTCGTTCCCATTAGCCTGCGGGCAACCTTTGAGGTTGCGAGAGAGAATGATCTCGCCTTGCCCCTGGCTGGCCTAGGACCGGAGCGCCACATAGTGGGCTCCAATAAGGTCCATTTTATATCGTCGCGGCTCTCGACAATGCAGCATGCGATAGAGGCCGCATGTCTACTATCCGGTATGGCTGGATTAACACCCACCCAACATGCAGATCTGGCAGAGGCCTTTTCTGCCGAGACCTAGACATAACTGGTCATCTCCTCGACGTTCACTATTTTAGTGAACGAAGAAAATTGAAGGGGGGTCTGGGAGAGACCCTCTCCTTCTGTTGATCTGTGATGGAAAGAAAGAAGGGGTATTCCGCGCCCGACCGGGGCTGTAAAAAGCCGCAACCAACGGCGGCGGCTTTGGCTATGGGGAACATCTTCTAACAAGCGGAACATATCTTGGAGGTACAAGTCGACAGAAATCGACAACTCAAGTCCCCATTTATCATCCCCTCCCCAGTCTATCCGCTACGTAAGTAGCCGGTATGCCACTTGAAGCTACAACAAGTGGCAGTATAACTGCGGCAGCCGCAAATCCCTCGGATTCGGAGCCGGGTTGGAATCCCCTCCGAAATGGAGAATGGCCGATGGGCGGTCGGTGACACTCAACAACATTGAGACCGTACCGGACCGGAGGGTAGTCGAAGCTATCGCCCAAAGAGCGCCGTGGACTCGGAGGCAGGGCAGGCCCCCTCCTGTTCCCGTCGATCCCACAGAGGTGCCATATACGACAGCATAATACTAATGTGGGATTTCGCCTTTGCGATACGTATCTCTAGACGGCTTTATCTAAGCCGCGAGCCATTCATGGCCTTCCACTCGGCTGGCTTCCGAGGACGGACTCCCCTCCGCACTCTCCCAACCATTCATCACCTAGCATAACTGGGTGAAATACGGCTTTCCTTACGGTGACGCACACTGCGTCAACTAAGACACTGGGCCGGTGCGCTGGCGCACCGGACCTAGCGCGCCTGCCTCACGTCCCGAGGGGGCGTGTGAGCCCATCGACCGAGGCACCGAGGCGATACCAAGCATAGGTACCTCGCAATCACCCCCAACTATGGGAGGTCTAAGACCATTTTTGGCGGAGGAGTGTCGCCCTCCCTCGTCATAAACTTTGGCGGCTGGGGAGGTTATATTAACTCGCGATCCTAGATACCGCGGAGAGTAATTCCCAACTGCGAACAACAGCCGGAGATTGGCTTCGCCATTAAAGGCGTCTCGGCGCATCCCAACCGAGACGATCCCCTTGTAGAGGGAGGGTGGCGGGTTTGGTGATCGACACCTATTTGTTGGTACTTATTACCACTGTCCTAGATCACTTCCAGGACGGGAGAGGAAGAGGGGGACCTCAACCTTCATCCAAGAAGGCCAAAACTATGGAGGGAAACACCACTTGGGGAAAAGTACGAACGTGTCCCATTCCATGGGGAAGGTGGCTGATTCATTCGACAACCTATAATTGTTAGTTGGGAAGAAAGAGAATGTGCCACTGAAAGTACTGTACATAGATATTCTATGTCATCTATATTCTATCGCCGAGCTACCAAGACATGTATATCTACTTTGTATCGATGTCGACTTCACTACTTGAATCCATTCAACCATTCAGAACAAACCTCCTAGTATCCTTGTGGATTCCGCGCAGCCATAATGGCACTAATATCCTCTGCCAAACTTATCGGCATCGGATCCCTTACGGCCGCCGTCTCGAGCGCCGAGAACACGGCCTTGACACCAATACCAACATCTTGGCCGCCCGTCAGGGTTTGTAGCTCGTTGAGAGCTTCGTTGATATCGACAGGGCCATTGAACTTGCCCGATGCGGCCAGCAGGGCCTGGAGCTCACGGTGGTCTTTGACAGCTGGTACTGCGATCTCTCTGTCCCACGCAAACACTCCATGCTGGTCGAGCATAGATCGTTGACTTGTCGTGGCAATGATCAGAAGTCTACGGCCCTATAATGTTGTTAGCTTAGTAGGGGAGAAACGACAGATTGCCACTTGCCTTGGGTGGGCGGGTCTCGAGCACGGCGCCTAAGTACTGTACAACCGCGTTGGAAAACCGGGGGCCAATCGGGTTCCAGTCGATGATCTTCTCGACGCTGTCTAGAATCACGATAGAGAGGGCGGATTTATAAGCATCAGAAAATGTTCGCCGCAGATGCTCGAGCTTAGCACCTTCGTTGGTTCCTACGTCGATCGGCCTAACCAACTTGACGAACGGGAATTCGGACTTCAGCCCAATTTCTGCTGCCAATGCAGTCTTTCCAGCTCCGTGGGGGCCGTGAACCAAGACGGAAAACAAAGGAGACTTCTCAGATGTTCGGACGGCCTGGACGAAGCTAAGACCAGTGGAGAGGATGGACTGGATATGCGGACTATAATCAATGATTCCATACGGCGCGGCGCCGCTCAATTCTTCTTCCGATACACCAAAGGCTGGCTTGACGTCTTCTAACGCCCTCATGAAGTCGGCCCGCGTCAACATCACGTCTTGAGGATTACCGCTAACACCGGTAACATCTCCGAGCCTTGTATGCCTGGTAAAAGCATACGACAGAGCTGCTTTGACGAGACCAGCGATTTCAGCACCTGAATAGTTCTTGGTCAAGTGGGCAAGCTCATCTAGGCTGACATCGTCACCAAGTTTGTTGATAGCCCTGATTTTAGAAGTGTGGATCTGCGGTGGATTAGTAAATACATTAGTTAGAGAATATGCATGGTTACAAGGATTGAGAGCAACGATTCCGACGTGAAATTTTGCCAATAAATCGTGACATATGAAATAAAGTAAATAGAAGAAAAAATGAACATAGTAGCAACTCACATTTAGAATCTGTATTCGGCCATGCTCATCCGGCAACGAAATCTCCACATGCACCTCGAGACGCCCCGGTCGCAATAGCGCATCGTCGATCATGTCCTTCCGGTTGGTCATACCAATAAGCAAGATATTGTTAAGCTGGTCCACTCCGTCCAGTTTCGACAGAAGCTGATTGACGACACTGTCGCCGACACCAGTACCCCCGGACCCACTCCCTCTCTGTTTGCAGACGGCATCCAGTTCATCGAAGATAATGATATGTAGGCCACTCTCCTCGCCCTTCTCCTTGTACTCTTTCTCCGCATCGGCGAACATCTTTCTGACGTTCTCTTCCGACTGACCCACGTATTTATTTAGAATTTCCGGGCCGTTGATAATCTTCGGCTCCCTAGCATTCAGCATCTTGCCGATCTGTCTAGCGATGAGCGTTTTACCCGTTCCCGGCGGGCCGTACAGCAGGACACCCTTCACGTGAGAAATGCCCATCTGCTCAACTAGACCTGGGGGGAAGACACGAGATGCGAAAGCACGTCTGAAAATGGTACTAAATTCATCGTCGAGACCACCGATACCCATGTCAGCGAACTTGAAGTCCGGTCGGAGGATAGCGTTAGTGGCAGGTCTTTTCGTCGAGCCCTTCAGCTTGATAGGGTTCTTGGCGTCTTTAAAGAAATTGATCTCAGAGGTCTCCGCTACCAACAAACCCCGCGTATTAGGGCTCGAGGAAGATTCGCCAGACTCGCCTTTCTCGCCGCCGAGCAGTTCAAGCAGCTGGACCGTCTTTATGACGAACATGAGTGGTATTCCCCTGTAATCCATCAACAGCCGTTGACCAGGGGCGAAGATCTGACCCTGGAACATTTTGGTGAAATTGTCTGCAAGTTCGTCTTGGTCGTATGGTACATCTGTGACCTTTCTCTGGGACGCGAACCCGACCTCGATATCCATAGCGCCGAGGGGAACCTTATGGTCGTATCTCTCGCCAATAACGACGTCTGTCATACTGATTCCGCACCATGTTCGCTGCGGGTCGGACAGACTTATGCAGCCGGGTGGGATGTACTCGGTCGGGCGAGCGGTCACGACGAAGTTTCCGTTCAATATAATATGTAGGTCCTTGCCGTACGGATCAGGAGGGAAGTCTTGGGGGGAAACGGCGCAGAGGTTGCTGAAGATGTACTGTTGGGCCATGTCGCCCTTCTCTAATTTTGCTAGTCTAAGTTGGACCGGCCTGCCGGCAGGGGCGCTAGGTCGAGTGTTCCTCTGTTGAGGCGGCATATTGTTCCCGCCGTATCCTGGCGACGGCGCCGGCGCACCGTAGGCGGCTCGGGGATCGTATTCAGGAGGGCCGGTGTAGTCTCGTGGTGGTCGGTTTTGGGGGACTTGGCTGTAGCCGCCTTGGTCTTGTTGGACCTGGCGCCCGGGCAATCCGCCACGGGGCCCTCTGCCGAAGAGGTTGTTTCGCATATCCATCGTTACGGTATTACAATTAAGAGGCAGTCGTTACAGGTTGATTGAGCGTTGCTTTTAAGTAGATAACTACATGTAGATATTTGGTCAGCATAAATACATGAAGTAATGTCAGATTCAACTACGTCAATGTCAACGGGAGCACACACCTAATGTACAACGACCACGCAAACTCATAGAAATTTCAGTAAATAAAGGTTGAGAATTGTAAGTATTCCAGATCTTACGGCATCTCTTCTTTATAGGTTCAAGTTGTAAAGTAAAAGGTCGCAGGCTGCAGTTTAAAGGTCAAAAAGACAAGTTGCTGTTAGCTGTAGGGCTGTACTATGTAAAGAGCGACCTGAGGTCAGTGGGCAAGGCGGATCGGTTACGTCGCAGCTGTCGTTTCAAAGTGGACTCGATCAGGTTAATCTAAATGGGGATTAGCGTCTCTCTGCGCTGGGTGGCGGGGTAAGTTTTCTAGCCAATCATTGGATAGAAAAAGATACTTCTCAAGCTAAAGAAAAAGCAAGTGAAGAGATGTAGACTCGTTTGGACATTGAAGTTGTAGAATTGCCTATTTAGGAAGTCATTTTCCGTGTGTAAAGTTCGAACTTATGAGATGACTTGAACCTCATGAATTAATAACACATATTTCTTTTCAATCAAAGTCATAGAAACAATTACTCGATAATGACGCGCCCAGTCTTGCCGTGGAAGCTAGGTATCGGACCCGGAATTAATAGTAAGGTACGAATCGGTTATGAGGTAGCATTGCTATTCTAACCAACCGGATGAAGTTTATATCGAGTTTAGACGACAGGCATCATGTATGAATCACATGATTAACTCGACGGCGAGGATTCATTGAGCTTTCAATCAAATTTTCAAGCTTAACAAGTAGATGTATAAGGGCCTTGGCGTAGTTCATTCAATAATTCTTCAGCAACTTCGACACCATTATCAAGTATATAATCCGCATCTCGGACCCCTAACCCATGATCAATATCATTAAGCCTAACCACCCTATGCATTATATGTACCCTAGCATGCCCACATACAGTATCAATCTCACCTAAACCATCCATCCATTTCTCATACAATCATAAATGCCCCTTATGCAGCGCTCCATGTCCAAACGATATCCACGCCTAAAGACTGGTATTCTGGTATGATGAGTATCATCATCATACCATAATAGCCATCTTGTATGCAAATTCCAAGGACTACAAAGAAAAAAAGATGCGCCAAACAAGTGTCATCCCGGCTCGCGCGCAAGCGGCCCTCGATCATATCCCCCATAATCCCCAGTCCCTCTCCCGGTATAATGCATCTGATCCGGCGCGAATAGCGCCTCGGTACGAAATCGGACCTCACCGGGTGAATATGGCGTTGTCAAGCTCGGAGACGGGATTTGAAAAGCCGGTCCACCCATCTCATACACCCCCGGATTCCCCATCATTTCGTATCCCCCTGAGTCTCCCATCAGCTCGTACCTCGCCGAGTCCTCCAACTCATACGGGTTTTGTTGTGGGCCTAGTATTAAGCTAGGGGGTGTCGAATACGCGTGTTGCGATAGGGCGGGGCTCGGGGTGCCGGTCCTCGCGGCGTCCATGGTGGGACGGTGGGCTTCGTAGCATGCTTTGATGAAGGATTTCCGAACTAGAAGCATGTCTTTTATTAGAAAAAAAACTTTAGGGATAGAAAGGAGGGTGTAAATCGGATCGCGGCTTACGTTCCGAGTCCTTAAACTCGATCTCGAGATGCCCTAGGTTCCTAACATCGTTCGGTGGCTCTATGCCTTGGCAATACTCGTAGAGGACCGGGGCGGGTCCTTTACTTGAGGATGGTCGGGATCTCGAGCTTGGACGTGAAGACCCCCCGTGGCTAGAACTTCCGGATAGCTTCCTAACTTTGTCTCCGAATGTGGAGGATCGTCTCTTTGGTGTCTCTATTTCGAGCCCGTCTTCTGTCGCTTTCCTTCGAATACACTCTTAGTATTAACCTAGTGTCTCCTTTTAGCTCCGGCGTTTTCTTAAACCATCGGATGTAAAATTCCTCGTGGTGGAGAGGATGGCCGACTCCGTGAGCCGCGAAGGAAAATGTCGGTTTATCGTCGTGGTCGGTCTGGCGCCACACTTTGAGATGCTCCAGCGTTGCGATGTCCTTCTCTGCCGCGCTGTGTATTTTCGACGCTCTTATCATTTCTAGAGAATCATACCCTCGAAGGTTCTGCTGGAATGTCTCCCTATCTATTTTACGAGAAAATTGGTATTCAGCTCTGTCCTCTAGATCCTCTGTTTGGTTATCGGTCCCCGTTATTCTGAAATGGTGCTTGGTGCTTGGCGGAAGGAAGAATACTCTGAATTTTTCGTCGGTAGGTTTCGTATGTGGTATAGAACACCTATTTGGAACTAGATCAAGTCAGTGATTTATCCTTCAATATGTGTCCATGTTTAAATTGAGTCTAACCAAAATGCCAAATTGTTACCGCAGAGCCAGCATTGTACCATTCGACTACTCTATCACCATCGCTCTCAAAGGCTCGATAACAGTTAGTACTAAATTGATAACGTCGGGAACCGATGCGCCTAGAAAGCAAATGTTAATATAGGTTCCGTGAAGTATAGGAAGTAGGGTAGACAAACAACCACACCATGTGTCCCTGTCCCCGGAACTGTTGCGGCGGCGTTGTCGACAACGGGGAGTGCGATAATGGATCTATATTAAATTCAGACTCGACAAGTGTCGAAGTAGAACTGGCTGTGTCTTGTCGATTATGGCTAATGTAAGCCATAACAGGTCCAGTTCCCGGACTTCGGGAAAATTGCCTTTGGGCCGCTACATCGAAGGCATAGTTGTTGCCTGCTCGAGGAGAAGGGAGTTCGATCTCGTTTATTGGAGCGAGGGAGCTATTTCGAGTTGCTTTGAGGGTAGGAGACCTAGGAAAGGTAGATTGGTTTGCGCTCTGGGCCATGTAATAGTCATTTGGTTGTCCTCCAGCTAATCTTGGGGATGGTTCCAGTTGTGGCGACCCTGTCATACCAGGTATTCGGGGTGAGACATGCATCGCGACCATTCTGTATGGGTTTTTATTCAGCAGCGCCAGAAAAAGCAGAACGAGCAAAAACAACTTACGATTCGCCAAGTCTCTTAACAGCATCTTCAACAGCAATGGTTTTCCAATATTGAAGCTCCGTATAATGATACATTATTCTCCTATCGAGATCATCTACCCTGGTGTTATCCGGTCCAACAAGTAGAGCAACCCGTTGGCTTGCGCCCATGACTGTCGAACGTGATGACAACGCCGACTCATATTGACGGAGAAATTCTTTGCATTCGGAAAGGGTTTCGATAATACCATCAGCCCCCGGGAATGTGAGACTAGATGCTGCATTGTGTTTTGGGGGCTCTTGTATTATATCTTTAACAACGTTGTGAAATCGTCCAAGACGATCGTTAAGACGTTTGAGTTTGTCTGGGACTCTATCATTTCTACTCAAGAACTCGCGTGCGATCTTCGAGCCCAGTTCGAAAACAGACAATGAAAGTTGGACGATCGATAAAATTGTCCCGGGGTCCATTTTCCGAGGGGGTCCGTTAGTCCCAAGAGAGAGGAACTACCACGCGAGCCCGCGTTCAACAAACTGGAACCCGGTCTCACATAAGGGAGCTCTGGTGTGGGGGCGGCTCAAAACCACTCCCAAGCTTTGGGTTTAGGTACGGTATGACCGGTATCATTGTCCGGATCTACAACGGGAGGGCCCTTCTATGGGCTATTTCCAATGGGGTCCTAACAAGCGAGCGTTTGTAGCAAATTAGTGATTTGGAGACTGAACAGGGGTCTTTCAAAGACGTCCAATAGAAAGCCTTAATTCGACCACGTTCCTGAGAAACTGTTAGGGGATTTATATCAAGTGAACCACGTTGCCACGTTGCTCTGCAGTTATGTGGATTTATAGGGCAATTTGCTGCGTCGTCATATGGATCTGAAAGGAAGCACTATGCCCTATCTAGGGCGCTTGTTATGTAGGTCACTTCCCACGTTCCTGCTAGCTTGGATCTTCCTAGAGCTTTTAAACTGCTGACAACTTCGAGGATCCATACAGTCCGATACAGCGTCTGCCTGGCTGGACTGCTGTTCGTGCCCTGGGAGGCCACTTGCGATTGGCCGAGGATCTGTAACCGAGCAGCAATTAGATGAGAAGAGTATAGTACTCAGGTCCCAAGACGAGTCTAGAAAGATCGCTGGGACGTAGTTGGCGTGTCTAAGGGTTCACCGAGGCATTCTCCGATCAGATTGATGCGGCTGAGCCGTTCGAAAACCTGCTTCAACTCTATCTTGCATGTATCATGGAATACAACCCTAATACATATCAGGCATATCATCTTGACCGAACGAAATATCCAGGGCGGCGCAATGATGTTAGACAAGCTAGTTGGGCGGAGTTTAATATACGAAGCCTCGTGATTCAAGAATAAATATTTATAAATTTGATCAGATGCGAACTTACATTCCTTGACTTCGTAATGTGAACGATTCAAGATATTTCCTTCATACCTTAGTGGCGCCTGAGGGCGCTCTTACACGTCATGGGCGGCTACTTTTCTAGCCTAAACGCCACCACTGGCCGCGTCGCAGATGAAATTGAATGCGTATGTATTAGATATCCCAATTACTACGGCGTCTCAAATTTCTTCCAGCTTACGGGTATGACATAGGACTTACACGATCCCGAAAGAGCAGTCCAGTCTGTGATCGACTATCCCGGTTTGGATAAGTTCCAGTGGAAAGTGTGGTGGGTTGCTGCTTCGGGATTTTTTACGACATCATACAGCATATTCGCTGTGAATGTGATTAGTCCAGCCCTAAGCTATGTCTATCCAGAATGTACTCATTCTTGGTCAACGAACTCATTAGTCATCAACCTGACTACGTTGACGGGGACGATGTTCGGCATGCTTATTTTCGGCCATTTGGCTGATAGGTATGGTCGAAAGGCTGTGTATGGCCTAGAACTGAGCATTGTTGTGGTTGCGACGGTCGGGATGACGAGTGCATCTTCGGGTCACCTTAACTCGATGAATGTGTATGGTTGGATTGGTTTCTGGCGAGCTCTGCTCGGGATCGGGCTTGGCGCGGAGGTAAGAAATTATCATTAGAGTTCAATCCTGATCGAATATATATGCTGATATTGAGTAGTATCCACTCTCTGCCATCATAGCTACAGAATGGTCTTCAACAAAGTCTCGAGGTAGAATGATAGCGGCCGTATTCTTGATGCAGTCTCTGGGCCAGCTTGCTGCATATGCACTCGGCCTAGCCATACTGCGAGGGATCAGCAGTAGATTCGGATTGTCTCCCGAAGAAACTGATTACGATGTGGCATCGCCGGTTATCGACGTAGTCTGGAGAACAACAATTGGAATCGGAGCGGTTCCGGCTCTTATCTCACTCTTCTTAAGACGAATGATTCCCGAGACTCCTCATTACCTAGTAGAGAAAGGCGAGCTCGTGAACGCTGTTGCAGCTGTAGGTAGAGTCCTTCCGCTCGACGCAACCCTGCAACCTACCGACCATAGCGATCCTATGGCCCAGTTGCCGTCAGAAAGGCCAATGTCCAATTTGAGAAACCAGCGAAAGAGCCGGTGGGAGTCAATCGTCGATTATATGCGACAATTAAAGGATCATCTGGTCGAGCAAGGACGTTGGCGTGCTCTTGCGGGAGTGATGGCCACTTGGTATCTATTAGACTTGGCTTATTGTATGTTACACCAAATCCTCCTCCAATCCTCCCTCTTTCTTCTTTGGCAACATGCCTAGACTGAATAGGTACTAACACAGATCATCAGATGGGCTTGGCTTAGACAACCCGAAGCTCATTTCGACAATCTGGCTTTCGGATCCACCGCCTCAATCAAATGTTTCTACATCGTTAGGAGATGTAATGTGTAACAATGCTTCATGGAGGGCAGATCCAGCCCAGCCAAACATCACGATATATGAGATGCTCCAGCAAGATAGCATGCGGAATATCATAACAATCTCGAGTGGAGCTCTGCCAGGGAGTATCGTAATCCTACTTGCCATCGATTACTTGCCCCGAACGACGTGGATGGGCTGGATGTTCGTTGCGCTCGCAGCACTTTTCGCGATCAACGGCGGGACGTTTTTCGTCACATTCGAAACGGATAAGCACGCGCTTACAATGACATTATATGTGCTTGCACAATTCGTCTTTAATCTCGGCCCTAATACCATGACGTTCATGCTCCCGGCTGAGCTCTTCGCAACCAAGTACCGGGGCACGTTCTATGGCCTAGCAGCTGCCTCCGGGAAGCTTGGAGCGATTACGATATTGTTGATAACCAACATGGTGGTCTATAAAGGGGATTATAGCCATAAGTTTGCGGCGCTTTTGCTGGGGTTTTGCCCAGCGATGCTACTGGGGGCTTTCATCACGTGGGTTTGGATTCCCGAAGTCCAATATCCCCGAGGATATGATGACAAACCCGAACGTGGAGACGACGTTTCTGAAGATGGTGTTGGAGCCGAGAGCTCCACGTTTAGACAGAAGCTCAAATTACGAAACCGGCCATTGGCGGACATCGCTCAAAATCCAGGAGATGGCCAAATTTTAGGTATGAGACGAAATATTGGTCGCTTATTCCGGGCGGCGCGACCCCACGGTTCGAATGATATTCGACGAAGACATACTGAAGACAGAATTTCTCGCAGGGGAAATTCAATCGATCAGCAAAATATGATATATTACGATCATGAGCAAGGTGGTAGAATGGAAGAAGCTGATGTTGGCGATGGACTAGGAATAAGACAGATGCATTACGTCACCTAATGAACTAGCCTAATAAAGAAGTGATCATCAAATGGTGGGATCTGAGTGAAAGTTTATGATTGGTTAACGGTATGTATTTATTAGTGCCGAAATGTAGTTGAAGTATTCAATGTTCTTACCTGTTTCAATATTATCAATTGGTCTAACTGAAGATAGTTTTCATAATTGACACTTCGATCGCTTCCAATTAAGCTTATTTTTCGTGCATATGGCCAAGTTGTGCAATTTTAAACCCCTGGAATATGCGCCGGATAGGAACTTCCCGAGCTTTGACACAGCCATGGAAGGATATGACGAGCAGGAGCTCCCTGGTTCAGTAGCTCTAACCAAACTGTCAATTGCTTTTTAACAACTTTCTTAACTCTCAACGCAATAGCAATTCATGTCTGGTAATTCTATTGACTGTTCCATAACTAGGTAATTCACCTACAGCTACTAAGGCATTCCAATTGCAATATCCAACGGAAATCATAACCAAAACTGATTGCTTTAACTTGAAACCGCACAACTACTCCTAGTCCCTCGTCAAAAAACCCCACGAGAACCTCACACCCACGCCCACAATGGCAGAACCAACACCAGAACTTCCCACCCAACCACCAACCACAATATCCCTCCGCGCGCCCTCCAAATACCTCTCCGCAGCCTCCAAAGCCAACCCAATCAGCACCTTAAACGCTCCCTTCGTCACCCCACCCCTCGACTGGCTCCGACGCACCTGGACCGTAACCCACTCAACCCTATCGATGTGGCGATCCGCGCGCAACGTACGTATCACGTACGCGGCGTACGAGCCCGTGACCGGTGCGAACGACAACCTAGTCGAGTACGAGAAGCGGAGCGGCAAGGGCGGCGTCAAGACTGTTGTCGGGATCGAGAAGCCGGATCCGGTTATACCCGGGGCGTGGACGTGGCGCGGGAAGGGAATGTTGGCGATTGCTAGTAGTCATTGGGAGGTTCTGGGATGGGGTGAACGACCGTTGGCTGGGGTTGATGGTGGGGTTGAACGGTGGGCTGTGACGTGGTTTGCGCCGACGCTGTTTACGCAGGAGGGTGTTGATATATACAGTGATCGGAAGGAGGGTTTGAGTAAGAAGACGGCGGATGAGATTATTCAGGTGTTGAAGGAGTTGAAGGATGCGCCGAAGGTTGTGGAATTGGTCGGGAAGCATATGCAGGAAGTTGATATCAACTTACCGTGGAAGGAGAGAAAATAGGCTTAGTTGGTCACGGATGAAGTTTGAAGATATTGATACCCATGAAGCAGTAGCGTATTAGAATTTGAGGAGTAATGATGCATTTTTATCATGAATGAGTATTTAATTTGCATTGAAGCCTATGTGAGGCTAAGGGGTATCTTATAAACGCCATACTTAAACAAACGATATAATGCTAATGATCATCCGCTTTCTCTAATCGTCAACGGTCATGCCTCGAGCTGCTTTTATTTCGGTCATGGTGATCGGATCGGGAACTTCGATGATTATCATGCCGGTGTTCCCGGCGCTCAGAATGGTGTCTTGACTTAGATCGATCATCTTCATCCCGGTACGAATGATGCCGTCGCTGCGGATGATCATCGTCATCCTTAGATCGGACACGGGGTTTACTTGAAGATGCCCCGTCTAGGCTGAACCCCTCAAGTTCGTCATAATCTTCCTTCCCTTCTCGCTTTCGCCTTCTCTCCTTCCGCCTCTCTTCCTTTCGGAGCTGTTTTAACTCCCGTTCCCTCTCGTCGTTCAACTGTCGTCTTTCCTTCTCAACCTCCCTAACCTTCGCTGCGCCCCTCTTCATCATGGCCAAGGGGTCATTAGCCACAACTCGTACAGCTTCTCTTTCTTTCCGTCTTGGGTCTTCGTTACCCCACACATCCTTGCTCGGAGCCTCGAGGTTACCATCGATAACATCCTTTATATCGCCACCCTTCGCGTACCACGGGCCACTAAGTCCATCTTTACCCGCCGCATTCGAGAAGCGCATAGTGTACTGGTCTTCGTACTCTCGTTTCTTCTTTGCAGCTTCTTTCTCTGCCTCCGCATTTTTCTCAAAAGGCATACAAGATCGCTCATCGGGAAATAAATTGATATGACCCCTCTGATCCATGAGTGGGGCATCACTCTTCTTCACAAGCGCATTGCTTGTCGTTGGTGTAACGTCCGTCCGTTCGCGCGCAAGCCGTAGCTCAAAATCTGTATCATCCTCACCTACGCGCTTTCGTTTTCGACGCTCTCTGCGTGGTTCCTCATCTCGATCTCGTTTCTGGCCACGGGCTTCGTTGTCGGCGCTTGGCTCGGGGGAAGGCAAAGGTGGAGGAACCTCGCCACGGAGGATGGCTAAACGGCGTTCTGCGTCGACTTCTTGTTGGCGTTGCTCTTCGGCTTCTTCGCGATCTCTGGCAGCTGCTTCGTCACGCTTCACGCGCTCGATATTCTTAGGGTTGTACACGTTCCATGACTTCTTGCCTAGCAGATGCCTACAAAGACACTTATCAATAATGTAACCTATGCGGCAATGAATTGGGTATGAGGAACTTACAGAGGCATTCTGGGTAGGCGTAGGTAAAATTTAGCTTGCTGATATTGCTAAGATGTCGTTGCGGAGAGAAGCGATTCGGGTGAAGGGGTTCAAGAAGTTCGGGAAGTTCAATAAGCAGTAATGAAGTCTGTTTAAACGCAAAGACTCTTCAATAGTTTCATTTTTATTCCCGGACCTAGATTTTCCACCCTGTTCCGTACATATGTAACTAAGAACATTACGTTTACAGTGATTGATTATCTAACGAAAGTAAGCTAAAATGCCGTCATGATGAGTCAGCCAATACCCTTGTTTTACTCTTGCATCCGTTCGATGTTAGTGAAATTCCTTCCCGTTCATAAATCAGCTACTAACTTTAAACATCCCTCTTTCACGAAGCCTTTTTCCAACTTCATCTCTATTTGTCAAGCAAGAACTAGGACGTCATTTCAAGTGATTCGTACTCAATCGCAGAGAAGACAGTAGACCCTAAAAATACTTAGCTCATGTAACCCTGCCAACGAATGTCTTAAGTTCCTTTCCCCCACACAGTTTTGAGGAATTCAGAAATATCGACTTCATCCTCATTATATTCACGGATAACGGACACCGGTTAGGGACTTAATCATGGAAGACTCCGAAGACACAGCTGCCGCCATGGCAGCCATGGGCTTCTCAAGCTTTGGCACACAAAATGCGAATAAGAGACGCAAATTCAACCCCCATGCCGATGAAGCTGTGGTTGCATCAACCTCCGCAATTCAAGGTGGTGCTGTCCAAGAGGCGAAATCAGGATCAAACGCAACACCCTTAGGTGTGAGGACTCGGAATCGCGATGAGATCGATCTTGGAGACGACGATGAATCGAATATTCCTAGGAGTGAAGCTCATCATGGTCTTAACCATGACAATGACGATAACCCAGGACCACAGTACATCGATACATCACGCCCCCCTACAGCTATTATGACTGAACCAAATGATGATATTCAATCAAAAATTGACAGCATAACCGGAGTTCCCTCTGATCAATGGGGAGCTCAGTCTTCGGCGGTTAACATTGATGGAGGAGGAAGTTATCGAGGTGGATATGGTCGTGGCGGTAATCGAGCGAACCGGGGTCGAGGGCGAGGAAGGGGACGAGGGCGAGGAGGTAGCCAAGGGCACGAGCCGGGAAAGAAGTGGTGGGAAGACTATTATGATCCGAGTACAAATACTAACCCATGGGAGTCGCTTGAGAAGGCCGGCGGGTTGGAGCCGGTGGGCAATTGGATGTCGTGGGAAGAGGCAAAGTCTCGGTCAGGCCAAACGTCGGGTCAAGCGTCAGTTAGTTGAACGACTATGGGCAAGCGATGATTTAATCAATCCATACCGTTCATCAGAGGTCAGGGATAGGGGGGAAATGAGAAATTGTGACTTACCTAGGTACCCTTAACAAACTCTTGTATTCGTGTAGTTATACTAACACCAAACCAGGTACGATATATGCTATACACATTTGGGGCACCCAACCATACTTGGGCATCACTACATCACGTGACACCCATCAACATACGTGAAGGGGCCTACCTACCTCGGTCTACGGTGGATTTATCTCAGCGTCCCACTCCACCAACTAAATTGCTGTACTTCCCGGCATCTATTGGTCTATGGGATCTTACGGACGATTACGATCCACTGTGTCTTAGACATATGGAGGTACATTCACACATACACGATGCTGGGCCATGTCACCGAACTGGGAATCATTGTATTACATACTATGTCTGGGGGATGTATGTTACCGACCCAACGATACTCTCTAAGGAAATTCTTGACCCGAAAATGGATAGCCACCGCCTACGCCGCCGCCGACTTATTACAAAAAGGGTAATATCCATATCCCAAAGCGGACAAGTGTCGTCCCAGCCGCTAGGTTATGGAGGTAGTGTGCGATCTATCTACGAGTACATCCTCGGTCTCGCGCCCCAGAGTGTGTCCCTAGGGAGCTGGATCGATTGCCGCTACTCTAACTCCAAGCCCCCTCTCCTCTCCCCGGTTGACCCAGCTTGCAGGAACCGGTTCACCGGTCAGACGTGCGTCATCCCGTCACCCGCACCCTGCTAGAGATAAAAGATGGTGTGCTTTTAAGCCATGGCACCCCCAGATCGTCCGAAATCATCCAATCATAACTCGTAACCTCGTGAAACAGACCCTGCTCGACTAGCTAACCGCCGGCCCGCTTCGCTGTGCGTCAGCGCATGCGTTTCGCGTGGGCAGCAGGTAAGGTTATGCAGGAACAGAGAACGGGATTTGCGCTGCGTCTCCCTACCCACACACCTCGCGATACGTACCACGCCGCCGGCCATAAAGCAGCGACGCAAAAAATAACAGGCGTCTTTTTTGTCGAATTTCTTTTTCCCACCGCCGCCCACAACAAAATCATCGAACTAGCTTTCCCCCTCCGCCATGTGAGAAATTTTCTGTTTCCAAACCAACTTACATGAAGAAAAATAAAAACAATCAAGGGGTATGTACGCGCAGAAACGAAATTCTTTTTTAGGAGGGGGAAATCAGGAAGTGAAGTGAGGGAGGGGGTGTGTGCATATGCGATGCGTCGTTGGGCGCGAGAGACATTTTTTTTCTGATCTCGCAGCACGCAACCCCGGATCTCGCGTGCGTGGTGGCAACCCACGCACAGCACACGCACATACATATACACACCCCGTACATGATGTACATACAGGGGGAAAAGGGATGGCGCGAGGCGATCGGCCGCTAAAAAGGTTAAATAAACGACATGTGCTGAAATTACGTGGGTTAGGTTTGCGATGCGTGGATATGTAATGTGGGATATCTCTCCGATGCGCATCCCCCGGTTTTCGGGTTAGGCAAATGGTGTCGTCCCCTGGTTGCGGCTCAAATACATACATACTGGGGTATGTGGTATATATGTGTTTAGAGCGCGCGAACTAGACCATGGTTGGACGCTTAGTAGTCGGGCGATGGGTATCGCTCGCGCGCCTTCTCGTACTCCTTGGAGTGCTTCTTCTCGGCCTTCTTCTTTAGGGAGCTGTTGCACCGTCTGTTAGCTCTCTGAATTCTGCTCTCGCGGGATTGCGGATTTTAGGGGATCGGAAATGAGTGTTTTCGCAAAGATTGCGTTGCGGATGTGCAGGTTTCGCCTCCTTTTGAATCGAGGTTTTGCTCTCCGCTCTCCGCTCTCCGTTCTCCGCAATTGCGCGTGGATGTACGGATTGATTTTCAGGTACCCCAATTTTGCTACGTGATTTTTGGGGGAATATGCGAAAGGGTTGGGGATTCTGTTTGCGCTACTTACGATACTTTCTTGGACGTCCACTCTAGATCCGCGTGCACCTCTCGCGCGTCGTTCAGGCCCTGCTGGAATCGGGCGCGCGATCGGGCGAGGCGGGCTTGTGCTGCCGCTTGCATTTCTAGGAGCTCGCGGTGCTTGTTGTTTAGCTTGCCAGAACTGCGGGTTTGCTGTTAGCTAGCTGGTTTTTCTATTTTCATGTGGAAGGATTTTGGTTTTCGGAGCTTTTCTTGTTTGGTGGGTTTTCGTTTCTCGCGCCCGTTTGCTCGCCCGCTTTTTAGGCGAGGAGTTCGGGAGGTAGAGAAATTGAAAACTAAAGATTCTGGAATTGGAATTGAGAGGTCAGAAACTTACGTCTGTGCTTGACGAGCCAAGCTCCGGTCCAACGGGATGGGGTCGAAAGACTCGTCAAATCGGTTTTGCATGTAGTCGTTGAAGTCAACGCCGCTGGCGGAGGCGCCGCTTTGGCTGCCGTCGCAGTAGTCGCCGCTAGCATAGCTGGTGGCGTAGCTGGCGGCATTGCTAGTGCTGCTGCCGTAGGAGGGAACACCGGATGTTACGGAGGCGTCGCGCTCTCGCTGGTCGTCTTCTGTGGGAGAGACGGAGTAGTTGCTACCGCTGCTTTGGTAGTACTGCTGGTATTGCTCAGCCTTGGACGGGATGGGCATCGCCGCGGTGTCGTAGTATTGAGTGTTGTAGGAGGCCATTGTGGTTGAACCGTTAAGTGGCTGGGATAATAATAGTAGAGTAAGAACTCTAGAGTGAAACGACAATAAAGTGTTTGCAACGAAACTTGCTAGACAAGATGTTCGTGTGATAGGTATGCAAGACTTCTAAGTCCTTTGTCTGTGTGAAGGCAGGTGGGAGTATGTGTTGTAGGTGAGTCAAGAGCAAAGATGTCTTGACGAAGTAAGTCACTGGGAGGAAGATAATCTCTGGGTAGATCACGATCGAGAAGACTTGAGGAGTTGAGAGTTGTTTGAAAGAAAGAAAAGAGGAAGAAGAAGAAGACGAGCTCAACCCGTCAACAGCACCCCCTTTTATACTTTTTCCGTCTCCCATCTCGAGGAAGTTTTCCCTCGTCTGGGTCAAACGAAGAGCGAACGGGCCATCTCTAGTCCCGTCCATCCCGTTCATAGGGGATAAGTCCCGACGACACGATTCGTCGATCGAGGAGAGAGTCCTTGAGTAACCCCGCTCTGTATAGTGTTGTTGGTCAAAGGGAGTCAGGATGGGGGAGGCGAGCAGGAGGCAAGGGCTCTAGCTTCCCCGAACTGATGGACTAGGAAGAATTCTCCAAGAGCATGACAAGACTAGACAGGTACAGCTACACATGGCACTGGCGGCGTATGTACAGTATTGTAGGACCGACTATTGACATGTATGTATCGATGAACTACGATACTAGAGCTCTAGTACTATGTGCCTCTTTTCCGATAGGCCCTGGTCCTTACCAATGTGATAATACATATACGTATATACATACTTACTTGACATGACTGGGTATATATGCCTTGGTCTACCGCAGTACGAGATTACGTGAACCACACCCCGTCTAGGTGAGCAAGCCAGTCACGCAGGGGGAGGTAGGTACGAGGAGAGTAAGAGAAACCAGATAAAATATATAAAATAAAAGTAGTATTATGTATAAGAAAGACCACGCATATGTGATGAGGTAGTCTGGCCATCTTCATGCTGTGTCAATGTGGGCAGATCTCCACGGGGGCGTATGCATGTTTGGTCCAGACGGGGGGCAACAACAACGACACACATACGCTTCGGATCGGGGACCATCGGTTCGGTCTTTTCTTGCTTAGGGTATAAGTCATTCGTAAACGAGTGGACTTTGGTAAGTTCATCCTAGTTTAAGAGCCATATGCCGAAAAGAGACGATTATCACTTCCACTCAGGAACGACGTGTTGTGGGGGGCGAAGGTAGGACGGGATATGTCTTTGCCTTTGATGAAAGGGCAGCTTTCGATGGGAAGGGGGAGTGGGAGTATAATATGCAGGAGGATCTGGGAGACGTGCTACTGCACTGCATACAGGGGGGAAACGGACAGGTAGACTAGTAATTCGGGAAATACAAAACCTTCGTGCGTCTAGTAATTGTGTCAGGGTGATTGCTTCGATATTAGGAAAGGAAAGAAAGAAGAAGGACCAATGTAGTGTATGTATATGTATAAGGATGATTGTATATGTATGTATGTGCGTGGATGTGGATGTACGTATGTATGTGGGGACATGGGGGTTGAAGAATATCGGGGAAGCGGCTGCGGAAACGACGAATAAAACCAACCGGCTTCTTGCGGCAGTAAGACGAAAGGATGAATAAGGGTATCATGGTTGACATAAGAACGGGATCCTGGGTAGGCAAGCAGACTACTAGGTCTGACTGTGTGGGTCGTGAGAGTATTATGACAAAGAGAACAGAACCCGAACAGGTGTTTCTATATGTAGAGATTATATATCTTATGGCGGTCATGGAAGAGGAAATTCTGATCTCTATCCCGAGGAGGTCCGGAGTATAGTAAGTAGAAGAAAGAAAGACGGCTTTTCTAGGATCCAGATGATGGAACGTATCCCTGAATATATCGGAATATCAGACTTCTACCGAGAAGGTTCTTAGCCTCTGGAGGGTGGGCGTGGGTGTATGTTGGCTGTTCGGGATTGGACGTGGCACATCCAAGTGTATATACCATCATGTCATTGAATGGGGTGTGTGTGAATAAATAGGTTACCGTTGGACCCGTCTACTTCGACGCGGTTCGTCGTCTATGTAGATAGTGTAAATAGACCGCCCTCCCGTTCGACCTTTCGCCCAGCCGGGTGTACCATCTAAGCCTATTTAGAGAACCGGACGACAAACGCGCTGACGCTAACAAGTAGTACCTGACGACAGGAACATGGCAGACGCAGAACAGGCTCGCAAAAGCAGCGACAGGTTTCATCGATCCATGGCTCGTGAAGAAAAGAAAGCGGGCTCTGGCTGGAAGCGAAAGGGGGGGGTGTGGTAGCGTGGGAAGCGGATTGCACATCTGCGAGTTGCAGCTTTAGGCTGACGAGCTCGTTGGTCGAGATCGACTTTCTGAAAATGGGATAAAAGAAAAGAAAAACTTTTTAGGAAGAACCAAGAACCGAGTAGACAAGAGAGAAAAAAAGTATCAAGGAGGGAAGGGCGTAGGGTGGTCTTGGTCAGAAAACAAACGTTCGAATAATGACAACGTTGCTGGTTACTGGCCAGTCAGGCAGAAGTGCAGCAAGATCGGGCATTTTGTGTGATGATGTGTTGTCAAGCCCCAGGACCAGCCGAATGAGAATGAGAGCGTCATTTGGGAAGCAAATTTATTTATTTGTATTTTATTTGCTGCTCTCCCTCTCTTGTCAATTCCGCCTCTTCTCTTTTTCCTATTATTTTTATTTATTCCGAAGACACTTAACCCTTTAGGTATGTTTCTTCTATCCCAAATTCCCAGAAGCCGGGGCCGTCATGCAAGAAATACCTTCTGAGACGACCTTACGTTTCCGCATTAGGAATATTCATCGTGGGTTTTGTATGGTCCCTTAAGAATTTTATGACAGAAATTCTTAGAAAATCGGCAATCGAATTTTCTTATTGGTCGAAAATTGCAGAATTTCCGTCATGGACAAGGGATCTTAGAAGAGGGTAAGGGGAATAGTTGACGGGGAGAAAATACATGCTATTACGTACCCGTGTTCTATTTCTTGGGACGGTGAAAGGGGTGCTCCGCTTGCTTGCCTCGCCTTGCCCCTCCACGTATGAATGGCAGAGAATAAAATGCATTATGCCCCACCACCCTGGTTATCAAGAATAAGCTTGGCATACATAATCCCAAATACGGTACTAGTAAGATATACAGATAGTTATATGTAGGTATTGATAGCTAGTTTTTTTCTTAAAGAATTCAATGGTCTCGGAAATAAGCCATTGGAACTAAGAAAAGACGGATTGGATATGAGCATGTCATAAGTTACCCTATATTCACCGAAACTTTTCCGCCTTTCCCCAGAGTATAACACACTGTATGGATGAAGGAATAGGCAAGCTCCGGTGTAAGTGGTTCTGACTGGGGCGGTACGTACATGTACAATAAGGCATGATGAGCTGGCACGGATGTCCAGATGCGTAGGGTGAGAAAAGAGCAATTCACCTGTTCGGGTTAGATTCCGTTGATCTATATGTCTTGCGAAACAAACTGAGATACCTGGCTGCATATTTCTTCATCTGGTCTTTTAAAAGGATAAGCGTCAAAGGCGCAAAAAGTGTAAAAGCATGTCTGTGTAATATAAGTCAGTGTAAGTGTGTGTGGTAGGTAGAATGAAAAGTTATAGAGACTAAACCGCATGTGATACCAGGGTATAGCCGGAAAGACACTTGACACTTCATCAGTGAGACGAATTGCGATAGACCGAGTCGCTATTCGGTGAATGTTATGGTTTTTTTAAGGGTTCCCAAGCCCGTATTCAATACCATTGGTCTGGTTAGGCGTGGTCAATTATGCCGGCGTAAATTGCGGATTATTACATTGTAATGCTATGATCAAAACCCATGGGTCCCGAGACTCTACAAGACCGGAATCCTCTACCTTTTTCATGGACACAAAGAGCTACAGGGAGCGGGGCAGAGGGGCAATTTTTTCCAGATTCAATATGGAGAAGCTAGGATAAGCAGACTAAGACGACATCAAGTATGAAGAATGTCTCATTCGTACATGACAGTTGTTGCCGGAGGGAGTGGTGTGGAGCGGCGTGACTTTCACGGCATGCGAATGGCTTCGGGAGACCATATGCCTCGGACCAGTCGCAGGGAATATCCCAAGAGCTTGGGTCCAGCCAACGTGAGGCTAGCGAACTACTTAGTTTCAACTAGCCCCGTTGCGTCCGGTAGACGATGACCTGTTTGTACCACGATAACGGCATCTAGCGGTGTCGTCTTGGTTCGTATGCACTTTGGAGTAAGTGAAGTAACCTTATCGAAAATACTTGATAATGTTCGTTATAAGTAAAACGACCTAGAGAAGAGGCCTCCTGTGAAGACATCAGATGTAATCACCGTCGAGTAATGGACGGTTGCACATGGCGTGAGGCGCATCTGTACCTAGTAGCTTAGAAGTTGTATATGCAGGGTCAGGTCGAGATACTACATCACCCACGAGACAACTCATCGCGGGTCGCAAGGCATACATGAATCCAAGTCGCCAACGGACCGATCAGCGATGGGGGAGTATGGGGAGTACGAATAAGAAGATGGTAAAGATCCCAGGAGAGACTAACAGGTGCGTGTGAAAATGTCAAAATGCAGAAAGTGTATGTATGTATTATGTACCTGATAAGTGCATGGGCGGCGCAGAAACGTGTGGATACGATGGATCAATGTATCCAATGTATCCAATGCGTCCAGGTTGTTTGGTCATGGAAGTAACTGACAGGGCCTGTGGATGGATTGGTATGCAGTCGAGCAGGACTTGCGCGCCGATGATGATGATGGGGCATCTTCTCATAGGGTGGAAGATGAGCCGGAGTATGCCTTGACGGTACCTTAAAGGTTCGATTGCGTCTTAGAGTGGCGGATTGCTATCCATGAGCATGGGAGTTTTCAGTTTTCTTTCCAGCTCGCTTCGTGTACGTTCGTTCATAGGAATGGGATCCAGTCAATTTTCGCGCAATGAAATAAGGGATCGATAACCTTCGTTTCTGTTCGTCCCAAGTTATTGAGATCTTGAACGCGACTGATCGTTAGCCTTGGACAGCAGTTCGTCGGTCATGCTGTGTAAGTCGGAGGTAAATAGCATGCTGGCCGCGTCCGTAGGGCCTGCGTAACGAGTCTTTCCTTTCTCTTTTTGTACTAAATCCAAGCAAGGTATGCACGACATCCCGCAAGCTGATCCTACAGATCTAGCCAACGCCCGTGGCAAACCTGCAGAATACGTCGGTCCTTCTTAACTGGCCTACTATGGTCTGCTAATCTAAGACTTGTTGAATTGCGTCTAGAAAACTTCATAGGAGCGGCTAAAATTACCAAACGACCGTGTGACCTTTCCCAGATCCCATGTTTGCCAAGCAGAAATGTCTTGAGGAAATTCTAGAAATTCTAGAAATTCTCCAACCGAGAGATGAGTGAGTTTATGCCATTGAAACCGCCGTTGCCGTCATGTCTAGTCATAACCTGTCTACCAAGACCAGTCGATCATATGCCATTCCGCATCAATTTCCCTCCGTAACGCCGAATGCCTTGCAAATATCCCCGAAGCCTTGTAAGGGCTTACACTCTCTAACCAATTTATGCCTATCCGAAAACTTTGAGAAACCCCCAGATTCCGATGCCACTAAGTATAGGAATTGTAAGATTATCGTCCCAGCCGAAGAGATCAATTACCTCACTACCCGCCGCCGCGAAGCCCGACCATAAGCTCAACAGTCCGAGAGCGATGGGACCATCAACGACACTTTGCGACTCAGAAAGTCCGAGTGCGTTCGCGGCGAATTCAGGAAGTCGCAATAAACCCTGGAACATAAAAGGATGCTGTTCATCTCCAGGGAAAGGGCCTGTTTTTGGCGCAAGCCAACCCCAAAACCAACCTGCGGTAATCACACCAACAATGAATGCGGCCAGGGATCCAGCGAGGGATTTTCCTCGTCGAAGTCTCGGCGTATATATTCCGTATAGCCGACCGAAGGTGCTAGCCGCTGTATCGCACCAGCTCAAGAGCATAACTGCCACAACTGCAACATCCTTGGGGAAGAAGTAGAGGACGGTCCAAGCGCCAAGGAGGTAGAATATGACCCCATTCCAGCCAGCATACTCAGATTCGCGCATCAATGCGCCAAGGCACTTCACATAGAAGCGATTTAGAGAAGCGTATTTATGACGCAAATAATCCGTAGTCGCAATAGGGATCAAGGCCCCCATTAAAAAGGGAGTGACCGAAGAGGTTTGTGTGCCGCTGACGTAGAGCCAGTACACAAGAAAGCCGATCGACACATGCAGCACTTTCCTCGGTACTTCGTGCTTGTGGATAAAAATCTTAAAGTGACGATGTATCGGAATTAAGCCGAGGGGACTGGGACTACGGCTGAAATCACGCCAGTCCCACCCCGCGATGGTGGGTGTATATCCCGGAGTCGGGGGCGCCAAATGTCCATTTGAAGTCTCCTCCTCCTTCACTTTGACCTCATCATTCCCTTTTTGTTTCGACTTGGTGGCGCGACCGGACCTAGCGGAAGTAAGACCACCAACCTTGCGAGATTTTATTGGACTTCTCGATCTAGTCCGGGCCCTCCGGAGCTCCGGATCTGACTCTTCGTCGATATTCTCGTGGACAGGTAGTTGGGGCGCAACACTTCCAGTCTGTCGGCGCCTTGCAGCGGAACGTGTGACTGGGCCAAGATATGAATCTTGCGAAATTTCATCCTGCGTCTCGGAGGGTGTAGGGCTCGGTGATATCACACGAGGAGTGGCAGGGATGATAGGCTTGCCGCGAAAAGCCATGTTATAAGGAAATGGAGGTAGAGGCGATAATGAGACGGTGCCAGTAACTATCTGTCGCAAATCGTAGAATCGCAAAGGCCAAAGGGTAGAATGGAGATGCTTATGATTATGCTTATCCCTTCTAAATTCACGTCCACGTTGATGCGATGGTGATAAGGGCGTGGTGTAAAAAGACGAAGCGAGAAGCGCTACCGAATCCAGGTTGAAGAATATTGGTTATGCAGCAGAGTCGCGCCCTGCCGCATTGTGTTTCTCGTTGCTTCGATGATTTGGGTCGTGGGTCTAAAGGTAGGTAGCGTTGAAAACCGGGCTCGGGCGAATGTTCGCACCCATACGAAGTAGATAATCTCCGTCGGACAGTTTTAAACTGGACAAATTAGACAAATTGAACAAACTGGTCAAGTTGGCAGACTGGTGACAAGGTGTGGCGTTGGTCTATGGCAACCTGTACACTGTAGGGTGTCGGAGTGTCGCAGACGGCGCAGTGAGAGAACCTAGGAATGCAAATGATAGGCTCGCGTGATCAATGCGAAATGTGAAAATGCTTTATTGCGAATTGAATTTTTTCCATTTTTGCTGGAAAACGAAAGACGCTATCCGAAAGCTTGGCACTTTACCCTTGATTACCTCATACGAACCCCACGTGGCCCAAGCTTTTACATGTGCATCTATATTAGGTAAGCAATAAGTTTGGAGTATTACCTAAGGTTATGTGTGCACCTGTCAACCCCTTTTTCAACTTCCTTCATCTCAAACTTAATACGTCTTCAAACCTCATATCAGACTCCGGAGAGTCCTTATAATCTCTTACTAGATAATATTTATATAACCCACTAGATGGCCTTAATAGACCTACAATTACTACTAACTATAAAGCGATCAAACAACGAACAACTTACTATTATGGATCGGAGTTCGCCGCATGAAAGACTTCATCCATTGGCGGAATAACTGGTCATATGAATAAAAAGTAAACCATTGCGAATGCTTACCTTACGTAGATCTCATAAGACTTCCATAGGTTTCGTCGATAAATTCTCCTTTCATCTCATTAATTATAATTGTTAACAATATTTCTTTTTATGCAGGATTATGATTGGCCCAGCCAAGAAAGATAATAGTGGGCAAAAATCGTCAGATAAGAGTCATGATGCCTACGTTCAAGTGGAACGATACCCTGGATCGTGTCAAGTCGGCGGCTCGCGTTCCCGATCATTTCATTTTATCTCCGCGCGCCGATGGCTCGATCGGATAACGTAGACACGAAGCTACGAAACCCTATAGTACCGGTGCGGAGGAGTTCCGGAAGGTTCAGAAGCCATGTTGCCGGTGGCGCGACCTGGTGGCTTTAAATGAGATCTTCCTTTCTCTCTATACATCACCTACTTCTCATCAAAAGGAAACAACGGTAAAATATGTATCCGCCTTCGTTCTCAGTTACTCTTGAAGAGCACGCCTCATTCCCTTCTCTGGGAATGGACCGTCCATTCTTCAATGGAATGTCTAAGATATATCCAACATCGAAAAAAGAGGCAGAGGACCATTCAGCCGGCCGCATCGCCGCCATGGACGAGGGTCACGTCTCTTACCAGATCATGTCCCACATACCGGGTACGGGTAATGATAGACCCGAAGCCTGCCAAAAAGCAAACGACGAGATGGCTGAGGCTATCAAGAAAAGCCCCAATCGTTTCGGTGGTTTTGCAGCCCTTCCCATGGGATATCCGGAAAAAGCAGCCGTCGAGTTGGAACGGGTTGTTAAAAGATTGGGCTTCCAGGGTGCTATGATCGACAGTCACCTCGACGACATGACACATTTTGACGATGAACGCTTTTGGCCCGTCTTTGAGATGGCCGAACGACTGGATGTGCCGATTTATATCCATCCAGGGCCGCCTACGGAGACCTTCATCCAAAAAAGGTATGGCGGAAATTACCCCGTAAACATTATGATGGGTTTATCGACAGCTGTTTGGGGCTGGCATGAGGATGTTGGGCTGCACATTCTCAAGCTCTACTCTGCCGGACTCTTTGACCGTTTTACCAAACTGAAAATCATCATTGGTCATATGGGTGAGATGATTCCCATGATGCTTGATAGGGCGGGGTCAGTACTGAGTAGGTACCGGGAGAATGAGGGTGGACGTAGCTTCTTCGATGTCTGGGATCAGAATATATGGGTAACTTCGAGTGGTATATTTAGTGTGAGAGCTCTCGAGATGCTTTTGAAGGTGACGAAGACGGATCGCGTTATGTACAGCATTGACACCCCTTTCAGCAAAAGCGTTGAGGGTTGGAATTACCTCCAGGAACTTGCAGACAAGACCACGTTGTCGAAGGAAGACTTGGACAATTTTGCGTTTGGGAATGCTAAGAGGTTATTCAAACTAGATACGGAGCTCAAGAAGTTTTGAATTTCCAACTTCTGATATCAGGGGTCAATGAAACTCAACGCTTCAATGAGGATCCTGGGGATTTCACTAGCGTAGCGGTTGATTAGCTAATAAAACGGATGACGACCCTTACGTAAGATTATCGTACGATGTTGTCAACTTGGAAGTAAACTTAAATTCTTGCAATTTTCATAAGTATTGTGATACTCGAGAAGTGGCCATGTTACTGTAGATACACAGCTGGCAAGTTCATATGATAATAAAGGTCGTAATAAGGAATTGGGTGTTTGAATGTATCCTTTTCCAAGTTAATTATGTAATCGACTCTTGATTAGCTAATCAGCTTCATTTGAATGATGATTAATGAATTAGGTAAGTCAAACTTTGGCTGACTAATATGTTTACATAAGAGAGTCTAAAGTTGAATGCATTTAAGGGAGTGAAAATCATTATGTAACCCCCTTTAAAAACATATTAGTAATGTTAGTAATCCCCCGCTAAGATAAGATGGTATATCGATAAGATAATATTTTTTAGCTGAACATCTCTAAAATTTCCACTGCATAGAAGCTTCGTCCGACAACTTTTAGCAAATCGTATGCGCCGACGCATTGAATGATGGCGCCCGAAGCTACGACCCCGAAAAAGGATCCTCGAGCCTGGGATGCTTTAACCCCGCCATTAGCTGAATGGATACTGGATGCTGTCTCGAGTATGGGCTTTGCCCGAGCCACTCCCGTCCAGGCCAGCGTATGGCCTCTCTTTGGAGGGGGGAATAAAGACGTTGTTGTAGAAGTATGAAAGCACTAATTCTATATTTACAGTATCGTTACTAATATGAATTTATTAGGCAGTAACTGGAAGTGGGAAAACCCTTTCATTCCTCCTCCCCCTTGTTCACCGAATCCTACGACAAGATGAACCTACCAAACGACATCACGTCGCCTCCATCGTGGTCGCGCCTACGAAAGAACTCGCAGGTCAGATCCACGGCGCCTTGATGTCGCTTATTGCCTTCCACCCTGCTTCTTCCGAGCTTCTTCCCTTTCTCTCAGGAGAGGAAAAGCGACCGGAGACTAGTTCGCCAGTAGTCGTACCCCAACTGCTCTCTGGCGGCAGCACAACGACGACCGCGCAGGACCTAAGCTTCTTCTTGCGCGCGTCACCAAATATCCTCATATCCACCCCCGGTCGTTTAGTAGAGTTGCTCTCATCACCGCACGTGCACTGCCCACAGTCTTCATTCGAAGTCCTAGTTCTCGATGAGGCCGACCGGCTCCTGGATCTAGGTTTCAAAGCGGACCTACAGAAGATCTTGTCGCGATTACCGAAGCAGAGGCGGACGGGGCTCTTTAGCGCCAGCGTTAGCGAAGCCGTGGGTGAAATAATACGGGTGGGGCTTCGCAACCCCGTCAAAATCGCAGTCAAAGTGAAGAGCCTCAAAACCGGCGGCATCATCGAAGAACGGCGGACTCCAGCGAGCTTACAAATGAGTTACCTAAGCACGCCCGCCAGCCACAAACTACCAAGTTTGGTCCAACTCCTCGAAAAGCTCGACCCGCGGCCACAGAAAAGTATTGTCTTCTTATCCACCTGCGCTGCTGTTGACTACTTCTCGCACATCCTACCTGTTTTACTTCCCGAAGGCTTCGACCTCGTGCCTTTGCACGGCAAATTCGACGCCAAAGTGCGGGAGAAGAATTTCAGCAAATTCCTTACCTCAGCTCAGCCCTCCGTACTCCTCACCACCGACGTCGCGGCCCGCGGCCTCGACTTCCCTCAGGTGGACCTCGTAGTCCAAATCGACCCACCCTCCGACCCGAAATCCTTCCTGCACCGATGCGGCCGCGCGGGGCGTGCTGGACGCCGTGGCCTTAGCGTCATATTCCTTCAACCTAGCGAGGAAGACTATATCCCGTTCCTTGACGTACGTAAGACGCCCATTGCACCTCTTCCCTACCCGCGCATCATTATCGCAGACTCGGAAGCGCGGGAGACAGCAGAACGGATCCGGGAGGCGGTGCGTGCGGACCGCGCATTGCACGACAAGGCGCAGAAGGCGTTCGTGAGTTGGGTCCGCAGCTACAGCAAGCACACGGCGAGCTCGATATTCCGAGTCGGCGACCAGGACTGGACGGACCTAGGACACGCGTGGGGGTTACTTCGACTACCGAAAATGCCAGAGCTGAAGAAGTTCACGGGAGATAAATTCCTCGGCGTAGAAATGGACTGGGATACCTACGCCTACGCGAAGAAAGACCGCGAGAACCAGCGGTTAGCCGCGCTGCAGAAGTACCTAGAGGAGAAGGAGGCAGGAGGGGATAGCACAGAAGCGCATCACGCGAAGAAGCGGCGGAATGCAGAGGCTTGGAGCGGGAAGCACGAGAAAGAAGACCTAAGATCGCAGCGGCGCGATAAGAAGAAGAGGAAGCGCGAGGCGGAGCGGAAGCAGGGGCTTAACGAGGAGGAGAAGGCTAAGGAGAGGGATCTGGAGAGCTTGCTTGAGGAGGTTAGGAGGAGGAATAAGGAGAAGTATGCTGCTGCAGCTGCGGCCGATGCTGATGCTGGCAAGGGAGATGGTGGTGGGGATGAATTTATGGGGTTTGATTGAGGAGGAGGATGTAGATATATATATACCATATACCCGTTCAATATCACACTATGGAAATAGAGAAAACTTGGGAATTCTTATTAGCCCGTAGACATCCATGGATACCTTGCTAGGTAAGTGGTGTTGATGGAGGTTTAGGTTCGCCCCTATCCTTCCCCCTACTTGTTTAATTTTTCCTACCCATCCATTATCCCAGGGGTAATGAAAACCACACACCGAAGACAAGCAAAATCTTAAAAATATTCATTTGACATTAGACTACCTAATTGCCCCTAAGCCCAGTTCCAGTAAAAACCAGCTCAAGCCTTTTTGAGCGTGAAACCATAGAAACAGAATTGCGGTATCAAGCGAATGATGTTGGGTATCCTTAACGGGTATCGAATTGCACGCCCTCCCTCGCCCAGCCAGTTTCCGTCCCACAACCTCCGATTAAATCCAGATACGTATTTTCGTAGTTTTCGAGTTATGTAGCTTTTTATTCTGCTGGTTCGAAACTAGCAAAGCTTTTCTCTCCGTCTTTACTCAACCGAGTCATTTCCGTCGTTACAGTCATCCAACCAAAATCATCACCTAAAAGTACAACTTGCAATCTTGACGGTCAGGGAAACCGCGGGATCAGAGGAAATAATTCCCTTAGATGTTCTCGATGACATGGGCATTCACTGCCTGGTTAAAGCCTGAATCGCCGGCTTGGGACCCGCTCGACTCGCCGATTTCGAATGGCTTGCCTGACTGGATAGCATCATTGAGGCCACTCATAGTCTGGTTGTGGGCGGGCAGAAAGATAACCTTGGAATTGGCGGACTTGGCCATAGCCTGCATCGCCTCCAGGTATCTGATTTGCATGGCCGGCGCGGATGATAGGATGTCGGCGGCCTGGCGCATCAACTTAGCGCTCTCAACCTCTGCCTTAGCTGCAATGATCTTGCTCTCTCCGATACGCTTGCTCTGCGCGGCCATCGATAACGATCCTTGGAGCTCTTGGCTGAAGACGATATCCTTGATCAACATAGATTCGACCTGAACACCCCAGCCGCCGGCAACATCTTCGATGATTTCGCTAATGCTCGATGCGATCTCTTCGCGGCGCTCAATAACATCCTGCAGGACGCGCGCGCCAACAACATGGCGCAGAGTCGTCTGTGTGCGCTCAATCAGGGCTTGTCGCACATTTGCGATGCCGAAAGCGGCCTTATGCGGCGAGGTGATATGATAGTAGATCACAGACGTTAGATCAACTGTGACATTGTCCTTAGTCATACAGACTTGCCTAGGGACCTCTATAAGTGGCGCATAATTGATTAGTAATTATCTTATTACGTTGCTACTTAGTTGTTGGAAAGAAGGGTTTACATACCAACAATTTGAATCTTGACATCGACTTGAATGATTCGTTCGCTGAGAGGGTTGATCTTGACGAGACCAGGATCGACAGCCTTGTAGAATTTGCCGAATTTTGTCACAAGTCCGACATTGCCCTGGTGCACTTGCTTATAGGGATTGGGGCAGCAGAAGACGCAAGGGATGGCTCCAAGAGTACCCATACAAGAACCGAAAGCGTTGACTATAAATAAGGTTAGAATGGGTTCTTGGATACTATTAGTGGTCGTATTTCTGTAATCATACTCATGCTTCCATACCACCCCTTTGGGCTGGCATCGTTTCCGACGATAGACGCATAGCTTGCTTGAAGATCCTCTTGCCTGGGTCGTTCAACAGTCATGCCCGCCTGCGATCTAAAACCAGCATGGCTAGGACCACCACCATTGGTCTGGTCGACGGCCTTGTTCCTAGAAGGGTCGGACATGATGGAACTCGTTTAGGATCCGAGGTATAAGTTGGATAATTGGATTAGGTAGTCGAGTCGAGTAGAATCTCAAATAGATTTCCTGTTCCCAGATATTAAAAACAATGATGCGATTAAGGACGGGTTCAATTTCAAGAGTTGGAGAAAAGAGAAACGAAACCATACGAGTCAGGCGGGGGAATATTAAAGTAGGTGTCGTCTAGGTAGTTTGAGATATGTATTAGGTTTTTTATTGATTTGTCTGTTAAAGGAAGCGGGAGGGATGATGTCACGTTAATAAGAGACCGTGCGACGTACCTGTAGCTGAATTGTTAAGTCGTTGCTGGGGTAGCTGGGTCCTGAATGGCACCTGCAGTTTGGGGAATCCTCTGATTGGCTGTGTCGAATCGTAGCACAGTAAGGAGCTGATGCTGTGGAGCCACAAGTGAAAGGAAAGAGGATGTACTTTTGTCTAAAAGTTGGGGAAGCTACACGGGGTAAATGGAAGGGGCAGAGGGAGAGAGGCAAGAAAGACGGTAAGCGACAATGGTTTAATGTTCATTGTTCTGTCTTTATATTTGGAGGTACGTACAGTATTTGTCAAAAGGATCTCAAGATCAACATCATAGATTCGAACATTGAATCGATTCAGCCACTAAAATACGGAATACGGATAGGGCTATCGAGAACCATGTTTTCAAATTTCAAGTCAGCAGCTCAACATCGTAAGATCCACTGAGGCGATGCCCGGACTAGTTTCTTACGGAGCTAAGATTCGAGCATCTGAACATGCCCGACCGGATTCATATTGCAGAGTATGTACATATTTTGGTATTTGCCTAAGCCTAGAGTCCGTACTAGAATGCGGATGCGGCAGATCGCAGCACTAACACGTGCCGAATTCCGTCTCTTTAAGGGTCGGAAGATACACCTTGCAGGCCAAGCTTAGTGTATTTAGCTTCTTAAGAAAAGATTTGACAATTGCTGACTCCAACAGCGTTGTTCTACGTGTTATAGATATCATCATCAGTGATGTTTCATTTCTATTACTTAACTACCTGTAGGTATCTATAAAGTTCTTTACCTACTCACCGATCGACAAATGCATTTGGCTAATTAATTAACACATCAATCGTATTCTACGTATCTCGAAACAAATACAAGGTACGCATTGATACACCTCTAAACCTCCGCCTAATTGATGAGGAGTCCAATATTCTCTTCGCCCGGCATGCGGAGCTAAATAATTGTCAAATCAATCTTCCCCGAATCTGCAGACTGCGGGGTGGGTTGTCCCTGTTCTCCCCGACTACTAACGAACGTGACTTCAGCACTGCCTCAATCCAATCTCCAATCCTACCCTTTATGGCGCCCGATTTCTATGATATATGTAACTTACCTACATGTGTGAGCCACGTTTACACCGCAATTTAACGAACTACTAGATTGAGCAACTCGTTTTGAAGATGCCTACCTATGGGTTTGATTCGAAAGGCTTTTTGGGAGGCTTTTTTCATCACCATCTATGTTGTGAGTGCTGACATTTAGAAGGTCGATCCCCGGATTCGTTAAGACATCGCGGCCTCACGACGGCGAGTTTATGTCTCAGCCACTAAACAGATCTACCTGTTAATGAAAATCACAATTCTCGGGACTCCCGTTCACTGCGTTCATTACTCCCACGTCTCAAATTCTATCCGATTTTATTTCAGACTTTTTCAGCGCTATATAAAGAAGGATTCTAGAATTTTGCCCTATTTAAACATGACGTCAAAGTCTATTGCCATTGACAAATCCAAGACAATACCCATGAGATATGTGTCACTTGATCTTGAGGCTTATGAGCTTCACTGAGGCATTGCCCAATAGACTTGCCTCCGCCGAATTACTTACTTAGGTAGGTAATCATCGTTACTTGTGCCGCAAGGACTTGGATGAAATACAACTACGCCACCACTAACACATACCGAATCCATCAATCACTGACAATCAACCTCATTGTTTGATCCACATCTCTTGTCATTGAAACGAAACCGTTACTCTGCGATTTCTTAAAGGCTTGGCTAAGCATCGGCTGCGATCAACCTAGTATCTACCTGTTGAAGAATTGAAGAATTGTAGGGCTGGGTGGATCTTAGCTCTTCAGCTTAGGCATACTGTGGTTACTAGAAGTATTCGTCACATGTTCGTTTTTATATACAAGCTTAAACTACTAGGCATATATCAGTCTCCTAGTTAAGGAGATAAACATGACATTTAGTATGTTCCCACTACGAGGCAAATTCTACTAATATAGATCTTGGGCTGAGTAGCTACCTACTAAGTAGGTAAGTAATTATATCCGTGTCACTCTCTCCAGCACGACATTTCTATCAGGTAGGTATATCTACCACATGATCAACGACTACTCGTCCATGCTGCTATCCTCAAAAGCACGAGTCTTCGGTACATGACTCATAATCTATTAACAAGCCGATTGATAGCCAGCAACACTCATCATAACGGCTCACGCTGTATGTCAGTGATAATAACAGGCACCTGTCTAGTAGTCACTCAGATCCCTTATCACTTCAAGGTCGCCAGAACATAGGCCAAATCGAAACCCCTTTCCCACTCTTCTTTGGCATGCCGTCAGGACCAACTTTGCCTATTCCTAGAACCACTTCACCAACGGCTTCGAACCCGTGCTTCAAATATAGAGCCCGCGACTGAACCGTAGTAGCCTCAAGCCAAATAGGTCGCCCATCACTTTTAGCACGTTCTTGCATGTGCGCAAGTAACGCGCTTGCGAAGCCTTGTCGACGGTGGTCCACCGATGTTCCCATGATGAACACATACCAGTGATTCTTTAGCTCTTCCACAGTGAAGACCTTTTCTATCGGGAACTGGATGCTTTCTTGGTAATCAAAAATAGCTCGCTAGAAAGTGCTAGTTAGTTATGTGGCTTACGAGTAGAGTATCCAAAGCCAATAGGTACCTAGGTAGATGGAATGAAACATTAATCATACCTTTAGAGGTCCCGGGCCAAGATAGACGAGAGCTGGTATTAATCCAGCTCTCAACATAGTCCATGGGTTGTCAAGTCTCGCCCCCGGCGGTATGAGAATACCGCAACAAGAAAAGTCGTCTACCTCGACTAGTATCGCCTTATTGAGCGAAGCTTGTTTGAATAAAGCTCGGAAAAGCCTTGAAAGCAGTTTGGGTATGGGGCACTTATGCAAGAGCCACGCAAAGACCGGATCTTGATGGAAGGCGGGAGTCAATATTTTAATAGTCTTGTCGATATATTCTGTATAAAGGGGTATAGTTAAATACCAATATTCCTCGTTATGGGTGAGTAAAAGCCTGACCTTTGCCACCAGACGTGAATTTGAACTCTCGCGGAGACGCCATTCTGATATAAATCCCCAGGCACCTAGTAGGTAGATATCCCCGCTGTACAAAATGTAATCGTGATAATGGGTGAAGGGGTACGATATCCTTTCTACTGCAATATCCCAAAATAAGATTCGGCAAACTGATAAAATTTGAGAAGAGTGATGTTTAGAACTTTGCTAGTTGACATTCTCTTGATACGATTAGTTAACCTAGATTAATATCCCTGTCGAGATGCCACTACCCAACATTAGAGGTATCTGGATAGGAGGTTAGGTAGGTAGGTAAGAAACACTTGTTAGTACTGTAGCTTATTGTGATAATTAGAAATAGCAATAGAATAAAGAGCCGAACAAGTTATAATTGGATGTGAGAGACAATGCCTATGGAATACCTAATTGCTCAATGGGATAGTGTTTTTGCTTCGCCTGATAACAGCCGCCACTTACACACTCGTAATATTTTGCCGATCTCTCAAGCGTTTTTTGGTCACATAGGCTTATATATTGATAGAATGTTGGGATTCAAATCTACTTTTAATGATGTTATTAAATTTATCAATAGCCCCTAAAATAATATCGTAGGGTGTGAGAGATTGAGAGTGATTGAAAAAAATAGTAAGTTGCTAGATCGTGCGGCGGCTGCAGCTGGTGTGCTGGTAGTGGGGCAAAATGTAAAAAAAGCTGCCCTGAAAAAGTCCGAATCGTTGATGTTGTGTAACCGTGCTTCTAGTAGCTACAGCTACATCGGTGGGCGGTGGGCACATAAACGGAAACTGCGATACGCACCTACATCATTTCCAAGTTACCTCGCTTCCTCACGAGCCGACTTGATATCATCACGTCCCGAGTCAAAGTACAGAGTGCTTCCCGTAGTAGGTTCAATGTTACAATTTGGGTCCTGAATCATCCACTTCGGATCAAACAACAAGTATGTCAATTACAGGTGGCACAGGCAGGGTACCTGAAAATCAGCAACATGACGAGGCGATTCCGCCCTATCAGAGCATTGCACCCAGTATCTTCGTTCCTGCACAAGTAGATTTTACAAAACCACCGCCAGATCTACCATCGGATCACAATCAACTACGTAGTGAGGCCCTCGCTCAGATTGACGAGCACGCAGATGCCGTGCACGACAATATTTACTACATGCTTGACCGCGAGAAGACGCGCATTCAGCAAGAATGCGAACGGAGGGAGGCTCACTTCCCGCGACCTATCAGAGACAAACGCGGCCTCGCAGAAGAAGAGGAGTCTTGCCTACCCGACAACTCAACGGAGATGGACGAGATTCTCTTCATCAGATCGCTCTGCCCCGAGCCGACGCGAGGTCCGTATGAGGTACCGCTGGGATTTAGCCACGCCAACTGCTTACATGTCACGACCGGAGCTCCTGGGGAGACGCCGCGCAAGTCTGCCGAAAAGATGGTGATAAATCTAGCCAAGCATGGCATCCAAAAGCTGGAGGGGCTGTCTAATCACGTGAAAGGAGTCAAGGAAGCTACGTCTAAAGATCTCGCAAATCAGGCGCTGTCGAAGAAGCTTAGTTCTATGGGAATTGCAGCTACGGACAAGATGGATATTAGTTAATGGTAATAGAGACTGAAGAAACCGTGTACGTGTATAAGAGTGATTCCTTTCATGTACCAATTCCCGTACCGGAGGATGAATGTTGTTAAGGTTTCACTTTATTACGTCTATCTGATACGATTCTACGCCCTACTTTCAGTAGCTAACGGCTCGGAATTCTCAGTAGAAGGTGTTCGTCCAATTTCCCACGGTTTTGGTGGCGCCGTAAGCCGACCGTGAGTCGTAAACGCCGGATCCTCAATAACTGTATCGGGAATCTGTTTAATTCCTGGAATTGGTTTCCCACTCTGTAAGAATTCAACTATCTCCTCAAATTTCTTGGGATAAGGCTCTTTTCCGGGATCTGCTGACGTAGAGTCCTTCTTGATGTAGAGCTCTGCCGTGGGCGCGGCACTTTGCCAACTAGGAACTGAAGTATCTACTGGAACAGGGACGGTTTGGTCAAGAGCAAGTTGACCAAGGGCGTCTCCTAGCTCTACTAGAAGATGTGCGAACTTCCTATCTTCGAGTTTGGGCTGTAGCGAGTTAGTGTGAATGGCTTTATAGTTATAGGCCCAAGGCATACCACTGTCATCACCTCTACCGCAACCGCTTCTTCGGATATTATTCTTGGTGGTTGTGAATTAGTCTGAGAAAGCCACTTCTTATAGGCCTCGCCGTCAATCGCAATCTGAGTTTGTTGCGCGAATCTCTGAATGCGGGTTTCAAGAGCAGTCTCGGAAAGGCTTAGGCCATTGGATTTGGCATTATTCAGAGCACTTGAAAGTTGTTCCTTGTTTACTAGTACTTAGCTATTATAATACATCGCTTAGTTGGTTTTAATTCGAACTCACAGTGAACACGGGGTCTTTAGCCCACGGATAGGTGTCAAAGGCCCGGTACCGTGCGTTAGGATTATCGGCGGCACGACGTTGAACGTCGGCTAGGGTTACCTCCGGTCCAGGCATGGTTTATTTGATCCTATCAATGTATATCCAGTAATTCAATGAATACATAGATCTCGTTGTGATTTCTGATTGAGTACCTATTCGATGTTACTTGCCATGGGAAGCCGAGGCTTGATTCCATATCGATAACAGCGTGAATGAAGGAACATTGAAGCACTTGAGGTGGAGTTCGGAGGTACGTACTTCCTTGAGGATTCATTTACCCCGATTCCCTTACCTCATAGTACGCTGTACATAAAACTGCCTAGCCCGTTACCTCCCGCATTTTCCCGCATTTCACCGAAAGCAGAAACTGGTCACGAACCACATTCCGGAGCTTACATAATCCTCCAATCTGCAACTCTCGCCTCGATGCAGGTCCACTTTCTACAACTAGCCATATTCCGAAACTTTCTGTTTTCTGGTTCGTTTAGCGACGACGACTTCTAACCTAGACTGCTAGATTCAAAATTCTACGCAGACCGCAAACCTGTCCCAAATGCGTCGCGTACCTGTTAGAGCCCTTCGGACGACCTTTCAATGCACCGTCCGGGGCCTCACTCGTACTAGTCGTCCGCGACGCAGTATTAATTTCCCCCACCATCATTTTAATGCCAGTCTGGGCCTCCGATCCGCTACCTCATCCTCCGCTGCTTCTTCGACTACATCCACATCTGCCTCCTCATCCGCATCCGCATCCGCGTCCGCGTCGTCATCTTCTACTTCACACTCCAACAATGCTGTAAGCGAGCCCTTGCGATCATCCATGTATATCCGCCGATTATCTGTCGCACTGGTATCTAGCCTAGTCGGCTACGGCGCCTGGTATACATATAAGGGAGGAAATTCCCTAGAACAGGTCGGAGCTAAATCATACACCACAACACCAACTCAGTTGTCGAATACCGCCGCTACACCTCGTAATGTTCTCGTAGTCGGAGCAGACGAACTACACACCGGTACATTCGTTGGCGAAGGTCCGATTGCGAAAAGCTTCGACGGAAGTGGAAGAAACGTTCTAGAGATGCTCACCCCAGATCAAGCAACCGAGAAGCTGCGAGAAAACGAGGCATCGTTCTTAGTCAATCGAGGACAAGGCGTCTTGCGCTATGATGTTGTTCAAGTAGCAAGCAACAACCCGATCGAGGACGACCATGCCGAGAAGATTGTCGAGGTTTCTGGACAGGGAGAAGAGACGAACAGTAAGGATTGGATGTTCTGGGGTGTTTTTGATGGTCATGCGTAAGTAATATTAAAATTTGGGTTTCTTTATAGCGAATATTACCTATAGATGCTGACCATTTCGTAGTGGTTGGACAACGTCAGCAAAGCTTCGACAAACCTTGATCAGCTTTGTTGCTCGAGAACTTAACACCACCTACAAGGCTGCTGGAACATTGGGAACAGTGCCGTCACCAGAGGCCATTGACACAGCCATTAAACTAGGATTTACCCGTCTGGATCATGAGATTGTGCACGAGAGTGTGGAGAAGGTTCTAAAGTCCAACTCCAAACGGGTTGCAGCCGAACTTCTCGGCCCCGCATTATCTGGCTCTTGCGCTCTGTTGTCATTCTACGATACTAGCACCAAAACATTACGTGTGGCTTGCACAGGCGACTCTCGAGCTGTCCTCGGCCGTCGTAGTTCATCTGGGAAATGGTCGGCAACTCCTCTATCAGAAGATCAAACTGGCCGAAACCCTAATGAGGAGACACGCATGCGCAAGGCTCATCCAGGCGAGGATCGTGTCATTTACAATGGGCGAGTTCTTGGAGGCCTTGAACCTACCCGAGCGTTTGGTGACGCTAGCTACAAGTGGAGCAAAGAGATCTCTGATCGACTCCGAGCATCATTCTTTGGCCGAAGCTCTTCCCCATATCTCAAAACCCCTCCTTATGTAACGGCCGAACCCGTCGTCACCACGACTAACATCCAACCTGAAAAGGGCGATTTCCTGGTCATGGCTACGGACGGGCTCTGGGAGATGTTGACTAATGAAGAAGTAGTCGGGCTTGTTGGCAAATGGATTGAATCGCAAGCCACTTCGCCGTCTTCCAATTCACAGTTAAGCTCTGTGTGGGCCAAACTCTTCGGTCCTGGCCAAGACCTTCCTGTCGAAGCCGGTGGTTCAGCTGGGCCAGATGGCCAGAAGACTCCGATTCGACTACGACAATGGGGCATCTCGCCTGATGAGAAGGAACGATTCGTTGTTAAGGACAAGAATGTTGCTACCCATCTCATCCGCAATGCGCTCGGGGGTAAGAACGAGGAGCAAGTATGTGCTTTGCTCACACTTGTTTCTCCGTTTTCGAGACGTTACAGGTTAGTCGACTAGAACCGCCCTGAATCATTAGCAAGTCCAATAAACGCTAACAATGTAATAGGGATGATTTGACTGTGCAAGTCATATTCTTCGGCGATAGCCCGAAAACTGGCTCAGTACTAGTCAACGAAGAAGCCTCAAATGTTCCTCAATCAACTGTCAAGGCAAAGCTATGAGTTGCTTGAGACACCGGATCCTTTTATTATGCACACCACCATAAGGGAGATATCCTTTACTACACGTGCACGAACTGGCCTTTAATTGTGGAGGCTACAAGATAGAGCTTTTCTGCGGCATGGCGTTTCTGGGTTGCTGAGCATACCAACGATTCACAACGAGAGTTTCATGGATAAGGGCGAAATAAAGGTGAGCTCTTAGGTACTTTGGCTTGTACATAGGTGTGCCTGTACGTCAATACAGTTTGCATTTGAAAAAATCATGAGGCTTTGATTCCATATGTAAACTTTCTTATCATCACGAGGAGGCAGTTGTAGTTAAAATTAGTACAAGTGCGCTGTAAGCTGTCTAAGGAGCTATACTAGGGTTGACCACGGGATCTACATAAATCGGGTCTGGTGCTCGACGGCTTCCTTGCTAACTTAATTCTCCCGGCTCTAGCCCGCATACTGGAACTTTTCGGATCAATAGAGAGCGACATACCCACAACCCGCTATATCCGCAGCTATCCGCAAAGGATTGGGGTTAGCTGGGTTACTTCTCTCCAACTGAATTGGTGGAGTATTTCCCCCATGTTTACCCCAGCAAGCCCCAGCAAGCTCCAAGCCTCCAATACCATCCTCGTATATCCCCTCATTATACACTAACAACTTCTACAAGGCACGCTCTCGGCGCCGTACATGTATTATGATGGTCGAACAACTTATAATATCAATGGCTCTCTTATAGCTCTAGCTCTTATGGTCATAGAGCTAAGTAAACATATCACCTAAGAAAGCATGTTTCCTGCTAGGGATAGCTTGGACAACCCGGGTAGGTATCGTAGCCGAGGAACAAAGAGCTTTCTTGGCTGGATTTAATCTCGTGGTGTCGGTGGTAAGATGTCCTCCCTTGCCATGACGCAGATGGAGCCGCCAGTCGAATTATAAAATGGCTAGGTAGCCTCGCATTTTGCTAGTTTGGTTGCTACCCTACCGCGTTCGTGCAATTGGATCTACTAGTCGCGTCTGTCGCAGTTTGACCTACCTCACTTAGCTATCAAGATGAAGGTGTCGGCTGCTCTGTGGTCGCTCAGCGCCAGCTTAGTCTGCGCGTCATGGGTTCCTGCGTCGCAGCGGCTCGGGAGAGATCTTGAACCGCGGTGGCAGAGAAGTGCAAATCGTCGCCAGGAGAATTCTACCACTTATGGGTGGCCGTATGGCCCCTTCAGAACGAAGGGTAGAGATGTGGTTAATAACCGTGACGAGGTAATCACCTGGGCGGGTGTGAATTGGCCTATGAGCGGTGAGTACTTATATGAATAATAAATGAGATAAATCGGACCAGGGAACTAATTATGAGATAGGCGAGACTATGATTCCTGAGGGCTTGGAGTGGAAGTCTGCCGAGGATATCTTGACCGATGTCTATGGTGTTGGCTTCAACTTCATCCGCATGTGAGACATCTCCAAAGTCCATCATGTCTAACATTTCTTCCCGACTAACTCTAAAACAGGGGCTACGCGATCGAAATGGTCGACCAAATCTACGACCGAGGCGGCGAAGATGTACCCCTTGAAGTGGCTATGGTAAGATTTACAAGTCCGCAGTCATTCATAAAAAAACATATTAACAAATTAGATAATGGCTCTCGGGTACGAGAACGGTACAAAAGTGACCGATCAAATCATCGACAAGAACCCATCGTGGACACGCACAACGACCCGCTTCGAGATCTGGTCTGACATCACACGCATCGCCAGTACCAAGGGTATTTTCGTCCACCCAGACGTGCACGTCGGCAAAGCGCAATGGTGCTGCAGCCACACCGACGGCAGCTCCTGGTTCGACGACGTGAACTTCAAGACCGCGAACTGGCTGCGCGGGCTCTCCTACGTAGCCAACTGGGCCAAGGGCCACAACAACGTTGTCTCCATGTCCCTCCGCAACGAGCTGCGCGAGAGCTGGAACCGCACCGACCTGTACTATAACTGGCAAACGCTCGTCGGCAACATGAGCGCAGGCGCGGACGCCATCTTCGAGGCGAACCCGGACCTGCTGATCTCCTGGTCCGGCATGCAGTACGACCAGGACCTATCCGCGCTGACGACGAAGAAAAACATTCTCACGGCGCCGTGCTACAAATGCACCGCGATCCGCGATGCCGCGCGTAGGGATCCCGTGTACTTCGACCTCGACGCCCAGCCGTGGGCCGACAAGATCGTCTGGGAACTACATCTGTACCCGATGAGCGAGGACCTCGACACGGGGAACTGCGAGGTCATCGAGGCGGGGCTGTACCGCAACGGGTTCAACGCCCTGGGCATCGATAAGCCCGCCGGGTGTGCTATCACTAACGACTGTCCGACGGCGCAGCGGCTTACGCCGGTGATTTTCTCGGAGTTTGGAAATGCGCAGGATAAGTCGTTGTATGCTAGCACGGTGCAGAACTGCATTCGCCAGTTCACGGAGAAGCATGGCGTGAGCTGGATGATGTGGAGCTTGGCGGGGAGTTATAGGATTCGGAGCGGTGTTCAGGGGCTTGTGGATACTTGGGGCTTGACGAATGCGGATTGGACTGGTTGGAGAGATGCGGAGACTGTGACTGGGTATTGGATGCCTTGGGTGAAGAATATGAAGTTGGATACGTGAGTGGGTTGGGATTGAAAAAGGGAGGTGGTTAATTGAGGATATTGGAGGTTCTGAAATACTTAATAGTAATATAAGATGCTATCATGACTGTTATTGCCAGGGGGTGTCTAAGGATATGCCATCGTATACATCAAGTGGGGGACATCGTGATTTCTTATATGATGAAGATAAATCGTCAAAAAGAGATAACCTCTTCAAGGCCCAGCCTAAGATCTGTTGATCGGCTCTTAGCTACTGCGCCCCCGCTATTGGGTATTTCTTTGCCTCCCTCTTACAAGGTCCCGAAAGATGCCTAGTATGTTATCTTCGAGAATCGAACCCTAAACCACCCGTTTCAGAGCAGTTGTTAGGACAGGAACGATGAGGTGTCTGTGACATAACCGGTCAACCATACAGTATATTCTGGTTGAGGGATAGATGTCGCCGATGGAAATCTGCGACTCTATTTCGATATATAAACCTTATCCCGGAAAATGTATTGTTGTTGCCTAGCGACACACTTGCACACACGACACCTCACTGTGTAAAAAGGAGGAATTCTGAGAACTACTGGTGAGGTTTTCTCCCGCCCACTGAAGTGCTTCAAGGGCTTTGGCATTTCGGAAATAAGCTGGCTTGTAGTGATAAATTAGATATACGTCAATATCCATACTGCAATCTGTCCAGAGAAAGGAGTAACTTTTAGAAATATGTTTCACTATTAGAAGCAGCTTCGAGGTTCCTCGTTTCTACCAATAGCGACCTATCAATGCGGCACTCTTTTGTCATAGAACGGCCCTTTCCACAATTTATCATTTTTATTGATATGAGTTTCTACTACTACTTGGACTCCTCCCTCTACCTGGAAATGCTGTAGGTACGAGGAAATCCGGAATCAAGGAGCCTTTTTCTATTACTGAATTATAAGACGAACCGCAAAACAGTATGAGGGGATATGCTCGAAAGGCAAGGCCAAACCGCCAAGTCCAACCAACGCCGGTGCCATGCATTTATGCTATCATATCTCCACCCGTCCCCTTTGTACAGCCTCCGAAATCCAAAGTTAGGGGTATTGATCGCAATTCCGTACCTGACGTGTATCGACTATAGTCGTATATAAAGATCCATACACTCGATCCTCCACTCCCTACGTCCCAACAAGCTCCTTAGCCACTCAACCCCGAGTCCCGTCCACTCCTCCTTCCTCTTTGCCAGCTCTTCAGCGGCAACGCTCGCAAGGGCGTTCGCTGTAGTGTTTAACATCTCGACAGCGGTGGCATTGAAGCTATCGGCGACAGGATCCGGTATCATTGTCGAGTTGGATATACATGATGACGTAGGAGACCGCGGGGCGAACCAGTTGCTACCAAAGTCGAAGAAACATCTGTCTGACCAGTAGCACGAGGTGACGAAGAGTATGAGAAGTAGGACGGAGCAGTAGACGCAAGGTCGGTTGAGGAAGTATGTGCAAACGAAGAATAGGAAAATGAATGCAGGGGAGGCATTCGTCGGGATGAAGAGGAGAGGTAGCCAACTATATCAAGGAATTGGGTTAGCTTGCATTTATAGACATGATATAAATTAATCTTTAAGGTCTCATACCTTCGCAGACAGAACATGGTGGTGTGTCTGGTATTCCTGATACTTTATCGGATACTGTTTGCTTGTTGGTGATGTAAATGCTGTAAGTGAGACGTTTGACTGAGGCGCCGGTGATATGTCGGAGGCAGCAAACACTGGATGCTGACAGATGTCATCCACTGTCTGTTGCCAAGTGCTGTAAAAGGCAAATAGCGAATTGGGTAATTAAGATTTATCGCTACTATCTAGTAGTGACTTAGAATAAGTACAAAGTAACGAGAGTGGAAAGCCAAAATGGTTATGTACTTTAAGCTACTGTATGTCTGAGAATGATTAATAGAGAATTACCGAATTATCACGATGCGCCGGGTCGATGAACTAATTGAAGGTTTGAAATTGTTGACTTACCTAATGTTTTAATGTTTTATTTAAGGGTCGGTACTAGGTACTTCGGTACAGCGGGTTACATAAGACGCCAGAACCCATCTCCACATTTACACGGTACTTGTACAAACAGGCAAGGATCTTCCAAGGCTGGGGTACATGCAAATAATGTAAAAAATCAGTGCATTACAGAAGCTGCAGAAGTCCCCTCCACTGAGTTAGGTTCTATCAGCTGTATGGGTACTTGTATGCATGTGTACCGCTAGGACCTCCACTTCTTACACCATAATATCTTCGTCGATTGGCAGGTGTAATCGTCAGCTAGCGCACAGCTGCATCGCCGCCCAACGTTTGGACGTGATCAGTGCTGGTGTGTTCATCCGCTATCCGTTACACATCACTTAACTTCCTTCCGTTTGACAACATTTTATTTTCTAAGCTTCTTCTTTTCCTCCACCCACAAAAAATCCTCAATCTTCCATACCATCGCATATAGGCCATTCCGACGCATCTTGATCGGGAAAGCCTTTCTTCACAATAAGCAGTTGACTGTTTGACTGGTCCAATTGTTAACTTGTGTCCTTTTTTTTTCTCGTACCTAACGTACCTTGTTATCGCCCCAATTCGTCAGATTTGCCGATAGGAGCTTTAGCTTGGTACCTTGTCGGTTTTTTTTCCGTTATTTTTTTATGACGGGGCTGCTTCACATCCTCAAGCTCACCTGTAGATAGGAATAAACATTTGTTTCTTTCCTTCGCGTTAAACACCGACTTTTATCTTATTCCATCTTTCCTCTTCTCATACATAAACACCTCACTCAATAATTCCAAACTTCGCGCAATCGCATTAGGAATTCCTGAGGAAACTCAAAAGCTAAATCATATTCCTTACCTATCTAGGTAAATTGATAGCTTGATTGCTTCATTTCACATCATCGACAAGACGCATCATGGCGGGTTATAACCCGCCGGGTGGTGGCACCGACCCGAATGGTTTGCATGCGATGCTCGCTCGCTTGCAAGCTCAGCGCAATGGTGATAACAATGATGACTCTGCGCCTGCTAATGATATTCTGTCCCGATTCAACTCCTACAACCAGGGCGCTAATCCTCAAGATTATTATGGCCATTCCGGTGCGGAATCCCCTCTTACTGGCATAGACGACTTTCTGCCTGCTGCCCCCACGCCACCCAGTAACAACTTTAGCCACTCCCACCATCCGACTGGACCGATGGGACTAGGTCCGATTGGCACGATGCCTTCGAACCCTACGGGAAAGGTTGATCAGAGCGCGAACCTGTTGAATCTTCTCAAGTTCAGTGGTCAGAACAGTGGGCCTCACGCACAGCAGGTTCCGTCGCACACCTCACCTCCTGGACATGCCCATACCCAGACACATACCCAGGCACCTGGTGTGTTTGAAGGGCTTCCTAACTTATCCCAACCGCACAATCAACCCCCCATCCACGCCCCCGTACCTATGCCAGCTGATCCTCAAGGCCTTCTAGCAACCCTTATGAAGGGAAATTTGCAGAATGAGTCTGCTCGTGCTGAGCCTCAAGCCCCCGCCCAGGCACCCGCTCAATTACATGCTCAGCCAAATTGGAATGCGGGCCCGCCTCCCACGGATACTCAGGCGTATCTTCTCAACTTACTTCATCGACCGAAGCCTTCGCAGACCGACCAGAACTCTCCCAATGAGCCATCTCACCCTTCTACCCTGACCCCTCAGTCAGCCAACGGCTCATCGACAGAGCACCACATGAAAGAATATATGCCGCTGAAGCCGACAGTGGCGGATAATGGCTCCCATGAGGCAACACCTATGCCTTTCCGTTTTGGATCGAAGGAGCATGTTGACTCCCCTCCGACGAAGTTTGAGTACAATTCGCCATCGTCTCAGCATTCTCAATATGATGGGGGCCGCAAACACTCCAAATTTGATTACGCCAATCCGCTTGAAGCATTTGGAGTTTCTTCTCCCCAGGACGCCGCGTCCAAGTCGTCGACTCCGGGCGCCTCGGCTTACATTGGCCAAGTCCCGACTGAATTGCCCGCTTCGTCGACTTTTCGAGTAGCTAAGAAGACCCCTAGTGTTGCGTCTTCTTCTGGACTCGGTCAGGATCATAAGCGGCTAAGCAGCCAACGTAGTCCGATCATGAGCCCCGAGCATATCAGGCGAAAGCTTGACGATGCTGCTTCTCCTCATTCCATTACAGAGCATCCAATTGCGTCTGGAATTATTCCAAACTTTGCCCCCGGAGAAGAGAAAAGCACAGAAACCGTGGCAGACGCGATCACTGTCCTTGCTGGACAAGCGGACAAAGAAGCCCAAGAAGCATTACAAAGGGCCGAAGATGAAGAAGTACGAGCTAAGATTAATGCCGAACTCGATCACATGATGAGAGCCAAGACTGACGCTGAATTCCAGGATTCGGCTGAGGCTGCGGCGCGTGACATCCGCGCAGAGCTCGAAAAGGAAGAGAATGCTCACGTTCTCGAAGAGACATATTCACCTGGAGTTGCACAGGCAATTCGCGATATTGTTGACGATGTAGCACATGGCCCTGTTGCAGATAGCTGGGAGAGTGCCGAAGCTGACGAGATAGTCGTTATCGAGGAGATCCCGAACCCGGTGAAGGTGTATAATTTCCCTATGAAGCCATGGATCTCGATCACCATGCTGGATACCGATAGTCCTCGCCCTCAATTCCGCGACGAGGTAATTCTCGACATTGCCCGCCTCAAGAAGGAGTTCGATCAGATTGATCGTAATCTCGTCACTGCGACTGAATCGTACATGGTTTACGGCATGTCTAAGGCTGGTGGGCTTCGTGTAATACGACAGGATGACGGTAAGGACGCCAAACTGTTCACTGACACCAAGGACCGCATTTTCAACGTCGCAATGTCATCTACATCACCTGATCTCCAAATCACACCAAAAGAGAGCATTATCGGCACTGGCATCAGTGGTACCGTATATTACATTCAGATTAAGAATGGTGAGAAAGATCATTTGGAAGATGCTCACCCGGAACAGTACGGGTTCATTCTTCCCCCACTAGTGATCTCTCACGAAGGTGGCGGCGACAATGGAGGCGTTTTGAAGACTCGAGCTAGAACCTCTTCTACCCATCCAGAGTTTTTCGCTGTCGGTCGCGGGAAAACCATCAACATAATATGGCCATCGTACATTATGCAGAACGGTATTTTCAAGTCTGGCCATGACCGCGTTGTTGATACCCAGAGACTATATAAGGAATGTTCTCTTAGAATCAGTACGGGCAAAGCTGGCAAGGATTTTACCTTTAGCCAGGATGATACTACTATTGTCTCTCTCGACAAGTCTGGTCGTGTTAAGTTTTGGGACGTACGAGATTTGACAGCGGCCGATGAGAATTCGGATCCTTGGTCACCTCTCCCTGCCCACACGTCGCTTGAGGTGAAAGAACCACTGATGACGCTGAACACAACGCCCGAAGGAGAGAAAGCGTGGCCAACCTCTGTGTTATTGCTGGATAAGCAACGGCCTTACCAGAAGGGATGGGCTCTACGTTACATGATAGTGGGCATGAAGCAGAATCATACTCTTCAGCTGTGGGATCTTGCTCTAGGCAAGCCGGTTCAGGAATTCAATCTACCGCATATGAAAGAGTCAGATCCGGTGTGTAGCGTTATGTACCACCCGCCTTCTGGTATGATTGTGGTTGGCCACCCTATGCGCAATTCCATCTACTTCTTGCACCTGTCAGCACCCAAATACACCATCAAGGGTTTATCTCAAGTTGATTACATCCAGAAGTTAGTGGCTAAGGACTCGTCAATTCCGGAACCGGACTCAACCGCCGTCATTAGTGGTGTACGCGAATACTCATTCGCCAATAAGGGCATGCTTCGGAGTTTGGATATACTGGTGAACCCTGCCACTGCTTCCGACTCTGAAGAACCGAGTCTATTTGAATTGTATGCTATGCATTCCAAGGGCGTGACCGGGATCGTTATCAAGCAGAGCGAGCTTGGCTGGTCTAAGGATAATAAGGTTATCGATGGTGCTGACGCTTCTGAGGTGGGTCTGGTTAAGATCGCGAAGCTAAAGGAGCTACCCAGTCCTTTAGTCACCGAACCCCAGTCTGTCGACGAGCATGCACCGCTACCACTTCGGGTTCGATCCGTTAAAGAGACGCCTCCTCCAGCATCGTCCTCTATCTCGTCCAACACATTAATCCCGCAGAAAGGTGATGAGAATGCGCCTGTGGGCCAACATGAACGCAAGGAAACTGTCGCTCCCAGTGCGCCGATCAGCCAATTGGACAAGACGGAGAAGAAGGCCAGAAAGAAGCGTGAGAAAGCTGCTGCGGCTGCCGCAGCAGCAGCTGAGAAGCTTGGCACCGACAATGTGCAATCAAATGGCACTTCGCCGCCCACCTCTACAAAGCATAATGACACGAAGTCCGGATCATCCTCGCAGCAGATAATGTCTCACGAGTCTATCCAGTCTACTGTTAAGCAGATCGTCTCCTCCCTTGGAGATAAGTTAACCGGAGTTATCACTGGCGAGTTCAAAGACCATCGAGATAATGTCGACGTCGAATTCCGTGCTCGCGACGAGACATTTGTCAAGAACCAACAAATCTTGCTAGAGAAGGTGTCCAATGTGCTCAACGCCAACGTCCAAGCTGTCCTCACCAAAACAATCAATGACCAATTTGAGAGCAGTGTAGTTCCAGTTCTAAGCGGTCTCATCACGAAAACCATCTCGGAGCAGATTGATGGTAAGATGGTTGGCCGGGTCTCGCATTCTATCCAGAATCAGATGCAAAAGCTTATCCCCAATGCCGTCAATCAGGCTCTACAGAAACCTGAAATTACTAAGTCCATCTCCGACAAAGTAGCAAGCAATGTAGCACATGACATCGAGAAAAGTGTTCGCCAAACACTCATCAACAACATTACTCCACTAATCAACGACACGGCAGTGAACGTTTCGCGCTCCGTTGTGCAAGAGGTGCAGGATCGTACCGCTAGCCAGATTGCGGAAATGGAGCAGCGACGTATCGCTGATGGCAATAAGATTGACCAGCTCACAGCATTAGTGACTAGCCTTTCTGACACAGTTACCGCTATGGCTACTACCCAGGCCCAATTCCAGGACGGACTGCTTAAGTTGCAACATCATACCTCTCGTGATCGCGGTTCTGCTGCACAATCTACGCATTCCGCACACTCTCAGCCGCCAGCTCAGTCTCACCATCCCTCGTCCATACAGTCACAGTCCTTCTTGTACGGAAGCCCGACGGGAAGCTCAGGCGCTCACCAACTAGTTCCATTCCAATCGAACAACTCGAACATCAGAGAACAGGCTGTTGTTCGTGACCCGCAGCTTCAGCATATGATTGCTAGTGTCGCATCATACATTGAGCGAGGCGAGTATGAGACTGGTCTGGTTCGATGGATTCAGCAAGGCCGCCAAGCTGAAGTCTTTGACGAGTACCTACACAAGTTAGACCCTCAGTTCCTCCAGGATGTACCTACTCTAGTTTCGCTCTCGGTGGGATCCGTCGTTATCGATACCCTTGACCCTCATCTCGTTAGAGAAAAGCTGAACTGGTTGGAGACGGTACTCCACATTCTAATCGCCCAGTTGCCACGCATTGTTAGTTTCATACCTCACCCGATGAATGACTTATTTAACCAAGTTTCTCCACAGGACTCCCAAGTTCGCGATGTTGTCCCGAACCTCATGACTTCGTACCTCGACCGCTTTGAGAAGCTCTACATCCAAGTCGCTGGCCGATCGTCAAACGACCCTATCATCGCACGTCTCTCTACGATGACCAGCATGGCAAGCCAGATCAAGGAGGCTGTGCATCGCCCCAACTATTAATTCGATTGTGCATCACGATCATTTGGCGTCGATGGCTTATGGGGAATGAGTGATGTTCTATTCACGATTTCTGGGTTGCCCAGGTAGTCCTTAATTGGTACGTCCCTACATGATTTAAACGCGACCCATACTCACGTTCTCATCCTAACATATCATGCAGTGCGATGAATTTGGTGCCCCCACTACAAATCAAGATATCCGCATGGCGTCCCGATGATCTCCGTTCAGGCGTCCTTGGGCGGAAATGGATGCTTCTAATTGGGATATTATGGCTGGCTGAGCTTATAGTTCCTTTAATAAAGGGAGATAGAAGGCGCGGTATAGGAGGGGTATTTTCGAATATCCTCTTCCTTGTTGCCACCATGCCTTCCTCTCCCATACCTTCCTATTGCACATATTTCGCTTTGCTGGGGATATTCTGCGATTGGCATTTACGATCGTCACGGCTGGTTTTCCTTTGCATGCGGAATGATACCCATCTGGTGGATGGCCTTAAGCCTTATGTACACTCAATGGGATAGTTTTCTTACGTCTGTTTTTCAACGAGCTTCGGACTGTGAATGGTTGAATGTGCTATGTCAATGTAGGAATTTGTAGGCCGGAATTGAATCTTTAGGCGTCATGGTGGAGTAAGATGCTCAACCGGCTAGGGTCCTAATGATAATGGGTGAGACATTGGGACAGGTGGCTGGCGTAGTTTCGGGTGTATGGCCCTAGGATCTCCGACGATTGGATCAGAAAACCCGATACCATAGGTAGGTAAGTTTCTCTACCGATTCTCTCGCTCTTAGATTTTTTTAACTTAGGGTCTAGTTATTGATGAATATTCTAGGTTGGGCTGTGAAAAAGGGGGCTTGATAAGGACAGATGCAAGTGGCGTAGAAATAGGTACTAATTATTAACTTCTTATCTCCTAGTCTTTTTTAATCATCAACCTATCCAGTAACACAGCGGTTTCGACGATGTCATCCAATGTCGAAATCAGAAACGAACAAACGCCGCTAAAGCTTACAACTCCGCAAACGTCAATTCGTAAGCGTACCCGACAACCATCTTGGCGTGTTCGAGCAGGTGATCCCAGTTGATCTTGTCAATGGTATCGCGGTCGGTGTGGATGTCCTGGTTTGTGATGTCCATCGCCGACTCGATCACGAATGAGGCGGGGTACCCCGCGGCCATGGCGGAGGCGTGGTCGGAGCATCCGTAGCCGCATTGGGAGTCTACGTAGCCGATTTCGGTGTACTGTTAGGTGGGGGGTTAGTTTGGTTGTGGTTTGGGGGTTTAGGGAGGAAGGGTGAGAAATGTGGACTTACGGCGTCGATGACTTTTCGCATGTACGCGGTAAGGCCTGAATCGACTCGGTCGGTGATAACGCCCACTATTTACGATAATCCATGTCAGCAATCGGCTATTATTTGTTTACAAGGTGACAGAATGTCGATTCCCAGGCATGACACTTACTGGGGTTCGATCCAAAGCCGGTCATGTCCTGTTGGAGCATGGCCTTAACAACGGTTTTGTTTTCGGAGTATGCATCGAAGATGTCACCGCTGCCAAGCAAGCCACCTTCTTCACCGGAATACCAGTGGAACTCTAGAGTGTTGAGACCTTCTCCGGCTACAATCTTTGGGTCGGTCAGGAGAACCCTCAGAGCTTCCAGCGTCGTTACACAGCCAGAACCGTCGTCATCTAACAAACAAAGATTCATTAGCCAATTAGAAAGCCCCCCGAAATACTTCTAGGGGTACATAAAAATCACCTACCGGCACCGGGAGACCTTCCAGTACGGTTTCTCTGGTTAATCGAATCCAAGTGAGCCCCGATTATGATCTTGTCGGTAGATTTCCCGGGGATCGTGGCAATGATGCTACTCTGCACCCAATTGTGGGGGAACGCCTTCGCCGACGCGCCCTTAGCCCCGCTTGCTTCAAGGACGGCCTGGACCTCGGAGAGTAGCCAGTCTGAAGCCTGCTTGCCTTGGTCGGACAGGTAGAAACGGGTGAAGAAGTTGGAGAAGGTCGTCAGCTTCTCTTCAGCATATGTCTTGTCCAGCTTGCCGATGAGACTTTTTACAGTGTCTTCTTGGGCCATTGCCGAGGGATACGCGACTGCTGCGACGGCGCGCTTGGGGGATGCTGAGGATGCGAGGTTAGGGTGATTGGTTATGTCCATGAAAGTTTTGCCTTCCTAGGCAAGAGTTAGTAGAAAGCGCAAGAATTCCACGGGGATTAGCTACTGACTTTCTTGAGAGCCCATTTCTCTTCCTCGGTCACAATCTGAGTCTCGCCAGACCCTAGATCGATCGTGAATAGCTCTACATTCCTAGCCGCATGCCGACTAGCTGAAAGAGCTGTCGCCGTGGCAGCTAGAGCTGCAACCATGATTGAGCGAACCATATTGAAAGCCTTGGGGATTGTCGAAGCGAGTGATCGAGATAGAAGATAGCTAAAGGCTGATCTGAGAATTATCCCGAGGACTCGGGCTTCCTTATGTAGGTCCTCATGATGGCATACATAGACCTAAGATTAGACTTACCAAGCTTCTTATGTTGGAAGGTTGCATCCCTCCTCGACTAGGCCTAACCATGCAACACCGACGATGATCATGAGGCGCGTGGGGCACGGCTTTCAGGCAGGAAATCAATCAGAGAAGAATCGATCGACCCATGTAGCCCCGCATTCTTCTTTGATCGAAGTGAAGATTGTTTTCGCGATGATCCGATAGGTGCGGGTCATATAGCTATCTCAGAGCTGTATCATGAACCGGACGTAAACGATTGGATAACGAGCACATGGGCATCTAATTTTAAGTTGACAGAGTGGTATTCCAAGAAGCTATGTCAGTTGCACTGCATCTTATCTTCCGCGTGAAAGAGTTCCCCAGAGAATTCTAGACACGAGGTCGCGTAGTCTCGGGATCGGCGGGCTATAGCTACAGCTGAAGACCGAAAGACCAAAAGACCAAAGGGGGCAGTCCGAGCTTCCATAAACATGACGATCTCCCGTCGACGGTTGCGATGGCCAAGCTTCCCCCTCTCAATACGATTGCTCTCGACACTGCCATCGCCGTATCCTATGCGACCTTGGCTGTTCGGCCCTAAACGGCGCGATCGACTCTCGGCGCAAACAAAACGGTCCTCGGATAGGAAGGTTAAGCTATCGCCAAGACGAGATTGATTAACATGTACCGCGCTCCGGTAATTCCAGGTCAATGAATTCTTAGGCGGACCCGCGATCTGCTCAGGGGTATGCGCTTGGCGACATGCGCAGTCTTTGTAATCGAGTTAGGCACCAGAATTAGGGCTTCGTGGAAAACACATGTAATTTCAACGCAGGTCCAATAGAATCTTAGAAAGAGGTTCGAATCGGGTTGTTTTGTCGTCGAAACCCTGCTAAATGTTGGCATTTATTTAGTGAGGCTTAGCATAAGATATCCAACATCTGTCCCTGATTGCACATGATCGACCGTTTACTTAATGACCTACAGTAGGTGCTCTATTATCATGAGAAGTATTAGTAATAGGTACATATAATTCAACTGTCAATGATTGACAGCTATTCCAATATTGATATTTTGTCTTTTCGAGGTGACTTGGCATCCCTACTTTAATCTCAGGCTCATACATCATTCAGACCAGAACCGAGAAAAAGCGAATTACTATCAGGAATAGTCGAAGATAGTCAAGTAGCTAATATTCGATCATATTCTTACTCTATGACTTGGCTAGCGAGTCCTTCAGGCTTTCATCTTACCTATCTACCAACCATTATCACGGTCTTGAAGGTACGCAATACTCCCAGCGAGCCTTCGATGTCGCTCCTCACATCATTCGCATAATGCGATATAGACATCTTGCACTTAAACTATGATACATAGGTAAGTATCACTAGGGAAGCATCTAGCGTAATGAATGTTGCCTAATACTATACGAGTTCCTCTAGATTTGCGACCCCTTTGTAAGATCCTTCTATGGCCCTATGAGGCGCAACGTAATTAGACTTAGCCCGACTGAGAGAACGGGATTTGAAAGGTAGGAGAATATATCTAGGTACATACCCCTAACGATGAAATATGGCTCATCTAGATAGTATCTAGTTAGCATGTTCGCTGATGCTGAACCTGAGGGGGATGCGCTTTGGCTACGTCACAGGTGAGCCCTCTTTGGATGAGGAACATTGGATTAGATACTGATATCCATAGGTAGTTATGGCTCTATGTGGCCCTCATAGATGTCACATGCACGGCTTGTCCGTCCAGGCACTCTAAAGTCAAATGTCCGTTCTAACCTACCTAGGTAGTAAGCAAAAAGGGGGCAACAATCACCTTCCATCATAATTCCTACGATTACAAGGTTAGAAACTTATAAACCAACATACATCGCTATGTGAGGTAGGTAAATAGGTTAAGGTCCAAGCAAATATTTTCAAAATAACGTAGAAAGTCATATTTAGCATGATGTTACTTCAATATTTAAACATCCGTACACGAATGCTGCTCAAGGGACAACGCAAAGTAACTTCGCATGTTTACTTATAAGTAAACAGTTGCTAGGTAATTCTTCGGGAATGCAGGGACCTTTTTCAAGGTAAAACCAGACCAATGAAAGTTAATATAGCATTCCATCTACTCATTGATAAGATGAAGCACCTACGTAGGAGGCGCATAATTCCTCATCATCCCCAATCATAATTACTAGAGAGTACCGGAGGTCGACGACGAACTTGAGATAGACGTTCACTGTTTGTTGCTTGTTTGTCCGCAAAGATTTGGCCCCCAAATAGAGGGGGGGGGGGGTGAAAAGCAATATGATAGATCACAAAAAAAAAAAAAAAAAAAAAAGAATACCTATGCAGGTCTAAGTTCATGTAACACTGCGTCTGCGCGTGCGGGGAGGCGGTCGGAGCGGGAACTTGCATCCACGTCACCTCACGAATAGGAAGGGACGAGGTTGGGTAAGGCTCTGGCAGGCATCACTCAAATTTGCAAACAGAATAAAGTTTTCTCCTCCAGTTTCATCAGGAGGTTTCACCATCTTCGTTGTTTTTCTTCAACACACCACACATCCCACATTGACCGTCTACCCGCCCGTATCAGTTTCCATGAAGACTCCGCATAGCATCTCAGTATTGACTGGCTGAGGAATACTTGAATTCTAGAGTGGGATACATCAGCAATACTGCCCACCATGGTGAATCTCGCGCTTGCTTATCCGATTGTATGTGGTCTACCTTCATCCTCATGGTTGCTGAATTGACATGATGGACTAACGTACAATTATATAGCTGCTCCTGGCTTCAATAGCAGTTGCGATGTAAGCTATACCCCGGAACCTATGCAGGAATACATACCATTCAATAGCGAATTCATACCTAACAAGCTTCAGCTACATACAGGTTACCTCAAGCACGCTATCGCTACCCCTATCGACCGGAACAACTGTGCTCACCATCATCCTACCTCTTATCGCGGCCGCAAATGTTTTCTACACTCCACTACTCCACCGGTTCTTACAGGCCAGAGTCAGCTCACTTGCGACGCAAAAGCTCCTTCCTATAGCGCTACAAGTCATCCAAGGCATACTGACGGTCGTTTTGGCGACCCTCTCAGCCCAAGGTTTTGTGCCAGGGAAACTGCTTGAGTGTAGCTTGGAGGGGAATTGGCAGCGCCTGTTTATCGCTAAAGATGCCCACGCTATACAGCAAATCCAAGATTCTTTCAACTGCTGCGGTCTTCGTTCAACGAAGGATCGCGATTGGCCACTTCACCAATGTACTGATTCGTATAAGGACAGAAATAGCGCGTGTCTTGTCCCCTGGCGCGCCGCTCAACAGAGAACCGCTGGGATTGAGTTTGCCGTCGTGGTAGTGGTCGGAGTTCTTCAGGTAAATATCACCTACAATCAGGTGGCATATAACTTTCATACTAACATTATATCTAGCTGATCCATCTAGCGTTGTTTAGGTTGCGTAACTCTGGGGGTGCTCGAGCTAGACTTGGTTACAGGCGTATCACGCAGAGCGTCGGTGCAAACCCCCATGAAGGGCTTCTCGAAAATCAGGCTATCGATGATGATGAGAATGATGCAGCCGCAGGTGACAGCGGGGTCGATGGTGGTCGTCCTGACTACGGGGCCCTCGAGGAAGGTCCTAATCATAGAATTGAACCATCTAACCTTGGCGAAGAGCGAAACAACTGGAGGTGAGCACTTTTATCAAAGAAAGTCACACCAACCACTATTCTACTCAGGATAAAGTGTTGCTTCGTTTCAATACTGGCGGGGATATCAGAATGGGATTAGCTTCGATTAGCTGGATCTGCAGAATGGATGAGTATTCTGGTTGGTAGAATGCTTCCTAATGATGACGTCTTATGACTTGGCACTACCATGAACGGTCTAGGTATCTAATGGGAGAAGAGAAGTGATAGGTAGGATGGATGACTAATTTTAAGAACATCGCAGCTTTTCAATGAACACAGCAATTAAAAATCTTAAAACCACAGCTTTACCTAGTACATACATGATGTCGGCTGTAGCATTAGCGTCAAATGCAGAATAGTACCTTGGAGTACTTGCCGTATCGGGATAGACTTCGATTGCTGATTTGTCGGAACCTCGATAGGCGTCCTGTCTCGGTCTTGCTTATCCGTCTCTAGGTTATGGCGGTTGCTTTGAACCCCTTTTCGCAGGGTGAAAAACTTCAGCGAATATAATTAATTAGATGCCTCATATCGCATTGACCAAACTGCCGTTTTCTTTTTATTCTCTTGAATCTTTTACTGTGAGGTTGAAATAAATAGTTGCGTGATCTACTGACAACAAAGGGGGAAGAGAATCTATTCAGGGGTTACTGTGTTCTAAAAATAGATCAACCTCACGATGTTAATGGAAACGATTACACTCGAGTCAATGCATTGGTTTATCAATAATAGTTCAGCAAAATTGACTAAGTTGATATCAAAAACTCTGGAGTCTGTTAACGTCGCATTACTGTTCCTAAATTGCATTCAAGTTCGGGTGGGAAGTAAAACCGAAGTCACGCATTGACTCGTCGCCTATGGATTAGCCCCTTTTCAAAGAAAAAAAGGGGCAGATTCTTGAGTTGCGAACGAAACAAATCAATTAAGTTTCTGCCCTATGTGCACTCAATTGATAAATTTAGGTAGTTTACCCAAATATTTAGGTCGTCCCGTGATCCTTAACGTTTAACTATTGAAGGGTTTTGGTGACGCAAATGTTACGCGAAAATTACTAGGTAGTAGGCAAGTGGATTAACGTCATAAGTGCCGGCCTGTTTTGGTGACATCACTGCAAAGCCTTAAACACTTGGGTATCTACCGAAGTAATTCTTAGGTATTATCCAATTGAATCGGCTATCAATAAAACGAGCAACATCTCATTTCCTTTGCTACTTGTGCATCATCTCACCCACTGCTGCCAACAGCTTCTGTGGATAGACCTAGGTTTCAAGAACCAGCACACAGAATATCATGCAGCTTAGCAAATCTATTACGTTGATAGCTTTGGCTATCTTGCCGGGGTTTGCAGTTGTTATTCCCAAGAGACAGTCTTGCACTGACGGTACCTATCAATGCTTCAAGTATGTCTAGATTTGAGTAGTCCCATCAACTTCCCCCGAATCGCAATATAAGAATAATACTAAAAATTCAATTCCAAAGCCCAGAAAACTACACCTCTCAAGTCCAGGTCTGCAGCGGTGGATTCTGGATCCCGGCTTCCTTATGTGATCCTGGCTCCCATTGTGTAGATCAGTCTGGCACTTGCACTTGCCAGCCATAGGGTTATCAGACCAGTCACTTGTGTTGGAGCGACATCATTCATAAGGCGTTAGAGCACCTACCCAGTCTAATAGTGATATCCGACCGCGACAGCCTTGTTGGCCTTATTACATGGGCGTAGTAGGACCTCGAGGCAGGGAAGAATTAGCAATGCTCCCCTTACCTACCTAGGAAAGGGTATTAGAATAATTATGATTAACGTTTGACATCATTGAGGCCAATATGGACACAATTCAAATTAATTTGCTCGCTGAAGCTATTACTTATATCGCAGTGGACGTGATTATCTAAATTGTGCTCAACACAAAGGTGCGCACAAACCTCTGAGAGCATTTAACGAGCAACATTTACCAAGGTACATATAGTTAACGCCGCAAAATGATCCCATGAGGCTTTCCCTATTGCATCTTGCCGTAGTATTAAGGTGATAAATCATGTACGGGTTGATATTTCCAGCTTGAGATAACTAGCCCGAACGTTATTCAAGATACTTAAGATAATTGAAATATAACAGAAACTCAATTCCATAGCGGTTAGACCCAAAATAAACTCAATTTAGACTAACATATCACTAGTCTGTAGCGGTCGGTAGGTATTATCAACATCCCTCGGTCACCACCACTTATCCTCAATAACAGAACTGGGGCCAATGAGAATAAGTGTTGGTGTATAGATTAATTGACGACTATTTGGAGAATGTTAACACTCTGATAGGCAATAGAGAATTTCCGGGTGTATTTAAACTCATCTTGACCTCTAGTTATTGGCATAACTCGAGATACTAGTACGTGCCTAGGTATGTAGTGATTTATAAACCCCTCCCCCCCCAAAAAGCGTTCGATACCGGCACCTACCTAGGTAGGTAGGTAGGTAGGTAGGTAGGTAAGTAGGTAGGTAGCTAAACTTACTTGAAGTCCCTGTAGGTTATCAATTGCTGTAATAGAAGTCCAGGAAAGATTTAATGCCAAATCCAAATAATGAAGTGTACGTGTTTGCAGAAAAGACTCAAATCGCTATAAAAAATAATCTTGAAGTTTCCAGGATAAAAACGAGGAACCGGGTCCAATCGAGTGGTTCAGGCCGGAATAGATTCCACTAGATAAAGTAAAAGTCAATTCAGGTTCATTCCCAGGAAATCAGATGATCTCGCGGGGAAACTTAATTTTATGAGCTTTAAGTTGACCAAGATGGATACGCTTCACGTAACTACAACGCGCCAAGATAAACATACCTAGTACGTTCATGTATCCAACTTACACACGAGGTAATAGAGGTTGCATGATACCAATTCATTTGCCGAGCAAAACAGTAATGGATGTGATCTAGAAACTAGGACTATATAATATGATATATGGGAATTATAGCAATGGAATTGTTTTGTAGGCGAGAACTCCCACAGCCTACATGTGATTATCCAACACTGTCCGGAAAGAAAAAGAACAAAATAGGTACACAAGTACTCAAATAACATTTCGATATCATTTATCTTCTCCTATGAACCCTGTAAAGGTAGAGTTTATATTCAATTCATAAGGTCTTACCCTCGGTATAACCACGAGGAAGCTGCTTGGAGACATGGCACAACGCTACACACGAGCTTACTATCAAAACTCGCTCTTCCCAGAAGGAATATAGTTATGGGCTATTACACATTGAACGTGCTCAACGGAAGGTAGAGCATACATGGAATTGACTTCATGGCTTAAACGTTGAGGAAGAGTTCGTGGAAGACGCTACCTTCATAGGGACCAATACCACCTAAATATCATGTGGACTTATACTTTCCAGTGTAAATGTTGTCTGTAGAGTAGGTAAGTGTAGAGGATAAACAACCCAAAGCATCTCTTGCCTAGCCATATAAATATTAACCAATGCCCCCCATTTCATTTTTCTTCTCTTCTTATTATCAAGTTCTCAGAAGTCAACCAGAAGAGTCCACAAACGCCTGAAAAGCAACCTTCTTGCTCCAATATCATTGAATTAACAATACTTATCTTGAATGACTTTCTCTTCAAAAGCATCAATACTTCTAATACTTCTAATACTTCTAATACTTCTAATACTTCTCATACATCCCTCAAGAAACATCAACAACTCTAAAAGATTTATCCTTATACTTTGGCAGTAGGTAGTATGACATTTCTTTACTCAACCGCTCAGGTCGTTCCAAAACAGACCAACATAACTCTCAAGCTCAATTTGCGTCTGACATATATTGAAAATTCACTAAAATACCTAAGTAACTGAGAAATATACCAAGACATCTCTACCCATTACTCAAGATGTCGGGTTACGACGTGTCCCTCTATGCCTTCATGTCTGGCTCGGACGAAGACTATTACCAACAAATGGGCCTATCAACTCTATTTCCTTCGGCTTATAACCAAGGAAATGATCAAACACAACAGCAGCCCGTAGTCTTCTCAGATATGCAGGGCTGGGATAATATCTCACAATATCCCAGCCATTCACTTCACACACCAGGGCCTGAAGCCAACGAGGCCAACACAACAAATACCGACATGTCTACCATGTTCGGTACCGACCAAGGGATGTTCCAGCAGGACCCAAACCAGGAAACGTATAGTTTGATCTGCGACGAATACGACATCGGCCAGAACAGCGAGTGGGATGAATACTTCCACTCTGCTGTAGAAAACTCACAGCCCCACAACGGACTAGTGAGTCCCTCCCCTATCGCTCTAGACGAGAGCGAGATGAGAAGCCTTTTCGGGTCGCCTGTGCGCCAATACACACCGACCGAAGTCGTCTCACCGGCGCCCCTCCAACAATTGGAGGGGCAATTACAACAACCACGGGAGGAGGTTATCCTCCCATCTTTAACAATGTCGCTCCCGCAAGAAGGGTCCCAAGTCCCTTCTAGCCAAGAAAGCGGCCAGTCCCAAGCGACAACGGCACCAACATCGGGACAGGGGCAAAAGCCCCAGGCTTACCCCGAGGAATCTTACCCGACCCCAGAATCGACATCAGGGGGTCACGAAAGCGGCGAACCCCGCCCGAGGACGAGGAAGACCCGAATCGTCGGCAAGAACTCTTGCGAGTGTTGTCGGCGCTCGAAGGTAAAGTGCGTGCACGCGCCGGGCATGGTAAAATGCAAGCGCTGCGAGGCAAAGGGGTTCGACTGCGTCGTCAGCGGCATAGACAACCGAACCAACAAGTCGTCCCGCGGCGAACTCCACGAGGTCATCAACAAGAATCACGCCCTGATACAGGAGTTCGTCGCCCTCCTGTATCTCCTCAGCCCCCGGGGGGCGGGGTCGAACCAGGAGGAGCACGCGGAGGCTCTTCGTATGGTAAACAAAGGATGGAGCCCTACGAAGATCCTCGAATACTTCGACAAACCGGCTTCGGGGTTCTTCCCACTCGACTCCGTGCGGGAACTCACCAATCGCCGCGCCGCTTTCGAAAAGTTGGAGGAGAGAAGGACGGCGATCAGGGAGGCAGAGGAATATGGAAAGTGGGCAATGTGCGCTCTCTACAAGGCGTACAGCAGCGTCCGATCCGGTATGATATCGGACAAGTGCGTCGAGGAGATCTTGAGAGACGCAAAGTACGGCAGATTTACGCACCCTGCCCTTGAGGTGTCCGACGAGGAGAGGAGGAGCATCCTCGCTCCTGCGGTCACGGAGATGTACATGGGCACACCCATGCCTTCTCCCAGAACCGTCAAGGCCCTTCCGAACTACCTAATAGTTTAGGAGTGAGGGTCGATGACCAATGTCTCGATCCGTCAATGCCGCGGCTCTCTTGTCATCCTCATATCACCAACATTCTCTCTTTCCTTGGATAAGATACCCATCGCATCGCATACATTAGGAGTTCGGTATTCATTTTCGGCATGAGATACCCGGTTTAAAAGCAACGTTCAAATTCGGTTCAAAGGAGTTGGGAAGGGATATCATTTGGGCGTTCAAAGGAACTTGGGAAACCTCTCGGAGTGCAAGGAGTTTTGTATGGGACGTTTGAATTTCATGGGTCGGGACACTACCCGATCTCATGGCGGCTTCTTGAGAAAGTCAATCTCTTGAAAGGATACGGCGTTTGAAATGCAAAAATGCAGGGAAACCATTTTGAAATGCAGAAAGCAGGGAAATCAACGTGGAATGCAGAAAGCAGGGATATCCACTTGGATAACGAGGGAATGAATTGAGAGGTTTACCCCACCATATTGACGTCTTATCATGATTGTTGTGACTATCGTAAAGTAAGCTGTCGCTCATAGGTACCAAACACTTGGTCTTAATCGTAGGGCGCAACTTGCCATTCGTAAGACATTCTGACGCCAATCAATTCTCTATAATCGCCTAGAGATCAATTGCTTCCATTATCAATCACTTCATTGCCTACCTGCTATAATTGAAACTTGAACCTCTCGCCATCTTCTCGGGTGCAGAAATTAGTCACCTACATACCCATAACCTTTCCTCAATCTCATAACACAACGTATCGCAAACACAGCACATCCTATCCTACCCTTCTCAAAGAGACGTCCATCTTGAACTAGAAACATACCTAATAATTCCACGCCCTAAAAAATAGCCCCAAATCATCCCCAATCTCCAAACCTCACCCCCAATCAATGCGCCTTCTTCCCCTCCGCCTCAACAACGCGATCAAACCTCCTCATAGCAGGCAACCCCTCCACAAACGTCCCCAGCGTCCAAAGCCACCAAACCTTACTCCCGAACTCCACACTATGTCTCCTCAGCCTACCCCTCGCCATCCACCACGCCTCCCCAACATGACACACAATCACCGGCGCAAAAAGCGCGCGAACAATCCACTTATACCCGCTCGCGCCGCCCGGCCAAAACTGGTCTAGTAGCGCCCACACCTGCGTCTTCGGCACGACGAGGGAGTACGTCGCCGCGCAGACGAAATACGTCACCACGCCCGCGAAAGTGAGCAGTCCGAACCCCGAGGGAGGGGTGAAACTCGATACTCTGATAGGGCTGAGTCCGAGTTTCTGCTTTGCCTCCATGGCCATATCGACGAGGACGATGCGCGCGTCGTTGGCGTCTTTGAGGGGTGGGGTTATGGCCACGCTGTGTGTTCCCGACACGGACTTGATGGTCATGGCGGTGAGTGTCATGTCTGCGATTTGTGCGCCGCGGGCGGCGGATGCGGAGACGCCGTTGAAGGCGCGGAGGTACTCTTCTATTTCGCGGAAGTGGTCGCTGTTCATGTGTCCGATGATGCGGGACTTGTGGGGTTCGTTTATGGACATGGTGGCTGGGTTGGTGGGGGGTTTGAGTGTTTTTTTCTTGTTTAGGGCGAGGGGGGCGTATGTATGTCTGATGTGAGATGAGACGGGAGAGATGAGATGAGTTGCGTTTGAGCAAGAGATGATCTGATAAGATAAATAAGGCTGCAAGGAGGAGTCAAACGGAAAGATATTAGTTCCGACGGACCCGACGATGCTACCAAACGGAGCGGAAATATGCTGCGGAAGCTTGATGAAACGTCGACGACAACCAATTCTTTTGCTTCCCGTGAATTTGTTTGGAGGACGGTGAATGAGTAAATCGACCCTTAGAGCTAGGCAATTAAGGGAAACTGGCAACGGGTTAAGGATCAGATTGTGGGGCTTTCCGGGCTTTCGCTCGACTTTATTGGCTCCTTCTTTACGCGGAACTGCACGAGCAGACGGGTTAAGGGAAGCTACAGCCTGCATCCTGCAGGTGCCCGCGCACGTACTGGTCGAATTCTCTCCTTTTTAGTTGTTTTAGGAGATCTACACGGTCTTTATAACTATTACCTAATATCGTTATCGGAGTCGATGAAAACACCGACATCTACGTACGCCATACTAGGTATTGCGTGATACGCCATTACATGCAGAGCCTTAAATTTATGCTATACAACTATTGACGACGACGCCTAAACTTCAAGTACTGTCTTAACGAAGCCACAAATGCGAATACGAATGATCGAATACGAATAAGCGACTACGTCTCCCAAACACGTTTGCTGCATTCCTTTATGCACACTGAGAGTAGTATGGTGCAGACACGTCTTGACAGGTTAGTCCATCGGCACATGCCGTGCAGCCGGTATATCCCTGTCCACCGCACTGTTGATATCTCGACTGAGCGCAACCGGCCTCGCCGCCGGTACCAGCGCCAGCGCCCGATGTCGGCTTAGGGGCTGCCCCAATAGCGGTCCCGACAGGTCCGGATCCAACAGCGCATGTCTTCGCGCAGCCAGCCGAGCAGCCGGAGCCGGCCACCTTCGTGGTGCCGCTGGCGATAACGGCAGGTCCGGGGTTCACGTACGAGGATATCTTAGAGTGAATGTTGATCTGGATGCCGGGGTCACTGCTCTTAAGCGCACCGGGAAAGCTAACACCGGCTGGTAAGGCAGTAACTCTATTAGTGGCGCCGCCCGCAACTGTGATCTGGTAGCAAGAGATGTAGAACTGGGCACCGCCAGCGGAGGATGCCGTGTGCAAGGCGATAACTTCAGCTCGGAGGAGATAGTCTCCGTCAGGGGTATCTGCGGGGATTGGGACGTCCATCTTGCCACAGCAGGAGTTGAGGTCATTGGTTCCCCAATTATCTCCATCGCCCACTGAGCCTTTCGCAGACCAGGAGTCGGCGAAGATCTTGTACCACGGAGTCGATCCGTCGGCTTTCGAGGCGTCGGGAACCTGGCTCATGTAGACATTTACGGGTCCGTAGTGCGCTCCGCCAATGGCTTCGCTACCGCACTTTCGGTCGCCGGGTTGCTTTACAAGAGTCAGAAGGTTGTTGATAAATATTTGTACGGGCATCTCATACCGCGTGCATCTCGATCGTCACAGTGCTGCCTGGCTTCACCGCACATTTGCCTGCAACACCTCTGGTGCCTCCTACATTGCATCGAATGTCGGGGCTGTTAACGCTCGTAACCGGGCTGTTAGATGAGGGCATCCGGATACATTGACCGGCGTGCTGGTTAGATTAGTCTTCTGCCATTTAATATCGAGGCCGCGAGACTTATCATGTCGACGCCATCAACCCAAAGGGCTTGGAAGAGAGAATGCCCGGCCACATTGGTGGCACCTATGGCAGCAAGTGCGGCATAAAGTGAGGTTCTCATTTTGAAAGCTGAATGAGGCGCTTCCGACGATAGCACAGATTTGGACTAGGCTGGTTGGATCTTGTTCGGCGAGGCAAGTCAACTGACGATCCGGGCGAGTGGCCTAGATTTTATGCTTCCGGCCGCAGCTCTCCACCGTAGCGCGAGGTATAAACCAGACACATGATGGCTGTTAATATAAGGATCAATACATTCCGTCTGGTGTATTCGGCCAGATTCTTCATTTGAAGAAGTAGAATCCAATAAATTCGGTAGATATTATTGGCCCGGTTGATGGACCAAGGCTGCGGATGAATTCCCCAGGTTTCCCCACAATCACATCGCGCGCATTGTGATCAAGGAAACTCATCGGCAATGCGACAGCGCATCGAAGTAGGAGCAGAACCAGAAGAATAATTCCCTGGTAATCTATATTTGGCCCTGGGTATTTCGACGTTGCAGTTGAGCGGGAGACAAGCCTTCTAACCGAGAACTCGACTGACGTAGGTCCAAAATAAAATCCAAATCTCACCTGCAAGCTAAGCATATGTAACTTGCATCTCAAAAAGATTAGACCCCCGGGTTTCGTCGGTTCTTCGATATTGCCTCGCTTTCAACGGGATCAATATTCGGGTGGTTTGTGATAGGCGGCTTATATAACAATATGTGAGATTAACTGCGCGTTTGTCAGCTAAACTCACAGCTGCTGAATGCGAGCAGTGATGAGAATAGCTAAGCCATATCAATCCAAATCCGTGATGTAGGCTTAAACAGCGTCTACCCCTGCGCATAGCCCACTACGGCGTTAGAAGTTAGTTATGCATATAATATGCATGTCTCGGAACTGCTGAACAACCGCGATTCTTATCAGGTCTAGAAAATACTCACTCCCAATTTTCCACCAGCTGCCCAGACCCCGTTTCTCCATCCTTTCGCCGAATTCGGATACGGAAGTGACTTCTTCAAAGCCGGTATCACTTACAGGACCAGTCGCCCGGACGAGACTAGCAGCCGGTTTCTGTACGCATTGGAAGTCTTTATACCTCAAAGCCTGAACGCCGTTGACCCAGTTGCCGACAGTAGCTTCATCAGGACCTTCGGCGTACATGATACCCGGCGAACCGCCGCTTCTAACAAGTACCTGTAAATCGTATAACGCAGCGGCTTTCTTGACACGCGCGAGCTTTTTTCGGCTCGTTATGTGATGCGTCCGGATAAGGGTTACGAAAACGTTTGCACTCCGGCTCATCACGGTCCATAGCAATTAAATAATGTTCTAGGTAGGATTACAAAGGAGTTCAGAAGATTGGACGAAAGAATTGACACGGAGTTCGGGTCGGTTATTTCTCGGCAAATCAATTAGCTCCATTTAAACGGTAGCCAATCAGCTCTCTCGGGGATGACTAATAAGGTGAGTGTCCTAAGGGGTGTCACGTGAATGATGCCAACCAATCAACACTCCGTTCTCGAATATTATTGTTCTTAAATTCCTTACTTTTCACATATTTGAAATAATGGAATCAGGTGGGACCAACTATATCTCGGTTTTTTTTCGACTATTAATACCTATCGACCAGATGAGGATGACTTTGACGGACCTGTTGTTCTTTCTCAACAGGGAGGATGCTGAGTTACATTAATCGCCCCATGGGTCATGACTAAGCGAGAGACACGGGTCACGAATAACGAAGCGGTAGCCCTGAAGCTTGTCAAGCAGCATACAGATGTACCCGTTTCTACCCTATATTCATCTATGTTCTTTCTAGAAAATGAAGACGATTGGGGTTCTCTACTGATGTGCTGATTAGGTAAAGACCTGTGTCCGCCGCCGGCTCCGATTTTGGGCAATTATGCCCTGCGAGCCCGGATTTACGAATGTTATTGTCACTTCTTCAGCTGGCTGTACGAAGGCGCGCTCCCAGACATGTTGTCCCGCTCAAATGTTTCGGTGTCTACGCACGGAGATCTAATGCCGAGGAATATCATGGTCTAAGAGGACCGCATTATCGGCATCATTGATTGAGAGCCCGCAGGCTGGTTCTCAGACTACTGGGGATATGCAAATATAATAAAACCGTCGGCTGATCATGATTGGAAGTGATGGATGGTTCGGGCGAAGCAAAAAGAATGAGGTATTAACGGTATTGTAAAATCTAGGGAAGCCTTGTTCTAAATTTAAGAAAGATCTATCATCTTTCCTGTCGCTTTATAGGTACTAGTTTGGTAGGTTAGATGAGTGGGAAGGTAATGGTGGCTCCATGTTGGTACGTGACTATTAATGTTATTAGTAAACGCATAGGTACTTGAATATGATTTTCAACATAGTTGTATTGGTGTATAACTCCATGCTATATTATCGCCTATTGCGATTCTTTGATTGGGTTTCCAGCTAACATAGGTAGGTAAAGACCGGCAGAGAAGAGCACACAAGCGAACAGCATCGCTTCAACTCTAGCCAATATAAACATAAGGATCCTGGACTGGAACACCAGAGTTACTTGTAGAATGCTCTCAGCATCCGCCAAAATTGCGCTCGCGGAAGGCCGACATAAAACTATCGATGATATCGTGCGGTGTGGAATTTAGTGTAGTTGAGCATACGGGGACTCCGTTTCTGGTCAGGTAGATTCCTGGTAGTAGAAGTTAATATAAGTTGTATAGGAAGATATGGACATACATACCAAAGTATTCCACCCAAACATAATTATCATTGGAATAATTACTGCTTCGGAGTTGAAATATTTATATATCTAGGATTCCAAGAGACGGACGTAGAAATGCAACCCGTCAGCGACGATTTCCCTCTCTGTTCCGATTGCTGAAAATGGAACCCTGCACTAGCCAAATTCGGATCCTCTAACAGCATGTTCCCTCCTTATTATGTGAATTCCCTCGACTGTAAAATAAGGCCATAGGTAGATACTACCTAGTACTGATATACTAGTAGTAGCTAACGTTACACCATCTTTCGGACTATTCGAGGTTTGCTTCTGGCAATTTGAAATTGCCATACCACAAACGGACATGGATAAGCAATTTAGATTATTTGGAAACTCTGTATATCTCTGTGTAGGTATCATGGCTCGAGAGGAAGGGCTGTTGTCGATATCTCCATCGAGGATAAGATTTTCGAAGTCGAGAATAGATTCAGTCGGTACCAAGATGTCGGTAGTTGACTGTTTAAAATTAATAGGGGGGTTCACAGCTGTCATGGGCAGCATAGGTGGAATCGGATACAAAATCGTCTCTTTCGCCTTCAGTTAATTGGTTGTTGTAAGAAGTGGTAGTGTCAGCCGAATGGGGCCAATCATTTCGTCCGGGAAGGTCCAAAAACCCATGTGATATTCCTGTTGTGGTGTGGTCTTCGGGGTCATCGTACGTAGTGGATGGGCCAGAATTAGGAAGAGCTGACGATGACTCGTAGGGTACCGGGTTTGGATGATGAAAACCGGAAAGATTTAAGGTAGATGCAAGTGATTCGGATGGTTCTCCAAGTCTAATCTGGGCTAGGAGTTCGGCAGCCTGTTCATCAGTTCCAGTTTGCAAAACGGCGAATATGATGTCGAGATTCTGCAATCTAGCAGCATCAGAGTCGCTCATGAGTTGTAGTTTGGCGATATCCCGTCTGTTTACCTCGTATAGGCACGTATCGCCGGTTTTCTGGCATCTACCACATTCGGGTCGGATTCCATCACACTAGGCCTTCAGCATCGGATCCCTAAGTCTTGTGCACAGTTGAACATCAAAGACGCAATCTGCTTACCTTCGCCTTCTTGTTTTTACACGGAGAGCAAGCCTATGACGAGGGTGTGTTATGGATGAAGGGACTTTTCCGAAGTGTACTAGGTATGAGAACCTCACATACGTTTCTCGTTATATTTTTTCTAGCGCCTTGGGCAGGAAGGGAGACGTGTGGTTCGGTACCAGGCCTCGCCGGTGCTGGGGCAAGCTTCTTGAAACTCCGTGGCTCCATGTAGTAGTGGAAGGCATAGGTAAGTCCTATGTATTTCAGAATATGTGGATAGGTGATAGAGAATGGAAAGAATCGAAGATCGTCTAATACGAGCTGAACCAATCAGATGGATAAACTGTTGAATACAAACTCGATAAATTGCTTGTGACATGATCTTTTCTAGGGATGATGGCAACGTGGAGCTACTTAGGGAAGGGTCGCCAAATTCTCTCGGAGCGCGCTCCGAATACCTAGTAGCCAATGGATGAACACCTAAGATCCCACCCGTAGACTCGGTCTCACGGAATATTACAGGGATCGAATTCTCAATCGATGGATTGCGCCCGCATATGGTTACTAAACTACCTGTATTTCATTGCTATTCTTTTTTTTTTAAAAAAAAAATTCTAAGCAAGTCTTGGAACATTTGATATGTGGCAAGTAAGATGTATGTCTTATACGTCCCTATGTACGCAACTTACCAGAAACAATAGTCCGAGCGGCGATTAGTTGACCTACCTGTCACCGGACCGCCGGGTACCGAGACGACCCAGAACGGAGTATCAACCCGGTTCTGATGGGGTTCAATACGGCGGAGCCGCGCTTCTACTTTCGAAGCCAAAATATCCGGGAAACAACAAAAGGTAAATGAAAATGGAGAGGAGAATTAACACCGGGTAGAAAAGGAGGCGCAATGTTATCGCTTACCTAATCTCTCCTTTTTCTCCTCTATTTCCTTTATAATCGTCAATTCTACAAGCATTCCAAAGTTCACAATTCAATATGACATAAAGGAAATTGGTTGAAGCTCATTTCTCCGGTATAATTGACCAATATATAGCGAGAAGAGATTGCTAACTACTTAGTAGTGACCTGCATTAAGCCCTATTGCAACCTTTAACGCTCTATAAGAGCTAATCAACGACAATGACGTTTTCCGCCAATTCTTGCGTCAACCGTCGGTAACTCTTGGTAACCCCAATCCATATTTAAAAGTATTTACTGGGTATATCAAGTTTTGAGTACCTATGGATTCGATGTTTCTCTCCTAGGCGCGAACGGAACAGGTTTAACTACGCAGATCTCCAGGTTTATCGATATTTAAACCGTATTGGGTAGGTTTACCATTCTTTTTGTTCCATTGTCTACAATGTAGTACCGATTCCTTGGTTTAAATATCATAATTGCGATATATTGACTTGATTCATCATATTCCGGCACACTCTAGTCGTGGTATTAGACCATAGATCTTGTGCCTATAATAACGTATTACCCTAGGTAACTGGCCCACTGCCGCCATCACCATGTATACCTACCTAGGTAGGTAAGTACCATATTGCCGAAGCGAGTCTTATCTTGGTTTGTTGCCGGGTTTTTAGTATCAGACCGCCGTCAATGGCGCTACCACCCTACAGCCAGAGAGAAGACTTAAAGCCTAAAGACTTGGCGTCTCGACACTTCGTACTTTATGTAATAGGTTATCCCCGGCACAAAACTAGATGGAAGAAAAAATCAGCTGAAATCAAATGAACCAGAAGTTAAGCGCAGCGTATTGAAACATAAAGTGGATGACTTGCGGTTAAAATTTCTCGGCCTTGATCAAGAAGTTCTAGAACATAGGTACCTACCTACCTACCTAGTACCTATCGGCTGAAAATACTCGGGCGTCCAGAAATATATCTGAAGCCGCCAGGTACTTCGCTTAATCTAGGTAGTATTGAGGTACCAGATAGATCTGTTCGAATCCAATGTCGATCGTTCTTTTCGGGCCGGCAGGCGGGTCTCAATGGTGAAGGATTCCCGACATGGATAAGTTTATTTCGTGGCAATGTTGATTTGGAAATCAAATTACCTCGGAGACAGCAGGTTTATACTGACTTGATTGTATTTTTTATATACACGGAGCGACTAGCTCACACGCTTGGATGCAGCCGGTGATGGTCCAGGTAGTACCAACGTGGCGAACCTAGGAGAAATTAGTGATATTACCTATTTGGTGGAGCTCCCGGATCTGTCCCCGGCCCTGTGGCTTCCCGGTGTCTCATAGCCACCGAAGGGGCGAAGAAAAACTTCTTCATTATAGTTGTTTCATAGTTGGGAAGACGCAAGGTCCATATACTCTTCGCATTAGCATATGTAGGTAGGTATACCACTATAGTTAGCACTATAGTTAACACTATAATTCGTATTCTGGGACATTCACCCACCATATCCCCTTGGAGACCAAAGAACGTAAAGATTGACATTATAGATCCAGCGTGAACAATACCTAAGTAAGTAACCTTGTACCCAGATATTCTTAGCCTCTGGTCGGATATCCACATCTCCGTGGAATCGATACCTAGGGTACAGACATCCGCCGAAGTTTTAATGACACTTCCAATGCTAAAATGTAGGTAGGTATTTTATTCTCAGACTGAGGTTATTTGGAGTGCTTAACTATTCGTCCCTTGAATATGCCATAAAATAACTAAAAATAGTCTGATTGGATAAATGTGGCAAATGGACACAGGAAATGCTTTCTGATTACAGTAAGACTATCCTGTAGGTATCTGCCAATCTGACAAATACCTAGTGAAGTACTTGGTCAGTTGCCTTTGGCATATTTCAAGGCCAGTGTCCCAAATTTTCGTAATCTGATGCAAGTTTTCGTAGAAGCGCGGGTCATACAAAGGCGTTGTCGGCAACTAAGATAAATTCATTGATCTGTGATGGCGAGCGAAGCCTGTCCCAGTATTCTCGCTGTTTTGTAGTGCAGGCGCCACATTTTGGACCCCCTAGCCTTCCAGATTTAACACCCCCTGATTGCTAGATGTACCCAATCCGGGCTTAGGTAGCTACATACACTATGAGAGAGTACATCTACATAACGAGTAAGATGCTTGTGTTTTTATCAGGTAGAAAGGTACCATAACTCCCTCCCTTTGGAAAAATTGACTCTATAATAACAGCCACAACCACCCAAGTTCCGATCAACCTTCCTCAGTGCTGAACGCAGGATCGTTCCCCCGTATTTTGAACACTCACCCTCCACATGTCGAACCCTTTGCGACCACTGTTGCCCAACTCTCCCAATCCTCCTCGACCCGAAACCTCCTTACAGTCCCAACACCGCCCCAAGAGAATAGCCACCCCGGCAGCTTGTGAAGCATGCCGAAGAAGAAAGAGCAAGGTCTAGATCTTTCTATCTCGCCCGGGATCCTTGGCTGAAAACTGATTAGATGTAGTGTAGTGCTGAGCGGCCACGATGCTCTGTCTGCATAGAAAGACAAACTCCATGCGAATATACAACTCTCCCGACAGAAACCCACCTCAGAGCGCAAAAGCGTAAATTAAGCGGCCTGGAGATCAGATGTCAAGCATATGAGGATCTTGTTGGCATCCTCCGGTCTCGTCCCGAGGAAGAGATTGCTCATGTCATTCAAAGGCTTCGGACGGGTGAAAATGTCCAGGCCATTGTAAAGACAGTTCAGGACGGCGATCTCCTACTCCAGCTTTCGTTCAAGCCAGAGCTTCGATTCCGGTATGAGTTCCCCTACAATCGGGAGATGCCACACCATTTGAAGGAATCGCAAAATCCATACATCCAATCTCTCCTGTACGAAAGGACAGTTACACAAACGGTTCAACCGCCAATGTACATCGAAACGTTGAGGGACATCTCGGACGAATCTCAAAAAATGTACCTTGCGCCATACCACACCGTCGAATTCCATGATTCTCGAATATCATCCATATCCGTGTCGAAATGGACGGCCGTTTCCTCAGACAACCCAATGTTGCGTATGCTCTTGCAGATATACTTTATCTTCGAGTTCCCCTCCCACTCATGCTTCCACAAGGACTATTTTCTCGAGGATATGTTTGTTGGTATAAACCGATTCTGCTCGCCTTTGCTGGTGAACTCTATCCTTGCTATCGCATCGGTAGTAACCACCCCCCCTTTTCCCTTTTTTCCTTGAATAATCCTAGCGACCATCTTCACTAACATTCTAGAAAGCATGGATATACTCGGATGAAAAACAGGGCCGAGTATTGGCAACCAGATAATCTTGCGTATCGATTCCTCTCCGAAGCCCTCAGACTCTTCGAACTAGAACAAGCGAATCCAACGATCACCACAATCCAAGCGGCGGCTATCATCAGCATGGCACATAATTTCAATGGTGTTGATGAGCTAGGCTGGGGTTATACACACAAGTCTCTTGAGATGGCCCGGAGGATGTCTCTTTTCTCGACGAGCCTCGACGAGAGCACGGAATGGCAGGTGGTAGCGGGAGTAACGGCTTGGTGCCTGTTCAACTTGCAAGCGTATGATTTTCGTAGTTCTCTTTCTAGGTACCTGCCTTCGGAGGGTACCGTAGCGAGATAATTATACTTACATATACCTATGTCAGACTCGCAACCTTCCACACATTCAAACTACCGATCATAATAGATCCGCCAAATCGACCACTTCCCGATGCCGATGAAGAACCTGCGTATTACGGAGAAATACTCGTAAAATATCCTCTCGGGCAAGAGCCAATACGCGTACATTACGGCTCGATGTTCAAGGCCGTCTCCCAATTTCGTATCATTCTGAACGAAATTACGAAAGCGTCTTTCAGCTTTTCTCGGACATATAGCCCGATATCATTGGAAGCTGCCATAAGATTTAGATCAAGGCTTCTTACTTGGTATGAAGACTTACCAGAGCCGCTCCAAGCTCGCCATATCGTGTTACCTTGCCACCTCAAGATACAGTGGGTTCATATACAAATATCAAATTTTGCAGTCGTTTCTGTTGCTAATAACTCGTAGTATTCACTATCATATTCTACTTATCAGTCTTTTCGAGCCACATCTGCAAATAGATGATGTACACGACGGGGTAGACCCGGGTATGATTGTCGCCCACTCCAAAAATTGCTTTGAAACTCTCATTAGAGTCTACTATCTACGGCACGGGTTCGAAAGTCTGGATACTGCCCTCGTCCAATTCTTGCATCTGTTGGGGTTCAGTGCTCTAAGAGACAGCTCAGCAACCGAAAACGACCCAGCGACACGTGAGGCCGTACGATCTACACTTATGCTTTGTGCTAAAGGGCTATGGGAACAGGGTCAGAACTACTACCTATCAGAGGCAATCTTCCGTATGTTCAGGCAATCCATGAGCACAGAAGACGTCGCCACCCTTAGAGAAATCATCGAGGTCGATGATGGCCATGGTCCGCTAAATCTCATGGCCCAGGAATTACGGTCTCGGTGGCCCATCGGGATCTTTAGTATGACAGATTACAACAAGGATTGCACACTCGACCACTTCACCCACTGGTGGCAGCAATACTTACAGGAAAGACCCCAGGAAGTTTCCTCGATGGAACAAGACGGGTCTATTGTCCCGCCGCGATATCCCCAGCACTACGACATAGGGGCGAGAAAATCACGCGAGGAGATTTCGAAATAGGCATCGGCCGTCTGCAAATTTATCTAAGAAGGACTAAGTATATGCCTGATGCGGAAATATAATGGCTGATTGCGCTTGTATGTAACAATATGGTCGTTTACGTTTATCGACATGTCGAACAACTTTCTGACATTTTCCTTTGGCGGTCGACATATTGTTACATCAGGACCAATCAGAGTGAGATCGCGCTCTGTGACGAGGAGTTCGACCCCCGCTATTATCCTTGGCGCATACATACTTCCGACTTCCGCCACACCCACTCCCCCAAGAATAGAGGGGCCTAGCTTCCCTAGCTTGCCTAGTTGCCTAGCTCCCGCAGGACCGATCGAGATGGCAACTCTGCTAGCTGTGGATGAAAATATCTAACTTTCTCACTCTTTCTTCTTTTCTTCGATTCTTTTCTTCGATTCTTCTTTCGACTATCGTTACTCTCTTACGTACTGAGAAATTTATTTGTCGTAACAGGATGAGTAAGCGGAGATGCCTGACGCTGTCACTACTTACCCTACTTGCCTACCCCTATTTTCTATCTTTCGTCTGCCTTTTAGTGGTGTTGAATTTCAATTCCTACAGGGTTCTTCAGCCAGTAACTACCTATATAATTTGAGATGGAGGCATATAGGGATTAATGAGCAGCGAGTACGTTTTGTCATTTATCAACATGTCATAACTGAGCCAACCACGGTCTAGACTATTAAGTACCCATATCCGTTCTCCTCTCTTAGTTCATTTGTTCGGCTCACGTCGTACACGATTAGAACGTCACTAACTGGCGGTATACCGGTGTACCAATTAGGAGAAGGGGGGAAGCCTCCCGGCGACTTTATGCGAAGGCAACGTACTAGGAATGATGCCGGAAGCCACATACCTTGTGGCTGCCTGTACTCGTACCCAAAACGAACACGTTACCCAAAAATCAATCCAGGCCTCCGGTAGATTAGGAGGTATAGTTAATCAGACAGTCGGAGTCCCACAAACGGTCCAGATCCGATCAGTCCCACAACCCACAATTCACAACCGCGCCCGACCGGTACTGTATCGTAATGACCCCGAGCGTAAGTCAGATGGATAACATGGCGATCGCGACCGAGGCACAAACTAGGCTGCTAGGTACCTAGACAACTGCGACAGGCAACAGCCATTCGTCTAATAGAACTGCCGTGTAACCGTACCTGCTAGGTACCTGCCTAGGTACATATACATATGTAATTACATATCAATGTACAATACCTACTAGGTATTTACTGAGGAGATATATGTACCTACATAGGGTACCTAGATACACGGATACGTTAATATGTAGTAACTGATATTAACGTCCGAATGCCGTTTTCTGCCTTAGGCCAAAATGGATACTCAAGAGAGCACATAGTCATGAAGGGACAAAATTCAATGCAACTATATTACATCATTCCGTGCCTGCGGATTATATATAGGTGCGTGGTCACCGTCGTAAACGCTACCACTTCCATCGTAAGGTGTGTCGGTATTCGCACTGGCCTTCCAATGCTCGCGAACGAGGTTGAGGACGGGCTGTCCGCCGGCACCGACCAGCTGCAAGTTTGGTGGAGGGATAGCCGTCAACCTAGTGGTGTGATTCCTGTTGAACGCACCAGGATATGATACCGAATTATTCACAGTTGCTATGTTCGATGGGTCTTTGTTGTCATAGCCCGTCACATCGGCGACAAGCTTAAAAACATTAGCGCCTACGTCGAATCTTCCGAGATTCGGCAAGTCCCAATTATTTTCGGCGGTGGCGAGAATGGAGAAGTGGGTATAAAACGTATTGTCTTCGGTCCCTTTAAGACTGTTCGGAACGGCACTGCCAAGTAAGAGGGACACGATTCGATTCGGCTTAGAATAATCCTCCGTTTCATCGTATGTAAGTTGAATCAAAGTCTTTTCCTTAAAGACCCCATCAACTAACAACGGGAGAAGGAACTTGTGGGCCCACTTAGTTGCATAGTCCAACGTAGTGTTATGGCCGTCGTTCAACATATCCGGAGACATCATCACAAATTGCGGGACAGTCCCAGCCGCAAGATCATTCTTGAAATCTTCGAATGAGAGTAGGTTCATCAACCTGCTCCCATTCTTGTTAACAGAATCGTAGGAAACGAACGGGCTGTGCCTAAGATTAGCTTACTACACTATCAAAAATGTTTTAAAGAGAAAATAGGGGTTTGGCGACCTACTTATGTTTCCTAACATAATCCCACATTCCGTTAATATCATAACTACCTTCCGCCATGTAACCAGGACCGGGGTTTCCTTCGAAATACCCCCTCCATGAAATACGTTTTTCATCAAAAAGATCAACGACAGTGGAGACATTGGAAGGAATACGAACAAACTCATCATGGTCTAAGCCGAAGTAATCGCCTCCCACGGCGGCGATGTAATTTGGCTTTCAAAAATCAGCCATGTCTCTCTAACGATGGAGTCGTCGCGCATGAGAGGAATGAGCTAATGTCAAAACTAGCTGAGCTGAGTGAAATAAGGTAAATGGCTAACCTGACTAGGATGAGTTTGTGCATAATATCGAGTCTGCAAGATACCAAATCGTTTTAGGTCTGCAAAATCTGGATCCGCAACGACTTTTCCGAAATCCTACGATCATCCGGGTCATTAGCGCTCCGCTAGGTAAAGGAATAGTGGTGCATTTCGCGAAATATGTGAAATCACGAAGCTACGAACCTGATTCTCGAGCCAGATGCTTATGAACCTATCAAAGGCTTTCCCGGGGACTATAGCAGCATGAACAAAATGCGAGCAGAAGCCCAATAGGCCTATGGTTAGTGAAAGCATTATGATCCAACCAGACTACAGTTAGCTCAGTATTTACATAGAGCACCTAGTCCAGTACCTAGTACGATTGATCATGGATTGATATATCTCGTCAGGTACGCGACTACTTAAAAAAACAGAGATTCAATCCAACGCGCTGATATGAGAAAATATCATCATGAAAAGCGAACATCGGCATACACGTGGAAAAACAACAAGGGGGTGTTCACTGAAACATGCTTGTTGATTGATGCATTCCGAGAAAGTGATGTGTCAGATACCGGAGATACCGCCAAAGCCACGATACTACTTCAGCCACACCAAATACCACACCACTATGTGGCTTTGCCGCTTTGTAACGAAGGTGCGGTTGACATGCAGTTGGTTGGCACCTGGCAGTTGAGCAAACTTTAGTATTAGTAAGGCACTATAATAGGCACGTGACGTGGTACCATCCTTCCTAATCCTCCAGCCGCCTTTTCTTTGTCGGAAGCGTGGAAGTTGTCGTTGTGTCAGCTTTCCTCCTTCGTGTGCCCTAACCCCCAAGGTGTCAAGACGTTTGTCTATTTCGAGGTCGCGCGACAATCAAGGACTTTTATTTCGGAACAATAGAAGTTAATTACTCGTCAGATCAGGCAACTTTCGACGTCATGGCCTAAAAAGTTGGCGCATTTACGGATTACTCCCTGACAATCTACGGCGTTTAAGTCCGAGATCCGAACCTTCGTCTCGGATTTCCGAGAAGCTTACCTTCTCAAAAGTTGCTTGATCATTCACTCACTTGTCCCCGATGTCTCAGTAAGTAACAAAAGAAATGATCCAATTTCATTTTATCTTGTTTCCCTGTTTCTAATTCTCTTTATTGATCTTATCAATCTAGCAAATTTGATCTCCCTCGGGGCTTTGCCAACTTGCGTGCAATACCATATATCCGTGGATTCACTACCGGAACAATGGCAGACGCCCAGGCTAACAACATGCCTCCCGTACAAGAGGATGATGAGAATGATCATGATAGCGGACATGAAGAACATAGTCAGGGTCCAGCTCGGAAACGTCAGAGAGTCAGACTGTCATGCTTAGAATGTCGTCGTCGAAAGCTTTCATGCTCTAGGGAGCTGCCATGCGATCGCTGCATCAAGTCCGGTACACCCGACAGGTGTACTTATGAATCGAGGCCTGGCGCAATCGCAGCACCCGCCCCCGTAGGAGACAGATCATCTCTTGCGCCTGCTGCTCCTCCTCCGGTAATGTTTGGTTCTGACGTTCGCCGTCCGTCTGTGAACCTCCCCGCAGCGCGTCCTAGTGAGTCCTCGCTGCTCAGAGACGCTGCACGTGATCATGAGCGAATTCGTCGTCTTGAGCTCGAAGTCGCTCAATTAAGAGGGACTTTATCATCGAAGCAATCTTCACTTGATGGAAGCACTATAGTAGCCTCGCCTTCAACTTTTAAGGATTCGGTTAAAGACGGTCAATCTGTGCCATCTAATCCTTCCTTCACTCCACAAAATATCGATGCACCTGAGTATCAACACCTACGAGGACACGACTTTAAGACCAAATACTTCGGCCCACACAATGCCTGGTCTTCACTCCAGGAACTCACCGGCATCTTTGGCTTTATGAGAGAGACGGCCGAGGAATGGCTTAAACCCCTCAATATTCAAAAGAAGGACCGCAGGAAGCGAAAGGAAGACCGCGAGAAGAAAGCTACTGAAGGCGATATCGTTCTAGAGTCGCTGCTCCCCTCTAAAGAGGAAACAGATGCTCTAGTCGCTGTCTATCTAGACCAGTTCGAGCAGATTCATCGGATCGTTCACATTCCTACCTTTAAAGCTGAGTATGAGGCGTTCTGGGATCCTTCTAAAACGAAAACCGCCTCGTTCACAGCCCTTGTACTGTCTATGAGTGCTGTCTCCTGTTGCCTTGACATGCAATCATCTAGCAAATTTGTAGGCGTCAAATCCAGCTCAATTCAGATGGCCGAGAAATGGGTCAGGGCTTGTGATGAGTGGTACGAGCGACAAAGTCAAAAGCATCGCAAGCTGGTTCATTATCAAATCGCCAGCCTGCTCTTTCTTGCCAAGAAGGTCAATCTCATAAAGAAGAAGCGGTTTTGGACCACATCTGGAAAGATGATCCGTGAAGGACTTGCGATTGGACTTCACCAAGACCCCGATCATATAACGGCGAAAATCTCTCCTTACATCGCAGAGATGCGACGAAGATTATGGGCTACCATGGTCGAGTTTGACGTTCAGTCGTCGTTTGACCAAGGGCTCCCAACACTTCTCTGCTCAGTTCATAATGATGCAGATACGCCTAAGAATATCGAAGATGACTCTTTCGATGAGAACTCACAAGATCTTCCCGTTTCACTCCCGGCAAGCCATTATACACATACATCATACCAAAATATCAGCCGCCGAAGTCTCGCGCTTCGGGTTGAGCTCAACAAGATATTGACGGGACCGCCAGTAGAGCTTGAATGGGAACAGGTTCTTCAGTACGGTGACATGATTACTCATGAGATTGATCAGCTGCCGGCATGGGATCTGGAAACTGATAAGGATTCGGAACAAAAGCCGATCCTAGCTCACACCTTACTACATCTCCAGCTCAGGCAGTACCTCATTCCACTGCATCAACCGTACCTAAAACTTAGGAAGTTCAACTCAAAATACCAGACGGCAGAACTCATATACTACACTGCCGCGCGGGATATCGTTATGATGCATGATAGGCTCTACCAGAAGGGAATTCGGACCTTGTATTTCCTTCGTGAGGATACGATGAATTCCGTCATCAATCTTTGCAATGTGACATTACACCAGCCAAAAGGTATAAATGCCTTCACGCACTGTTTTTACCAATGAGACTAACAAGATACGCTTAGATTCGATGAGTTTGGTCATGTCAAATGCACAGGAGACTCTCAGGCTCATCGAGAGATGCATCACGATGAAGGAAGACCGTGTATTAAGATGTGGAAATAATGACCCGTGGGGTTATTCATCGATGTGCGCAGCTTTCGGCCTCTTGGAGACTCATATGGGAATCAAGACGGCGGATGCTGCCAAGGCATCGGCGGCTGAGCGGTTTATCGGGTTACACTATAGGTTGCTGGCGTTCCAAATTCCACCATACCCCAACCCGTCACATTCTCATTCTACTTCGCCGCAAGCAGCTCAGGATCCAATCAGCCGAGCTAAGGTATTTATGACTCCTACCTTGTACTCAAGCCGTTTCTAATAATCGTTTACAGTCTATCACTCCATTCCCCATGGACGCGACACCATCAATGGCAATGGCTACCACGCCTTACCAACAGCGGGAAGGCCTACCAATGTCGATGCCATGGTTATTACCTGCGTCAGATTCCAGCCAAATTCCGGTCCCAAACCCCGATTTCAACTTTGAGATGCTTGGCTCCGATCTCAACGACCTGTGGGGGGATTGGGGTGGTGAATTTGCGTGAAATGGCTTCTACGGATTTGTATAAGGAATCTTTTAAGGATAATGGTTTAATATTATGGATGCTAGGTGTTGGCGGTCTTGTAGAAACATGAGTTTAGTCACCTTTCACTTATGTAAGGGACGGAAAATATAGCTAAGATACCCTGATGCCCGATATGAATTGATTGAGCACGAAGGCTAATTATTCTATATACCTTTTACACACTGACCTAAGCATGTCAAATTGTCTCTAAAGATCTATCGTTCTAAATTCCGCCGGATTCAACAAATATTTGCGCTAGGTAGGCAGCGATACTGCGTCGTGTTATCTCAATCCGGTCATTCTTCCGATGATCTTAGACACAGCCCCGCGGGGACTGCAGTGCGCCTCAGATGAACGGCAAAATACGCTACTCAATAGTTCCTTGCAGGGTTCGAATCCTTCGACGGTCCGGGTGCAAGCCACTTGTCTCGCCAAAATGCCCCGACCTGGCGACTGGCAAATTTTTCGCGTAACACAAAATTAATTAAAGATTGGTTTTTTGTTTGTCTTGATTTCTGCTAGAAAAAACACCGTCATATAGATTGAATAGCTGTCATAGCTATCATGAACTAAACTGGCGTCGCAATGCAACCAGGACAACGGGAGGACTATATTAATAGGGGGTTCTCTAGTGCCGGAGCCGGTAAAACTCTCCGTAGGGATAGCCCACGACCCCAGTATGCGGCCAAATTCAAACCCGACTTGTCAATCGTCACCTCCCTAAAACTTGTCGGCGAAGTGGAGTGAAGGAAGAATTACATAAGTCTAGGCACGTCAAAGCAGCAAGTCCACAGGAAGACCGCGGTTGCCCTATACGAACGCAAGGGAAGCCCTATCGGATTAGGAATTAATTAGAAATCGCCTTCCTAGATTTTCTACGCTGTAGCAAAAGATCCAAAGCGGGTCGCCGTTGCCAAGTGCCCTGCTACCACCTATCCGGGTAGATGCCTGGGTAGGTGCCAGGCATGATGCTGCCGTCGGGTTTCCTAATGCTCTAGCTTAACTTTAAATAGACAACAATCACTTTTCAAAAGTAGCAGAATTGTGACCGTGATTTCCTTACTCTTTGGAACTTCTTGTCAAAGTCGATCGCATATTCATAATTACATTAACCACTAAGAGAACGCCTACCATTACAATATTTAACCATGGCTTCATATCTCGGCCTAGAGAAGAACATATCCTACCACACCGTCAGTTGAGATCACCTTCCAAACCCCAACTAGGAAAACCAAACTCACACCAATCTAGATCCCCGCAGCAGTCGTCCTAGTATGACTTCTCCTACCACCAAGACATACGAATGTCCTCCAGACAATAGATTGCTAACCTGCCGCGAAAACCAGGCCTTGCTGCCGAGAGTGTACTCCGGTCTCACGGGCCCAGGCAAGAAAGTCTTCGACGGGAATAACCCGCGCCTCTTCCCACAGGCGTTAGAGAAGTCCGATCTCGACAAGAAAGTAAGTTTCGAGCCTTAACCAGACCAGTTTTAACCATACCGAACACCCTAAATCCATGCCACCGAGACCCGTCACCCCGTAACTAACACGAACCGCAGTTAAAAGGCCGTCTTCAACGCGCCGAAGCCGCATCTTCAAACGGCTTCGAAACCCTCGGCTTCTATGCGGCTGCCGTGACGGCAGGTAACGCGGGGGGTGTCTCTGCTGCGACCTTAAATAACCTGACCCTGGGGTATCTGGCCAGCCGCGTGTTCTATACCTGGATCTATATTTGGGGTCAGGAAAACCGCAAGTGGATCGTGGCGCGACCCAATGTGTGGGGTGTGGGAATGGCGCTGTCAATTACGATGTTTGTGTTGGCTGGGATGAAGGGGAATTAGGCGGAGTATTGAATTGGGAGTTGTTAGGTACCTATGTGGTGGACATAACTTGGTTCTATCGCGGTTAGGTAGGTATTAATAAGGGGTGTTGGTTAACTGCCTAGGTGATCTAAGCCGTATGGATATGAGGTATCTTGAGACGTGTAAAAAGACAAACGTACCTCGCCACATATAATAAAAGTATATATTATGTACCGTATATGTACCTACCTGGTACCTAAAGTATGTGCGTGAAAGACACTTAGGTAAGATGAAAACTACCGTACGTCTATTTCGAGGTAAGTAATTGACACTAGGAAAAGGGGTTAACATCTCACAGCACTTCCTCTCTTCGTCTCACTCCCTTAACCCAAACCCCAACCCTAACCACACCCATATATATTTCCTCCCCAACCCACCTCTACTTACCTTCCTTCAACAACCCCTCCAGATAATCCAACCCCCCAAGCAACATCCCCAGCGGCTCCCTCCTCTCAATCTCCTTCTTAAACTCCTCCGCCCCCGCCCCCTTCCCATCAACCCCGAACCGAGCCCCAAACGCGCCCACAAAGTTATCGTACGTAGTATCCGGCTTCTCCCTACAAATCCCACACATAATCTCCTTCAACTCCTCGCTCCCAAACCCTTTCATCGGGAACGCGGCCAGCACCTCCTTGTACTCCTCCACTGAAATCACTGCCCCGTCTCCGGGGGGGAACTTGGGGCCTAGGAAGTCCGCCATGATGCCTAGATGCGCGAGCGCGACTTCTGGGCTGGGGTGGTGCACTGCGATGGATGGGGTGCAGTGGAGTGCGATTGCGTCCCAGACAATGTTTCTTCTATGCCCATCCCATCCCGTCTCTTGACCCCTTTCTTTAACGTACTGCCCTATAAACGCGTACGCCAGATTCGCGCCGTCGACTTCGAATCTCTTGTCTATCGACCGGAGTTCCTTCGTAGTGGCCCATCCCATATCGTGTAAGATTGCAGCCAAGACCACGGTTTCGATATTCAGCTCTTTTGGATGTGGTTGTTTGGGAGATAGAGATGGAGTTGGGGATGGGGATGTGAGAGAAGAGAAGTTAGGAAGCTTCTTGGCAAGGATGAGCGCCCAGTACGCGGCGCGGATGCAGTGGTTATATGTCGCCTCGGTGGTGTGCTGTTTTGTGTATTCGAGGGCGGCGAGTGTGATGGGGGAGTGAGGGAAGCTGATGCCGATGTTGGGGAGGTCTGGGAAGGGGGTTTGAGAGGTAGACATTTTCTTTGGGGTGTTGTAGATGGTGTTTAAGTGAATGGCAATGATAACAGTGAGTATGGGAGTTAAAGGCTTATGGTTACATGAGTTTGGGGAAAGAAATGAGGTGGAAGGGGAAATAGATATATACCTCAATGGCCGGATATAAACAGTTTCTGAGGTCGACCGGAACTACTTACCTTGACTGATGCCAAGCATCTCAAACTATTTTCATAACCTCTATAAACGTCACATTTGAAGTAAATACTGAAGCCGCCAGCAATTATTCTCGTCGGAGCTCCGTGGTGTTGTACAGATCCGCGTCGCCATTGCTCTTCCTAATAGGTCCCACCCAACGCCCCATTTCCTAACCTCCGATCCTGATCGGAGACAAGCACATATGACGTACATGACTGGATCTAAGCGGGCCATCCTTCCAGCCGTATGCATTATGGCTGCACCGGAAAGGGATACCGGCGCTGTATTACTGTCACGACTGACGGTGAGCAACCAATGATACCTACTAGACTCCGGATTCAGGTGCTTATTAATGCTAACTGGGGTAGCTGACTCATAATACACGCTCCCTTCTACACAAACCCCGCCAGTATACCTCCAATACACTAATAATACAATTCTAAACCCCGAGTTCTCGTCTATCTATAACCCAGGCTCTAGCAAGTACGTAGTTGTAGAATGTAGTCCGCGTTAGACGCGCTCTTAAAACGCCATTCCGCATACCGTATCCATGCCTAGCCGCCTAGTCTAGATAATCAGATATCTACACGGTTGGAAACCAGCCCACCAACGCTAATGCAATACCGGCAACCGAATATAACTTTTTAGGACCGTCCATTACAATCTAGCCTGCCAAATGCAGGTAATTTTAGAATCCAAAACTGTCTAGCAACGAGTTGGCGTCCGGTTCTTCGAACACGCTCGGTGGCGGGTTGACACCATGGCTTCCCGTCTTCATTTCCCCTGGAGCGAGAGATGACATAGGCATGTCTTGTACAACTAATGAACTGCGACGTCGGAGCAATTTTCTGGGATCGATTTCTCCGCCAAAGCTTGGTTCCGCCGATGGTGGTTGCCGGAGGAACTCCCAGTTACGGACTAAAAAGTCAGCTAATAGTCACCATATTATAGAATTTTAGAATCTTTGACTCACCAAGGTCAAGGCCTAACAGATCGCACCCCATACGATCGTAGAGTCTTGCGTTGTGTAGAATGAATTCCCACTCCGTCCTCGGCATCACCTTCGACGCTCCACGGAGAGTCTGTAAGGTCTTCTGTCGAAGTTGGGAATACAATACAACCAGAGCTGGATCATCAGTTAAGAAGAGTTTGGCATCCAAGTTACTTGACGAGGCCGGGGATTCCAATAGCGTGTAAACGGGTGTCTTGATGAAATTAGCTTGCCATTCGCGCAGTGAAATTGGGTGAGAACTAACAATCAGAGCGCGAACGGCCATATCTCTCCGCTTCAACATCCAGAACGCCCATGATGCGAGCCATCTGTTGCCTTCCTGAGCCGCAACAGTGAGAACTTCATTCTCAAGTAACCTTCTTAGTATCGGCCCACTATCGCCTTCGTACACTCTTGTAATGGCAATGGCGAGCTGAAGATCCTTGATCTGGTTCAGACAGATATTTACCGCATCTTGTAAGTGATTCGCAAGAAGGAAGAAGGCAGCGGCATATTCTGGACGTCACGTTAGCACTTCATTATTTATAGATACCTTGGAAGATATACCAAAACGACGCTTGCTAAGCAGAGCATATGCGTTTTTCAACGCTGTGGTTTTCCATTTAGGGTCGTCAAAATTGTTCGCCAAGAGTCGTTGTGTTGCTCCTTGCTCTCTATTCCAACTTGCCATGCGCCAGAGGCCTTGAAGAACAGTTTTCTTTTTCAAGGCAAGGTAAAAGAGACTGCAATCTACGGGATTCTTCATCTCGCTCTTCGTGTACTCATTACGAGCCACGATTTCGAACTGTGCTTTCTATAGACTGGTCAGAGGGACGAATAATCATATTTGTGCGGCTCAACGTACCACGGCGGCTTCATCTGTAAGCCACATGAACATGCCGCTTTCTCTCGCATTTTCCCACAACAAAGTGCCATGATATTGGCGGGATACGAAGTCTGTTAGTATATCCTGACTAGTAGAATGATAAGCCCAGTTGATTTCTCTCCACGACATGTGGATTTCGTTGGTTCTTCTCTTCCTCAGTGCATGCTGCCGGAAGAATAACATGAACCTTGATCCATTTTCGTCCATCGAGCGACGCTGCTTCTCTACCATCCCCGAGCACTCGACGATATCTAGTAACTGAATCTGCTCGTGGCCGGAGAGTTGAGGGATTGTTATTTGTTGGAGTTTCTCGCAAATAGCAATCGCGATCTCCTCCGTGAAGACTTCATCATTATCATCGAACGATGTTTGATTTATGAGGTAGGATGAACCGTTGCCATTAGTAGACATAGAGGCCTAAATTATTAGCGAATTGAAGCTTCGAGCAAGCAGTGTTACTTACCACTTTGCCAATGTAGAATTCTGCGAGATCGAGACCTAGATAGTCATCGATCACATCCCCTTCTACGTGATACTTCAATGTGTAGTTTAAAGCAAGGAGGATGCGCTTTACCACGAGATGCTTCCCTGCTAATATGCATTGGCTGAGGAATTGAGGATGAAAGACTGGCAATGGGCCGTTCAATCTTTGAATAATGTCGAATAAGTCTCTCGTTCCGTCCTTGCGATGAGGCACCCGTGCGTGTGAGATTAATCGATCAGTTGTCCCGAATGTTCTGTCATATAAGAAAAGCTGATTGCCTACACCAATGACCAAATTGCCATCGCTAAGCCAAGTTGAGTCTCCAATAGGATGAGGTGTGAAATCTCGGATACTGATTTCTCGAATTGGAGCCCATGCAGGACCCTTATTCAAATAATCGAACCGCATCTGCGAAAGTAGAATAATGCGGTACGGAAATCCAACAGAGAGAATTGATTGTGAGTCCGGTGTGGATGACCAATCAAGATCTTGTACGGTGTTGTTGTTTCCGAAGTCCTGTTTGTACTCCAATCGGGCTCCCCGAATATCCCATATTGTTAGTTCTGAGCGATCCTCGTTTACTAGAGCAGCTTTCTTCATTACGCTACCACTGGCTAGAGTTGGTTCGGACACGCCCGTCTCCATCAAAGAAGTTGAAAGCCACTCGACTTTATTTCGCTCTCGAGATACTCTCGCGGTCCAAAATTCAACCCGTCCACTGTGAGTATACGATACGGCGACATCCCGGGCAAAAACATCCAAAGAACCAGATATAACCGGCGAAGAACCTGCAGGGTCAACCGGTAAGACATAGGCGAGATCTCCGGCACCATCCAACTTGAATGTGCAGAACTCTCGGAGACGCGGTCCATAGCCATTTGTATGTGCTTTAGTAGCATCGTCGTTTCTTAGAGGTAAGTGAACTTCCCAGACTATTCCTCGTTTCTCTGATGTAACAGTTGCAAGGTGTGCGATAGAATCATCATTGGCCCTCTCCCGGGGAAGCACGAGGATACAAAGAGGTTTACCGGGAATGTCGAATTTGGAATCTGCAAGTAGCGTGTGGGTAGTTGAAGTGCAGTCCCAAACTGAGATGCTATCGTGATGTAGAAAAACGACGAACCTTCCACCTCTGATTAGACATATTCGGTGTATGTGGCGCGCCTCTGGAATCACGTTATGTCGCAATAACCTCGTCCGTAGCGGGCCGGGAGCATGTCTCCACACAATACTTTCCCCATTTTCAGTTCTCGATACAATAGCACGGCCGCTAAAGTTTCGTACGATTTTCTTTACTGAAGAAGAGTGTCCGGACCATGTTGCGCAAGGAACCAAGCGACTTTTAGGGTGGGCAGTCGGATCGAGAAAATCTGCTATGTTGCTCTGGAAGACTTCTACCTTTCCATCAAAGTGGTGAAATAGCATATGCAAGTTTCCTGCGTTTTTGTTGCAATAACTGAGAATCTCAACATGACAATCTCCAGCGGAGGATCCAAGGAAATCAAAGTCCTTCGATTTGACGTATGCGACATTGTCCACGTTCTCGGCACCTTTGGACTTGCTACTTATATTCTCCAGGGCCCAGGACGACATACTTCCATGTCCATCGAAAACAACACAGATTTCCGTGTCTCTGTTTGCGATAGATAGTAAGTACTGAAGAGCAACGTCTTCTTTTGCTTCTCCCTCACCTTGTTCTTGGACGGCCCTTTCTGCAGCATTAGCAAGGTCCCGCTGGCTTAGTATGAAGGCCCATCTCAAGTAATGCTTGCGTGTCTCGTGTTCATTCCGTATTGCTGCCGCCAGATCTAACTTCCCCCATTGGCGCAGCGACTGGCAACTAGAGCCGTCCGCACCCGTCCACACGCGCATGACATTGTCAGCGCAAAAGGTATATAGCACATTCTCGATCGTTTGACCAACGTAGGATGGTTTCCGCCATTGCATATTAGTAACAGCTTTCGGGTGTGGAAGATAGCCAAAATCAAAATGTACCTCCTCGGAACCGAAATTTAATCTACGCCACACCTTCACTAGTCGGTCGTGGTATCCAACGGAGGCAATGTAGGATGAGTCGTAAGAGAGGTTCGCAGCTTTCGCAGGACTAGCAAGCTCCTGTTGCCAATGACAAGAGGCGGGCGTCGTAGTCGTATCATACAGCCAAATGGAGGATCGTCCGACGAGAAGCTCTTCGGAACTTCCCCATGATAGCGTTAAGGGTGTTGAACCTTGGTCAACCTCGAAAGATGTTTGCAGAGCCCACTATATGTATACATATAATTAGTTATTATTCCGACAGCTTGGGACTTAGTATCGGGACAAGCAATAACCTTTGGCGAGCCACCATCGTCACCATGACTCAATGGCCGGTATATCCTCACTGTCGCATCTGTACAAGCAGCTATCTTCCCCGACGACTCGTCAAAGGAGACAGCCTCTAGTGCTCTCTCATCATCGTCGTATATGGTTTGGATAATCGTTTCGGGGTCGGAGAGGATGGCTAAAGCGTTGCCTGTGATGTAAACGATAATGCGCTTCCTATCCCAATAACCGGTCGACACAGCTTGAAGGCTAGCTTCGGGCTGGCCTGGAAGGACTGCCTTCATACTATGCGTTGCAATTCTCTCATTAATAACATATCTAAAGCTTCAAGCATGCGATGCGACAATGCGACGGGTTAAATGGTAATAAAACGGGCGTTTGGCTTTTGCTGGTTTGAGATTCCAAAATCCCCCTTGCAATTTACGAGAAGCAGAAGTGAGGTTTCGGGGTTCGGTAGAATGATTTATTCAGTGTTCTCAATAGCATAAGAGATCCGATCTACATATAGATGGTTTGTGAAGCTGTCAAGGTTCGCAATTTAAAGATGCAACCTTAGAAATATTTTAGGCCGATGTACGTAGCTCTAACGAGGATGTTGAGACGTCAGGTGCTCTCCTGGTTGTCAGATGTCGCTGCTACTAGCTGCTACAGCGGCCATTCGCGTCGGCTTGCGCCTGCAAAATGACGTGGGACGGCCCGCGAACCCCTGCCCGAGTCAATTAATTAATAGGGATCCGCGGATAGCTACGAAAGTGCATAAAAGAGAATGCAGTATCCGCATAAAGCCATATAAATGCAAATAATACCTTCACATTCCTAATATTATTCAACAAGCACATTATCCATGCAAGAATCGAGGCATAATTCAACATGTCTTCTATTATGGGTATCTTTCAATATTCCAGATCTCCCAATCAACAAAACAGAACAAGGGGTATCACTATGTAGGCCCTGGTAAGCCTAGCCTATGCCATGCATATTTCCATCGTATAAAAATAGGGCAAACCCGCAACGCCATCAATGCCTTCAATTACTTGATTATTATGCCCATGAGACCCTAAGATTCCTTTCCGGACGACCAGAACGATTAGTCCTGCCTCTAATAGCTGATCCTCTCGGTATCATCTCGCTGGCTCGCCAATTAAGTCGGCCGGGAGGAGGTCCTAAAGGCGTAGTTGTACCCAAGCTTCCTAGGAAAAGACGGGGTCTTCCCGGAGTAGGTATGTATATCTCTTCCTGGGCAGCTTCACTCCTGGTCTTCGCCGCCGCTTGCCATTTATCAAACAAGCCTCGTGCTTGATTAAGTGAAGCTTGGCGCTGAGCATCTTCCACTACCTGGTCGACACTTCTGTAATCTCCATTGGGAAGCTCGATGGGAACAAGCTTGTCTGCTGTTCGACCATACCAGTTCTCAAAGCGTGTTCGTAGTAACCTCCTCTCCTTCTTCTCCAGTGCATTTTCCACCATGAGAGGTCGATTCGGCATTTGAATAGTTGTGAGGTTCCATTTCTTCAGCACCTTGGATTTGGCTGTCTCTTCCCAGTGCTGTGCGGCTTCGATATACAACCCTTCATGGCGTCTTGACTGGTCTTTCCATTGCCGCAAGAGCTTTTCTTTAGCCATCACGTCGCTCGTAGCGCCCGTTTCGTTTCGTTCTCGTGCTCGCTCACGCCATGTGTCGAATGATTCCATGCTTTGTCGATATTCTCGATCCGCAATAACGTCTTCCAATATGACATTCATCGCTTCGTACCGTTCAAAGCTCGGTTGTAGCTTCTCGCGCCATTGCGCAATACACCGCTCTCCCATACCTTTCTTTACAAGGCGACGAGTCTCCAGATGCGCGTCTTTCAATCTCTGCTTGCGCTTCTTTTTGGCCAAGTCTTGCCACGACAACAAGGTATCTCTAGTCCTATAATAATAGTCGGCTCGCTGGGCATAGTGCGCGAGTGTTTGTTTCTCATGCTCGGCCACCTGCTGTGTTTGCGCTCTCCAGATGGGAAGTGACTTCGTAACTCCACCGTAGTATTCAGCTCGGTCAGCATAAAGCTCGAGGACTTCCTGCTGCTTGACGGCACGCTCGGTCTCGCTCCTCCAGATAGGTACCGACTTGGTAGCTTTATAGTAAAAATTGGCTCGTTTAGCATAGTGGTCCAGAACCTGATCATGTCCTTGCGTTTTCTCTTCGCTCTCTTGCCTCCATACATCTATCGCTTTGATAGCCTTGTTATAATAACTAGCTCTTTTGGCGTTATACCGTAGGGTATCCTGCTGCTGGGAGGCTTGCTCGGCCTGGGAACGCCATACAGGGATAATTTGAGCAATCCGTTCATTCTGTGTCTCGACTTGGAATCCTTTAGCTTTGTTCAATTTATCCGCCGTATACTTCTCCCAGATATCATAATAACGCATACGAAGAATATGGCGTCGTGCAAGCAATGTGATTTCGTCCATCTCCTCGTTGCCGGAATCATCCGGATCGTCATTAGAGCAGGTATTCTTCGCAGGGGCCCCAGGAGAGGTCTTCTCGTAAACATCAGGCACAGGGTTCGGCGGGATAATATGGTTGATAACATTAGATTCCAATTTTTCGTCGGGGGGTGGGAGTTTAGGAGCATCCTCAGAATTAGCGATATAAGCGGGGGGCAAAGACTCGGCGGGACTGTCGCGAGCACCACTCATTTGAACATCTTCATGTGGTCGACGGTGAATGCCAAATGCTTTGGACTTTAATCTCATTTCGTAAACCTTGGCGGCCATCTGTGCTCTATCCGATTCTTCTTCCAAGCGATTAGACCAATTTGCGAATGCGCGCGATAGCATTAAGTTCTTGTGTGCTTTTGCCGCAACACGCTCGATAGGGTCTGATGACTCCTCGATCTTCCGGACTTTGCGACTTTGTTCCTTTGCATTGTGTCGCCAGCGCCTTATCGTAATTTTGGCATTGTGAATCTCACGAGCCCGTATTGCAATCTCTTCGAAGCGCTTAGAGTATACATTGGGAGGAAGACGGTGTGGTGGTAAGCGATCTACCTCGGCAGATAAAGCTCTCCATTCCTCGAATTTAGCTTCGAGGTCCTCTTCCAGATCAGCCTGCCGCGCAGCATCAAATTGATCGGACAGCGTGCCAATAAAATTAGACCTTTTCTGCCATTGACGAACAGCCGTCATAGTTGAGAATTTGTCATGGTGCTTTCTTTGAAAGGCAATAGCGCTGCATTCGAGTTGCTGCTCAATCTTGGAGAGATTACCGGGGTCATCCCTGATAGAAGCGTCGCCGTTGACGTCGTCCATATGATGATCATAACGGATCTCGGGGACGACATAGCCGTTACCGGTGTGTCTACCATTAACAAGGGGGGGTTTTTCCTTGGGCATAATCTTAGCAGCGACGGGGTGACGATCTTCGCTACCACCAACAGACAATTCATCAGATGTATAACCGGAATTCGAATGGGCATCATCGTGCTCATTTCCATGCGCCGGGGGATCATCCCACTGAACTGTAATTCCTAACCGAGACATGACGGTTTTAAACTTTTCCCTAAGCGAATCGGTATTTCTGACGCCCCCAACCTTGAATACGAGCTCGCTAATAAGGCGGTCGTCATCTGGGTTGATTCCATACTGGGGAAGAACTTCATCGTAGGCATTGTATAAAGCATGAGTCGGAAGACGGGAGGTAGGGGTATAATCGTTTAATATCTCTTCGGCCCGGGTCACGATTTGATATAGTATCTGGATGTCTAGCAAAAATTAGCGGAATAAAAAATGCGGTGAAAAGGAAGCATACCCTTATCAGAGTACTTGTCCCTATCCATGATCAGACTCTCGGAAGAGGGCACCGCAGAAGAAGCCATGGTTTCATGAGGCTCAGTTTCACCAGAAGAAGTGTCAGACAAATCGGTAAGATATGGCTCCAGGTTGTATAAGAGGGCCATAGTAGAATTGTGATAAAGTCACGACAATCGTAAGTCCGCACATCATCTAGCTAGTATAGTTTGCTTATAGTGGTTTGGAAGAAGGCCGGTGCAAACCGTTAGTTATAAAATAGCTAACGATTGGGCAACATTGCTGAAAAAAGAGGAATCGATTAGAAAGGATTATAGATTTAAAAATCCGAGGAGACAGACGACAAGAACTTCGATTTGGTAGAAAGTAACTTTATGACCTTGTGACTTTGTGATTAATAGTATGGAATTGAGTTAAGACAAGATTTAGAACGTCGCGTCGCGACCTGGATACAATTAATTGAGGTTGGAGCTACGTATTAGTGGGGCTACCATTGGTGTAACAAGCACGGCGCGGTACGTACCGTACTTAGCTCATACCTCATAGTTGCATATTTCTAAGTATTGACGTAAGCAAATTTAATACCAACCCACCCACCCACAGCTACACCTCTGAGATTCTCGACGATTTACAACTTCGTGAAAGCACACATCAAGCTTTGAAGCCATTGATTTCTCATATTCGAAAGCCTATGAGCTTTTAACACAATGCCGCCTCCACCTCGTCAACGGCCAATTCAAAAATTCGCTGCAGCCGTCTCACAATGTTCCGCTGAGGTTATACACTCTTACGATACTATTAAGAATTAAAGAATATGAAGCTCATCGTTGTGTAGGCAAGCGTATATGGGAAATGCATCGTTGTCGATTATAATTCAGTCCATAAGGATAAATGTGTCAACGAATTCCTTAGATTAAAAGACTGTTTTCTCGTGAGTCACAGTTTTTGATATATACTGTTGAAAGTGTTTGTGGCCATGGTGAGCTGATGCGAAATAATAGAAAGCATCGAAACAGACTCGATGATGGTGGCACATTATCAACGCCTCTTTATAAATAGAATTAGGCATAAAGCTTGGGGTTTCTAGGTATCTTCGGTATCCTACTCTCGTCAAATAGCTGATGGGATATATTCATGAGAACTTCAAAGTTCCAGCGACTGATTATGAAAGCTACCGATCCTTCACAACATACATAATATACCTTAAAAACATGACGATAAATAAATTCAAGCTTGAGAGGAATTGACTATAAAGAGTTCTCTAGTCAGTCTCTAGCTTGTGTTACCTCGTGTTACTAGGAAACCGAGACCCCGATATTCTACGATTGATAGGACCCATTCACACCCTTGTCTCAGCTGAGCTGAAGTATAACTTTGCCCCGTAAATAAACATTCCGATCCCCGGATTTACGATAAACACTGCGGCAACCAGCAAAGGAGGCACATGGCAACATTCAAGCCTAATCAAAACCACCAAGGTAACCCGAATTTCTGGATAACGATAAAGGGCAACTTATCCAAACAACCAAATAACAATGACGTACCGGGTTGACTAAAACAACATCACAATCTCACAATCTCACAATCTCACAATCTTACAATCTCGCAATAATTAATCTGCAACGATCTGGTAGCACTCGGCCACTCTTTACCGAACCAATTCTATACTTAGAGTTAGACCTCGTCCGATCATCTGAGACTTTCGAATGCAGATGAACTACCAATCTAGATAATCGCAAACATGTCCTTCCTATTTTCGAGGGCGAGAACCAGGACTAACACTCTGGATCTCCCCAAGCAAGCCAGGGAACATATCCTGAAGCTCGATGGCCTCGGCAAAGTGAGCCCAGCTGAGCCCAGCTAAGCCCCTGATAACATCGACCATCATACTAATTACTATCCCACAGGCCGAAGAACTGGCCAAGGTGCTCAGCCAGATGAAACTCATCCTCCAAGGAACACCAGGTATTACCTCAACTCAAACCCGTCGCATGCGGTGGCGCATCCCCTATTCCCTGCGCAAGCATGTAACCGCTACCTAATACCAGTACTAACCAACATTGTCTCAACAACAGAAGTAGAGAGTACCCCTGAACAGGTATATCAACTTGTCACGGGTCTAATAGAAGAAGACCTTCTCCTTCTACTCGCCCAGAACCTACACCGTCTCCCCTTCGAATCCCGCAAAGACACCCAAGTCATATTCTCCTACGTTTTCCGTTTCCGCCCTCCGACTGCGTCGCCCAAGACCGATCCTGTCGCATTGAGTTATGTGGTTAACAATAAGCCACAAGTGTTGTTGGAGTTATGCCGAGGTTACGACCACAAAGAGAGTGCGACACCCGCCGGCACCGTGTTACGCGAGGTTCTAAAAAGCGAGGCGGCTGCCGCCATCATACTCTACGACGATGGAGAAGAGCCGGGATCCAGTTTGAAAGGTGTCACGGCGATCGATAGGGAACGACCGCAAAGTGGCAACGGAGTATTCTGGCGCTTTTTCGATTGGATCGACAAGAGTTCGTTCGAAGTTGCCGCCGATGCCTTCACCACATTCCGAGTACGTCCAACTAACTATCCGACCAATCCGGTCAAGTCGGTCAAGATAAGACTAGCCATATGATCGTCGATGTCCTCTAACAAGTACTACTATAGGAACTATTAACCAAACACAAAGAGCTCGTACCTCGTTACCTCACCATCAACTTCGAGCTCTTCTTCGACAAGTACAACCACATCCTAGTGCAGTCCAACAGCTACGTGACGAAGCGTCAGTCGATCAAGTTGCTCGGCGAGATATTACTCGACCGATCGAACTACAACGTGATGACCGCGTACGTAGACCGCGGCGAGCACCTGAAGATCTGCATGAACCTGCTGCGCAGCGATCGCAAGATGGTCCAGTACGAGGGCTTCCACGTCTTCAAGGTCTTTGTGGCCAACCCCCACAAGTCCATCGCCGTGCAGAAGATCCTGCTGATGAACCGCGACAAGCTGCTCAACTTCCTCTCCCACTTCCTCGAGGACCGCACCGACGACGAGCAGTTCATCGACGAGCGTGAATTCCTCATTAAGCAGATCCGGAACATGCCCTCGAACCCCGTCCCCCCAGCCCGCCAGATGACCCAGGCGGTCTAGAGAAGCCCCAGGGGAGCTGGCGGCGGCGGCGGCGGCGATAGGGGCGTGTGCATATAAGTCGCCTTTTTTACGTACTGCTTTACTCGGCGGCGGCATGGGCAGTCTGAATTTGCTGCTGCTGTTGCTGTTGTTTTTTTGGAGCTTTGAGTTTTGCAGGGGAGTCTAGATATTCGACGGTGAACAAATCCATACTGTAGACGTACGAAGCAGCCGTCATGGCAGACATTATTGCATGTAGTTAGGCGTTTTAGGTCATCACTGTACTGTCACTAGAGCCACGAAGAGCTCTAACTTCGCAATGAAACGAAATCATATATTCCCCGTCTGCAAAACGTTGGGCTTGTGTCTGCGGTTGAGGTGCCTGTCGGTTCTGTATTATATGTGTTGTGGTTTCTCATCCTGAAGTTGATATAGAACCACAAATATACCGTCATAACCCTATTCATCACCTACACACCACCACCTCACGCACCACCCTCCATAAACTTCCCAAACTCCGCCTTATACTCCTCCCTCCACCGACTTAGCGGCGGTCTCCCCGTCGGCGCATCCTGTGCGCTCCACAACATCCTCTTACGATCCACCTCCTCCGTAACCTCGTTATCAGGACACAAGACCCAGAACTTCCCCTCTTCCATCTTTGCCTCCAAGTAATTCGCCACCTGCTCCGGCGTCCACGGCGCATCCGGCTTCGCCTTGTCGCCCGACGCGCCAGCCAATCCCGTCCACGTCCACCCCGGGACGAGCAGATGAACCCCTACGCCTTTGTTTGCGCGGAGGTCGTAGCTCAGCTGCTCCGCGAGCGACTTCACGGCGGCTTTGCTGGCGTTGTATGCTGGGTTTCCGGGGGGGTTAGTGATACCCTGTTTTGAGCCCGTGATGACAATAGCGGACTCGAGGGAGGAAGCAGCGGCGGTCTTCTCCTTGATTAAGGGGAGCAGCGCAGTGATGCCGTTTACGACGCCGAAGAAGTTAACATCGAGGACTTTCCGGAAGCTCGCGATGTCCGCTTCCGGGCCGTCGAAGGCGGTTCGGGCGCCGACGCCGGCGTTTAGGGCTAGGAAGTTGATTTGGCCTGTACATGTTAGGTACACACATATAAGAACGACGTGTTGGCGGTGATAGGAGATAGAAGGTAGGTGAACAAAGAAAAGCAAAATAGTCAAGACATACCGCCGAAATCCTTGACAACAGCGCTCTTAATCTGCGCCCAGTCCTCTGTCTTGCTAACATCGACATGCATCGTCGTCGCCGTCTCCCCTAGACTCTGCTTCGCGACGTCCAGACCCCAGGCATCCCAATCAGCCACGAGCACCCTCATGCCGTAACCAACACACTTCTGCGCGAGCGCAAGCCCGATACCCGACGCTCCGCCGGTGATGACGGCCGTGTTGGCCTTCTTGAAGATCGCCGACATCGTGAATCCTAGTATTAGATATGATCCCACACGTTACAATAAAAAATAGCTGACTAGCCTTGCAATATTAACATATCACGCAAGCACCCAGGTCTAGAGCAGAGAGCTGGAAAGTTTATATCCCATCAGAAACCTCTTCGAATTCGGGGATAAGGCCTTAAACCCCGATACTAGCCATCGATATACATACATGTTTAGGTACGTTTCACTAGAATGACGTAACGTGCATCAAAGAATCCATTAATATGATACGATTCATATGTGTTTATTAACGGAAATAGAGGCATCCGAAAGCCTCTTATGAAAAGCTCGGGAATACCTACGTAAAGCAAAAAACTCTGGTGTTTTCCGGGACGCATCGATTCCACGTCTCAAGCCGACATCCTCTTAGAGAGCCGGTATACTAATACAGGGATATACAACCTTTTCCTCAAGCGATTCCCATTTGCCTCCTAATAGTCACGACTCTAGACGGAACAAAACTAGGATACGGAGATGGAAAATCGCCACGAAACCGTACGCCATTGTCAGATACCCGCCGAGGAACATTCGGTTCACCTACTGTTGAACTTGGGCTATAAGCACGGCGACCCTATCGTTGCATCTGAATAGGCTGCTTCGATAACATGACCGTGACACTTTCGCGAGCGTTGACGGTGGACCAGATACTATCTTTCCCACCCTTTCTCCACTCGTCCCCAGTTGCATCTTCGCCCACGCCTCTCATCGACTCTCCCATTATCACGTCGAGATCGCGCTTCTGCGAGCTTAGCCAGTCCTTCACAAACGTGGCGGGGTCTTCACTAAGAGAAGACAGGAAGGCGTGCTTAGCCTTGGATACATGGATCGCCTGGATGATCGTCGCGAGCTGCTCGTCAAGATTTGCTGCCTCTTTCAGCATGTTGGCATAACCGGCGTTACTTAAGAACGAGAGCATCTTTTCGCGCAATGGGTCGTCGACGGCGACGCGAACATCATACACGGTAGGTTGAGGATCCTTATGGAACTCCTCGTCGAGTCGGATCGTATAAGGAAGCTTAACAGGCGGTAACGGCTTCAGGTGCGGTGTGATGTATTCGTGTAACTTGGGAATCATGCCAGTTTCGATACCAAACACCTAAGTGATCCGGCTAGTTAGTAAATCGAACGTAAAATCAAGGCAAGTATGGCCTACCTTTCTTAAGAGGTCATCACAGCGGAAATTCCTCTTTTCCTCATCCTCTTGCAAGCCCATCAACTTAATGTATTCCCAAATACCCATAACAATCTCTTGCCGCGTGGCTTCGGATAAGTCGACGATATCCTCTAAATCCTGACTCACGGCGTATCGCTCAGGCTCCTCATGCCTGTAGAGGTTGATCGTGATGTTCAGGTTCTCGTCACCGCTACGCTTAAACGTGAGCTCGTCGAAGTCGGCAGCGGCAGGAAGGCTTGACGAAGGGCCAGTACGTTCCGGTTTCTTCCACTCTACCTCCCGATCGATGCCTTTTCGGTTGGCGGGATAGTCCACGCTTAGCGCCTTGAAGAAGTGCGAGAATCTATGTTTAGGCGCACTCGCCGCCTTCGGTTTTGGATCTTCCTCCATACGATCGGGGTCGTCAGATTTTGCCTTCGTATCTTCACTTTCATCATCCTTGTCTAGATCGTCGTCGTCATCTAGCAATCGTCCTTCGATCTTGACGTGATACGTAGGCTCGAGATTAGAGCTGAAGTCGAAGGTGTCGACATTGAGACCGTTTCCTTGCCAGACTTGGTCTTCCGCCGTGTTGGTGATCCAAATTCGAAGCGTCTTCCATCGCTGAACCACAATTAGCCGACACATCCCGAATACTACTCGAAATAACACGTGAGACATACCTTGACGCTTCGGTTGACCGAATCCACAATGTCCAACCGTTTTCGCGTCATTGTTGCATCGAGTCTTCTCTCAAAATCCCTTAGCTCCCGATACCTCGAGGCCATGTCGCCAACAGTACAATCGTCGAGGTTGTCGGGCAGATTCTTGTCGGTGGGTTTGCGACTGCGACGCTTCGCCATCTCGACCTGAATGGCGGCAGTTTGTTGCTGCTGTACGATTTGCGCCTGGGTCAAGGGCACTTGGTGATGAGGGCCGGAAGACATCATGGGACCTGGGTAACAAGAGGACGGTTAGAAATTGGGATATGATGAGAGGGGTGAAACAAGGCCCCGTACGGGTCCGAAGAAAAGTTGTTACTAGTTGTAGGTACACGACGTGTATGTAGGTATGTAGGTATGGATGAACGTATGTGTGTTATGTGCATATTGTGGTAGTATGTGGTAGGTTGGCAATGGAGGACTTAAGGAAGCGGTGGAGCCAAAGGGGGCCATCATAGTGGCCCTATATAGTGGACGTATGTGGATGCGTGGACGTAGTGGACGTAGTGTAGTGTACGTAGTGGGGTTTGTCTGGCGCTGGATCGTCGACAATAAAAATAAAAATAACATAGGATCAAAAAGTAGATCGTATGGTCGGCCAAAGTTACATACCAATGCCTCCTCGTCGCTGTCCGGCCGAATGGGGGGTGCGCTGCGGCGGCACCTGCTGCTGCGGGTAAGGACGGTAGCCAGGCTGCATCTTGACTGATCCGGAGACGGAAACGTTCACTCAAGTATTTTCTATTTTGATTTAAATTCGGCTTAATGCTCTTCTGTCTGTGAGACTTGGACAGAATAGTTGTAGAACTAGGTACGGCGCCAGGTGATCAATTATCAGGGTGCTGTAGCTCCACCGATAAAACGTGCGACGCCAGTTCCGATCGCGATTGGGAATGTGGGAATGGGGGAAGTTGGCCCGAGTTATCTGGGTCTAGGTCGGAGATTTGGATAGTCGTCGAAAAAGCGCGTTTCCGCCTCGTCGCGGTCTTTTAGAATGATTGGAGAACAAATTCCAGTTTTCGAGTTTGACCGGCTTGGCTAAAAGGGCAATTGAAAGATGAACTCCCGGTCAACATTCAGCTTAAGAGTTAGTATAAGTGGCTGTGGTGGCTGTGACGTTATATAATCATGGACCCATTAATTAATAAGTTCCTGGGTTCGGGTCCACATTTCAAATACTAGGTTACATAATAAGCACAAACCTGTGAACCTTGAACCTTGAATACAAGATTACCTCACAGGCCATCACAAGATATACCAGTGACCAAGAGCAAAGAAACACCTACAAAGGCAACTACCAAACAAGTCTGCTTCACATCATAGAGTCTGGTCTTTACGACCTTTCCATTTCAATGTTATTCAGCTATGTCTCCCCTAGACAACTAGGGGCATTCGGTCCTTTCAGACGACCTAGACTAGATATAATATTCTTGGACCTTCGCCTTCGCAGTTCCATACCTCCGATGCAAAGCAACGCGAGCAACTCTTGAACACCTGCTCGCCCTTAACAATACATAGGTAAGGGCTACGATCCGCCAGGCTCAACATTCTTTGCCCTCTTCTCCGCTCCTCTCTTCTCATCTCTTCTCATCTCCTCTCTCCTCTCCTCTCTCCTCTCTTCCCCTCCCCTCCCCTCCACCATCTTAGGGGGTGCGAAGGAAATTTTATATTGGATATTGGAATTGGAATTGGATATTATATTAGGGAATGTGAGGTGTGGGTCATGCGTGATGTAATCCTTCTAATCCATCTAAATGAGATGCCGATTGTATGCTTCAGCAGGAGGAGCAGACTGGTGATAAGGAAAACTCCCAGAATGCATGTGTTTTCGTTTCATGAATTTGGTTCCCCTTTCAAATATCACCAAAAGCTACCAAAGCCTACGCCGCGCTAGAACATGCCGCATATGAAAAAAAGAAGAAGCTTAGAAAGGGAAAGCTAGGTAGGTCCTAGTCATGTGTGATTGGGTCGTGTAATGTTAGAATGTTGGATATCTAAGACTTTCCAAGCTGCGGTTAATATAGCTACCACCACTAGAAAGCCGAGCCTAATCCTTGCTTGGATTGTCGTTTACTAAACCGATTGCGTTTCGTATTCGCCGTATCCTCCAAGCTCGCTTGGCTCTTACTCAGGTGGTTGCGATGAGACCTATCGTTAATGTTGTATCCCTCCGGGCCAAAAGTGCTCGCCGGGCTTGACATAGATGATGACATTTCTCCAAATGCATTGTCGCTAGTATATGAACGGCTGAGGTTAAGGGACACGGCAAAGTCTCTGGCTTGTTGTAGGGTCTCGAGCCAGTCATCTGCCGTCGGCCGAGGTGGTTCAAGGGAAGATGGGGGCTTAACATCTTCGAAGGTATAGTGAATACCAGCCTAGCATTTGTGAGTATGGACATAGTTTAAAAATTAGAAAGAGGAAAAAAAAACTTACCGAATCAACACACCACACTGTCTGCCCTTTCGCATCTACTTGAGTCTTCCATGAACAGTCTGGCGCCAAGAGGGAGATCTCCAGCTTCGCCTTTTTCTCTTCACCCCCAGCAGGCGCTAAGACGATCCTCCCACTAGATGTGATCATGACTAGCCGTTGCCTTTTCTTCGTGGTGCTGCCACCAAAAAATCTAGAGAATTTTCTATGCCCCTCGTCGCCTTTCCCGTGTGGACTGTTCGGAATCGGTGACGACACGACCATAAGGTCGCCAAGCCGCAATATCCTCTCGTTGGTCCTTGTCAATACAGGGGACCACTCGATGTCTAATTGGGATGGTGGAGGTATATCAGTAATGATCCTCCCCGGCGCGCGAGAAGGACCATTCAACCCGTTTCCTGTCGTTGGGGGTCTAGAGGTAGATTGCTGACTACTCGGCGTTCCATTAAGTTGAATAATCTTAGGCTCTTGCGATGGCGGCACATATGGACGTAACCGGGGTGCCTTCATTCTCCACAGACCCTTGCCAAATTGATGACCATCGAAAAATTCATGGTTCTTGATGTGTTCGATGGTAAGCCGCCTTGCTGGATCTAGAACCAGGCACCGCTCCACTAGATCCTTCGCTGCCGGCGGGAATCCTGCCGGGAACTCGTAATCTAGATTGACAATTTTTTGGAAAGTCAAGTATTCGGAGCCAGCCTTAAAGGGAGGTCGGCCAGCTAGCAGTTGGTAAATAATGCAACCAAAGGCCCACAGATCGCTAGCTTTACAGGCATTCTTGTTAGTAAGAAGTTCGGGGCTGACGTATTCGGCGGTGCCTACGAAGGACGCCGCTCGACTGTCATCATCGAAATCTTTACCCCTGGAACTAGTTCCTGTATCCTCGAGCCTGGGGGCGTTCTGTGGCGCTCTGGGATCGCTTAATAATCGCGCGGTGCCGAAGTCGGTGATCTTGACATGTAACTGATCATCTAGAAGCACATTCTCGGGCTTCAAATCTCTATGGATTACTCCACGAGAGTGCATATATTCGATAGCGTCCAGAATCTGGGCGCCGAAGAACCTCGCGCATTCAACGTCGAAGGTACCCGTCTTTTTCAAAACGCCGAGAAGCTCGCCGCCGTTGCAGAGATCCAAAACATAATACAGCGAGTTCTCGTCCTGAAAGGTATAGTATAGTCGTACGATGCCAGGGTGTTCTGTAAGACGGTTGAGGGTATCCTTTTCAATATTGACGTATTTTATCTTCCTCTCTTTGATAATATGCTTCTTCTCCAGGACCTTTATTGCGTACTCTTTTAATGTTTGCCGATCCGTAGCAAAATATACCGTGCTGTACGAGCCTTCACCTAGAATCCGACCGAAAGAGAAATCTCGGACACCTTTCTTCACCGGCCTCATAACAGTTTTTCCATTGGCGTCTATTTCCTTTCGTATCGATACGGCTGCTCCCTTGTCTTTCCACTCTTCGCTGCTCTGGGACACAGCCATATCCGTTACAAGCCCGCGAGGTTCAGGGACGACCGGGACGCCGGGAATCGAAGCATATCCACCACCCATGCCCTTCGAGCTCCTCCTAGGGGGTAAAGGGCCGCTTCCAGCCACGGCCTGGAGCTGGCGGTTCTGGTTGTACGATCGCTCGCGATGGCTCGATTCTCGAGAAGGGATACTCGGCGCATATTCCGACGGCGCCCTCGACTCGATCTTACCCGGCATATTATACATAGGTGTCCTAGAGGGCTCGGTTCTCAGGATGTGATAGGAGTTCGCGGCTTGGTCGCGTTCTGCAGCCGTCGTGGCGGCATATAAGGCAGAGGTAGGGCGGGAAGAGGAAAGGTTCGCATATTGCAAAGCACCATTTTGTGCATATGCGGCTACTTGGCTTTGGGGGTCGGGTGGTGTACCGGAGATGCCCATTGAGATTTCTGTCGTCTGCGGCCTGGGTTGTGTGGTGTGCAGGTCGGGGTCGGGCAGGCGAAGATCGGAAATGGGCTGGCTTGACGTAGGTGCATTAGCGTCCTCGTCAACGTCTAGAGAAGGGCTCGATTCGGCATCATCAGGGTTTGCAATGCGTAGGCCGCCCAAAGCCCTCGAAAGACTAAGATCGTTATTCATGGTCACGACGAAAAGCCGAGAAGGGAAAAGCGGAGCGGCAATGGGGAAGTTAACTATATGTTAAGTTAATTACTCAAGTGGGAAACGGAGTGTTGGTATATCAAGGGGGGGCGGTGCGGCGGCGGATGAGCGGTGCCCCTGCCGGTTCGTATCGGACGGAGAATAGTATTACGAATGTACGAAGTGCTGATGTTTAAAGCATCCACATCTACATCCACAGCTTGTCGTCGATAGGCTTAGACTTTAGATATTAGACCATCGATGGTGCTCGAATATGGGCTGTGCTCTTCGCTTCTCTTGTTTCGTCTCGTCTTCCTATCCCGTCCTCTTTCCTATCCTCCTAAACAATCCGCGTTACCATCCACCGGGGAATAGGTCGTACGGGTTTGGCAGGACCGGTTCGAGTCTCTAGCAAAACCCGACCGCAGGTAAATGCTAGATGCGGTACCTAGCGTGGCGTTCTCTAAGTTGGGTCCGTCTAATGATAGCATCAGGACACCTGCATGTCCAATCCAGGATTAGGTCGGAGAGATTATTTGGTGCGTAGTGGGAGTGGGAGTGGGAGTGGAAGCGGAAGTGGAAGGGGGGAACAAAGTGTAAGTGTAAGTAGAGTGAGCAGAGTGAGTAGAGTAAAAAGTGAACATCGAAATTGGTATTAGTATCGGTATCGGTATTGGTTTAATGTCTGTAATTACTGCACGTACATCGTACATCGGTTGTTCCGCAAGGTAATTTTCGACACGGCAAGTTAGCCGTGGACGAAAACCGTGGACGAAAAAGAACAAAACGACCGAGACGATCTGGAAGACCTGGAAGACTTAGACAACCTAGACGACCAGCTTAGACAAGGCAGACAACAAAATCCAATGCTTTTCCATGCATTGACATTGACACGGCCTACTAGGTAGGGTGAATAGACGAATGGCAGGCAATTGGTACGCCGCGTAGCCAGATATGAATTGGTCGATTTGGTCGATGCTAATTTCGAAAAGTGGCAGGTCGGGCAGTTCCAAGGTTCCAAGGCCTAGAAGCCTATTAACCTGTTAGTCGCAAGTCGCAACTCTTTAGCGGTCCACTGGAGCTTTTTTCTTCAGGGGGCTCCGTGCTAAAAACCTTAGTGAACTTAGAGAGATACGTGGTACTGGTCGTGCAAGTATGTACATATGTACACGCAATTCAACGTACGGGATAAAAAAATACGTCTATTAATAATATCATACTTTTAATTTATACATGTCGTGTCATATATATACCTACTTTAAATCAATAGCGAAGTAGAAAAATACTAGGTAGTAGAGTATTTACATACATGTACGTAGAATATCAAATAGTTAATTCAACAAATGGATGTGAGTTGGAAATCTTATAGCGTACCAGGTACCTAGTAGTTGAATAATGCGCACTTACGAGCGCAGCCAACTAACCAGCCAACTTGACTCGCGTATGCCCACAGGCTTATCTAGCGGCTAGTCCCGATTACCTACTAGATAATACCTAATTACTAAGTACGCTGAGCTGGTAAAAGCCGCATCACCAAAATAACACATTAAAGCTTCAATTTTATCAAATCGTATTATTCTTTTCCCTTCCAAGGTTCCAATCAAAACCTCCTTTCTCCATTCTTAACTTTCTGTTACTATTTTTACATACCTAAGTACTTTACATACTTTACATACTAGGTAACATAACCGACTCGAGTATATAAATTAAAAGTCTTATCCAAACTTATGTTCTTCATACAATGCTATCTTCGTTTATTCTTCGCTTACTCAGTCAGGAGAGTATAAGGAACTTCCAAGGCACTTAAGGATCTAAGACGAGTTGTACTAGGTAGTTGTGTAAGCTCTTGCTTGTTACTTCCTCTAAATATCAAAGATACCATAACTAGGTACCTAGGAAAAACACGACGTAGTTGTATTCGACAATTCACTTCATTCGTAGCTTCCGATCTTATATATCAGAAATAGGTAGCTATATTAAGTTGGAACATTTCTTCTGATTTATTTCTAAATCTACTCTTCAATCTTGTAAACATCACCAAATTCCGTAGTCAGAGTTCCTCAACCGACATGTTACGTTTATCACCAACCACGCTCTCCTTGACCGTAACGGAAGTCAAGGATTTTGAGCGTCATCTTCGCTTTAAGAAGTATCTTGCAAAAGAGGACACCTTTGGTCAATTGGTTATTCGTCCCAAGAAAGATGACAATGCCGCCCAAAAGAGCACCGAGTCAGAACGTGGTCATGTAGACCAAACAAACTCGGAAACAGCCCCCAATGATTCCTCCGTTACTGATGTTAAAGAGAGCTCAAGGCTTCTATCGTATCCCCCTCGGCGACCACCCAAATCAGGCGATGTCTCTGCTAAGAGCGGCTCTCTGAGCTTAGCCCACTCTTCTCCGAGCAGGACTCCGAGCTCGTTGAATACCCCGCAACCTACTGGTTGGGGAAATTTACCAATGACCCTACCGCCGCCATTCTCGAAGGAGAAGAGAACGGTATCAGATGCTCAGTCCCTACCCTCGGTGCGTCTCTGTAACTCTTCCAAACCCTAGGTATACCTAACTAGATCATTAAATAGACCCATCAGAACATCCACGGACAATCGAGTCACGGCGATGCTAGTCAAGATCCACCAATGACCCCCCCTAGACGGTCATCTCTCCGGTTGGCACATACTGAGATCCACTCAAGCTCGCCGGTGAGTCTCACGGAAACTTCTGCGGGACATAGCTCATTGTATTGTCTTAGCCCGTAAGAGGAAGAATGCGATTTGTCAGCTCAGCAGTTAGATTCATGGAATCCATGATTCCTTCTCCTAGACGTGGCTCTACCTCACCCTCGCCATTGCCATCCCCACACGTTCATGGACCCGACTCTGAGTCGCCGCCGCGAGAGACCGAACTTGGATTCAGAATCTACAACGACGCTCTTCCAGCATCATCGCAACCGCAAACACCACACAATCTCCCAGAAGCGCGTCATCGAAGTCGTCTTTATGGGTCATATACCGCACCTCATCATTGTCTCGCTTCGGTATCTTCGCATCGGTCTAGCGTAGATAGAGCAATGGGGGATACTACCGGCAGTCCGTCGGGTCTCGAAACCCCCGGGTTTCAAGGCCTCTACGGTGGTAGGGAGAATGGAGAAGACTCGACATTATTCCATGAGGCGTCTAGGTACCGGGACGAAGGTTTCGGAGAAGAAGAGAGAGGTTGATGATAAGAATGCGAGGGTATTTCCTCATAATTAAATCACGTGTCCTGAGGTTTAGTCGCTTATAACTATGTTCCGGCCAAGACAGCATTATTACAACGAAGAAACAACAATAACAACAACAGCAGGTTTAGGCATTAGCATACCATCAAACCTTCGGTTGTTCATGCAGAACCCGTCGCTTAAGCACAACTTCAACCCGCTTTGTCTTATATATTTGACGATCCCCAAAAGTGTTTCTGATGCGGAAAGAATGGCTTCAATCTCACCACCACCCCCACTCTCTCGTCATTTAACATGTGGATAGGGTATAAGTACGCATAAATGCTACAAAGAGATGACGCAAACAGATCATACCCAGGTTGCCCATGTAGCTCCGGGGGGTAAACCGGATCTAAATAACATCGTCAACGACGGGTTGTTATCGGCAGAGAAGAAATGAACAGATGAGGAGAAGTAAGCGGACGCCAGATCCGTATCCGCGACCTCTTCCTTTTTTTCCCCTTTAACGTAATCTTTCTGACGATCTTCCTGTTTCTATTGGTGGTGGCGGCGATGGTATGAATTATTTTATGTACATATGTACCCGCCCGTATAACATTGAAGTACCTCGGTACATAATTAATAAAATCGGTGAATCAGTTTTTCCTGGACTAAGGCGGATCTTCCGGGACCTCGCGAGAATTGGCACGAGCGCTTGAGGAACCATGCATCAAATCGCGATCAACATGATTCGACGGGCATAACCGGTGGATATTTCTTCTTGTTAAGAATAAACGAGTCTTAGTTTTCTTGAATGGGGCAGAATGGGGCAGAATGGGGCTAATATTCGGCCAATAAGATGCCGGTTGCTGTGGGAACTTTTTGGTCCCAGATTGCCAAGAAGCTAAGCTTGACACTAGTGTACAGGTTACCCCCTCTATTAATGTTAGTTTGTGTCAATATAAATACCGATATGAACTAGGATATCGAAGTCTCGAGCAGGGCTTTGATACGTATTTCTGAAACGTATAAATTTTTATTCTTTTTCACACCGAGTAATAATAGTAGAATATAAATCGACTACAATATAAAAAAAATTATATGTTTTAAGGATGAGATTCCGTTACGTTATTTAAGGTTGAAACCTAGCGAGATACTTCTTTAACAGGCCTTGATGAAGTATAAAAACGATTCCGTACTAACATTAATACAGGGGGTGACCTGTAAAGCCGTAGTAGAAATCGACCAATCATAAGCAAGGGTATCCTCTCAGAACCCCTAGTTTATCCATCGCCGTACCAAAATGCTCTGCATTGGCCGATCCTCCTTCCAAGGCTCAACATGAGAATGGTCTGAGCAGCCTTTTGGAAAGAGAGAAAATTGACGTACCTTCTGCAGCTGCGCACACCAACATGGATCCACTCTCACTAAGGTTACTAAGGCTACTAAGGCTATGTACGTAATGTATTTTCACGGCATTTTTGGTGCGGAAGGTACTTTTTGTTCTTGCTTTGCGACGACCGACGGAAGCGTAATCGTTTGCGCCGTTGCCCATCACTACCTTCTTTTTTTTACACCTCCACGGTCACACCTTCACACACAGTCTAGTCTCAGCCCGGGTCTATCGTCTCACACAGCTTACATACATGGCAGCAGTGCACTTGCCTACATCCAGCCTACATACGACTTACCCGTTTCCTCGTCTACGTCCCTTCATTGCTACGCTAATAGTACATACTACATACTACCTAACCGACTCCGTTCCTTTTCTCTGGTGCCTCTTTCCTCTCAGGTCCCGTCATCTAGCACTAAATACATAACACAAACCATCCTTGTCTGACCTGTCTCTCTTCCCCCATCCAGTCCCGTCCCATGCGCGCATGCAAGCTTCGCTACTGCTGCTGCTGAAGGTTCTTCTTCTTTCCCTATTTCTTACATGATTCTCCCATCTCCCACCCAACCATCGTAGCTCGCCCTCTCTCTTGTCCTCATCTTCTCCTCCATCCCATCCTCGTCCTTAACCTTTCCCCTAGGACATATTACATACATAGATTATCTCCATACCGCTTCTTTCTTATCTTGTTACACGTACTCTCATACATATACATCCATCCACCCTCCTACGTCTCTGCCTCTTTCCTCTCCGACCTTCCACCCTTACCTATTCCGACGGCCACCTATTACACACCAATTCACCCAAGCTGTCGACAATCATCAAGCCATACATCGTCGAGGCCGTATTTTGTCTTTTAGAGCCCTACTCACTTCTCCTAGATCAATTGACTCCCCCCATTTATTCTTATTCTTCCACGTAGCCTCCTCGCAGTTACTGTCGACCATATCCGTGGTCCTTCCAGCACGCGACACTATCACACCTCGCATGTTGTCGATTTAATTTGATTTCTAACCAGTTTTTATTGTGTATCTCACTTGATATCTAGTGCTAACCGATTCAAAATGGGTTCTTTCGAACGTACCTCGTCGCCAGTTCTTACCATGTCCCCAAGTGCCGCTCACCACGGTGCGTTCGGCATGTCCCCCTTCTCGCATCAACCTTCTCCTTTCAGCCGGTCCATGGCTTTCGGTGCTCCTTCGTCGTGGTCTCAATCCTCCATCAATCGCTCTTCCACCGCCGGCCGCAAGCGATCCAGAGACGAGGCAGGCGTTAACCTCGACGTCGAAGAGGCTAAGCTCGAAACCGTCGAGCCTGTCAAGGAGCCCGAAGATGAATGGGTATATGGCGAGGGAATGGTGCTCATAAAATCACCCTCGTCATACATAGCCGACGCAGGAAGCCAGTCTGGTACCTGGGTTGAAGAGAAAGCAGCCACGGATGCTATCCGCAGGAATGAAGAAGCTCGTGCCATCAACCAACAATGGCGACCCTCTCTAAGAAGTAACAAATCCCAACGGTTAGACATGAATTCCATCTCGGTCCCCAAGAGCGAGCCTCAAATCAATCGTTCCAGTCCAGTCCGCGACGTTGACCCTACTACGTCTACCTCCGGTATATCAGCAGACGCGAGCAGTCAACCAATTATCGACAATTTCACCCTTCATCTCGGGATCGGATGGAGCCGTATCAGCACCGACGAGCATATCCAAGCCGCAGCTCGTGGATGGGCGAAATACATCGAAAACCACTTCCCCGTTACCAACGTCCAAATTCAGCTAGAAAGCAAGGGTCTCCAATCCTACCTTGTCGAGGCTGCTGAGGGTTTCTTCCTATTCGGCGAAAATTTACGTCAAGGCCAACTCGTCAGCAAGGACCTTAACCAAACATTCGCCAATCTCAAGACGTCCCCTCCCACATTCGAAGGGCCCGAGGTTATGTCTGCTGCCGAATCACCCAGGCCAATCAGGGCTTCATCACCTCAAGAATCTGCCGTCGCCCCATTGGATATCGACATGGACATGAGCTAAATTACTGAAAGGAGAAGGTCACTGATTGCTTTTGATGTAGGACATGCCGGCGTAGCTTGGTGAGAGGTAACTTGGAAATTGGCTGGTTCTGGCCGGGGTTCATTTGAATTAATCTTTTTTATCAACGGTTTTAACGGTTTTCAACCACATACACGACTTCGAGCCGGTGGATATTGGGCCAAAAAGTTTCGCGGGACCTGGAGTTCTATTCCTTTCGACGGCGCTTGTATGCTTAACTTGTACGATAGAACTATCTATATCGTTGATTTTCGCCCAAGAGAAATCATTTCATCGAATTTTAAACATGATTCAGCACACCAGTAGGTTTTTATAAGTGAACGTCTTTGGAATGCTGCCTTAGCAATCCACCAAAAATAGTTGGGCGACAACGGTGTTGCATTCGGATGTTGGATGTCTTAGGATTCAAGCCAATACAGAACCGGGTTAGAACGCAAGGTATCAATCACTAGATCCAATAGATGATATGATCAGACCAGGGTTTCTTGACGAGAAAACGATTTGTAGATATTCCACCATATGTCGCCTTGCATTCAGTTCCGTCCGTACCTATGAACCTATGAGCTATGAGAGAGACAGTATGGATTGAGACTTCTGGCAAGGCAGATTTTCGCCATGCGGGTAGGCGGGTGACTGGACAATAAGGCATCTATTATTGATTTAGAGGGCTGTTTGAATGGTGGAGTCACGTGTATACAGTTTCGCTTAAGTACTTAACAGATCCGAATTCTAATAACTTAACTTGTGATTACCTAATCGTATTTATCATTACCTAACCGGTCCACTGCAGTGCGAAACCAAAAATTGCGTTTCAACTTTCTAGCACTGGACAACTTCTCCTCTAGCTACACAGCTACGGCTTTGATTATAGCATCCGCGATTGGATGTTTATCATGCAGATAATATGTCGTTACCGGGATTACCATCTAAGCAAGCAGACTGGCAGACTGGCAGACTGGCAGTTAGGCTGACTGGAAGTTCCAAGGAATAAGGAGCCAGGGTTTCGAGGTCGTCGCGGTGACGAACAAACAACTGGCTCTTAGTGGTCGAAGCACTGGAGCTAACAAATCTTCCTATCGATAGGATATCCGTTGCTGGCCGATCGCTGCATTCGGGATCCATGCTTTCACCCACCACTGAAAACGGCGAGGGGCAAGTCAGATATCAACATTATCGAGCGAGTGTGTAGCTATGACCACCATCCAATTCAAATCGATGGATCCTTTTAAAGACACATGCATTAGCTAGCTGTCGAGGCAATTGATGCTCACGCCCATGTCGTGCAAGACAAACTCGAGTAGGTAATACAATAAACAAGGACGCGGCAGAAGGAAGCGCGACGTTTGGCAGGTTTACATATATACGATCTTGTGTTCGTCCGTAACGACATTACGCGACTTCGGACTTGTTTCTTGCTTCTCTTTTTTGTCGGCATTCTTCTAGAACAATTTTTATTGACGGCCCTTTCGTGGAGGCCGCCTATAAACACATACATATGAACCAGCTTCTTGTGGCAAAATCGTGAGAGACACCATACAACTTTTGCGAATCCTTGCACAGCCGCAACAGGGCAGGCGACCTATCAATCGACAACAATCTCTCAATTAACAGTCCGAACTTGGCACTTGGTCGCTCGTGATGCTACTGGGATAGCGGCCCCGCTACATATTGTGCGTACATATTGTCCCGTTCTTTGCGTATCCATCCAGCTGCCTCAAGCTGTGGACACTAGACATTGGACACTGGACACTGGACACTGGACTTTCAGATGCAAGGGAAACAGGTCGCTCTCTTGTTGCTTGAATTTTATTCTTGAATCTTATTCCTCTCTCTTCTATTCAGACCCATTTAAGTTACATAAGGGAATGCCATTTTTATTTTCATATTGAGGACAAGCTAGCTCTAAGAATTCATCGATCATCTATCTACCTAGGCATCTCATGAGAAGAGACAATCTCAGCTAATCTCGTACGCCACAACGACTGCGCCTCGCTCTTCCGATCGCAACCAGACGGATCTATCCACGATCTACCTATACCGCCAACACTGCTAGCTTTTTACACTAGGTGACTTACAAGTTAACTTACAAGTTGACCGATAAGTTAGCTGGCTCGCCAACTTGCGAGTGGAGGTCTCAAGCTCGAGCTTATTTCCGCTTGGATCGAGCACGGCAGAGACCTCAAGCCTCCAAGCTGGGAATCCCGATCCCCGACTCTACCCATCGATTCAAGACACCAACTTCCTCTTCCCGTTAACGCCTAGCTTCCAGTATTCATGGTCTCACAACTAGATCAGTCCCTTACCCTCCGCGGCCCTTCATCCGTCATTTCGGCGCGCTCCTCTTCCCGCCCTCATGCGTCCTCTCGCAGCAAGCGGTATAACCGCTCCCACGCGGGAGGAAGCTCCTACGCCCCGCAAAATGAATTTCCCATATTTAGTCACTCAGGAGACGTCGAGATCTTGATAAAAGCTGGCGGAAAAGAGAATAGATACCTCCTACATAGGCATACCTTAACGAGATGTTCCGGGTTCTTCGAAGCGAGTACGAGTCAAGAATGGTCTAAAGCGAGCCTATTACCATTGCCGGAAGCCTCCTCGAGAGAGCTGGCTAGGATAGGGGAAGAAGGGTCAATTAACGGGGGGAGTGAAGTTGCGCGACCGGGTGCAAATTCACCTATCCCGCGGAAACGATGGCGATACGAATTGGATCCCGGGAGTGGAGCGGACGATATACCAATGCTAATACAGAAGGAAGCCAATACATCCACCAGCTCTTCTGATTCCACACAATCAAATTCGATATTCGGGGGTGGGGGCACGACCGCAAATACACCTGCTACACGCAAAGCAGCTGGCCATTCACACTCGCACTCACACACACATTCCACAAATTCGTTCTTCCGCTCTGTCGCGAACCTCTCTCTAGTGCCAACGAAGGTCGACCAAAACCTACCTCTTGCCCAAGCCGACGCCGATCTTCTTCGTGATTACGATAACCTCTTCCGCATATTCTACAATTACTCGCCGATGTTAGACAGCGTCAACATTGCCGATGCCTATGTGCAATGTAAATCATTGCTAACATTAGCAGACCAATATGATGCACTGGCGGTTGTGGGGCCACGGGTCGACCATCACTTGTTGCAATTCCAAAGCAGGCTATGGAAGCAAATTGCCAAATACCCCGTCAGTTATTTACGACTAGGGTATCTAAGTAGGAGCAAGGTCATATTTCAAGAAGCGTTAATACATGTTGTCGGTCAATGGCCCGCCGGCGAGCGGAGCATCCGGCAATCGTTTCCAGATATTGTGCTCGATATCATCGAAGACAAAGTAGATGAGCTAGAGGAGACGGTGTCTAGGATCGAAAGCCGTCTCTTCCGTCTCAATCTGACCACCTCTCGCGGAGAGCGCGTCACGCCTGGTACTTCCTATCTCGACTGGCTTGCCATATCCTTCTTCCGTCAGTGGCTCGCAGATAACACTTCACCAGCACCGTTGCCTCCCCCAGCCTCTACTAGAGCTTATTCTTCGCGTGACGGTGGCAACTCATCGCGCAACACTGCAGTGGTTGCCTCGGCTCCCACAGCCCCGAACCTCGCAAGCCTAGGTCGCACTTATCGCACTTTGGGGTCTGCGGCGGGCTATCTCGGCCATGATGATTGCAAGCGGTTCCTCAAGATAACCTCAGAATTATACTCTCGTGATAACCTTCGGCGATTCGAGAAGCGCATCGACGAGTTAAAAACCGCAGCTCGCGAGATCGTCCGACCGCTCATGGGTAGTGGGCTAGAACTCGAGTTAGAACGCGGTGCTACTACTCCGGGTTCCGCTGGCATCGGCGGTCCTGGAGTTCCCATATCTCCCAGCGGCATGACGAGTTATCTTACGTGTGTCCGGGTCATGGAAAGGGACCTCCCATGGGCTATCGAGGACTAACCAGGGACTAGTACAAGGTTTGGGACGCGGTAATAATAGGAGCCACGACGATAAACGAGATGACATGATATGATGAGACGATACAGGTTGAGATGAAACAAAACGAGGTTGAAGGATCAGTCTTCCTGAGCTGGGCGAGGGATGCAATGCCACGCGGATCGCGCACTGCGATCTATATTACAACGATATAAGCTGATGATATAAACTGGCTACATATGGCGGGCGCGATAAGCATCCTCGATTATCACGATTCAGTGTTAACCCCCAAAAGTCCGACCCAGGTTTGGTCGGGACTTGCGTTGTTATGGGTTGTATATGGACGGAATCTTTTTTTTTTACTATCATGAAAAAATCGCTTTTAGGATACCCACCGATACGTATGTCTATCTATTTTTTGGCTTTTTTAATATGTCTACATTTATACCTACCTATATATAGAACACGAAATAAATGAAATATAAGTTGGAAAGATGTAGATGGTTCTTCGATAAGGTGTTGCCGTTGGCTTCTCTGTAGCAACTTAGACCCCCCCCCCCCTTTCTTTTTTTACTTAAGTAAATACCGGTCGCGGGGTCCCCCCCCTTTTTGACAGCAGCTCTCATCTTGCATTGCAGACCCATATTCAATAATAGGTTTGGTATGCTTGACATCTCGGGTTTCTTGAAATTGATACGATATAAGCACCCGGAATATTTCTCGGCAGTATACAAGGTCGGTAGTTTGATCAAATCCATGAAACCCATCGTTGTTATACTACTACACATATAGACGTCAGAGTGTCAAGAGCTATTGTAGCTGACAAATGCATTATACAATTTTATCGATTCAATGAATGAGTCGACAAATCAACGTGTATATGTAATGATAGGTGTGCAGATTTCTTTGGTCGACAGTTGTCTCCTTGATGAGTTGTTGTTTGCACCAATATTAAGCATCTAGGTAGGTATAACGCATCTCAGCACATAGACCAGCCAGCAATACCTAACTACCTAGTACTTGTAGGTTTCACCTATATAGAGATTAAAGTGTTGGTGTTTTCCTTGTCCAATCCTATCTATACTCCGCTGTGGTGTAAATTCATAGTAAAAAGGCAATATCTCGTATGATAACATCATTATACTGTGCCTTTATAGGTATAAAGTAAATATTGGTTAACGAAAGTAATCGTCTCGTCTCAAATGCTAATATAGGCATCTTTACTACCACCCCTTCCTGCGAGGTAGGTATGATTGTTCCTGTTCGAAATAGATTCGCACCATGCTTGTAGACAAGATGTCACAGTATGGGCCATGACAGCACATACGGTACTATTGTGAGCAAGAAATATGTTAGATGCTGCTACCTACGTACCTACCTAGCTATCGAGTCTCAAACGTGCAAATCTATATAATATTCTTGAGGCTCCCTTGAATTTATTTATGTCCGTTTCTATCCATCTCTTCATGTACAAGATCACTGCCATTATTCCTACCTAATTAGGTATATTATCTTGCAAAACTTCGTTTCTGATTCTCTCTCCTTTCATGCTAATAGGAGTCGTGGTGACGACGTCGAGAAGACATAATTTATCTTGTCTTTTCCCCGTTACCTCCAGTCCTAATAGGGGCTAAATATGGTTCACGATGAATGCAGAAATTCTTACATTAATAAGATCCCAAGAAGCTCCGGGCAGAGACGACTATGGGAAGGAATCCAAACCTCCTAGAGCTGTATTACTCGATCGTATCGTCAGTTGTAATAGAGTCCAAGTATCTGGAAGTCAGCTACTACAACTACCAACATGTATCCTTACCGATATTGCCGATTTACTCCATGCTGATAGGGCTAGCTTGGGTGCGCTGGCCCTTGTGAACAGTACTTGTCAACAACTGGCTCGTTCGAGTCAATTCTCGGAAGTAACTTTCAACTACGATCACCGATCACAATGTATCATCCAGAAGATAGCAGAAGAGCACACCACTTCGCATATAAGCCAGAAGGCTGGGCTGGGCTGTTGTGTGCGCAAGTTTACGATGACATCTACATCAAGGAGGACCGATACTAGTGGATCACTTGAAAACATGAATCAACTGGAGCTGTATAAAGAAGACAACTCTTACCAAGGACAACCAATCAACTTAATACTATCCATGCTTGAGCTTGCTATGCCGAATCTTCAGGTCATCGAGTGGCTGGACGACTTTCAGCCAAATAATCACTTTCTCAGAAGAATGATGCTATCACCAGCAAAGTCTATCAAGATCGGGTCTTTACAAATGAGAACTGCAGATACCCATGCTTACATCCAAGGTTTCGACACATCGTTAGCGTGGCCGATACGACATCTTTCGTTTAACCCAGATGACATACTATTCATGTCACCCGAATTGGGTGAGGCAATTTTGCGCAGCTGTGCGCCCACGATTGAATTCCTGAGCTGGAGTCAGTATCTGAATTTAAAATTAGAGACTATTAGTGTCGCCGAGAGACCGATTGCATTCCCGCGGCTCACAAGCCTGCAGCTGAATGTGGTATCGCTGTCGACAGAAGTCTATTTATGTTTCCTTAGTCCACGCTTGAGACAGCTCAAGCTACCTTTCTGCTATAACGGTCAAGAGCTTACAGAGGCTCTCTCTAGGTGTGATACTCTACGCGACTTAGAAACCTTAGCAATCCCTCTTCTCCCCATTAAAGAGGATTATGCAGAACTCATGTACCGGTTCATCGCGAGACATAGTCACATAAGGAAGCTATTCATAGCGGAACATACAAAGGCAAAAGGAGGAGAGGCGCACCTAGATTCCTTTCTTAACACATTTCTATCCCCGAACCGATTCAGGAATCTGACATCTCTCTCTCTGTCATGGGGAGGGGGTAGTGAGAGAGAGGAAACAAAACCCCATATTGTCCAAGTATCATTCCGATCACTCTGCGCAGTTGGAAAGCTGACGGCTCTTAATCAACTCAGCTTGGCTGCCGGGATCTTAAAGGGGGGCCAGTGTCAGTGGTTGATAGACCATGACCAGATGCGTGTCGCACTGGGGAAACTACAGAACTTAAGAGTGTTAGCGATTAGTCGCGACACATACAGACATGGGCCTAACCCTGCCGTTGATGAATACTATTCCAATAGATTCATCACAGACCAGGACGTGATGGAAATCCTTCATTTAAGATATGAAGACTTGGACGTCAGATCTGAAGAACGTGAGACGAGACAACATATTGCCTTGAGACCCGAAGAAGAACGGGCCTGGGAAAAATGTCATCGTAATCGTATGATACGCGAGGCCGAGAGATATTCGAATGTGTTGCGAACCCTTCGATGGATATACCTAGGACAAAGGCCTATGGCCATCAAGAGGAGCCTTCACGGAGAACATCGGGAGATTGTGCCTTTGACTAAAGAAAGGGACAGTTGTTTCACCTACCTAAGAGAATTATTTATGTTTAAGAATCTATAAAGGACCGAAAACGCCATTAAAGGAGCGCGTTAGCACTGCATTAAGCCATCCTACCTAGGAAAACTCGCAATCGAGTGGAATAGTAAGACCAGGAAGAGAGAAGAGGAAGATAATAGATCCACTTCTGTCTACACCGGGTTGTAAACATGCCAACCAGGTAGGTCGACTTCCAGTTCGTGGGCGTTAAGCTTCATGAGGTTGGATCTTAACGTCGGTTCGTAACTGGTAGAAGACGAAATTCTTTTCTATGCGTTAGCTTCGATGATACTGAGACCGAGACTACGTAGGTTAGTTAACATGCCCCCAAATCCATGAACAGTATGTTGATGGAAAAAGAGAATAGTAGAAAACGACATACCTGACCTCGTTATGAGAAGCTGGTCTATTTCCCGCCTCTGCTTCGGACCTTAAGCGAATATCTTTAGGGCGTAAGGAACAGGGAGACTCCCTGTAACCGACAAACCATAACGCTAGACAGCGCCTGTAAATAGACATTTAGCTGGTGGGGGCGCTGAAACACCTCTGAAAATACAGAAGACCCCTTCTAAAAGAGAAGGTCTATTGGTAAGGCTTGACTCTCGAGGCATCTCGGGCTTTTGGTAAGGCTTGGTTGGCATGTGTCTGCGCTCCAGCGAAGTTCTGGTTTATTTCTTTTGTCATACGGCTCTCTATTCTGTAAACATCCTATAAGTTATCGTACGCACGGTGTATTTATATACCAATAGATGGTATGTACGCCCTACCCAGACGTTGACGAGCCCATCATCATTTAACTGAAGATAACTATCTAAGTACTAGGTAGGTAGTGATAGTGAGAAGATAGAGGGTGAATTTGAGAGAGTGAGGGGAAGCCTTTTCCTAGTATCTCCTAGGCGTCTAAATAAGCCACACACGTGCCTTCGGGGCGTCATTGATAGTACCTAGAAAATCATGTTTTCACGATTATAATCATGGGAAAATAAATACCTCTCTTATAATAGAAGTTAGAATGATCTTCGTTGATCTATGCAATTCTATGTATGCCATGAATCCTTATCCCTATGCATTGCCGTTTATATCCTATTCTATGCGTCCATGAATTTCCGATTTCCGTTATGCAAATGTCGCCCAAACCATCCGTTCGATTAAAAAAAAGCTCACCCCCGATTGCGTTGACGTAATGCCAACCGTCGATATTCTGAATTAGTGGTACCCTGACCATCGAGACGAATCCTAATCCTCGCCTGTCAAATCGATGCACGAAAGATCACTAAGCCTCCATGCCGTTGCCCTACCACCCTTAGCTCCCATGCCATCCAGCTCCCGAGCTTTCGCCAGCAGCTCATCAGCTTTATCGACGTCGACCTCCAACTCCCTGAAGAACCCTGGTTCGCTTTTACGAGGCATAAACAGCTTTGTCGTCCGCTTAGTGATACCGAATGTACTGTCTAGCGTGGCTTGTTTGGTTACTTGCGTTTCCGGGCTCTGCTTCTGCTTCGTCTGCTGTGGAGATGCCTGTTCTTCGGCTACACTGGAACGGTTGAACGGACTTTTGCTGGAGCGCTTAGGAAGTCTGCCGACAACACTACTAAGTGGTGGCAGATCAAAATCATCATCGTCTTCCGAGTCTAGAATTTGTACAGTTTCGATTGCTACAGTCCGTGCTCGCGAGAATTGTCGTGTACTGCCCTTACTTTCTGTAGGTGACCGTGTTGCCGGCAACGTTTCCGTCCTGGCCAATTTTCGTACTGGCTTCTTCTCGCTTGACATTGGCGACGGACTAAGGGCTCTTACTCCCGTTCGGCGACCCAGTAGTCTATTATTCGCTGAAGGCGATCTCGTTGGGGTCACAGAGGAATGGTGACTCGCGGCAGGCGACGCAGGGGGGCTAGAGGATATAGTAACTGTCTCGGAAACTTTTGTGGACTTGGTCTTGGTAACCCTGGGACTGGTCTGTGAGCCAGCGATCGTCCAGGGATTGATACTCGGGTCCGGCCTCGATGCTGGGGATGCATTCCTAGGATTGGACTTGGATTTGGACTGCTTACTAGGTCTTGTGGGCCTCGCTTTGTGTGATGTTTGGCTGGAGGAAAGAAGGGGTGGCAGACTCTGTGAAGGGACTACGGAGGCACCAAGTGATATCCCAGTCCGGGCTGGAGACGATGGTCCCGAGAGTATCTGCGCGTCGACTTTATCCGTTACTCTACCTTGCGGGATGTTCTTCGTGGTCTTGACGAACTTATCTAGACTGGCGGTTGTGCTCACAGGCTTCTTTTGCTTCGTGGTCTTTAGCTTTTGCCGAGCTGCGACCTTGGCGACCTTAGCACGTTGGGCTTCTTCCCAGTCCTCAACTGTGATAGGTATCCCGAGTTTCCCTATGGTCACTGGTATCCAAGATAGATCTGGCTCAGTTGGATTGAACGGTTTCTTGCTGGTCTTCGTGACAGCGTCTGCCCCCTCTTCCTCAGCCATAGCTTCGAATTCGTCATCGCTATTGAGTGCCAAGCCATCTCGCCCATATTCTATTACCTCGTCCGGTTCTTCTTGAAAATCGTAGCCGACAATCTTAGTTGGAATAAATGATATTCGTAGTTCTGGAGTGGCATCCGTGCTAAAATGAGCGCGTTTGCTTGTGATCGACCTGACTAATTCTGACTCTTCATTTTCTAGGATCTCAATGGGTTTTGTCCCCTCGTCGCCTTGAGTATTTCGGGACATCATCTTTCGTACTAATAAAGACGGTGCCAGAACTCTGATAAACTTGATAGCCCCTATTCGATAAGTCCAGTCAAAAGTTTCTCGCACGAATTCGCGCAACCCTTGAACGTCAACAGGATGATCCCAGGATTGGCCTCTCAATTTATCAAGGGCCGATACACGCGATACTACAGGGTGAGTGTAATATCCGAGAACGTCGAAATTTGGGAAGCTCTCAGGTACAGATAGAGCCTTATGTCTCGTTCTGAAGAAGCCGCTCTCGTTATGCCGTAACTCGAAGGTCAACCATTCCTTCCAACTGGCTATTTCGGACGTATCGGATTTCTTCAGTCTACAGAGAGTCTTTCCGAACCCGGCTCGAGCAGCTTCGCAAGCCAACTTAACACCGGCACCGGGAATACCTTCTGGAAGGTAGTCACCACCGCTCATCAGCGCAACTAGCACCATTCCCTCTCGATCTAAGCCGGTCTCTCCCTTCCGAAGCTCTTCGGTGTCGTACATGGAAACGTGAGTTGGGGTTTTACTCCCCTTGGTGCCTTCGGATGACCAATTCCTTAGCGTCCGCGTACATCCGAACATGATAGTATCGACATCTTCGCTGAGCACCGCATCTACAATGCCTGTTAGTTGAAGGAGGGCGCATTCTGCTTCTGCTTCTCCGGGAGCATCATGAATTTTGAAGCCAAACAGTTTGATCATTCGTTTTGCCATAGAGGTGGCGACGCCATCACCTCGGCCAGACCGCTTGTTCCGCTTGAAAGCTGGCTTGTTGGGGCCATCAAAAACGAAAATAGGCTGTATGGAAAGGCCCAGTAGTCGTACAAGTCTGTAAAAAAGAGTGCGAATAGCAGGGTTCGAGCCACCTAATAACCGTAAGTATATAAACTACCTAGTCATTGGCCAACAGTAAATTATCGCACCTCGAGCGGCCTGAGCTTGGAATTGCCATATAGAAATATCTATGGCAAGGCGGAAGGGACGGCCTGTTTCTTCGAGCTTTTCGACGGCAAGTTTCGTGAGAGATATCCGCTTGCCAGGTCCGATTTCCTTGTATATACTACATCGATATTAGCCCAATAGCTCGTCAGATGTGGGTTAGAATGACATTTAGAACTGACCCTTTAATTCCCATCGTGAAGCCCTTCTAACCGAATCGGTGGGGCGAGCTACTTAGGTAGCCATAAGCTTTGTTTACTAACAAGCTTGCCTTCGAGAAGCGATTCGAGGAGACGGCTTGAAGTGTGAGTATCTCGAGATGTAGTATGTACCGTACGTAGTATTAATCATATTATTATGACTGCTGAAAACTGAAGTGGCGGCTTAAATCTAAAAAGTGGAATTGCGTCGGTGAACTTTGAAGTACATAGCAAGCTAGCACTAGGTGAACTCTAATGTTGACTTTGACGTCTTTGGTTACTGGTATCCACTGGCAACGGCATACAAACAGGGATCTGTGGTGGGGGCACCTGCTGCAAACAAGCTAGACCCTCCCACCGGTACGTGCGTACCATGATTAGGTACCTAGCTAGGGCTGTTACTTTAGGTCCTTTAGGTCAATTAGGTCTATTAGGTCTTTTAGGTCAGGTAACACCAGCACCTGAAAGTTGATTTCTAAAACTTGCAAAGATCAGAAACAGAACGGATTCACCTTGTCAACTTTCAACATGTAACCCAAAGAAGGGCGATTTTTGAATACGGATAAATAAATAAAAAATGTCGTCGAGCGCGGGAGCTAGCCTCCCTCATCGTACTGTATCCAGTATACGTGCTGGCGACCGTTCGTCAGTTCAAGCGCTACCAAGTATACCTCATACACCTCCGAGAACCATTGTCCCCTCATCCTTCGGATCGCCGTCTACCTTGCGCGCCGATGATGAAATAATTGTCATCGAATTAGGATCGCGAAAACTGCGTATCGGCTTTGCTGGCGACCCTGCTCCTAAGAAGATTGTGTCGTTTGGCCCAGAGCAGCAGAGACGCGCCGGAGATTTTAGAGCTTGGGATGTTGGCTATCAGGCTGACTGGCGCAAGAGGGCGTCCGGAAAGCCGTGGGGAGCCGATCATGAATTGTGGCAACTGGATGTGAGGGGCCAAGACTTGGCTTTAATCGGAGATAAACTTGAGCGCGAGCTTAGGGATGCTTTCACCAAGTGCGTTTGCTCGGTTTGATATGTCCTTGATATATCTTCATTATATCTAAAGCGTTGTAATTGACATCCATTCTTCTAGGTATTTACTCATCGATTCCCGACCGAGAAGAGTAACATTAGTCTTACCACCGACACTTCCTATACCACTTATCTCCTCAGTTTTCGACACCGTTTTTAACCGTTTCCAAGCTCCTTCCATATCTCTTCTCTCATCCCCAGTCATGTCCGCTATGGCCGCGGGTACTCGATCAGCTTTAGTCATTGATATCGGCTGGCACGAGACAACGATTACTGCTGTCTATGAGTATAGAGAAGTCCGTACTTGGAGGACTGTCAGAGCTGGCAAGTTATTGGTGGAAGAGACGTACGAATTCCTGACCAATTCTATCCGTGGACGACCAGGCACGGCACGTACCGAGCGCCCGGAGGACAAATTGGAGGACCATGCTGTAAGCTTCGAAGAATGCGAAGAATTCGCAACTCGTATGCTCTGGTGTAGAAGAGCTCCAGGACAACTAGCACAAGACACCCCCGAAGGGTTGGCTACACTTCACGAACAGGACGAAACGGAAACAGTAGCGCCATCAGAAGACAATTCTCCTATGACGGTTACCCTCAACTCTTGCAAGCCACCGAAGACGGTGGAAATTCCGTTTGCGGAGCTAGCCGAACCATGCGAGGCCGTCTTTTTCGAACCGCACCTTTCCCCTTGTTGCTTCGACGATCACGAGATTCCCGTGCATCTACTAGCCTATAGAGCTCTTCTACAACTACCATTGGATGTTCGCGCAATTTGCATGTCGCGTATTATTTTCACGGGCGGTTGCTCCCACATTATTGGCCTGAAGGGGCGTATCTTCGACGAAGTTTCTACGCTGGCTAAAGAGCATGGTTGGGATCCTATTCGAGGGAAAGGGGTCGACCAGTATAAGACGAACTCAAAACTACGTCGGAACGGCAGTCGTCAATCTAGCGAAGGACCCACTCCTGTGCTTCAAGCCGAAAGTAGCAATACGGAAGGGGGAGAGACGGCACCGCCTGTTAACCCGGCACATGCGCCTCCCGAGGCTGATCAAGTAGAAGAATCGGTCCAGAAAGATAGAACCAACTACAGGCCAATTGTACAAGGAACGCTTCGGGTCCTAGATTCGATAGGTCCTTGGTGCGGAGCCAGCATGGCAACGCAGCTTAAAATTCCAGCCTTAGCTACGATTGATCGCGAGCTCTGGCTTCAACAAGGGGTCAATGGTGCATGTCGACCCAGTGAAGTTGACGTCAAGGCACAACAGAGGCAGAGTATGGGCGCGGGTGGTCTGATTAGAGGCCAGGCCTCCCAAGCCAATAACAACTGGACTCTGGGAGTATGGGGTTCTATCATTTAAGGGGTACGAGGTTCTTGTATTTTTCCGAATAACGAGGGATGATGAAAGGGGGACTTACGAGTTTTGGTTGTAGAGATACCCTGTCACATATTATTCAAGCCATTGGGACCTTTAGAGAAGACTTTTGTTAAAACCTGATCCCTTCCCCATTCTGCGACTTGACATACACAGGTATATTGAATATCTGGGCATCTAGGGGTGATTCCTATTCCGTATATACCCGTTAGCCTGCACCTACCTTATGAACCTAACCTAGGTAATATATGGCACGGCATTCACGACACAGCATGTGGTCCGGGGATGTGGATGTGGAGAGAAAGAGCTACCCCTGTAAAATGCGGGGAGGGAAGGAAGCTACTCCAAAAAAAGATTCACGAATCGAACGAGATTTGAACTTTTCAACTTCAATATTCTACTTTGCGCCATTAACTCTTGGTGTCGCTACCGTATAATTATCACAAATGTGTTGAGAATCTTATCAAAGACCTCTATCGCCATGATCAAGGCACCAAAAGCACCATTTGTGTGCCTTCAATGTCGCCTAATTCGATTACCCCAAAGGCAACGGCTCCTCCATAACGCCGCCACAACACGCCTACTCTGTACCTCTAGCCGTAAATATAATTCTGCGGCTTCAATTAGCACCGACATCCCAATCCAAGCCCGACCCACGACAGCCCCAAAGCCCAATGTCGACATCAAACACATCCGTCAGAACCCTTCGCTGTACGAAGAGAACTGTCTAGAGCGGAACTACAAGACCCAAAGCAAATACCCCTCGCGCATAATCGAATTATTTGCGCAATGGCAAGCCAGCCAAAAGGACGGTAGGAGCCTACGAGAACGGGGAAACGCCCTGCGTCGGCAGATAGCGAACCCGGCAACAATCCAACATGAGGACGAAGAGACGGAGTCGAAATCTGGAAAGGTTACTACTGACGGCGCAACAATCACGGACGGAGATATTAAAACCATGAGCAAAGACCAACTCATTGAGGAAGCGCGCATAGTCAAAGAAAAGCTCTCGACGATTGAAGACGACGAAGCCCGCTATGAAGCCCAGATGTCCGAGCTCGCACTCGCCATCCCAAACCTGACAAGCCCGGAGACCCCTCGCGGCGAGGAACCCCGCGTCCTAAGTTTTATCAACGATCACCCAGAGCCCACGCCCTCGTTGTCGGACCGTATCTGGCGGTCGCACATGCACATCGGATCCGAGCTGGGCATCCTGGACTTCGCAGGTGCGGCTACGACGTCTGGGTGGGGTTGGTACTATCTGGTGGACGAGGGCGCACAGCTCGAGCAAGCGCTCATCAGCTACGCCCTCGCTGTCGTGACTAAGCAGGACCTCGGGTGGCGTCAAGTGTCTCCACCGAGCATCGTATACAGCCACATCGGTGCAGCCTGTGGGTTCCAGCCGCGCGACCAGAACGGCGAGCAGCAGGTTTACTCCCTCAAAGGCCAGCCCGGAAAACCTGAGCTGTGCCTCGCCGGGACAGCGGAGATACCGCTCGCGGGCATGAAAGCCGACTCTATTCTCGAAGAGGCCGACATACCGCTAAAATACATCGGCGTCTCGCGTTGCTATCGCGCCGAGGCAGGTGCGCGGGGCGTCGATACGAAGGGCCTGTACCGAGTCCACGAGTTCACGAAAGTCGAGATGTTCGCGTGGACGCCCCCCGACGTAACAGCCACCACCGAAATTTTCGACGAGATGCTGGATTTACAAACAGAGATATTACAAGGTTTAGGACTACACTGTCGCGTTTTGGAAATGCCGACGACGGATTTAGGAGCCTCCGCTTTCCGCAAGTGCGACATCGAGGCTTTCTTCCCGAGCCGTCGCGACCCGGAGCGCGAGGGCGAACGCGATGGCTGGGGTGAGGTTACTAGCGCGAGTGTATGCACCGATTACCAGGCGCGTCGTCTGGCTACGCGCTTAAAGACCTCGGGTAAGATGGCGTATCCTTGGACCGTAAACGGTACCGCGCTAGCCGTTCCGCGTGTCCTGGCTGCGCTGTTGGAGAATGGCTGGGACGAGGCGGATATGAGCGTGACTATACCCGAGGTCCTACGTCCGTGGATGGATGGGAGGGAGAAGATTGGGTTGAAGCATCGGCGACAGTAAGGGGAGTACATGCATGCATAAGGAGGGAAACGGGTTGGTTACCTTTGTTTGGATTAAAAAAGGGTTCGTTGTGATGATTCCTGCACAAATATATCCTACAACATGATCAGGCTGGCTGGCGGAGCAAGGCACGATGTACAAACAGCAAGGATTGTGAGGTAAACATAAAGTTAGCGGCGAAAAGAGGCTATCGCTCGATCCTTGCTCATGTAAAAATAACTGAAATATCGTTCGTCGTCATTGTCATGAATATAGCTACTAATGTGAAGTAGGACCTATTGCTAGCTCTTACTCCTACTCCTACTCATACAACCCCTTCCCACTCCTGGTTATTCATCTGACCGTCGTTTGCTGCTGGTGTTTTTCCAATATTTGAACAATCTTGATATCTCCCCTTAGCAGCGAGCCACCTCGCAAAGCTTAAAAATAAAAGCTTGAGGTGGGTATTTGTAATTTTGAAATCCGTGTGATCCATGCCGCGTTTCCATTGAATAGGTGGCGCAACTAAACTAGGTATAAAGACGTAAACCAATTCAAGACGGTGGAAACGTAAACGACGAGCGAGGAGAGAAAACGATGAAAAACAAAATTGATATCCCCTTCATTCAACCATCCCAATATCCCTCTCGTCCATCCGCATGCCAGACGCCCTTCGTACGACGAAAGACAAACAGACGTACCAAAGACATAACCTCATCCCCCTCCCAACCGTAAGGCCCCTCCCCCCCACCTTCATCCAACGACCGTGATGAATAAAACACGAGTGAAAAAAACGAAGCAGGTAAAGCCGCCCTGTAGTACTCCAAAGCAGAACACCCGCCATTCCTTCCCTCGATTAGATCCCCAAGATTTAGAATCCCGTATTATGTTACAGGAGATTCGTTAGGTATTATACACCAAGACTTCGCCTTCACCCGCGATGCTATCGGTGTCGGCAATGCTTTCGGAGATGACACTGTCCACGCCGACGGCGCTTTCAGCCCACTCACTATGGCTTTGTTCGTCGCTGATATACCCGCTCTCAGTCGCCGCGCCTGTCATGACGGTGGTACCAGCCTCACTCTCCCCTCCTTCTGTCTCTTCCGCATCGCCATCATCGGGCTCGGATAACATCTCCATAGGGTCCTCCTCGCCTCCTTTGTCTCCTGGATCCTTGCCATTGGCATGGCCTCCAACTAGAACAGTCTCGTCTCCTATAGGGGTGTCGGGCTCTGAATCGGCGACTGGAGAATCTTCGCGTGCCTCCTCGTCGCTTTCGCGCACTAAGTCCACGTTCTCCTTGTCCATGTCCAAATCGCCATAGCCCTTACGAGGACCACTTTTCCCCGGTGCCCAGCTACCCTTTCGCACCCCTGTACCAGCCGGGGTACGAACGCTCTGGCTGCGCTTAAGACCACCCGTAGGCACGTTATTCGTGATCTGGCTGAGACTTAGAATCCGACGACCGGCGCTTGCAGGGTTCTGTGGGACAAGACTAGCTCTACCACTGTTTACGGCTATGTTAACTGCCCGAGGCTTGGCCTGCTTGGGAGTAGAGTTAAGCTCATCAGAGGGCCCTAGACTAGATCTGGCGCCGGGTACTCGTTTGCGGCTCATAGCTTCGCGGCCCTTCAAAGAGGACTTGGTCATGAGTAGGGCACGGGAATGATCTAGGACACCTTCAAGTATCCTACGCTCCAGCCCTTCGGCCCGCGCATCCATGGCGTGAAGTTCTTCCCGTCGAAGATGCAGAGCGGTCTCGAGAGAGGATACGTCTGCTGTTAGCCGAGTCTTCTGTCGGGTAAGCGAATCCTGCTCAGCCCTCAGCGTAGTAATGGTGTCGCGCAATTGGGCTTCCTCGTCTTTTAGATACAATAGATTGGTTTCGACCTGATCTTTCTCGACTTTCGACCGCTCTAATTGGATTGTTGTCTCCTGAAGAGTCTTTTCACGGTCTTCATGTTCGTCATTGATGCGCTGTTTTTGCGACGAAAGGAACTCCGAGATATCGGCGGCTGTCTTGACCACCTGCTGGTGCACCATATCGAGAGTATACAACTGGGCATAAGCCTTATTGGCAGTGTTTGTGTGGTCGACTAGCTTATCTAATTTGGAATGCATTCCAGAATCCAGATTCTCTCGGATAGTAAGAACCTCGCCGTCCAACTTGTCTAGCTTTGACTGCACCAAACTGTCGTCGTATTTGTCAGGAGGAGGCGGTAGAAGTAGGGGCTCGGGCTTGGCATCCTCAATCTTGCGTAAGATGCCGTTCTCCGAATTTCTGGAATGTTCATAGTGTTGCCCAACAATGAGGAGCACTTCCTTGATAGACTCGAGAATCTTTGGCTGATAATCGCCGACATGGCCTTGGAGGCCTTCGACGGCACTGATTGCCTGCTTGACATGATCACGAGTCATTTGATGTTCATTCTTGCCATCCGCATGGTTTTCCTCGGTTTTGCCGTAAAGCGTTTCGACCTTCTCGAAGACAGTTTTCGATGCTTCTTCCATCTTCTCAAGGGAGTCGGTGACAGTTGATCCAAGAGTGTCAATGAGAACCTTGAGTTCCTCCGCGATCGTGTTTGTGTTGACCATAGCCGCTTTCATCCCTTCATCTCTCTCTTCCGATGTTTTTGACCGATCTTCCAAAACAAGCTGGAACTCGTCATACTTCGTTACAAGTTCGCCAATTTTCCCTTCGAGCTTGTTTCCTAACGCCTCGGTAGATTCCTTGATTTTCTCGTCAGTGTCCATCTTGGCACCTACTACGCTAGACTTGGATTCCTCGAATTCAGTCTTGACTAACTCGAACATCTCCTTCAGGTTACTGCCAACATCGGCATTCCGATGCACCGTTTCACTGAGGCCTTCAAGAAGCTTGCCTAATGACTCAACAGCGTTACCGCCAGTCTCGAGTCTATCCTTGACCAAGCCTTGGAACTCTTCTAAAAAGGCCTTGACTTCCGTGACTCGCTCACCTACGCCTGCATGTTTCTCTTCAAACGCTGCCGCATTTGATTCAGCAAGCATCGTAGAGTTATCCTTGAGTTCTGTTACGGCGTCTTCAAGATTCTTGAGATCGTCTTTGGAGGGAAGAGCTGCGATACCAGAATTAACCATCTGCTCAACAAGGGCCTTGACGTCAAGGACGGCTGCCGCAACGGCAGCAACATGTGTCTTGGTGACCTTGTCGGGATCGTCGAGGGATTTCTCGGCTCGTTCTTTCGCCTCATCCAAAGAGGTGGTGATCTGGGTTACGAGAGACTCGAGAGAGAGAAGATCTTCTTTTCGGGAAACTGTTTCTAGCTGACTAGTGAGTGCCGCAAGAGAATCTTTGGTCTCAAGCACGAGAGCCTCAACTGCATCAATATGATCTTTTCGGACGGATTGTTCCCCGTCAGCTAGATCTTCAAGGCGGGCTTTAGTGTTTCGAAGGATTGTCTCAATAGCCTGTACGTCCTCTTTTGTAGCAGCATCGTCGGGGTTGGCAGGAGGACCCGAAGGCTCGCCGTCTTTGTCTCTACTACTTGACATACCCGACATGCCGGCCATCGACTCCTGCATGTTCCGAAGCATTTCCTCCATTTCATTGAGATCCTCTTTAGATAAGCCGTTCTTGAGCATCTCCTCTAACTCAGCAAGATCATCTTTAGATAGACCCTCCGCAGGCGGCTGAGATTGTGGTGCCTCCATGGACTCCATCTTCGTTCTCATCTGTATCATCATAACCTCGAGATTTTTGATGTCGCCGTGCTTGACAAGATCCGCAGGGATGAGAGCCGTGCTTGTTACCTCCTCGGCAGTGGCGACGGTTGCCACAGCTTTGTCCTGGTTATTTTCGCGCAGGGAGTCGATGTTTGTTTGAACGCCGTCTAACCCAGATTTAAGAGCATCAAGGATCTCGTCATTGGCTGTTAAATCAGCTGGTTTGTCGGCTACTTTCTCGATGCTGAGTCGCAAGTCACTAAAACCCTCGTGTAAGGCGTCGAGGATATCCGTGGTGCCGGCATGAGGACGAAGCAATTCTCCTCGTATTCGTTCAATACTGTCACGGATTGCCTCAAGAACATCTCGATTGTCGCTCATTTGTGGCACATGAGGAACAAGCGAGGAATTCACTGTATCTCGGAGCGACTCGATTTCTTGTCTGATCATATCCCTGGAGCCATCGGAAGCCTTTCCAACAAGCTCCGATACCTCTTCCTTGAAGATATCAAAGCTGTTGACGACATTGCTCATGAGTTCCTCTTGATTAGAAGCACCGGAAGCCTTGTCGACGTAGCCTTCCATGTGCTCTCGTAGCTGGTCGAAATTGCTGGTGAGGTTCGTCATCAGCTCGTCCTGATCCGAGACATTGGATGTGTTGAGAGCTCTGTCAGCGGGGTTCTCTACGTGTGCCCGCAGTTTTTCGAGGTTGCTGGCGATATTGGCCATCAATTCATCCTGGCCAGATGGGCCTGAGACTTTTTCGACAAATTCGTCCATGTGTGCGCGAAGTTGTTCAAACCCATTCTCTAGGTTAGACATGAGTTCCTCATGGCTGGAGGTCCCCACAGCTTGGTTGACGTAGCCTTCCATATGTGTTCGCAGCTGATCAAAGCCATCCCGAGTAGCGTCCAAGACCTGCTCCGTGTCTCTACCATTCGCAGCAACATTCTGCTTCGCCTCTTCAGAAACGGCCTTAAACTCCTCCCGCATATACTGCATAATATCGTGAAGGCGCTCAATGATCTCGGTATTTTCACCCCCGTGGGGTACAAGCGCGGTACTGTGGGTAGAGTTTATGCCCTCTTTGACAGCGTCCAATACATCATCCCGAGTTAGGTCATTATTCGAGGGCGCAATAGGGAACTCAAAGTCCTCGAGACATTCCCTAACAGCCTCGATTACTTCGTCCCGGGAGATACTAGCTGGCGTATCAACTTGCGGGGGGACGAAATGCTTCAGTCCCTCGACAATTGCTTGGAATACCTCGTCCCGTGTCGCACCTTGAGGGGTCTCTTGACGTGGTGCATACTGTTCTAGTCCTTCCTTCAGGCAATCAAGAACCTCATCCCGCTCCAATCCAATCTGTTGGATTTCGATCTCAGGTTTGTAGTTTTCCCAAGCATCCTTGACAGCCTCGATGACATCATCTCGGCTAAGTTTCGGGTCGTGGTGTCGGGTGGCTTCTGAGTCGCTTAAAGCGGTCCTTAGGGCGTTGTAGATCTCTTGGTAATCGATGGCAGGCTTCTCTATCTCAGATGATACTCGTCTGTGATCTCGAAGACGATGTGCCATGTAAACCCTTATCTGTTCCAATCCCTCCTCCACAATTCTTGCTAGCTCCGCCCGACTAGCAGTTTCGCTTTTGCTGGGAGATTTACCATGCCAGTCATCTAGCTTCCTGCTGATCTCCCTCCCCATCCCAAGAACCTCACCGCGAAGCTCTCGGACAAGGGCTTTAACCTCAGCCGTCATACCTCCTGCCTGGGCAACGCTATCTTTGACGGCACGAATGACCTTGACGATATCATCATTCAGAGCATCGTTAACTCGTGTCGTAACTGATGGTCGCCGAGTGTCTTTGCCGTTCATCAGCTTTTCAACTCTGTGATTCACCACGCCGCTAATTTTTGATCCGGAATCATCACTACTGAAACTCATTGACCTTCCCTTCTCCAGTCTACCGCCATTGGTAGGGTGAGCTGGGTGTTCGCTAGATATTCTCAGGTGGTGGATAAGCTCTTCCACTTTGTCGGCTGAAGCCATGCCGGCTAGCCTGTCTGCTAACTCAGACAGGCGACCAACGATTGATTCCTGGCCATCTTTTGTGCCCATGTCTCTGATAATCTTTTCGAGTAATGCCATTGTCGCAGGGGACGATTCCCCTCCTACAAGAGATGGTGTGCTCATGATCGACTCTCGATCAATGGAGGCCGCGAAACTATTCGGCGACGGGATCCTTGGAAGAGAGATCGGTCGCCCCATCTTCCCTGGCCCGGGCGACATGTTGTTGAAAGGCTTGTTGTCAAGATACAGTCCGCCAGTATAGGTATCTCGATGATACCGAGAAGTGTCCGAGCCGGAGTTTAAAGCTAGCTCGCGCAGGCTCTTTCGAATATCCTCATCTCTAGCATGTGTAGCCTCTTTGAGGCTCATCAAGTCGGTAGCATTGTCTCTACTTCGACGGCTCAACTGAGACATTTCCTTTTGAAGAGCGGTTGCAATATTGGTCAAGGTAATAAGTTGATTGGAAAGGTGTTCTGTGGAAGGATGCGGTTTCATCATGGGTGCAGAGTTGTTTGTAACATTCGCCAATGGAGATTCGATGTCCCGGGAGGATACGGAAGGCATATTTTGCAAGGCCAGCATGGTGGCAGATTGCGGTGGTGTGTTTTCACCAAGAATGCTCTGTGGTGGCTTCCTCACAGAGGGGCGAACCATGGAGCTCAAATTCGCCGCCATTGGTGTAGGTGTGCCAGGGGCGGTGTTCTCTTTCTCAGCTGATCTTGACTCTCTGTCGTAGTCCCGGCCGCGAGTCGGTGTTTGTGGTCTTGTTTGTGATCTCGCAGATCTATCTTTTTCGGGTGAACCTCGAGGAGTAGAGTTCGCAGAGTCGCGATCTCTCGAGCCTTCGATCATCAGGCTGAGGTCTCTAACACTGCCTGGTTGCATAGATTGCATTCGCTTATGGGGGCTTGTTGTTCTCTGAACTAGAGCGCGCTCAGGTGATGTGTCGTTCATACGTTTTGCGAGTGAGGGGACTAGTGCGTGCTCACGCGCCTTCTCTGTCAAGGCGGCGTGCGCAGATTGAATGGCTAACGATGTGCCACTGCGTGATGGTCCTACACCGGGCGACTGGGGATTCATCGGGAGAGGGGGCGGCGCCCGCTCCGGGTCAGAGCTATCCCACCTAGAACTTTTAGTAAGCCTACGACACAGCCACATCGCTGAACGACGGCGATGGAAAGAAAGAGGAAACATACATTGGTACTATAGCTCCAATTGAAGAAGAATGCTGATGTCTTAGAGGCCGGTCGACCGGTGCGTCACGCTCGACCGGCGCCATCATCTGTTCTGCTGTTTCTGTTTGAGGGGATGGAATGAATATGTCTCTGACTTGCGAATGTGCGATGCGGCCAGAAGCCGTATTACAATGTCAGATATCTAGCAATCGTGTAGTAAATAATTAGCCTAAGCTAATCCCGTCAAAGCGGGAATTCAAACAATCAATGTTTAATGTTTAATCAGTCAGATATGACTATCAAGTTGTGAGTGGGATTGATGATGGATATGATGGATATGATGGATGATGGTGATGGATAATGGATTTGAAGATTAGACAAAGAAAAAAACGGAGCATGGGGGTTCATCTATGAAGATTCCTGGTAATATGTGATGACGGGAAGCAACTACTGCTCTGTTCCTACATTGTGCTAACTGCTATTGTTATTATTAACGGTTGTCCCGCTCTTGCGTACTTTCTGTGTGGGACTGTGTGGACAAACAACCGGGCTCCTGCCCAATCCCAACCAAGTTTTATTGATCTGCAACGTCACAACGTCGCTGCCCCAGCAACCGAAGCTTGGACCAAAAATACGCACATGTGCAACCACTTAGCGAGACCTAAGTAACTATGTACCTTGCCGGTCCTTGTATTTTATTTTTGATGACTTTCAATTTTTCGTTCTCGTCACATCTTGCCCAGCGGTTCATCACCATCGCTGTAAGATGCAATATCAATAAATTACTCATTTCCATGCCTCTACCACACACATCCCACCGCCACATCATCGTCTTCGCTGGCTTCTAAACATACCTAGGTACTTTACTACATCGATATATTATTGTTTACAATAACTTGCAAGTTTGGTCCGAACCCACTTTGAAGATATCCCCCACGTGTGTCCCACTACCGTCCCCCATCTTATTCATTATGTACTATGTATGTACGTAGATTAATATTTCCGAAAATATGGTGCGATGTATAAGCAAGACCCGTCCGAGAGTATTGTGTTTAATTTTGCTAGTCTTGGGTGTGTATATAAATCGTAATGTCGACTTGACGATTTACATACATCTTTACATTAAGAATGCTTCTATTGCCTATGTACCTAGGTAGTTATAGAAGTTGACAGGATTTATATTTAAGGCTACTTTATACGTCATTCATTCTATGCACAATAGCTTCAACGTAGAACTTTGAATAAGCAGTCAGATCATTCGATATCTACCTAAGCCTATTATGCGTTCAATATCTTTAGAATAGGTAGGTAGGTATCGTCCATGCCTGGCGGAGTCTCCCGAACACATCCCGGAGCCTGATCCGGAACCCCGTGGAAAATAGACGGAGAAGAATTCGGAGTCCTTATCAAGTCACCCTCTATCCTTTCAAGGTTCCGACAAAAATATTACTTACCTAATTACTGTATCCTCAAAACAGATTACAGGGTCATACTTGCTATGCAACTCAAGCAAGCAACCTTTCTCTAGTCAACCCCGCTCTAATAAATCAAGTCAAATCGCCAAGCATTGCACATAGTCCGAATACATACCTGGGTACCTAATAGGCACACACAATATGATACATGTACCTATGCAATCAAGAACTCAACAGCGGACTCGCCTAAGAAGTTATTGTTGCCAAGAAAACAGTTTCGGGTTATATCCTCTCAGTCGATAGAGAGAAATGAAGGCATGATTTATACTTAGGGTAACTCAACAGAATGTTGTTCTTATTATCCGAAACTGAATCACAGTAAGTCAAACCGCGTGAGTGTCGCCCCCCCTTAAGAATCGCCCCTTGTAATGGCGCCCCAAAATTAGCCAATAAAAGGCTCGTATTTTTTGCGAGCCACTTTTTTTCCGTTGTACCTCTTTCTAAGTTCTTTACAGCCAATCAAAAGCCTTTATTCCTGCTACATGCTCCGTAACTTTAAATACACCCAATTAACGCTTGAATCGCGTATAAAAGCCGTGCGAGGCTGTTTCTAATTGGAACGCTTTAGCCCTCTTTTAAAGAACGAATCAACAGCCACAAATTCCGCCAAGTCCACCAGGAACCAATCAAATGGAACACTAAGACCAATTAGGTTGAACTTTAAATCAATTGACCCAATCAAAACGTTTCCTTTTATTTTAGTTGAATCGATTAAAACGAAAAAGGTAATACTAGTATCGTGCATCACGTGACATCTTTCCGAAAAATATTATTTTTTTACGCATTAAAATTCTTCAAAAAAGCTTAGATTAATTACTTAAAAGCGTTGATAGCTTCAAAAATTCGAGCCTAAACTTAATTGAGACTAGTACGCACGTTTCATTGGCGAAAGTAAACAATCCAGTCTTAAAATGGCAATTGAACCTGATTTCTTTCGATGTACCGCGTTATACCTAAAATGGGTAAGCCTGTATCCACTTCTTGCAAGGGGCGATTCTTAAGGGGGGGCGACACTCACGCGGTTTGACTTAGGTATAATACTGCATAGTAAGTTGAGATACTTACTAGGTACCTAATGTACCTAGGTGCCTAAGACACACGCTAAAACCCCACGACGACAGATAGCGGCAAAGATTATATGCAAATATAGTTATCGCTTTCAACATCGGTCCGTTGGCCCAATGGTAAGGCGTCTGACTACGACTACCAGCAGTTATCAGGAGATTCTGGGTTCGACCCCCAGGCGGACCTTCTCTTTTGCCAATTTATGCGATTAATCGCAGCGATTCTTTTTCTTATTTCTGTCAAATGGGCGAGTCGAACACTGATCTATTAACTGATTTCATTATGCGTTCCAGATTGGCAATATAAGCAGAAAAAAAGTGTTTAAGCAGGTCGCTTTCAGAGATATAGACACCACGTAATCTGCATGTATTGAGACATACAAAAGTCGAATGGTCGAGCTCAACTGCGGGATTCAATGGCGTAACAAAGGTGTCGTGAGCGATAATATTGTACCAGTGTACGTCCAGGCTTTCCAGTTTCGGCATAATACTTGACATGTCTAAGAGACCTCGTAGAGCTAGTTTGCCATACGCAGTCTGGCTGGATTGTCGTGGTATGCTAATCGCTGAATCTGATGTGCTCTCTTCGGAATCCATGAAAGGCGACAACAAGCTCAACGTCAGTTTCTTCAGCGAGCTGAATATAGGCATTGACGTGAACTGCTGGGTAAGGGGTAAAAGAGCATCGTACGTAAGACTGCACCTTGAAACTCCACCATAAATGTCTAGATGTTCGTCTATAGGCAGTTAGGACGCGTGTAATGCTGCCATAGCGATATTGAAGGTTCGCAGAGCCGTAGCCCAGATAGTTTTTCGTAATGAAGGACTGCCTGACTCAGAAGTGTAGTTGCGGTTGCGCACACTCACACGGAGACACAGCAAAGCAAGTCTACCTTTGGGTGAACGCTGCTTCAGATTGCTGAAAGCCATGGTTAGAAGACGTATGTACTCGTCATTTCGTGTTCCGCTCGTGTCACTTCCCGCGACGCCGGTAATAGTACAATGTTGTAGTAAACAGCCTAGACGACCTTGACTAGTTATATGTACCATGTTCTCCAAGGCCCTCGAAGCTAGCTTGACATGCTTATTGTTGAAATACTTAGCAAGATGTTGCTGGGAAACTTTGTTCTCAACAATGCGGCTTGTAAGTCGAAGTGAGATAACATCTCAAAGTTCAATGAACGTCACTATGTGACCGACCAGCTCTATAGGGAGAGTTTCGAGGGAGGGTTTCATACTGTAGTCTGTTATTATATGTTTGTCGGGATTAGAAGTCGAGGAATGGATTGATCAGTGTCGATAACGTGCTCTATAGCTAGCTGCGTCACCGTCACGGCTTATTCCGAGACAGGTTTCACCACTATGTCTGTCCCCGTCGCCGAGCCCCGCCGCCGTCAAGTCCACGTCTACGCCGACTGACAAAAGCACCAGCAGTAACTATGTACTCTATTTTTACACGGTAATAAACCTGGCACTTAAATTAATTTTTAATCCTCCCGTTTTCAATCCGTACTTCCACGGTATCTTCCGTTTCTAACATCAAAGGTGGAATTTTGGTTTGATACAATCGCCGCGGTACTCGATCATCTCCATCTCCCTCGTTTCTAATCTCCGTGTAGCTACCGACGCACCACCATACCCCCCGAGGCAGCATCTGGATGCGATACTTTCCGTCTAGAATCCCATTAAGTAACCCGCTAATATCTACGCGCCTGACAAGCGGCTCGCCCGCGATCAAAGTAACCAATGATCCCAGCTTCGGGCGGTGGTCGACGTTCGAGTCGGTTAAGCCGTCGCACGGTCCGGGCTTCATAGCATGACGTACTACATCGCCTGTAGCAGCATCAACTACCAGGAGGCCAGAGTTAGGTGCCGGTGATGTTGCGTCAATGATTCGAGGTTGGGAAGCTTCGATTTCTTCAGGTTGGAAAGGACCCCACGGCATTAAAAAGCGCTGCTGGCCGCGTGTCTGGATGGTGACTGATTGGTCCCCGGTGTTCAAAACCGATATCGCCAGAGCACCCACGCCATCTGAGTCGTCGACAGTCTCCTCGCTCCGGCACAATCGCATGTGCGTCTCCACCTTCGGCGGGCGCGGTAATGCCGGCAACACCGCAAAACTCGCTTTGCCCGCTGACGGCTTACTGTTGACCAATTTAGCGGTCTCTAAGGCCCTTGTAGTGAACGCTTCGTTGCTCGGGAGTTGATCATTGTCGCCGTAAGCCCACCACTTCACGCCTAGATCTTTGCCAGCCAGCCGAATGGTGTACTTCCTGCCCGGTCGTAGCACTGAGGCTAGCTCGCTATCAGGCTCTATCGGATACTGATAGATAGCCATCGCTTCCCGCCAGTGTACTGCTCGGTCAACTGGCGAAGGAACGGTAAGGTATGTTCCAAACTCGCTCTCGGATAGTCTCAGACGGCCTACTAAATCAACCCGTACCTCCTGCCCGTCTTCTCCATGATGCTCATGAAGTGTAAGGAGCCCGTGGGCAATCGCGTAGGGCACGTCCAGGAATGAGTTCGCAGTATGCAAGATTATAGGTCGTGTATCTATATCGTTTGGCTGGCGGCGACAAAGACCAAAGACAATACTAAAAGGATGTTGGCCCGAGGCGTCGAAGACCTGATATCGGCTATGGATTGCGGTGTGAATGCACAGTTCTTCCATTTTTGACAATGAAGAATGAGTCAACCGCACGGGCAAACGTTGTTTGGGGCTACAAGGCCTTAATTATAAAGAAACTAGTTATAAATGCCCTGCATACATATTCATGGTCATAGAAACATACTAATAACCCTTTCGACTTGAAGGAGCTTTGTATTGAACCAAGCGATGCTTATATCATTAGACTCATACATCGTATTCCTCAAATAAATAGCATTATAAGTTGTAAGCCAAAAGGAAATAGGGGTAGCTCAATACTATGTAGGTATACTTGATAAAATATAACCAAGTCCCGCCTAAAATGACGGGACTGATTGTAGCAAAAATATGCAAAAGAGAAGGTCCGCCTGGGGGTCGAACCCAGAATCTCCTGATAACTGTTGGTAGTCGTAGTCAGACGCCTTACCATTGGGCCAACGGACCTTGATGATTGAACTGACTTTACCAAACTCTATATTGCAAATTCATTGCGCTAATTGTGTTCGAATCGGATAATCGCCGGATCTTATCTCAAAGTGTGACCAAAAGCGACTCAGGAGGAAGGAAAGTATTAATTCATGACTTACATAGTAATTTAGGAATTAATCAGGATGAGATTAATAAGAATTCTTCACCTTCAACCGAAAAAGTTTTCATATTATAGTGACAGAGTAGGTAGGAAAAGTGAATAGAAATATTGCCTGACGATGGGAAAACTTAAACATTTTAAAAATTTGATGTTACGCCCTAAAAGTTTTGGCTGTATGCGATCCATCAAAAGGGGGGGAAATTACCCAACTTAGGTATTGGTCATTTGAAACTCAAGAATAATTCAACTTGAATATACTAGCCAGTGTTGGTACATATATATAAGTTATGGCAGGACTTCAAAGAAAAAGAAGAAGAAATACTATACTAGGTAGACATATCAACTCCGTGTCTAACCTGGTACAATATCCATAGGACCATAGCTACAAGTATAACATCTTACACAACATGTCGTTCCTAGATGGTGTTATTTAGAGTCGAGTTTTATTTATTTATTTCGTCCTGAAGATAGAAACTCCTCATCTATCCTCTTGAAGTCTCTGTGGCCATCTAATAAGTCAAAACCGGTCGAATCGCTAGTTGTCCACGACCGAAAAACGCCGGCTCCGTCATATATACATGTAGCGGACCATTGGCGCCTGGATCTATCATTACACATTCCAACTAAATCCCATCTACTCGCTCCCTTATTATTCGGCACTCTACTTAAGCATCGTGTCAAACGCCGGGATAAGAGTCTGGGCAAGCCAGAATGAGAACACAAGCTTCGGCCCAGTCATGAGAAGCTATGAATAATTAGCACCGTGTATCCGTAAAATAATGCGAGGTGTTTACCTTGGGCACCAATCCCTTGAAGAAACTAGAGAATCCTTCATTCTTGGCCATGTTAGACAAGATTCGGAAACCACTCTCGGGATTCTCGAAATTCCGGTTCTGAATACGAGTCTTGATAACATCTAGGGGCGCGGAAACGACTAAAGAAGCCGAGGCACCGGCAATAGAAGCGACGAAGTTCTGGAACCACGACGCCTTGTTGTAGTCGCTGAGCTTGAAGAAGTATTCCTTAGTGAAGGCTGAGCCACCGAAGAGCTACGGGACGTTAGTTAAGCATGAGAATTTTTATGTAGTTGGCCGTACCGCAAATGATCCAGGGGCATTTCGAGCCGCTGTCCATCCCCAACCTCTGTATAATCCAAAGCCCTCATCGGAGATAATCTTGAAAATACCACGTCCTCGGAATGCGTCCGGGTTTGTTTGGCGCTTGATCTTCAGCACGTCCAAAGGAAGCAGGACAATCTCACCGATACCGATCAAACTAAAACATATTAATGAATCCACCATACTTCAGCAATTCGTTACTTCGAAGCTTACCTTCCAGCAGTCGAATGCATAATTGCCTTTCCGGTCTTCTTTCCGAATGCGCTTTCGAAGTCCTTGCCGTAGTGCGCCGCAAGGTAATCTCGAGCAATCGGTTGGCCGCCATACTTGTATATTCTTTGAGAGACCTGATCCAGATAGTTAGCTAGTTATCCCTCTACTCGCGATAGGATGCGGGCGCGCTTCTGACCTTGTATCCTGCGGCATAACCTAAACCTGGGAAGAGGGAGAAGAATTTGCGACCAAACGGTGCTGCTGCCTTCTCCTTAAAGACAACCTTGTTTAGCTCACTAGCACTCCGGATCTACATCATAGTCAATATTATGTGGTATTTTAAATGTTATATTTCGATGGTTTGTACCTTCGTCTGGTTGCTCATTAATCGCTTCGCGATGGTGTCGACCTTGAGGTCCGTTAGTCTTGCGACGCAATGATTCGAGATATATAAGCACGCACGGGATGAAAGACAGCTAGCTCGGCAATACCGGCGGAACCTATGTTGATTCAATTAGCTATTGTTATGATATTAGGAATATTGTCTAACATACCGGAACCGAGGAGTCGAGCGAGATTCGACTCGCGCTCTTTGCCAGTGACCATAGGTGCCATTGCGAATTACTATAATTGTAAGACAATTCCGCAGAATATTCTTATATTCTTAGGAACTATGGTATATGACCACCTATATTTGACAGATTGAAAGGCTAGAATTATTTTCCTAAGCCTGAAGGGCGAGCTGCGAGGATATCAAGGACTGCGGACTCGGCGGAGAGAAGCGCACAATAGTTGGAATAAAATATCAATCGCGCCGAAGATTTATAAAAAAAAAAAATCGAGATATTTGCGACCAATTCTAGCACCGCACTAGATAAAATAGCGGGGAGCTTGGGGAAGCTTCAGGGGTTCTAGGGATGATTCGGGCTTATCATGTTGGCGATAAGGTTCCGCACCTACCCCTCTAAGCACCCAGGTAAGAGGGGGTAGGAAGCCATCATGGAACTGGGCGTTAATATTAAGAATATCCATAGATCCATAAAGTATCAACTCGCGAAGGTTATTACTAGGTATCTACGTAAGATTCCGATCATTGTCATAGTTCTAACGAAGTTACTGCCTATCAATAGAACTATACATGTATGTAGGCCCCTAGTCATACCTGTAGTATTAGAAAGCTTCTTATTTCGGCCAACTATAAGTACATTTGTCACCTACTACTAGGTATCAGGACATATAATCCGTGACGCGATCCTACACGCCACAATTTTAGAATCGATGGCTAATCGAACCTTTAATACAAACACACTTTTAAGCCGTTAGGCCAGACCTCCATGAACTAACGCCGCCAATGCAAATGCAACTTTTCCTTCCAACCCTGGTATCATATGGGAGAATGAAAATTAGAAGTCCCTAAGGACAGATACGATATCGTCGAGTTTCGCCACTTGGCCGAGGAGCTTCTTCTCGATGTCGAGTAACCGGATGTAGTCGTTATACACGTCGCCCCTGAGCCTATCCTCCTCTATCCCTTGTACATCTTTACGTTCAGCCATCTCGAGGACGCTCTTCTTTTTTTGACGCTCAACTTCTAGTCGTTGGAAGCAGCGTACCATGGACTTATAGGTATTGTCCAATATTCGCTGCAATGTCCTGTCGAGGTCGAAGAACCAGAAGAAGATCGTCCGAGCAGCTGCTCGGTTGTTGTCCCGAGGTACCTCTTGCACGTCGAGAAATCCTGCCATCTCCATCTCTGCCATCTTGACATGCACGTCTGGCTTCTTCATAAGAGCTAAACCAGGCAATGTCTTGTCGTCGATCTTGCCCTTCTCCCTAAGAATCCGGGTGAGGCGCAGACCTTGACGACCGAAGCGGTTCTCAATAATTGTGTCGAGCTCGAGGAATTTCAGATGTTGTATGAGCGGCTCAAAATCGACTGTCCACTCGCCGAACTCGTTCTCGCCACAGTGACGTACAAACCCCTGTGAGCTCTCGGCCAGTATGAGAAGATGTTGGCGCATCTCATGCAGCCGTCGTGAACCGACTGGGACTCCATCATCTTCTTGCACCTCTACACCATTTGTACCGTTTTGTCCGTGGAGTCCGAAGTGGTCCGCTGCCTCTCCGCTATGGTCATAGTCTTCGTCGTCCGACCCTATGATTTCTTCATCTTCCTCTAGCGTCTCTTTGAGAGTCGAGCCCTTGAGCTGTGGAGGATATCGTCGAATCTTTTCCGCATATTTGATATCAATGGTTCCCTCGCCATGCAGTTTCCCAATCCCGGTGGATAAATCAATAGAAGGATTTAATTGCTCGAAAACCTCTTGAGTGGTGACGCGGGGCTCTGCGGTGACATCATTGTCATCTTCAATCTCTAACGATCGATCAATTTGACAGCGAGAGACCTTTTTACCCAGTACAGCAAGCAGTGTTGCGTACACCTTTGCCGTGGTATCACCAACCAAGTCATCTACATATCGTTCAAGCTTTAGATTGCGAAGTTCGACAGTGCATTTATCATAATTCACTCGGAGAGCAGTGTCAAACTAGATGAAATTGTTAGTAGGCGTTATCACCAGATATGTGTATAGCGAAATCTTACTTGTTGTGCAACGATATTTCTAGCTCCGTCGCCGACATTTGAATTTGACATGCCACCGTTTGTTAACTTCCGGCGCTTTGTAGTGGGGCCGAGCGCGATCTCATCTTCGAGCCTTCTCTTCAGATATGTGTTCTTTTTCTGGATATCTTTTAGCCTTTCTCTTACACTCTTTTCAAATTCGGCAGTTTGCTTGGATCCTCGGATGCCGGTAGGGAAATCCGCTAGATAAGCTTGCTCGACTGAACTCCTAAGATCCTGCGGGGACTGGTACATCGTCGGCATAACCGGCTCAAGGATGCCAGTGGCGATTAGCTGCGCGAGTGTGCCATAGACTAGGTCGTCTGTGTCCTCGCTACTATCTCCTGACTTTACGTCTTCTGAACCGTTGGCGATTCCGTTGCCGTTACTGTTGCTATTGCCATTACCATTGACGTGATTATGACCATTTTGCAATGTTCCATTGACAGCTCCATTGCGGGCGTCTTGTTTATTCTTAAATGCTTCGATGAGGTCCGAGATTTTCGCATGGCCTTGTATAAGGACCTCGTGTACTAAGTAATGCGCATGGTGTCCGTATTTGGTGCGTACCATATCCAATATCTTTCCCATTCGGACGAGGTTATATGCAGCATGATGATTTGCTTCGTAATGAGTGATACCAGTGTCTTGGTCGGTAAGATGAAATATGAGATTCAACTGTATGAGCACAGCAACACCATGGCGCACTTGTCGTTGGTTTATGAATGTGTGTTGCGCCAATTGTGCGACAGTCGATCTGCCTCGTGCGAGAAGGTCGGCGAATATGCGCTACGAGAATCAAACTTGTTAGTACCAAACTTGCTTGGTATAGGTGGAGATCTTAGAGGATATCCATTTGCATTGGGGAAATCCATACCGATGGGAGCTGGCCATACAGCTCGCTGATTAGCAGAACACAAAGTTCTGCAACATTCTTTGTCTAGCATTGAAATGGTCAGTATTTTATTTTATGTAAGGGGAATACTAGGTAAGTAAATAAAGGAGCAAAGCGTTAAGCGCATGATTGAGAAAAGAAAATAGATGACGGCAGGAAGACAGGAGATTAACTCACGACTAACATGGCTGATAGAACTCGGACTCAGCCTTGATGTGAAAAAGTAGATAGATAATAGGACTTGGGATTTGTCGAAGGGATTGGCTTCTAGAGATCCTCTCACTATCTCTAGAGCACTACAATTACTACCGCAGCTTCATTGAAAAGCCGAGTAAAAAAATAGGAAAATTTCTCCAGTAGACGTGGAGATAGCGCGAGAAGAGTTGTGACTTTTATTGTTCAAGGTTGGTGACGGGAATATTATGCAGCGCAAGCGCGAATAGTAATAGTAAAAATAAATTTCAGCGCAGCTACTTTTTTAGGATAGCGGGGAATGAACTTAATGGTCGAAGCTTTCAATGTTAGATGTCCCTCCAATTGTTCCCTGCCCCGCCTACCCGCCCCAAAATTTTCACTAGCCAATCATAAATGTTTACAAGTGGCTGACCAAATTCTAGCCCCGTTAAGCCTCAGTAACGTACCACAGTAACTCATCCGTGGGACATAACCGAGAATTTACCGGAAATTGAGCATCTTTTTGCTTGGAAGTCGGAAGCTTTCAAGGATCTGCGGAACCAAAAAGTTGTTGTCGCAGACCTCAAAACGCCTATTGTCGACGGCACCGCCTTTAAAATGTTCTCCAGATCGGCTCTCTCTAGAGGTGCCCAGCTAGCTGCACGTAGGCAAGGCTGTTCACAGCTTGCTCAACGTCGAGCCTACGCTGCCGCCGCATCCTCTGCCCCATCCGCACTGACATATGATACCACCGAAGTTGCTGGTGTCAAGGTCGCTACCAGAGACTCCCATGGCCCGACAACAAAACTTGCTATTGTCGCCAAGGCAGGTACTAGGTACCAGCCAGTTCCTGGTCTGACTATTGGTTTGGAGGAGTTCGCCTTCAAGGTAAGTAAGCCGAGCAGATATCCGTACATTATTGGGAGTTTTTTTATCATTATCATGAGCTAATTAGTTGTGATCGCCTCAGAATACCGAAAAGCGATCGGCCCTACGCCTCGTCCGAGAAGCCGAACTTCTAGGAGGCCGATTACTTGCATATCACACTCGAGAAGCATTAGTTATTGAGGCGAGCTTTTTGCGAGAAGACATCCCCTACTTCACTGAACTGCTGGCAGAAGTTATCAGTGAAACCAAGTACACCAGTGAGCTATCTCAAGCCATTGGCCTTCCATAACGTACTTACTTGTTCCGTAGCATTCGAATACCATGAGGAGGTGGAAAGGGTCTTGAAAGTAAAGCAGGCTAAGCTCGCTAACGATGTTTCCGCTCTTGCTCTCGACTCGGTCCACTCAGTCGCCTTTCACCGTGGCCTTGGTGCTTCCCTATATCCGACCAGTTCAACCCCTCTGAAAAATTTGAACGAACATACTATCGCTGCGTACGCGAGCGCCGCCTACACTAAGCCGAATATCGCGCTGATCGGAGACGGTGCTACTACTACCGCTCTACACAAGTGGACAGAACAGTTCTTCAAGAATGTACCTGCGTCAAAACCCAAGAATATCGAATTCTACACAAAACCTACAGAATACTATGGTGGAGAGACGCGCATAAGTCACACAGGTGGAAACTCGCTGGTCATCGCGTTCCCTGGTTCCAGCTTCAATGCTTTCAAACCCGAAATTGCGGTTTTGGCAGCATTGCTAGGTGGTCAACCTAACGTAAAGTGGTCGCCCGGTTTCACTCTTCTGTCCAAGGCTGCGGCTTCAAATGGAGTGGTCGCTTCTGGAACCAACCTCGCCTACTCCGACGCTGGTTTACTGGCCATTCAGATCACCGGAGCTGCCGAGTCGGTCCACAAAGCCGGTGCCGAGGCCGTCAAGGCCCTTAAGGGCATCGCTGAAGGAACTACTAGCAAGGAAGACCTGACCAAGGCAATTGCCAAAGCGAAGTTCGACGCTTTAGAGGGTAGCCAATCGGGCGTTTCGACTCTCCTATCTGCCGGTTCGGGCATCATCCACACTGGCAAGCCTTTCCAGATTGCCGAAACCGTCCAGTCGATCAATGGTGTCACGGCAGACAAGATCAAGGCTGTATGTGTAGACCCTCCCTTTTCCATGATTTCATCGCTAATGATAAATACAGACCGCCAAGTCTCTTATTGATGGTAAGGCTTCAGTGGCTGCAGTTGGTGATCTTAACGCATTGCCATTTGCGGAGGAGCTTGGACTGAAGGTATAGACGGGGAAATTGGGAAACAAAAGTGTACCAACAGATCAACCCACTGCTGTAGAGTCAAGCTACCTGTGCATATAATAAACCCCCTAGAATTTTCTTTAAATTTCCATCGTAGGTACCTACCTAATCTAGGTACATATGTACGTATCGTGTTGCCTACCAAATCTACGACGCAGCGTGTCCTGTAACTGACGTATGCTGCGACTATCTCTAAACCCCAAGTATTTATGAATAGGTACCTAGTATATACTGAAATTTCATAATGCCCTTGATGATCTTGAACCCTTAAAGTCTTGTGAAGATGTAAGATACCCGCGACTACATGTAGCTAGAAGGATTGTACTAGGTAGTGAATTACTTATCTAATATCCATCCTACATACATACTTCGGTACAATCTTTTTAAGGGGGCTTCCGAGGGAAAAAATGGATCACGTGCACATTTAGGCCACTGTCGGCAGCGTTCACTAGCGTTAGCGGGTCAGTGCATTCTCAATTCCATTCTACTGCCGCAGCTACATTTTATGCTTCAATACAAATCAACGATACCTTCAATCACTTCTCAACTCCAATTGATTCTCCAGCAACCGTCAAGATGGTGTTCGCGTGGAAAACCGCCGGTCTCTCGTAAGTCAAATGACATAAATGATACTCCTTTTAGGAAGATGGTTTTCAATGGGCCTTCCGGCAATACGAAGATTCTCAGTTTATTAACTTATCCATCTGACCGAATAGCTACAACCGCTACCTTGCTGTCGCAGCCCGCGTCGTGCGCCGAAGCTTGAAAGAGGAAAAGAGAATAGTTGCCGAACGACGAGGAGAGATGGACTTGCGATTCGCCAAATGGCAGGTAAGTTATCTGTCTTAATAGCATGTGAAAATCAAGAGTTGGGAAGAACTAGTGGCTGATGGGTTTTATGCCTCAATTCACAGAACGGCAAGATGGGCGAATCGAAATCTCTAGCCGATGCCAACGCCGCTGCCGCAGTCGAGTCTGCCTCTGGTGGTTCATCATGAGCTGCGAAATAGACAGATGCTTGCAAATGAGGAGGAATAGTACCTATTTTCTAGGAATACCTAGATACGAATGCGGATGCGGATAGACAAATGAACGGTCATGATCACTTTTATGCCGCTTCGTGTATAGCTGTATAAAACAAAATCAGTTTCATTCCAAATTATTCCTCTGGGTTAGAAGAAAAGACTGAATTTGCCTCTATTCATGGTGAATATCTAGTAGTGATCTATGGATGTTATGAAGCTGTATGGTGAACAGCCTGCGTCAAAATATAATTAGGTAGGTGCTAGGTACTCTAGACGGTCGCCGGCGGGTCGGTTACACCTAACAATGGAGGGTCTTAGAACGTTGAAGGTACCTATCCTCTTAGAAGAGCGACCTCTAGCACCTGGATCCATGTAACTACAGATACCTACCTAGTACTGTAGGTAGTATCCAAGGTACATTATCTCATACTGCAACTTCCACCTAAGTGATATTTCAAAATTCATAAATGACATGATAACCCGCTTTAAGATCTTATCAGTTCGTTACCTTCTATCAGTTTTTACTTTAAAATCATGTAATTTGAAACTTTGAATGTGTATGGATGTATGTACATACATCATACTTAGTAGGTAATGTTTGTAGGTATGTACGGAGCCTTATACATTTTTTAACCGTTACAAATACTGCGCGTTTTTAGCGCTAAAACTTATGCCCTCAATTGTCAATTAATACCTAATTCAACGTTTTACCTCTCTTCTGTCTCCCACTCCACCGCAGTGACTACAGGCTCGCAGATCTCCTAGGGCTACTCATCATCGGTACTTACAATACCTACCTAATACCTAGTAGTAAATGACTTCAACTTCAAGTTCATCTTCTGAAGTCACTTGCTTAGGCACAGTGGCTGCTTTGGCCTACTCTTTCCGTCTTGGATGACTCCACTATCTTGACGTCTCTCGAAGCCGATGTCGATAATAATTGGTCGTATTTCATTTACATACTACCTACCATGTAGGTAGATACTTCAAACCCAATGAGACTATGGACGCTCAATAATACGGTCTCCTAATGCCTATATGTGCTGACTAATGATAGTATCGCAATTCATCTCATCATATTTTATAACCGGGACAGCCGATAGTCAAGATGCAGTACCTTGATCCGTTATCGCCTCCCCCAAACGTCTCTCATCCAGGAGTCATGGCTACTAATATTACTGAAAAATTTGCGTCTGCCGTAAAAAGTATGTTATTGCAGCCCTCTTACCTTAGGAGTTATAGGAAGTCATCATTTACTAACTGGGAGTAGCTTTGGCACCTGGCGAGCTTGTTAAAGATGATCACTTCACGCTTTTCGAGTCTGTCGCAGCTCTCGAGGCAAGTTTTATAGAGTAACAATTAAAATATAAGCCCCAGAACTCACTTGCTGACGGGTATGTTAGGTCATGGACCCAAAAATGGATAGCGGCGTGCTGGCAGAAGGGGAATCTTTAGACCAGGAATATGACGTCTCTCGCGATCTGCTGCCAGAGGAAATTCTCGGCATTATTGACCAGCTGCTCTGCCTCGAAGTACGTCCTGCATACACGACCCAATTTTCATCCCAAGTATAAAATTTTCTAACTGAAGGTTACTATTAGATGGCCTGGCATCAAGGCTATCCTCTTTCACAAACTCTCTTCACGAGCGTCTATATAGAGTCCCTTATGAAACCTCGTCCAACTAATATAGACGAGGCTGATTTTATAAGAGATAGCCAAAGTCGTGAGAGACAGCCAAAGTTTCTCTTTATCCTACGCGCGTATTGCCTTGGACTTCTCAAGGCGTGCTGCTTTGTCAACGAGCTCGTCAAGGAGGAGCTTTATTACGAAGTAAGAATAATAAATTCCATAATACGCTATGCAAATCAATCATACTGACTACGTATAGGAAGAGGACTTTGTGACCAACACTTATGATCGCAACCTGCTTTTTGACCTACCACTAGCATCCATCAACAGTTTACTGCTCAAGGCTCGCAGTGATCTTCGCTTAGCTAGCAATGATATTCCTAAGGAAATATCTGCTGCCCTCGAACTCCGCCTCGAGCTACGCATCGCTTTTCTAAGAGCTATCGATCTTGCAAGTCTGCGAAGAAACAACCCAGATTCGTTGAAGATGCCATGGACACAGATGAGCGGCCTAATAGAGCATATTAAGAGGCAGCACGAGTTGGGAAAGCCTGTCCCGGAGGCGTTCAGCACCAAGTTGCAGCGGCGGCTAGCTAGTACCATGCCCCCACGCCCCATGGTTCAGCCTAGTTTTGAGGAGAGTTATGGCCATTTTAAGCGACTTTTCGAAGATGGCGTTGATATCATGGACGTCTTAAAATACACCGAACCGCAAAGTCTTTTGGTAAGTTGGCCGAATTTCTTCTACACGAAAAAAAAAAAAAAAAAACCGGTAATTGACCACGTCTTAGAATTTCGTCCTATTATTCCAAGCGAGAAAACCCCAACCGTTGGTATATATCAGAACATTGCTTCAAAGTATGATCTGCAAAGACATGATCGTATTAGGTAGCTATAGTATCCGTCAAATACTCGATCATGACCTCTCTATCGTTGTTCTTCCCTGCGCGCCCCAAATAGATCGCTCTTACGATGCCATCGAGGTACCAACCGACCCCCGACACCAAATCTCAGCGCAGATGGAGATATTCCGGCAACGAGCTGCTGAATGCTACCTGGAAATATTTAGAATATTTTGTCAAAATAGATGCAGAGTTCGACGAACACTATGTCATAACATTCAAGAATGGGAGATGTTGCAAGGGGATGTTGAGGAGATCGACCAGCTCCTACAGAACGTCCTCGACGAGAAACCCCTCACGATCAGCGGAGGGGATGTCAACTTCTCGCTCCCCCTTTCATCGTGGGCGTACCTATACAAGCTCAGACAGATGGAGTGGATAGTCCAGCTTGGGTTCGAGTTGGAAACTTACCAGACCGATGAGCTTGCTGGCATGTACTGGTACTTGAACTACCTGGCTAAGACGCGTGCGCAACACGGAGACCGAATAAAAGCATTCACAATGCGTAGCTTAAACGAAGCACGCGATGGTCTCGCCGGCTCTAGTGACCAGCTATCACAATACACAGCGGCTAAAGATCGCGAATATATGACTTCACTAGCGTATCTGCGCGTCACTATGCTCGATGCAGCATGCACGTGGGAATTTGCCGATGGCTTATGCTGTCTATATACAGCCTTGCAACGGTTAAATCTCATCAGCCTCCCACAGCGCCCCTATAGTTCTGACACTCTGCGTTACGACTTGCGTATGAAACCCTTTAGGGGTATTTCACTACCAGCCCTGCCGACATTTGATGAGTTTACACGTGCGACTCTACAGCCGGAGACGGCGACACACGACTTACTAAAGTACGCCGAGAATGCTGTCGGAGGCGCACGTAAGGGATACGAGGCCTTAAGTAGGATGTCGGAAGCGCAGACGTTTAGCGCTAATACTCATGATCGTTGGGTTGTTAACATAAAGGATTGCTTGAAAGCTGCGATCGCCGCGGGTGTAGCGGTATCAACACTTCAGCGAGCGTTAGATCGGGCCAGGAGTAGAGAAGATCAGGTTGCGTTAAAGTTGGGACTGAAAGTCGAAATGCCAGAAACGGGTAAGGGATACCATGATTGGTGGATCGTTCCGAAGTTGATTCCTACGGCATGATGTTTCTTTACCTACTAATTTTAGAGGATACAATGGAGGCTACTTTCTTACGTACTATGCCTGGTATTATGTATCCGTCTAGAGAGAAGATTCGGGACATTTGAGTCATACTACAGCCACTAGGATGTAGGCATTAAAATTCCTTGTAGAGTCTGGGTTGCACAGGATATCAACTAGAGGATAGGTAGGTATAGGTTAATCCAATGTGCCAATTTGACGAAAGATATATTTAAGGGTATTGGTTGCTCAGTGACTTTTTAAGCACGGAACTCTCATAGAGGTATACAAATATGGTTTCTCCCTTCTCGTTCCCTTCGTAGTTCTTTGCGCAAAACTTTTCATCCCACTTGCAAAAGGCGAGAGATTTCTTCCTGCATTCCAGTCATGCCGACGACGAATAAGACAAAGCAGGACGGCTACAACGCCACAACCATCCAGGTGGTACAAGGTCATACAATATATACAGATTTAAAGCCGAACTTGATATCTAGAATTTGTGTAGAGGCTTCTTTCCACTTACCAAACATCTAGACATTTACGCCTTGATAGCCTTTCTCGCCACGGAGCCTCGGAGCTTAATGGTCTGCTCGTAGAGGACGTCCTTGAAGGCGAAAAGGAAGGCTGCCGTAAGAACACTCTGGGTGACTTTGGGGCCAATGCCTAGAAGGAATAGTTAGTTCTACTGAATCTGTCAGGTGACAAGCCAAACTTACCCTTGTATAGACCGGCGTAGCCCTCCTCCTTGATGACGCGTCGAATAGCTTGCGTCATGCCCTCGCGTTTCTGGCCATCATCGGCTACGTGCATCTGGCTCTTAACGGTGATGTAAGGGTAGGTGATAGAAGTGGCGAAAAGCTTTCCGATGGCGCCGAGGAAGAAGGCAACGGTCGGGGTTACATTGTGCTTGCGCCGGCGCTCGTAGGCATTCTTCATCTGTTCGAACAACGTGTATTGTAGGATGGGATTGATAACTAGAACGAGTGCCGGGACAACGCCACGGAACAGGGCTTGCGGGCCCTCGTCTCGTAGCAGCGCCATCAGCGTACCTATAGTGGTCGGCTTCTTCTTCTCCACGATAGCGGTGTCCGCGCCGGCCTTTTCTTGCTCTTCCTCAAGTTGTCCCTTGCGCGTGGTCATGCGAGTGTTGACGACCCAGATAGGATTCGTGAGGATGACGGTAGCGGATCCAGCAATTGCACCGGCAATCATGGCCTCGATGGTCGTCAGCTTCTTGGAGGCGCGGCCTGTGCGGGTAGCGGCCGCTTCGAAAGAGCCCCGCGTCCATTCGTACCAGTAATAGTATACAAAGTTGGTCACGCTGATACCGAACACCGCGCTGTCGAGTCCCGCGTATAACCCGGCCACGCCCTCGCGTGCGACGATCTGCCGCACAGCGGCTAGGAAGGCTGTCTCGGCTCGCTTAGACTCGACTTGTGCGCGCGTTGAAAGCGTTATTAAGGGGTATCTGTTAGGAGGCGCGATGGAATGTTAGATTTCTCTTAGAGCTCTCTTTCTAACTTGGGGATGAGGCAGGACCTCAATTGTGCTCGCAGACATACGTTAGGACCATAGAAAGGATTCCGCCGCCAGCACCAGCGAGGGCGTGCGCGACGTTGTCGTTCTGGGGGATGGCGGGTTTCGTCGACGCCATTTTCACATTTATTCCGGTTTACAGATAGGTTTTGAGATGGAAAAGAAACAGCAGATTCGAAGATAAGAGTTTAAATTATATTATACGGCGTAATCTATCAGAATGAGCTGCCCCTAAACTTTATCGACGAATAAATCCAACGTTGGCAGGTTAGGAAGCCGAGGTCCGATTGCATCACAATACGGCTAGCAGTTTCCTCCAGTGGGATGAGGTCCACTAAACACCTGGACCGAGCATCCCTATCGCTGTAAGGCACGAGGTCAGCATTCTTTCCCCATTCTCTCCCCGGCTTTTGCCCCGCATTAAATTCGTCAAAGACTTTCTTTGAGTTCCGATTTTCACATGCGAGAAAGACTACCTAACATTCCTGTTGACAATCTTTAATCTTGTGATATTAAACTTAGTACACTTTAAGTGTCTTCATATATAGGTAGATCAATAACTATACCTCAAATATCTCGATTCAAATATATCTTCGTCATATCCGTCGCTTATGAGGACTCCTCTTACATACCTAGCACCATACGATCCTACATAGTACATACCAAAGACTGAGAGACTCAATACCCACTTGACTTAGACAGGCATGCTTAGATAATGTCAGTTACATATCTTCGTTTTTCAATTGCCATCGTTGCAACCGCAGATATAAAAGAAGGTAGTATTATTTTTTCAAGACAAAACTTAACGAAGAGATCAGAGCGTGGCGTTGCGATGCAAGTTTCATAACTGCAGGTAAAGAGACATTAATGATATGATTGATTGACATTAGAATTTACACGATATAATATCTGACGTGCAGGTTCTTTAAATTATCCCACCACAATCTTACTTCAAGTCTTAGGTACTTCGTACTATGTAAGGTATATTTGTCCAATGGAATGAACGAGATGTGCGACCTGTTTCCTGCGTCTTGGGTCCCCCTTTTCTTCAATAATGGCGTTGGTTGTATCAGCTGTTGAACGCCACCCAAAAGGGGCAATCTTCGCACAATTGCCCCTTGGGGGCTATCACCAAACCACCAAATCAGCCAAATTATTTGGAGAAATATTTGGGGGCTTTCCTTAGCTTTCCTTACAAAGTTCAGCGCAGAATGATAAAGTCACGTGGAGTTGTATCCAAAAATAGCATCATGCAGGTGCAGCACAACTCCCGGTCCATCTAAAACAGCCGTGCGCTCTTGCTCGTGGCACCAGCCTCCGCCAGCGAAGTTTCTCAAAATAGAATTCGGCATAATAGGTATTGGCCACCGGAAAGAAGACGCTTTCACCAAGAAACTTTAACCTTTTTCTCAATAACTTTCCCATTCACCTTTCAATAGGGAAACTGCCAGTCTGATTTATATCATTCGAGCTCTATTTCAGCCAGTCAAAAGCCGATCTAATTGTCGCCTATCCTACATACTGCATAATAGCCAGGGGGTTAATGTCTATCCGCCACTAAGACCACGCTTACGCCTACATGAGCAAATCAACTCAAGAGCCAATTGCATTATGAGATGAGACGAGATCCCGTTACACACGACTTCGATGAGAATAAGGGTACTTATTCGTTAATTGTAACTGTTCGAGTCGCGAAGACAACGAGCCTATAACAACAACTACGTGAAAGTCTCAGCTTACCCAATCCGGCAGCCCGCGATATTGACACTTTAAGTCATCTTTCTTCGGTACCTTTAATCGCATTGACCGCAATTTACTTACTATCCATGGGGATCATCGCATATATCGCTATCTTATGAGGTTAAGATGGCTCTCTCTACTCCAACAAGCAACGGCTCCCGTCGCTTCAACCCGCTTCCGTCTCCCGGTAAAAATGAGACGCCTAGATCGGTAGGGATGGTAAGACCAATATTGCCTCAAAAAAGCGTGACGACTGCCTCTATCGATGATGCGTATGTGAGCTTTATCCTATACTGCAACCCGGCGGTTCCCTTAGAGACAGATACGTTCGCGCTTAAAGAAGCCTTTCGAACCCCACCAAAAAGCGAAGGCAAGAGCTTCAGCACATTTGCCTTGTTTGAGCTCATCAAAAAGCTCCACTCGAAAGAGCTTAAGACGTGGGCGGAGTTGGCCTTAAAATTGGGCGTCGAGCCTCCAGACCATGACAAGGGACAAAGCTCTCAGAAGATACAGCAATACGCCGTTCGATTAAAGGTAAAATTCATTCAATTCTAGGAATACTTGTAATTAGCACATTCGATGGCAGTATAGCTTACTTCTAGCAGCGATGGATGCACTCCATGCATATCAACGCTTTCTTCGACTATCTCATGGATAATCCACATCCGTATTGGACCCAAATCCCGACAGATCCAAATCCGGTTTGTGAAGACGGTAGAGATGGTGTTGCTGCTGAAGACGACATGGCTTTGCGTGCTTTGCTACCTCACATTCGGCCGCGTCGAGGTCGGAAGAGACCAGAGGAAGACGGGTTTAGTAAATCTCCCTCGCAAAGACCCAGGCTGGAATCCCCGGCGTTTGGCGGGGAGCCTAGAACCGCTCGTCCGGACTCATTAGATCCGTGGACCGCCCACCCGGATGGAAGAAATTCATTCATGTTCCCATCAGTCGATCCAAGGTCAAGCGTGTTACCGGAAACGAATTCGGCCTTCCCGTGGAGCAACGACGTCTCTCGCGAACCAATGTCAGCCTATCCCCAGTCTGCAATGACACCGTCGACTCGAGGGACGTTCTGGGGCGATACTGCAGAACCTCGTTCAGCCATTAGTCCTAAAACCAAGGCTCTTGGGCGTCGTCATGGAGCCAAGGTTGTTTCCTCCGCCTGGAGAAGCGGTGGCGTATCTACGAGCGGCAGACCTCGTGGGCGACCTCCGACTAACCGACCTACCGATAGTCCATTATCAGCGATTCCGGACGAACGCAGAGAATTTCAGGGCTCACTTTTCGAACAGAGCGCACCTCAGTCAAGTATAACACCTACACCGATGTTACCACCAGAATCAGTGCCCAAGGCAGCAGGCCCTACCTCCGCGCCAACGTCGGCACCAGTGACGACACCGACATCCGCTCTAGGTAACCGGCCCACTCGGCCGGGCCGCCTCTCTCTGCAGGTACCAGAGCGAGCTAGTGGACCGGTCAGATTAGCGACACCTCCACCTCCGGTTGTCATGGTAAACGGCAAAAGTCCGGTCAATGGTAACGGGACTAATGGCGGTGGTAAAATGGCAGATACACCCGGTGAGGATGCGTTTACGGTATTCGATCGCACTTCAGCTATGTTCACGGCTACATCGACCGATGATCATGGAAGCTCCGGGATGCATTTCGACCCCAATGATAGCGACCGGACGAACTGTGACGAGATTGAGGCTATGTTTGTTGCGGATATACTTGAGGGTGCCTGGTACGATGAAAAGGGGCAGCTAGGTCCACCTGCCGACGTTGACGAAGCGATGGCTCTGGTCAAGGTTGTCATCGAAGGAATATCGAAACAAGCTCTAACGAAGGAGGCTTTCCTTATTAACCTCTCGGCGCTCGCGGGTGTCAAGTATATGATGAAGGCAGGCAGCACCTCGGTACAGAGAGCAGAGGTGGGCCCCGACTACACAAAGTACCACTGCGCCTGGGGTCTACGGTACGGCCCCATAAGTGGGAAATTCCGATTGACAGAGACGGTTCCGCATTCGCGGTGGAAGAAGGGCGCCCAACCTCCAGACGAGCGTCGGGAGAAGGCCGACATCCCCGCCGAGGGCGAGGAGGCTGCGGAATTCTGGCGTAGAAGATACGCCGACCTCCTACGCGTCGTAAATAAAAGAAGCGAGGATACTACGCGGGTTGCTAAAGAACCACAGGATAACGAGCGGTCGTAGCGGGTACGGGTTGGCATTGTACAGGTGTTATGTGTTGTAAGAGTATATCTACGGGCTTATGATTCATGTAAGTTGGTTGAGATTTAAAAGGCCTCCGAGCTCATGTATATGTAATTTTTGTTCTGAGATACCCCCGATCGCATGTATTATCAGATATTAGGAATCTAAAAACGTTTCTGGTTCAAGAGGCTGAGCACGCCGGCGGTTAGGCTGGTGGTACGTGATATGATATATGGATACTTCCGTTTCTTTATCAACGGCGTATTACTGGCGGATTTACGCATCTAGGGGCTATATGGCGTATACCTACCACCTACCTAGGTACCTAGGCTAACTAGATTAAATATGCAGGCTGTGCGTGCGGCCGACCTTGGGTGGGGGTTGGGGCATTGTATCCAACGAATTTCTCTTGTAGAGATATTTTTACGATCGCAGTTCCAAATATTTTATCTTAATTATTTATTAAATTCTCTACTAGGTACTAAGTACCTACTAGGTCCACAGTAGGTAAACAAGATTAGGGTATTAAGAATCTTCGAGTGAACGCATATGATCTATGATAGATACCTACTAGGTATTTATGAGGGTAAACCAAAATCGAGATATTACTTTAAGCCGCTACCTCGTGTGGACGTGCTGCCTGCCAAGGTGCTTCCACGATATGATCAGCGCTTAATTCGAAGCGCCGTTGTGATTGCCATGGCGCCTCGACCACAACTTGATTTTCTTGTATTTTATTAACTTCCGACACCTGACCGCTCTGAATGTTGTGGTCTGTAGCTTGCCGTTGTTTACTCATCTTAGGCCGCCACCAAAAAAAATAAGATGCTGCAACGGTTGCTATCAAGGCCAGTGTACCAGCTACTGAGCCGCCCACAACGGCGGGCACGTTAATGTTATCTGATGATGAGGGTTTCATAGTCGGAGATGAGTTTATGACGGTAGTGGAGGATGGCAATAAAGTTGTCGTTGATGAAGATGACGGATTTAAGGGTGTGCAGAGGTCCACAGAATAATATTGCCAGGAAGAGTTGTAACATTTCCCTTGGTCCGCAACGATTTTAAGATCAGATGAACAAATGAGGTCGCTCGTATCATTGCCGTAAATTGTAACTAAGAGATACTAACGTTAACAGATACTTATTTGTATATAACCTCGTTTAACTGTACCACGCAGCTTTTTTCCCTTGAACACCACTGACGACAGATCTATGATGAATGTATCTGGAGATAGAGAGATGGCGGTCGACAGAAGAGAGCTTTACATACTCGAACATCCCAAGTCAACGGTGTTAACCATGAAACTCTTATAAGGGGAAGTAAGTTGGTTCTTAAATTTCGTACATTCACCATCAGGGAAGCCATCTTCCCCTTCGAGAGACCGTACATATGTGATGCAATTAATATCTGAAAATGTTAGGATAGTAGTAGTAGTGTGGGCGAAAAGAGCGAGGTTACTAACAAGCCAGACGACCAAGGCTATGAACCTTTTTTGAAACATGGTTTTGTAAATATGTCAGTGTTTATGATGGGAGCCAAAGACGATCCAGAAAGTAAAGACTAACATGCGAGATTCATTTCTACTCTAATATAATTATATACTTGCCTATTCATATTGCCTACTTGCTATGGCTTGTGACGCCTCCCTGTGCCTTCAGTGTTATGCTTTAATTAGGGAAAGGGGCATCAGTTCAAGTATATCTAGATACTAGCCGATATGATTAATATGGCATGAATATCTTTACTTTTCTTGAGATACTTATGTTTATTTTAAAGAGATTTGCTTTTATGAGACGTTTTTTATATTAAAGGTCCGAAAGTAAGAAACGACGTTATAAATTAATGTTAATATTTTTTAATATTTAAATAATAATATGTAATTAATTAATTAATTAATTAATTAATTAATTAATTTAACGTTTAAACGAATAAACGTAGGTTTTTTTTCGTAATTTTTTTAAAAATATAAAACGTAATAAATTTTATTATTTATTTATAAAATATTAATAATTTTAATAATATTATAATATTAAATTTTATTTCGAAAATTTAACATTTTTTAATTAATAATCGTTATTTATTAATCGGTTTAATTTTAAGTTTTTTTAAAAAAAAGTTTTATAAGTTTTAAATTAAAAAATTAATTTAATAATTAATTATAAAGTTTTATTATGAGAAACCCTGGCCGCGCAGTATGGGTACATGGTCCAATCCGCGCAGTAGCGTTAAAATCTACGCTAGCGCATTCGAAAGGTACCCAGAACGCCCTCATTCCCTTCAATCCACTTTGATCAATTGTTTCTCTTTCAAACTGCTGTCAAATCTCTTATAATTACAATCATTTAAAAGCCTTCGATCAGGTCTATCGGGCAGTTTATTTGCAGTCCCTGCGCCCTAGATCCGACGGAACTATTGAAGGTTGAAAAGATTCGGGCAGAGGGATGGAATTCTATGACCTCCGTTGCAGTTTTGTAGCGCCTTTAAGTTCAAACTGACTCTCTATGACGTCAAGGCTGTTTGAAGTCGTGCAACTCCGGCTGCAAATAGAACAGATTGAGAGCTTTTAATCGATTGTAATTATAAAGCTTTTGATTAGGGATTGGGGGAGAAACAATTGATTGAAATTGGACAGAGACTTAGGTGTTCCAAAAGGTACATTGTGTAAAAAGATACACTTTTCCACATACTAGTTTATATGACAGCCAAAGTACCCCAAGCTATACCTCTTTCGAATTAGCTTTACTGCGCGGATCTAACGATGTACCCATACTGCGCGGCCAGGGTTTCTCTTTATTATTTATAATTTTTTTTATAAAATTTCGTCGTTTTATTTTAAAGTTAATTCGTATTTTTTCGTAAAAGTTAATATTATTTTTATATTTTTATTATTTTTTTTTTTTTTTTTTTTTAAAACGTTTATATAAAAAAAATTTATAAATAATTATTAAATTAATTTTATAAAAATTATAAGTTTTATTTTTTCCTCGTTTTCGTTTTTTATTTTTAATTTTTTTCGTTTTTTTACATTTTTTTACGTATAATATCATTTTTTTTTTAAAAAAAACCGGATATATTTTATTATAAAAATTAATAACTTTATAAAATTTTTTAAATTTTAAAAAATATTTTATTAATTACGTTTAATATTTTAATTTATTCGATAAATTTTATAAATTTAATTTATAAAGTTTTATCGATTAATTATTTTCGTTTTATTTTTTTTTATTAAATTTTTTCTTTAATTTTAAAAGTTTCGATTAATTTTTTTAAAAAGTTTTCGTTTTTTTATAATAAATTATATATTATAATTTTTTTTTATTTTATTTTTTAAATACGACGTATAAATATAATATATTTTAACGTTGTTATAATTAAATTTAACGTAATATTATAAATAATTTTCGTATATTAAAATAATATTAAAATATTAATTTAATATTTTTTTTAATAATTATAAAATTTTAAATTTCTTTTTAAATTTATAATTAATTTTTACCGTTAAAAATTTATTTAATATATTTATTTTTTTTTATTATTTAATCGTTAAAATTCGCATATTAACTTTCGTTTAACATTTAATTTTTATTATAATTAAGAGTAATACTAGCCGCGCAGTACGAAAGCCGGATTTTTCCCGCGCAGTACCCCGCCAGAATCGAGTGTACCTTTCCCCGCATACAAATCGCCGTACAACTACTTGTACTCGCGATGACTCAATTGACACAAAACAGAAACCTTATTTTACCTGTACACCCTTAACTTCGACCTGTTCTCTTGCAATCCATTAATTCGAATAAAATATGAACCCAGTATCAATCAGAAGAGCTTTCAAAGGAGATTCGACTGATATTGGATTCAGTCATGCCAGTTGCAAACTGAAGGAGATATGAGTAGTTAAAGTGGAAGGAATACTTCGGCTGTGGGGCTAAGAATAGGTAAGCTATCAGATCCACCACTGAAGTATACGTTTCAGTTCAACCAACTGTTCTGCAATCAGTTCGAATCGAAGGTCTTTGCAACCAGGCTTATATGAAAGGCCTTGAAGAGCTGAATCGATTGATCCAGGTTGCACGTTGCTGGCAGTTCTATTCAACTGGATAATCGGGCGAAAGGTGTTTGATATACTTCATATATTTGATCAGAGCCCTTCGATTGAAAGCTGACCAAATAGCCAATGTATGGCCTTGACTTCAACCACTCATATCTCCTTCAGTTTGCACCTAGCATGAATGCATCCGATATCAATCGAATCTCCTTTCAAAGCTCTTTCGATTGATTCCTGGGTCATATTTCTATTGATTTATTTCATCAAGAGAAAACAGGTTGAAGTCAGGGGTGTACAGGTGTAGTGGGGTATGATTAAAGTTTCGAAAATTGTCAATTGAGTCATCACTAGTACATGTATTTGTACGGCGATTTGTATGCGGGGAAAGGTATACTCGATTCTGGCGGGGTACTGCGCGGGAAAAATCCGGCTTTCATACTGCGCGGCCAGTATTATTCTTAATTAATTTCGAAATTAAATTTATTAAGCTTTTTTTCGTTTTTTTTTTAATTAAATAATCCGTTATTTCGTTATTTTTAATTTCGTAATATTTAAAATATTATTTTAAATTTATATTTAATATATTTATTAATTTATAAATCGTTATAAATATATTTTATAAAATCGTTAAAACGTTTTTTTAAACGTTTTAAATAATAACCGTATTATTTACGTATAACGTTATTATTATTTTTAAAAATAAAATAATAATTTTTTTTAATTTTTTTAAAATATTTAATATTTTAATATTAAATATTACTTCGTTCGAATTTATTTTTTTTTAATAATTTTAATTTATTTTTATATACCACGAAATCGTATTTTAAAAATCCGTTAAGTTATAATTCGTTTAAAAACATTATAACATTTTAAAAAGCTTAATTTTTAAATTATTTTTTAAATTTTTTAATTATCGTTTTTTTATTTTTCTTTTTCGTAAAGTTTTTTTTTAATTTTTCCTTAAAATAAAATACGTAAAATATTTACTTTTTTATTTTAAATAATAATTTTACCGTAAATTATAAATTCGTATATATAATTTATAATTATTTTATTTTTTTATTTTTAAATATTTTTTTAAAAATCGTTTTAATTATTAATAAATATTTTTTATATATTATTTTAAATTTATAAACGTAATAACGTTTTATTATTTCGAATATTATTTTCGTTATAATTATTTTAATTATAACGAATAACGCGTTTTTTAGGAAAGTTTTTTATATTAATAATATATTTTTAATAATTTTATAAATTATTTTTTATATTATAATTATATATTTTTTTAAGTAAATATTTATTAAAGTTATATAATTTTTCGTTATTTTTTTCGA